TGCTCATCAACCTCACAACTGCCAATGCACACGGACATACCATATTGTTAGTCAACCAGTTCTGTGAAGTGGAAAAACTTGACCAAGATAAAGTCTGGAGAAATTTCATCTAATTCATGTTTGGCTTAAACTCAATATGCCTATCCTCTACATAAGACTTTCAAAGCAAGAGATCTTCAATTGTAAAAGGGAAATGCAAATTACAAAGAAAGAAAGAAATAATAAAGAAATGGATTCTTATGTCAAAAACTAAGTAGATAGATTCCTAGTCATGTTCTACATCAATCTGCCTATGAGGACTCCACTCCATACATAAAATATTCCAATGTGGTTAGAAACTGAACACATGATTGTAATTTGAAAAGTTATTCTAATAAGGAACAGCAATAAGAGAAACAACATAGTATCAGATTCAGAGGTTAGTATGAGTAGAGACAAAATCAGTAGACTCACCTCTTTCCCAGCTCTCTGTTCACCACAGCATCTGCACAGTGACTATACATAGTTTCATACTGAGGTTCTGCTTCTTCAACGATCATTTCACTTTCAGTAGCACAGAGTGCTGGATTCTGTATCATGTGAGCTTGTTTGTCACTATCAAGTTCTTTACCCGGACTTACTTGGTTTTCTTTCCGTAGAGTGTTCTCAGTCTCCTGCGGGTTTTCAACCTCTTCATAATTGACCACTGAACAGAACAATGGAGGAGGTTCTAAAGCTTGGGACTGAACAACCTGAGTCATACAGTAATCAATTTTCTCACATTTTTCATTAAGAGAATCTCCACCAATGACCAATGAATGGTCACCAGAATCATACTCCTGGCTTTGGTGTTGGTGAGGAGATTGAGCAGGAACCCCTATTGTTGTCATATCCAAACTCGAGCATAAACCAGGGGACTTTGCCGATGAATCGTTGATATCAGGATTCAACGGGGTTTCATTTTTCTCATTTTGAAGTGAGCATTGCATGTCAGTAGGATCGGTCTCACTATTTAGACAGTTCCCGGTTTGCGATTCCTCAGAACATCCCTGAACTACTTCAGGAACATGAGCTTTTCTTTCTGCCAAACTGCTAAGTTGGTTAGATTGTGCTCGAGTTACTTCATCATCTAGTGTCATGGTAAACACGTTCTCATGGAATTTCACAGCAGTTTGTCTATCTCCTACAGTCTGAACAAAGGCCCTAGACAGAGACATTCTGTCTGAAGATTTCTCCATATGAGAAGGCACTACATCAACCATAACATCTGAAAGCTTAGCAGACAACTCAAAGCTGTTAAATTTTTCGGCTGCAGAAGTATCATGAACAGAAACAAAATCATTTTCATGATTCACCGAAGGGCTTGTCTGCAAAGCTGCACTTATTAGAGTGTCTTTCGATGATCTCTCTTCGACCTGTGAAGAGTTATTGACCTTTTCATCAGCATAAAAAGCTCTACTCATTCGGACTCTGGCTCGCTTAACAAGAGGCAAATGTTCATCACCATTCTCTTCACAGGGCCTCTCATTCAGCCTTTCATGAGAATTTTGAGATCTCGGGCAGCTGTCACAAGCATTGGGCCCAAGACCTTCTGCTTCAACTTTAGCAGGAGGGTCAATAATGTCACTGGTTTCACGTTTCCTGGTGGGCTTCCTCTTCTTCCTCTTAACCATGGTGCTAATTTGGAAATCAAGCCCTTTGTTGAGCTCATGACCTCCGTCACCAACAGTATCAGAATGCTCAACTTTAGAACCAGAATCCACACCATTGCCTTCATTCCTACTATTATTATCAGATTCAACTGTCGCAATTTCAGATGCGTTCTCCTCATCAGATCCGTGCAAATTTAGATCTGATGAAACAACGTCATCTGATTCAGATTGACCTGACCTACGGATCCTTTTTCTCCTTCTTATGGCTCTTTCATCTATACCATTGACAATCGGGCCACCATCACTGCATTGAAGTATGGACCTTTGAAGTCTATCCAATTCCAACCTTGATGAGATTTTAGAGTGCTCAACCGGTAATATTATACTCTGTGGAGCACACTTTAGAGCCCGCACCCTTTCATTTCTTCTCCTTGAAGAATATGTAGCTATCTCACATAGATCTTTAGCTGCTGCACTATCACAGGCTCCATTATGAGCTAGAGTGTTATGACGCAGGGCTAGCATTTGTTCAGCAGCTGCATCTTCGCTGAGAAGAGTCGATTCATCTCTACCATGACTAGAACTTGACTCTGTTTGAGTGTTAAGTCTTGAACCAATTAGATTTTCACAGGCCTGAGGCAGCTGGACAGTTTTCGCAGAACTTCCAACAGTTGTTTCTTCAGCAGATTTAGGATCACTAGCTTGGTCCTGCTGCTTCAGCTTCTCGTAACTCTCTGTAATCTCCTTGACGGCACGGACAAAATCTGAACCTTTGGCATGTCGTTTTGTCAAAAGCGATTGCTTCTTCTCCTCCGTAAATGATTCAACATCAGCAGGATTGCAGAGAGCTCTGCACATACACCAAAAAGTATTACTAACTGTATAAATAACATTTAACTGCATACACAGTTTACTACAACCTTGGACTAATTCCCTTAATCAATTAAAATTTGAAAAGCATACAGTTATGCTAAAATGCTCTCTTCATAATAATTATACATCAGTATTCACTTAACCGTGGGAATGAATGATGCAACAAAAAGAACATTCGCTAAATGTTGATGCTAATCTGCAAAGAAAATGATTAAACAGTTTTCAGAGAATTCAACATACAAAAGGCTTTAAGTAAGATAAATGATAATAAAAGTCACCATCCAACAGATGTGGAAGCTCTACCCAAATTTGCTAAAGATAAGTTCAACAAGAAGCACTGTTGCCAACTATCTGGAAAGACGAAAATCCACTCAATTATCCTTAACTCAAGTGAACACAGAAGTTAAGACAAGGAATGATTCTGATTCTAGACCAAGTAAAATTAGAGCTTAGTGGTGTCTGTTATAGAACATACATCACATCAAATCTATCCTGCCGGAACAAGAAAAGTTAAAAATGTATGGCCATAACCAAGGTACCAGCTTCTACGTCCTAAACTAGTGAGACAAGAACTAAAGTTTACCTCGTCAAATAAGAATCAAAATGAATTAATCAACTCAAATGGGGACGCAAAATTTAAGAACCTAAAATGAGTGTGGGATGACAAATAGGAACTCGGACTGAGAATGTTAGCATCTGCCAAATAAGGGAAGTATGACCAGAAAGCAAAACAATATATACGAGGGTGATAGTAAAGGCCTGAGAACTCACATCTGTTGAGTGCCAAAAAAGTGAACCAATACTTTCTTCGAATCGGCTGAGTAGCCCCATTTTTCCGGTTCGCTAACCTGAAATTACTCCAGCAATTAGCAGAGGAGCAAGTGATCCAAAAATAATAATTCAAACTTGAAGATGTAAGATGTATAGCCTACAAAATTGCTAAACGAAAGTCTGGATCAGTGGTATCTACTAACAACTAGAATAATTGATCGCGGGTATTCCTGTAATCTGCCACAAACTAGATGAGGGCACCAACCCCTCTGAAAACTATCCATATCCCTTAAGCAGTCGCTAATCCTAGAAAAGATCTTTCATCTTAATTATATACAGATGCACATACATGCAACTTCAAACCCTATATTTATAACAATTTCTACCGCCATCTGGAAAATAAATTATGAATCTAAAGAGAAGATCACATACCGCGGCAGGCCAAGCAGGAAATCCTTTGACTTTGGCAAGCACGAGATCGCCAACCTTCCCCTTCCACTCTCGGCGAGCGGATGATGCCGCCGCAGTCTTACCACCGCCTTTCTTCCGGCTCGGAGCCATTGGAATTCAGGAAAAAAAACAGCGAAAATCAGATAAGGAAAAGGTAAGGATTCTAACTCTCGAAGTTAAGCCAGAACCGCAGGCGAAAATTAGCAGCTCGGTAGTGCCTAGGGTTTTCGGTGACAGATTCCGCTATAGAACTCGCAGGCATTGAAAAATACGAACCCAATCGACGGATGTACGCACGCAAGACACAAGAAAATCGGTCCCGTAAACCCTAATTGAGACGAGCAAGAGAGACAACAGAAGATTGCTGGTGGATTTTATCGCTTTTCCGGAAGAGAATCATTCACACACGAAACCCAGAAGGGAGAAGGAAAAAAATAGCTTGATTGGAGGAGTATATTTGTTAATCGTTTGGTCGGTGTAGGGTTTGCAAATTTCCAAAGGCGATGTCTAACTTGCGCCATACACGCGTAGGTTAACTTTATTTCCTTGTTTTCTGCTGGATAAGACCTTTAAAAGTTGAAAGACCGAATCTGGCTTGTACGTAAAACAAATCCACGTGATTCAACTACTCCTCTAGGCCCATTCTATTTGAAACGGACTGTAATAAGGCCCACTCACAGCCCATTATTGGCTCAACCTCGTTATCTAATCCATCAAAACATTTTCTGCGTATAAAGTTGTCATGGGCTAATTTCATTGGAAAAAGCATCAGTTCCCGATCTTGAAAACTCGACCAAGACGTTGACCACTAAAAAAAATTCTTCCTGTTGGACGGACCTTTTGGGGATTATGCTGCCTTTCATGCGACTGCTTAGCTTTGTGTCTCTTCTTAGTTTAGAAGTTTACTTCGTACAGTATTTCGTTTGGAGCTGCCACGTTTCTCGACGGCAAATGAATCGTGACACGTGTCTTGTAAGATTTTTTCGGTTCCAGAAAAGGACGTTTCGGATTCGCGTTTGCGTCTCGACACGTGGCGCTCCCATCCCATATTTTTTTCCTTTGATACCAACCAAAGACGTCAGTTATACCCCCGATTCTCTGTTGCGGCGTATACACAATCACCAATGGACACGTGTCCCACTAAAACCAATAATATCTCGACACATTTAGTGGCGGGGAGCTCCATGGATCTCTGATTCTGGCATAAAGCCACGTGTGTCACTCTCGAGCACCGGACCAACTGATATAAATAGGTGAGATCACGACGCGCGTGTTAGACCGCAAAAACTCAATGCTTCTAGAGGGAAAATTCTCCGTCGTCCAGATGAACACGAATAAACGGCTCAGATTTAACCAACCGAGTCGATTACCCAGCTCAGGTGAGTCAGGTATAGAGAACGAGCGAGTCCTGGTTCTCGTCTTCGAGTCCATTAGCTGGGACATTCACACGCTATGCGCAATCGCATCCCTCAGCCGCAGATTTTGCGCAATCGCCAGACGAATTCTGTGGCGGCGGCTCTGCGTGAACCGTGCGCCGGGGATGGTGGCGGCATTATCCGGCTCAGATCCCAGCGGCCGGATCGACGGCGGATGGCACGCGTTAGCGAAACTCATGTTCTTCTGCGGCGGAGGTGAGTCGAACCGGTATTTCAATCTAAGTCAACCGTCGCCGGGTCACTTTGCCTGCGAGTCCAGATTCTCCAAGACATCCGGGAGATTCTTCCTGCCGAAGAATTGCCGCCGTGATCTCCTATACATGAGCGATCCGTGCGAGCATCACGCGGTGGGTGGAGATGAGCATTTAGGGGTTTTCAGAGGGGTATTTCGGGACTTCATGAGGTCAAAGACGAGGGAGTGTCTCGTGAGAAGACAAGCGGCGCTGGAGGAGAAGGTTAGGTGTCCGTATTGCGGAGGGCGCGTGTGGAGCATGACGGCGGCGCGTCTCATCCCGAAGAGTGCGGCGCGGCGGCTGGGATCACGTGAAGGTGGATTAGAGTTCTTCGTGTGTGTCAACGGTCACTTGCACGGCACCTGCTGGCTGATTCCGCTTTCAACGGAAGAAGAAGACGACGACAACAGTGACGGCAGTGTGATCTAATCCAATGGTGGTGGCGATGTCCACGTGGAATTAGGTCTCTTGGGGCATATGCAAACCACAAGAGGAAAATCTCAGTTAGATTCTCCTATGACATGTGGAGCTCACTAGTTGCAGGATGATTAGAAGATCTTTACCGATTTGTTTAGTTGTTTGGTATGGTTTTAGATTATTTTGGTACACTCCACAGTCATCAGATAAATATTTTATTGTATCTGATTATGTTTCTTGTAACTTTTGACTGCGAAATGCTGGCCATTAGTTTTGTTTAATGATAAAAAAAAATCGAAAAATAACAAGTCCCCTCTGTTTCTATGATTAACAATGGCGATATATGTTTCAAACAACAAAAACATGATCCTAGTTTTTTTATTCTTTTAAAATTTTCCCAAAAGTCTGTTTCGAATTAACTGGTTTCATTGTGATGTTACTTGCTTTTGTCATTTCTTGATCACCCCCAAGTATTTGACTAAAAGAAAACAATTGCTGGACAAAACAAACAAGAAAAAAAGGTTGGAAGATGATCGTTAATTAGGTTCGTTATGTTGACAGAATAATATATAGCCTCTTCCCTTGTGTGAATTTTGCAGACTTTCATATAAAGTGTTGTACGTAAGAAAAAAAAATGCTAATAGGAAGTTGAAGAGTATCTCTAGTAAAAGTCGTTATAACTATAAGTGTGAGAATCATTGTTTAAATTTTTAAAAACCAGATTTGATTCATTGTTTCCAATGGATGCAGCCATGGAGGTGTGTGTGTGTGGGGAATAATAAAGAAAAGGGCTCATGACAGTCACATGTGAGGATGACTCTGGTTCATAAAATTATCAAATGGAGCAGGCATTGGTAGTTCAAGCCTTTAATCCTAAATCCATGGAACGTGAAACTCAGAAGAAGAGGGACAGTCTTTTTCTTTTAGGTTGTTTCAGGAAGAAATGCATTATTAATCAAAGGTTAATCAATCAGCCTTTGGCGATGCAGAACCGAAACTCAAATGGCACTGGCTTTGGCATTCCCTATGACTATGATGGTGGCAACAACCACAAGTTCCGATGACAGGCCCTAAGCCCCTAACTCCTAAGCTGCATTATTTACTTGGGCCACATTTGCTAAATAATAAGCAGAAGAACGTTTTCGCGGACCTATGTACCTCATGCCTAAATGTTACATTTTTAATTTTACCTAAAGGCTAAGAAAGAGATTTGATTTGACTAACATTATACTAGATTTGGGTGTATTTCGTCAATGAGAAAGAATATTGGATGTGTTTTTGCTATTTTAGAAAAGTTCAGGACTAGAAAAACAAATAAAAATAATTGAGAGGGGGTTTATTATGTTTCTCGCGCTCGCCTTCCCGCTTGGTTTCCTCTTGGCTACGTCGCCAAAGCATCCGACTATTTGATCGATTTCTGCTTTCTCTGCAAAGAAGCAAGCAACAGGGGAAGAAGATGATACATTTAGGTGGATTGACATGTTGCGTAAGCGGCGGCGTTCTTTATCTTCTCAGTATGATACCAGGCAGGTTAGGGGTTTTTTCCGATCTCTTTATGCCTTTTGAAGAACGTGTATCAATCAATCTTTCTTTCTTGCGACAGCTTTTTTGAGATGCTCAATTCAGTCACTAGGGTTCACCAGATCAAGGATTTGGGTTTGTGAATCAATCTCGCTTCAATTTTAGTTTGATGGGTTTTTAGATTAAATAAGTCATTGGAATCTTTGGTTTCTTCAGAGAAATTGCTACAAGTAGAGGGAAAGATCATCGCTGTCTCAGGAATCGTTGGCTCTCACACACCTATCAAGTGTGAGCACAGTGACACACTCTGTGTTTTTCTCGAGGAAAAGGTACCTATGGATTGGATTTCCATATCTAGAGAGAAACCTTCTTCTCTCGTTTCACTGATTTTTGGCTTTTGGGTATGTCTTCAGGCACAACAACTTTTCTTGAAACGTAATTGGTTGTTTTCATGGGTTGAAGATAGTAAATGGATGCTTCCACAGACTAAGGAAGTCCCGTGGTATCTGGTATGACTCTTGGATTTCTGGTTGATTAGCCAACTATTCAACTGGCCTTGATTGGAATGTTTTCCTTTAGTCATTTATTTAATATCTGAAATCTCTATGTCATAGGACGATGGGACAGGTTGTGTGAACGTAGTGGGAGCTGAAAATGCAATAGCCTTGGCATTGAAGGCCGGAGGTGAAGTATTTGAAGGGTCAAAGCCGTCATCTGATTGTCTCAAAGGCCTCGTGGTCTATCTCCAGTTTTCTATTTAATTGCTTTTTTTTTCTGTTTTCTCAATGCTAAAATTGTGTGGCACCATTATTGTCTACAGATGCTTGGAGTAAGACGCACTGAGCATGTCCTCCCAATTGGTACACCCGTTACAGTTGTTGGTGAGGTATGTCTTTTATCTATCACCGGTACCAAAATCTTCTTATATACCAAAATACGTTTTACATCTCATTTCTGTTGTTACTTACCATGTCAACAGGCTGTTAAAGACGGTATCCGGGGTTTCAGGATTCAAAAACCCGAGAAGGGACTTTTCTTTGTCTCACCTGTACCGCTCGATAAGATCATCTCTCCGTTGGGAAAGTGGTTAAGGTTGTTTCTCTTCTCAGTATGGCTATTCTCTTCCTCGAAAACTGAGATTGAAAATGTCTAAAGATCTTTTTGGCAGGAGGTTCAAATATGTCTACGTAGGTTTAACTGTTGTTGGTGTGATTCTGATTTCAAAGCCTGTGATTGAGTATATTCTAGAGAGAAGGCGGGGGCGATTGTTACGGAAAAGGTATGTCACATATTAACCAAAGCTTTATACTTGCAAATGATTAGTCATTCCAAATTAAGTATTGAGCTATATGTTGCAGAGTTGCTGATGCAGCTGCTAAGAGAGCCAAATTAGTAGCTAGAGGTAGTATCCATTACAGTTTGCAGTAACATGTGAAAACGTTTTCTGCATATGTTTGGAATTGCTTTGCTTACAAAAATGTCTCACCAGGATTGGAAACTCAACATGAGAACAGCTTAGATAGTACAAGCAGAGATAGAAATGTACTTGATCTCTGTGTGATCTGCCTTGAGCAGAAGTATGACGCAACTTTTGTAAAGTAAGAGCACTGCTTTTCTTGTAAAACGCATAAACCTTCTCACTGATCAGACATCATAGCCTTTGATTTTTCTTTTGTTTGGTTTGCTCTTGTAGGTGTGGTCATATGTGCTGCTGCTTTACATGCTCCTTGCACGTGAAGACCTGTCCTCTTTGCCGGAGACTAATAGAACTTGTTTTGAAGATTGACCGCCGTTGAAACAGCTCTCACCTTTGGACTACTATACCTTCTGGTCTACTAAAGCCATGATCCAATAAAGTCTTGTATACGACTTTGATTAGAACCATTTTTTGCATTGGAAGACCGTGATTATAAGATGGAAGCAAAAGCTAATGGAAAGTGTGACCTTATTACCTAAATCTCATATGAAATTTCAAGCTTTTTCTGAAAAACATGAAATCAGAGTTGATTCTGTGAATCATCTTCCATGGAAGAACTTATTTAGAAGTTTCTACGTTTCCTTCCCATCTTAACCAGAAACCTCAATGATAATTAAAATTTCTTCTGAAACAGTATGATCTCAAGTAAACAAAGATATTGTTTTGGAATTACCAGAGTTTGCATTATAAAAAGAATCCCATCGAATATGATCCTCTTCTTACTGAACTTCAATTATCACCAGCTCTTCTTGGTTTACATATACGATCAAGGAAAACAACAAACATAGACAAAAGTACAAAGAAAAGCAAGACGGAGCTGTGACATGTCCTTTCCGAACCAGATGGCATCTCCGGACTCCGATTGATGATGTCATTGACTATTTCTCTTTGTTAAGAGGTTTCTGTCCCACATCGCTTAGGTAGTATTTGTGCTCTCTTTTCCCCTAAGTATAAAATAGAGGTCGAGCCCAACTTACAAATCATACCTTTCTCGGCCTTTTGGCTAAGATCAAGTGTAGTATCTGTTCTTATCAGTTTAATATCTGATATGTGGGCCATCGGTCCACACGATATTAGCTCTATTTTTTAAGGGGAAAAGCCCATTAAGATAGCTCGCTATCTGGGCTTTTGTGAGTCGTCCTTGCGTTGCACTACTGCACGGGCCTGGCTCACCCCATCAATATAAAGTCCAATTTATTTGGTTAAATTTAAATCTTTCTCTTCATCAATCCAGTAAAACAGGTTAATGAAATATTGTCTATAACGTTTAGGGAACATCCCACATCGGTAATAAGAATAATATCACGTCTAGATATAAGCACCTGGAGAGTAGTACTTATCACAACTGTCACTGGACGAAGTGAATGGGTCAACTGGGCTTGCCTAAGTTCCGACCCAGGAAAGTCCCCGGGCCACTATCCGCAGAGATGCGGCCTCTGTAACGAGAGAATCTTGCGGTGGAGAGACTCAATCGGCTGAGACGCGTGTGTGGAGCTTATGTGGTCTCTCCGCCGATGATATCATGGCCGTTCAACAGTTATTCACCTGGTCCTCAATTGACTAACTGAACGGGGCTTACGTTTTTCAATGACAAACAACTTTTTGTTCCTATTTCTTTGGTTGAGAGAAATTGTCAAAATTCAAGTCAACAGCATCATCAAAACACGTGATTCACGCGAAATGAAACGTGACAATAACAAAAGTGGCAAACATGATGAGAAGTACTTTTATAGATCAACAAGTCTTCTAAGTCTATATAGAATCTTTTCAAGTTTTCGTCCACTCAAACCAAAATTTTCAGTGATAAGGGAGCTTCATCTTTCAATAAAGAAGCGAATCTCCAGCTCCAACGGAAGAAAAACTTGCACAAAAGCAAATTTTCTTTTCAGTTAAAAGCAAAAATAAGAGTATGCAGAAGAAACTAGATAAATTCTGTTTTCTTTTGATATAGAAAAGACAAAGACAATCACATTTTCCTCAAAGCGTAGAATCAAAGCAAACCAATTGGAAAAAAAAAATCCATAATCCCACTAATTTTTTCATATAATAAAGCAACACCATAATTAAACATTCATGTAAACAAAGAGAGGATGCAGAGAGGAAAAGATGATGACAAGAGAGGTTTTTGTCGTCGGCTTTTAAGGTTGGTGGTTGTTAAACTCATGGCGGGTCACAAGGAAGATAGGTCCGTCACGAAGAAACTGATCAAGAAAGAATCAAAATCAGATATCACAATTTATTTCAAGCAAAGAGAAGACTCCGAGGATAACGCTAATAACCCCATCAATATCTCAAGAAGCTCGGAGAAAGAGAGGGTGATCATGCTGGTTAATGGTAGTAATGGCTCAAAGAAGAACTTGGCGAGTGAGCTCAGCGTTAGGCGATCAGTAGCTCAAACTGGAGCTGGTATGACACAGCCGAAGCCTCTTTTCAATGATATAAATACGAAATCGCATGCTTTCATTGAGAGTAGACTCGAGAAGATGCGAAAAGGCTTATAGCCAAAATACATGATGACCTCTCTGTTTTGCACAGAGAGACTCTTTTCTTTCTTCACTTCATACATGTCTCAAGGAATCCTATCTATGTTTTTCATCAATTCATTTTTACGATAAAAATACTAGCTGCATTCTTCATATTTTACATGTAATCTGAAATATTTTTATCGCATAATATCAAATTTATATGATTTACAAGAACTTATCTTCAAAGGTGTAGCTAAGACCTTTAGGTTCGCAATGTACTTACCATGATTGACAGGTTTCATTTTCCATGCTCATCTCACTATATTGATAAGCAGATTGGGGAATCAAATCATGCTAAGGAAATTATAACAGATTTGATTCTTCCTCTCAATTCATTGTCCATGACATGATAAGTTCATTTTTGCCTAATAAACATAGCTTGCAAAATCACTAAAACTATTTTGTGTGTGAATGAATCCATCTTTTATTTAAGAAAATGAAGAAAAGACACCTGCCTTAAACCATCTCAAATTCAATGCAAGGGTCAATTGAAGTCATTGGAACTTGTCTCCTCTCTCTCTCTCTCTTTTTTTTTTTTTTTTGAGCTTCTCTTATGTTGGATTTGGACACGACTATGCACAGGCTAAAGCATGATGTACAAGTGGATGGTAGAAGAATCTTGACCTACACGTACCCAAAACACCCGTAGAATCTTGCATGTCACAAACCAACCCCTCTATATAGTATAATACAAAAATTATCATCATAAACTATAATCTTCTAACCATGACTAGAGGCATGACACCAACAAAAGCAGAGTTAGTAGTCATCTCACTGATTTGGGCTATTCTGGTGTTGGAAAGTGCAACAGTGTCAAGTGCAGTAGAAGATTTGGTGGTGGAACAGTGCAAGCACGACTGCAAACATGATATCCACAACAGGAAAGAGTGTCAAGATAGGTGCAATGAACAGAGATGATGATGGAGATGGAGAAAGAGACAAGTGGACGACAAGAAGAAGAACACAATCCCTTCTGCGATGCATTTTGCAAACCCTTTGAAGGACTCTATCAACAATGCATGGCCGTTTGCCCTCGCACCAAGTCCATAGGAGGAGATGGGGTTGCTAACGGGGAGTTGCAGGCAAACGAGGAAGTCTGCGAGACATCGTGCAGTATTCTTCAAGAGGAACCGCTCACTATAAGGTGCATGAGGATTTGCCACGAGAGAATTCCCGGAGCTGTTGCGTCTTCTACTTAATGTTTAAAATCTCTTCCGAGGAGATTTCTATGAAATAAGTGTTATGTTGGTGTAAGAATCAAAACTGAAATACTATTAACATATTAGTTTAAAATTGAGTTCCGGTTAAAGCAGACACAAGAGATCAGCCCCAGCTTAGAGATGTTTTGATAACAGTTTTAGAGAACATCAAATCTACACATACTCAAAAAGCATTGTTTTAGGGATTATCAGAAGGAACGTAGAAAAAGGGAACAAATTGGGATACCCTGAGAACATATTAGTCTTGGATCTGCTTGAAACTGCTCTTCTCTGTAGTTGTGGTAGAAATAGGAGAGCCAAGCTTAGGATCAGGAGGAACAGTATCTTCCATGACCTTGGGGACAGTAAAATTGAAGTCTCCGAGGGGTGCGTTCTTGAATTCCGGATTGGCTTCAACAAAGGCTGCAATTTCATTGCGACTCCTCAGCTTCTTCCCGGTGGGGGTAAAATAGTAGGTATCCATCTTGGAGTAGTCTTTTCTGAGAACTAAGCTCCTCCTGAAACCTTGAGGCGTTTTGGGGAGACCAGGCTTGTCGATGACCCATGTCCTTGAGGAATCATAGTCAAGATCAGCAGGCTCTTCACAGGACATGCCCTGTTTCTTCTGACAGTTAAAAGGGTCCTCAAGCATTTTACTTCTGATATCCTCATACTCGTCTTGGCTATCAATCACCCTCCACTTGTGACAGTTTTCGCATTGTGCAGCATAGGTATCGATCAACCTCCCTGGCGCAGTGTCTCTCTGCAATTAAGTCTCAGTGAAACAACGACAAGACTTGTGAGCGTGGCAGAGATAACAACGTAAGGCAAGGACAAGGAGAGACACTAATCCAGCAAGCGTCAAAGAAAAGAACCAAGGCTTCACTTCTTAAAGCAATAATAATTGAAAGCTACGACACATTTACTCTAAGGTTAAAGAGATTGACAAAGAATCCGGAAACTAGACTCAAAAGTTTGCAAAACCAAAACCCCAAAGGCCAAAGATTTCGTGTTAACTACCAAAAATTGAAATTGATAACCTAGAATCCTCCTATGGCTTCTTCTATAACTTACTTAATCAATAATAAGATATCTGAGACAGGAAAAAGCATGCACTTAGCCTGAATTATAAGGCAGACAAGGTTCGCATCTGACCAAGAACAGAAGAAAAACGCAAAGAAGAGAACCCCACAAGTAACTGTTGTTAGAGTAACTGTTGTTAGCGTACCTTGGCTTTTGGTTTCGCTGGTTTTGCGATCTCGTCCTCCTCCATCTCACTTCCCAAGAGATTCTGTTTTAGTAAGACGAACAACGTTTTTCTCCAAATCTTGAGTGTCCCAAAAAGTGATGCTTCTCTAACTCTCAAATAGGCCTCCTGCGAACATTGATGGTAATCGCACAGCCTGGGCTAATGTATCACTGTAACGGACAAATCATTGATTAACACGTCGGTGCAAGCGTATGACTTTGGGCTTCAGCCCATATTGTTTTAGCAAAAAAATATTAATATGGGCCTAATATTCAGAAGTAGAGCCCATTTTCTTATCTGTTTCTAACGGATCAGACTACAATCTCGTTTTTTTCCCGGAAAATTAGCAGAAAAAAATCAAAATTCCACGAGGAAGATCAGTGATTCTGTTTATCATCATCATCATCTTCTCCTTCGTCGTTTTGCTGACTGATTCTCACTGTTCCGATTCTTAGTCCTTCTCTTCCACGAACACTAACGATCTCCGGTGAATCTACTGCCACGCTGGCAATCTCTAGCCTTCCTTCGCTTCTCACTCTCCTGTGATGAAATCTCGGCCGTCCATTACAATCCAGTGTCGTCAAAAATGGTGGCAGATCTCGCTTCCTCGTCACGCTTCTTCCTCTCCTCTCTTCTCCACGCGGCGACGGCGCGTTTAATCTCGACGACTCCGTTAGCAGCGGCGGTCCATACGGTCCCCACGGCGATATCTTCCCTCCTAGATAGAAACTGTAACTGTTATTTTCCGATGAGCACGAGAAATATTCGTCAAGATTAACTCCAGACACACCTCTATGTTCCCTGCACTCGTCGTCGGGATTCTCGTGATCTGATTTTATCTCCAGAGATCTGTTCACGGAGAAGCTCTGAAGAGATTCGCCTCTGGAATTCACCGGAGTGCTCCACCGCCGTCGATGAGAATGCGTAGGCGTGTCGTCCTCTGCCGAAGACGGCGTGCGGTGTTCTTCATCGTCTTCTCCGGTGAGAATCGTAGAGGATGACGTCATGATTAACATAACCGCTCTTCCTTCCTTGCTCTCTCTATGATCGCAACTACTCTGCATTTTTTTTTTGGGCCTTATAACAAGATTTATAGTATTTGGTGGGCCCTTTGCGAGAGGTTTTGCCAGCGTGGCAAACTGTGATCAGGATTTACTTATTTCACGGTCGTTTGTAAACGTTGACGCCTTCTAACGGCGTTAACCACGACGCCTTAAAATTGGTCCGCAAGGTTTAATTAAAACCTAGTCTTGAAAAAATCTTCTCACCTGTAAAAATATTAATATCACTGTCCTTGTGAACAAATCTTATTCTTATGAATTTCTTTGGGAAATACGCATACAGCACATAGAATGATTTTTGCATGAGATTTTTCTACAAAAATTTTGAAACTAGTTTCTAACATTAACTAATGGCTGCAATACCAATTGAGAGGTGATAACATTGAATTGGGTCGTAATTGCATAAAACGCTATATCTTTCCCGCAAACAATGGTACTCATTTCATTACTTTGATGGGCTTATAGAACGATTTTCAAAAACCCATTATACGGCCCAAAAGAATCCTTCGGACGGTCGACAAATGCCAATCATTAAAAGAATACCCAAAAGTCCAAAACGATATGTGATTACTCCTGAGCCATGCATGCTGTGTCGTTTTATAAGAAAACACGATACTAAAAATTGTCTTCGTTTAGACCGTTAAACGGGATGCAGTCTATTATTCTGGACTGATCCACCATGTGAATGAGTGAATCAAACATGATGACGAATTGATGATGAATGCAAAAGTGATACTACTATGAGAGAGAGAGAGATGATGATGTTAAATGGTCTTTAGGGTTTGAGATATTCGAGATGAGAAAGGTTCGTGTCTTAATGTTTGAATCTCTAGGGGTTTAGGTTAATAGGCTAATAAAGACAAAAGCATCGTTGTTCAATGCTTTTGTCTCTTCTTTTCCTTTCTTCTCTTTCGTTTTCATTTTTCTATTTTTCTTCCATTTCTATGAAATCTCTGCACATCTATTTCACTTTCCATTCAGAGTAGCTACCTCTCTACTCTTTAAATTCTTCCCATATTATATATAGTCTCCTTATTTCCCTTTACCTCTTTTCTCTTCTTCTTTTTTCTCTCTTATGATCAGGTTATTTTCTTGTGAAGTGTGGACTGGATTTCTTTTCTCAATTTGGTAATATTTTGTTTTTCTTGTGTTCTAATTGTTTATGATGTACCAAAAGAAAAAGAAAAATTCATACAAAAAATATAAATAAATAAAAACTATTATTCGATTTGGGTTGAGTTATTATGGTTTGATCGAGTTTAATATATTAAAATATATACATAACATTGTATTTATCTCTTAAGATCTCTCTTTCTATGTACTAATATTTGTATACGTTTATCGATATAGTGACCACTAAATTTAGAGATTATAGAAAAAATAAAGAATCCTCTTCTTTAATGTTGTTTCCTCCCACATACATATGATCGACACCTCATTAACATCGGATATGTTAGTCGAACGCTACCAAACGCACCGCACTCTGTAAAATCTAATGTGAACTAGAGAAAAAAAATGTAACACCCAAAAGCCAAACCTTTAAGCTCAAAGTTAGTTAGATGATGGATATTTATTTAATAAATTTGTAATTTTGGATCTAAGGCATTGAATATAGTCTACAAAGGACAAAGCCAATCCATTGACAAAAGAAAGAATCTTAGTGTAAACGACAAATTAATGAATTATGGAGAAATCAGAAGATGTTGATAAATCACCAAACATATTTAAGATTTTTTTGTCAGAATTAAAGACCACAAAACTATATGAGAGCGATCCTTTGTTACAAAAATGCAATATATTTTCCAAACACGAAACATAATTGATTTATTATTAGAAAATATTCACACAAATAAATTAAAATAAAAAACACTCTCCCCAAGTAATTGCCAAGACAATTTCATTACAAGACAAACGAGCAAGTCTTTGTCACGCACGCATCAATGAGCCAAAAGTTTGGTCATAAATACTTTGACAATATTTTTTTTAAAAAAGTATTACAAAATTTTGAAAGATGCTAGGACTAGAAAAGTCAATGTTAATCGGGGAAAAAAAATTTATATTCAAAGTAAGAAGTTACCTGTAAAATGTTATTTATATCTTCTATCATTTTTTAAAAGAAGACAACTAACTAAACAAAGGAGAAAAAATAAATCGCTTTTCCTTTTTTCTCCAAGCCTTGATGTCCCTACCACTTGGCATCACAAGAATAAGTATATATAATAAAAAGAATTACTATTTATAAAGAAATGTTGAAATATATAGAAACAAACATATGTGGACAAAAGAGATTGTTTTCTCTAAGAGGGGGTCCATGTTGATCCTCCCAAAGTTCATAACCACTACAAGGAAACTCCAAAAATACTAAATAAAATACATGCACATAAAAGAGGCAATAAGGCAAAAGATGCCAAGGAAAAACAAAAACTATTAATAATGGAATATAAAAGAAAAAACGATAGATGATTTTGACATTTTTGTCCAATCATTAATTCATATATTAATTTTGGTTGTGTAAGCTTTTTTCTCATTTGGGTGGATGGGGGGATTGGTTTTGGCATTGTGAAGCTTTTGCCACAAATGCACACACAACACTTGTCTTTTCTCTTCTTTCACACTTATTTCCTCTTCTTTCTTTCTTTACACTTCACTCCAACGCCATTGCCACATGTCTCCCTAGGGTTTTCACTCAGACCTTTGGATCTTTCTTTTTTTTGTTTTCTTTTCACAATTGTAGCAAAGATAGAGCAATTGCTTGGAGAGTTCTGTGTTGGGAGGCTAACAAGGAAAAAGAGGGGTTTAAAGAGATTTGTCTTTTGTAAGCCAAAAACTTTTTAATGCATGAACTAAAACAAGAAGAAGGTTGGAAACTACAACCACAAAGACATACTATTTCTATTAATAGCATGAGAAAGCAAAGTTAATATCAACATACAAATCCACACCAAGGATAAGTTTTTTTCACAACATGTTGAAGACAAGTTAGTTGTCTTGTAATTTACCCTCTGTACTCTAGCTAGAGCTAATTAAAGTCTACCCATACTAGTACGCAAACAAAGTACAATGTCCCGGTATAGCCCTAAACCGAGAGATGCCGATAACCGAAGTGGTCTCTCGTCAGGCGCAACCATGAGATCTCACAACAAGCCAGAAGTTATTATGCTTCCGGAGACCAAGGAACACAAAAGAAACGCTACTACACACTAGACAACACTTGTGGAAACTGTACAAAACCCCATCATAGATAGGCAAAACAAACCGATCCTCCTCTTTCTTCTTCTCTTTATGTATATATCAGCAACATGACTAGACCTTGTTGTTGTTGCTACGGAGTAAGAAGCAAAGGACTTGACTTGCTTTGAGAATCCTCTATGGGGTGCACAAACTTTTTCAACTCTTCCATAAGACAATGAAAGTGATCATTGTTAGGCAAGAAGTAAAACCCGATGGTAGCTTGTTTCAAATACAAAAGATTCACTTCAAGACCATTCTTCTTAAGGCCATCCACGTAAGCTAATTGCCAATCCTGAACAAGATCTAAACCAGCCACAACGACAAGACTCTTGGGAAAGTTGACACCTTTAAGGCTTTGACCTCTCGGGCCAAAGGGATTACATGCTGGATGATCTCTATCTTCACCTTCAGGTAAATAAGCCCTCCAATACCAATCTCGATCCTGTATAGTGACAAAGTATTTGCCATCAAGACTCTTCTCAGACTCAGTCCTCTCTTGTCCACCAAACATTGGGTGAAGAAGAATGTTCCCCAACACTTTGACTCCTTCTTTGGTTGCCCTCACAGCGACATTGTGAGCTATGTTGCCTCCTGAGCTATCACCAGCCAAATAAACATAAACATTGGAGTCATTACCACTCTGAAGCCAGACTCTTGACTTGACCCATTTGAGAGCATTCCATCCATCATCGTAAGCACAAGGGTAGCGATGCTCAGGCGATCTCCGGTAATCAACAGAGACAACAACAACACCGCAAATGGTGACAAGGCGTCGGCAGAAAGTGTCGTAGATAGCACTATTGGCCGAGGAATGAGTGAAGCTACCTCCATGGAAGAAAATGAGAACAGGGACAATCTCTGTAGTGCTGAGAGGCTTGGTAAGCTCGAGGGTGCCGTGACGGGTCAGGTCAAGGAGAGACGCGGGTTGGTAGATTCTGGTGAGAAGGTTAGTGGTAGAGTCGACGTGGTCAAAGGAGAAAACACCGTCGAGAGGGAAAGTGTTAGCGGGAACTTTACGGTCAAGAAACTCGGCGAGGTAGCGGTTGAAGGAACCGTCAGGACGACGCAGGACTTTGTAAGCAAGCTTGAAATTGGAAATGAGGACCCATGTGTTGAGTGGGACAATTCTCTACAGAGAGCAAAAAACATTAGAGAGGATATGATGGGACGTCTTAGATTTTATTATACCCCTTTTTTTTGGGAAGAAAAACAAAATTCATCCGTACGGGTGAATCTATATGATCTTCAATTTAAGCCGACGGCAAGGAAGAAGAAAACAAAAATTGCAAAAAAGGAAGAGTTTTTGGGATGAATCCTATAATAGAGGAGAAAGTAAGTACCTTGCATTCGTTAAGGTTGACTTCGTTTCCACCAGCCATAGTCACAAAAACGAGTCCCAGCAAATATTTGTAATCTTGTTGTAGTTGTGTATAATTTCAATGAAACGAAGAAGTCATACCAGTAATTGACTCTCTCCCTCACTCTATGCAGCTGATGATTATCCGGGGAGATAATTAAGCAGTGGAGATGGAAGAAGAAGAAGAAGAAGATTTAAAGGAGCTTTAAAAACAAACCCAGAAAAGAAAAAAAGGAGATTTAAAAGAGAGCTGGAGAAAAGAAGATAGCAAGTCAAGTACAGAGAAACGAGAGAGAGAGAGAGTCAAAGGTGAGAGATGAACAAGGAAGGCCAATCGGACGGTGGTGACCAATGGACCCTCCCTTTTTTACTGTTTCCATCTCTGGGTCCCACCCTTCTACTAATCCACTTTTTTTTTCTTTTTTTTTTAAAATAAATTTTGTCGACGGACGACCATAAGGTAAAATTGATTTTAGTCGGCACATTAAAAAAAAAACATTTATAAATAATAGTCGAATAAATAAATATTAGTATTAATATCAATATGAAAATAGGTGTTAAAAAAAAAAGGAGACCGCCACGGCGTCATGTGAAGAGAGAGAGAAGGGATTGCAATTGGCTAATGGGCACGCCAGTCCTGACACGCTCCCTCCTCTCTCATTAGTGCTCCTTTTGACCACCTCCCCCGCCCTTTTTTTTATTACGGATTTTCTTTTTTTATTTTTTCACGTTAATTATACGTTGGCACCCAAAATATTATGTGGCTATGTGGTTTTTTTATACAATTTTGTCATTTTGTGACATTGCACTTAATGCCCAATTATTTATTTTCTTGCATTTTCTTTAGTTTTGTTGTCTACGAGAGTGTATATATATATTCTTCCTATTACATTCCACTATTTCTTTCTATTTTACTAGCATTTTGTGATATTTTCTTTTCAATGCTACTCTTCATAATTTTATAGTGTTTCATTTGTCAATTGGTTCCATGTGATATGAAACGAATTTTAAGCACGTATTCAAAGAAAAGAATAAAAGTTGATCAAAAAGATCATTCATCATCTAATGATATATAATACAAAAAAAGGGTTATGGTTAGGCCAGCTTTAAACTATTTAAAAAGATAAAGAGAAAATTTATAACATAAAGTTTTGGATCTTGTTTTTCTTTTTTATAATTTGATGGCTGTGACTTATGATGGCTGAAAGACAGAGAGAACTTATTTTGGTTTTTGTTTTATTATATAAATGTGAATGCAAATTGTAAAATAAATAGATTAGAGAATTAATTTAATTTAAAGGAAGGAAGGAAGGTGACAAACCAAAAAAAAAAGGCTATCCAGCGTGCGACCAACGCCATGGCATGTGGCGACAAAAGGGTTGTGTTGTTTTCTTTTGGTTAATTAAAACATATGTGATATCCCGAAACTACCCTCGTCCTCTATCCAAAATTTACGAGTAATTGCCACTACTGGCTAAACGTGTTCTATTTTGGGTGGATGACATCATGCCTTCTGTCAGGGACCCTCTCTTTCAACCTTGGATTTTCACTTCTCTTTAGTTTTTTTTTTTCTTTTGTGCGTTTTATTTCTTTTCTAAATATTAATAATAATACAATTATAGGTTTTTTCAAAAGTGAAAAGAAGAAACCTCAATATATCGTTGAACGTACGACTTTACTTATATCATATGTCGCTCTATTTTTAATACGTTAATTCGAAATATGTGTGTGTATATAATTAATTTTAGCTATTTTGTACTTCTTAGGTTTGATCGTTTTCTGTCATTTACTCATTTTTCAACTGCTTTTTTACGATTCTATTAAATCAGTTGTATATGTTTGATGTTTGCATACATCCATTTGCAATGTGTACATGTTTTATTTGACTTGTCATTTTAAATCCTCTTATTGGGAGAAAATATCGCTTGCAAAATATATAAATCGGCCGCTCCAATTCAAATCCTTTGACTTGTTTAAAAAAAAAAAAACTCAATACGGGCCCATTAGGTGGAATGTGGGAATGGGCTTTTAGATTTTGTCGTGGTGTGACAAAAAGCGCGTGGCCATCACACGCCAGTAACTCTCTGTCAAAAGGACAAAACCTTCTGTCTCTACCCAAAGGTTCACTTTTCTCTCTTCCTTATCTCTGTAGCATAGTAAATTACCCTTGTTTAAACTGGGGATTCAATGCATTTGGACATAAAACCGCAATATAGAACAAATTAAACAACTACGTCTGAATTAAATTAATCGGAGTTATGATTATTCAACAGAAGGTTCGACGAAAGTTTTGCGGGTGTTAGAATCCAAACAATTAATCAACAAGTAAATTAAAAAAAATCAAGGTTAGTTAAAACGTTAGGGAACTGAGGAACAGGTCCTACTTTGGTGGCTGCGCTGCGAAACCAAAAAATAAAAAATATAACGACGTTAATTTACAAGATAGGTCCTATAATGTTGCTTTTTTGTCTATCTCTCGGATTTGACAAATCAGAACCATGAATCTCTCGATGATGGGACCAAAACAGTAGATCTCAGCCGTTGTTGTGTCCCGATTCAACTTTTTTTTCTTACAGTCTTCGAATTTTTACAACTACATACAAATATTAGGAGGTAATTGGACAAAAAGACTTTAAAGCTATAGTATCGTGTTTGAGCATTTGGTGCTTCGCATGTAATACCTAAAATGTATACTGAAATAATTCTTAAACCGTTTATCTCTAACAAAAACCAAAGACATATAACGAAATGTATTTGTCGTAATGTGAATGAAAGTATGCTTAGACCATCTCCAATGTATTTCTCTATTTTTAGCTCTATCTCTATAATAGAGGTAAGTTTTCTCTATTTTTACTCCAATGTGTTCCTCTATTTTTTCCTCTAAAAAGTTTAACTCTATATATAGAGGAAAAAATAGAGATTCTCTATTCTCACCTCTATATATAGAGAAAAAAAATAGAGATCTCTATTTTAGAGGTGAGAATAGAGGTGGATTGGAGTAGATTTACCTCTAAAATAGAGTTAAACTTTTTAGAGGAAAAAATAGAGGAACACATTGGAGTAAAAATAGAGAAAACTTACCTCTATTATAGAGATAGAGATAAAAATAGGGAAATACATTGGAGATGGTCTAAATAGAGTTAAATTTTTTAGAGGGAAAAAATAGAGGAACACATTGAAGTAAAAATAGAGAAAACTTACCTCTATTATAGAGATAGAGCTAAAAATAGGGAAATACATTGGAGATGGTCTTAGGATAAAATAATCTCCTCTATAGACCGAGAAATTGATAAATATGAAACGGGTACTTGTTTTTTATTTTCACACGTCTCTTGTTTTGCAATTTGTCTCACAATATATTGTAAAAGGCCTACCCATTTCTTATTTAATTTGCTTATGGTCTATAAATTGTATCCAGTGTTTACTTTATAATTTTCATCCATGATACTCTTTTTGGCGCTAGTTAACTTCACGTTTATAACTTCATAAGAATATTGTAGAGCTAGTTATCTTATATTATTGTTGTTTATGCATAATTTCGATACATCATTAATCAACAAAATCACAAGAATACATTTCAATATAATTTTTGATTTCTGCTATATATATATATATATATACATCACCACTCACCAGTACAAAATGTTCTAATTATTTTAAGTAACAAACAACATTTCCTTTTCACAATTAGTCTAAAATTACATGATGACAAGATATTGTTATGGTAAACCTTCTAATTTAAAAAAGATAATTTGTTATGGTAACGTGGTGATGTTGATTAATTTTTTGAATTAAAATTCCATTTCTTGTTTTAACTAAAGCAAGCAACCAAAAAAAAAAAAATAGAGGATCAAAAGGAGAACACGCTAAGGTATATGATTCGCGTGTCTATATGAGGCTTTCTTAATTTTGTCGTCATCTATTTTGTCTTTTTTGGTGCGTGTGCTCACATTTTCCACTCCTTACCTTTCCAAAATTAATAAAAGTTTCGCTCATTAATTACTATTTTCTTCCACTATCGTTTGGGAAGGGAAATAATATGGAACTCAATTAATCAGGCTTTGGAAGAAACACTAATATTCGAAACTTGAATGTTTGTCTACGTATTTATTCAGAGATTTTCATCAACCAACAATTAATAGTTCAAATAAATTAGGGTTTCTTCCCAGATTCGTAGAGATTTGGTCGAGTATGTCCAATAATTCATTTCCCTCATAGAGATTCTAGTTACACTTTTGAAATTTCGTCATATAATATAGGTTTTGATTCTGAAAATAAAGAAATAAATGGATTATGGTATATAACAAAGTATATCAAAGATATCAAAGACCAAGAAAATGTACATTTAAATAAAATATCTCAATACTATCATCAGTTTTGTAAGCATGATAATTCAATGAAGATATGCTTATCTCGAGCTCCCTTAAAAAATAATAATTAAAAAAATGAAATGGACAGACTAATTGTGTGTTGAACGAGCTTTTTAACCCAAGTCTTCCCCACTATCAGACTTTTGATTTTTGGGATAAATTTTCAAAAGTGAAAGAAGACGACAAAAAGTATTTTGTTTGCTGTCCGCTCTTAATTTGTCGTTTTTTGTCATGAAAAGCAACCGTCCAACATCGAAAGTTTGGGCTTTAAGACAGATTGACAGAAGCTGGACTGGAACAATCCAATTTTTAATATTACGTTTGCTTTTATATAGTTATACTCGACGATATAAAATCAAATGGGGATGTAGCTCAAATGGTAGAGCGCTCGCTTTGCATGCGAGAGGCACGGGGTTCGATCCCCCGCATCTCCAACACATCGTTTTTAATACAACAACTTAACTGCGAAATGTAACTAGTACGTGTTTCATGGAACTTTGAACAAGATAAATCCAATAAAAAGTACCATTTAAGAACTTAACTTTTCTAAATCTTTCTCCTTTAGTTTTTTTTTTAACTCTTCCAAATGGAAAGATAATTTAAGGGAAGAAGTAAAAGTTGTACACAAATCTGAAGGAGAGAATATGAACACACAGACTTGTAAAATTTAAGAAGTATTGGCCATGGAGTCGATGAGCAACTCATAACCCTCAGGGACATGAGACTGAAGACGGACGCACTCAGCCAACGCAGGGACGTCGGATGATACGTCTAGAAACTGAGCCACAAAGAGAAGCAGATGAAAATCAGAGATCCTCTTCACAAATGGGAGGCTCCTTGCTCGCTCCATATGCGTTTTCAAGGCCCGCATTGTTGTTTGAATGCTCCGGTTCTCTATCGGGAAGGTACACGCCAGCGATCCCTGCGTAACCAAATACACAATTATACATAACCATAAACAAAACAATCATGATACTTGTGAATTCATAACAGTCAAATGTTCTTCCTAGCAAAGGCTATCAAGCTCTTCATTCATACCAGAAAATCGCAGAAATTAAAAAATTCACAACTTATCTATCATCCGTTGATTCCTATCACCAATCAATTACCAAGTTCTGATCCTAATCATTTAAACGATTCCCACCTAAACTGTGATTCCATATGCTATAAAAAGGTAGAAAAACGAACCTGATGATCCAAGATCTTGACGAGAACAAGGAAGAAATCATTATCGACTTCTTTAACGTCCTTGACTCCAACAACAACCTCTTTCTTCAACTTGGAGAGCTTGGGATCATCCTCGGATCCAATCTCAGTCTCGAACCATCCTTCCTTAAACAACCTAACGCACATATCACTCATCTGAAACGCCTCAAAGTGAACATCAGCAGCACCATCCTCATTGATCTCAAGCTTCACAACCACAGTGACCCACTCCTTCAATTCGCTCTCAGCGTGAAGCTGCGCCGCAAGCAACACCTCAACGTTAGACAAAGTGTACTCCTTCTTGTCCTGAGTCACAGTCTGGTTGAATATAAACCCAACTTTCCTCATCCCTAACCCTAAAGCAATAGCATCAACACGTTTCTCTTCCTCAGTGTCTCTCATGAGAATCAGATTATCCTCCATCCCTTGCTGCGGTGGCTCGTAGATGAAATTCACCTCAACCTGACCTTCCTCAGAGACGTTACCGTACATGAATCCACCGCGTTTGACAGCAAACGCAAGCGACTCGTTGACGTAATGCTGAAACGCATTGGCGCAATCGCGATCGAACGAGACGGAATCGCAGTGAGACTTCTCCTGGCGACCGACGCGCATCTGTCGTGCGATTAGATCTTCAACGGTCATCTTCCTCCCGAAGGAACCAGCAGGTGTAACGGCAGGACCACCACGAATCGTACGCTCACCTTCGTAAGCAAGGTAGAGCATAGAGCCGTGGGCGAGATTGAGAGACGAGATTCGGAGGTTAGGATCGGCCATGTCGGTGAACCCGAGGAAATCAGCAGGGGTTTTGGCGAGGAGAAGGTTTCGATTGGTGGATAAGGTTTGGTTATGGATAGGGATCTGAAGCTGATCTTGGATTAGGGTTTTGAGTTGGGAGACTGTAATATGAGGTCCATCTACACTCACTCTCTCCAATCCATCTCTGCTTCGGATTCTGAGCATCGTCATCTTCTTCGTTCAAAACCCAGAAATTTTTAGGAAAAAAAAAACAAACAGATTCGAGAAAATCTCGAAAACCTGCTTAGAATTTATAAGAAACCAAAGAGAGGAAAGAACAAATACTTGAAGTGAGGATTTTCGGAAGGTATATAGGAGTTTCTTCTACCGATTAGAGAAAAAAAGCTTTGAGATTCGAAGAAGATGTAGTTTCCCAGTTAAAAGGAAGAATCGAAAAGTTCCAGAAGACCAAAAAAACTAAGGGACGATGATTGCCTAAACGGTGACGTTTAGTGAAGCGAGAGTTATCCTTTTACACACACTTAGCTTTAATGGGCTTTTACTAGTAAGCCCAATAGGGTCGACAGCTTTCTTCTTCTCTCGATTGCTTTTCTTGTCTTTCAAATTTTAACCGGAAACTAGTACTACCGGACCATTACAGTAAACGATGGCCCGTATCAACGTTTGAAATTTGTTGACGACAAACTAAAACAAATATCATATGTTTTTGTTTTTTTTTTTTTTTTTTGTAAAAATGATTGCTAATTATTACTACGTACATGATATGCGACATTAGATAAACGGGACAAAAGGGAAAAAGAAAAACATCAATATGCTATAAGTCGGGAATTCACATGTATAATACTACTACAAATTAACAACAGATGTATTTCATCAATACATTCAAACACGTAACCGATCATAAGTTTATAACTTAATGTAGAATAATACAGAAAATATCATTTTTGTTCCCAACATATATACTGTATTAAGAAGCCAAACAAGCTTCCCAAAACATTCGATTTTTTTCAATCTCACTCATCAACCTCGAAGATGAATCAACTGTCAGCTTTTCGCCGTCTCTCCGATAACTATTCACCTCTCCGTCTTCGTCATGGTCATCTTCATTTTCTCCGGCGACGTCAGCTTCTTCTTCAACCGGGTCAAAATCCGTTGACCTACTCGTCCTTTGACTCGTTGACGTCTCGCACCTGCATGACTCAGCATCTTCACCATATTCTTCACGACCTTTCACATCATCTCCATCGTGTCCACGTTCCTGATGGGTCGTCTCGGAATCTGCAGATGCTTCCATGAACAAAAATGGTGACACTTCGACGACGTTGTACTTTGTCATGTTCATTATTTGATTCTTTTTTTCTTTCCTGGAATATTACAAAAACACAAGCACAACACACAAATGAATCTCTCATTACATGTATATATATATATATATATATATATATATATATATATATATATATATATGAGAAGAGATAACGTTGCTAAATCAGATTTCTTGGCCGCTTTAATAAAGAGATTTTTTAATTATAATATAAACTAGACAAAGAGATTGTATGCAACTTATGTGGGATTCGGCTTCTAGAAGGTGTGACTTTTTATATAAATAGTAATCTTTTATGAGTGATATAGTAAATCATATATAATAATGGAAAATGATAACAATAAAATAAAGATAGTAATGTTCAATTCTTTTTTTTTGGTGTAAATGTTATAGTAATGTTCAATTCTGATAAACAAATTAATCTAATTCATACTCCCTCCGTTTTCGAATAGTTGTCGTTTTAGAGCTTCTTTTTTGTTTTAAATTAGTTGTCGTTTTAAGGTAATAATGTAATTTATGCCAATAACTACCCAAATTACCCTCATTTTATTGAACACAAATTATTTGTAAATAATTACTTGTCATTTTTATGAGGTTAATATAGTCATTGTATACATTTTCTTAATTTGTCCAAATACAGTTAAAACGACAACTTTTAAAAAACAGAGGGAGTATGAAATAAGAAAATGATCGATATATACTTGAACAGTTATCTTAGCAATTTGAATAGTATTTTCAGTTCTTATTAACTAGTATTCCTAACAAAACAATGATCCAACAATCTTCCTAAAATTGGGTTTGGTGTTATTATCTCTTTGATTGCATAATGAATGAAAGACCAAACATCATTTAGGTACGTCCAAGTGTCGAAGATGTGAGGGTTAGCTTGTCTTATGCTATAATAATGTAGCACCACTCATCTGGTTATCAGAAATCACATATATAATCCAATCCATTCATTATTTAATAATACAAACATACTTTACGTGCATGCATAAATTACAAGCGTTACATTGTGAGCCTATACACGAACCCGACAATTGTGATTTGGTAGTTAACGGCTATACGCAGAAAGTTGGAGAAGCTACCAATTTTGAAAAAATCCTCCAATCTTTTCTAAAATTCCAATTTTGCTCGCAGTTTTTTTTGGTGTTTTAAAGAATTATTTAATTTACTGGGCTGATGCCTGTTACACGCATATCCTAATGGGCTTTCATAAGGCCCGTGTTATAATACATAGGAAACTATCATTGTATTAATAGACAGATGACACAAATCGTTGAGAGCTAATTAGGTAATACGTGAAGTGATCTGATACTAGAATAGATGGGGATAATACGAGATAAGTGGTCCAATTTACATGAAAATTAAATGGTCCAAAAAGGAAAGGCTGAGAAAATTATATAGTGTGTGTCTCTTGGAGGACCACATTCCTCGATCACGCCATTTATTGAATCAAATCTATATAATTATTCAGACAAATATATTTCAAAATTAAATGCTTAAAGCTACTATAATATTTTCCAAACGAAATTGATAGTTCAGTAGCAGCAAAAGTATTAATAAAAAAGACATAAATAAAACTGGTCCCATAAAACTTTACAATAATGGCAAATGCTGTTGCTCTCTTTGCTCCGCGTTAATCTATGCAATCAAATTATGTATCAATATGATCAGTGATCCAGATTTTGTTTTCCCTTCATGTAGGCTGTAGCAAACGTGGTAAATGCTTTCGTGTAACTTCAATTTTAATGTTATGCTGTGTTTATTTTCATATATACTCGGCTTCCTTATCTGTTTTCACCACCGTACCCTACACTCTCTCTTTGGATCTTTTTAAAGCTGCTGTATTTCAAGTGTTCTCCAGTTAAATAGTCGACTTCCATATATATGCATGTACGTATGTACTAAAATCTTACTGCAATGGATTCAACAAGTATTTTGAATGATATTATAATATATATATATGGTCCCTATGTATTAATACAATAGATTTCAATGTTTTCTAAATCTAATACGATATTAAATATATGGTTTTTTTAAGTATAGTAAGAAAAGAATATGTATTTTCTTTTGTGATAGGATTCATAATAAAGTTTTTAAAGGAGATTGTGACCATGTAGCCCATCAACATTTATAGTAGATCACGATCAATAACGAATCAATTATTTTGCGTGTGTGTGTATGCGTGTATTTTAAGTTATTTTCGTTATTCAAATGAATTTTAACAAGATGCTCGAATGAGAAAAATACCTAATTTATATGATATGAAATATGAATTATCATAATGATATGCGGGATTCATATCAAATTTACATTTTTCATGATGTATATATAAATTATAAGTTTTAATATGATACATATTGTGGCAGATTAGAACGTTACAATTTTGAGATGGCCACGTCCACAAAACGCAAGTTGTTCATTGTAAACGTTTTGCGTGTATGAAGCTAGACTTGTAATTCTAGTTTATTTTATAAAACAGGTTGATCTCCTTCAACAAAAAAAATTATACAAATTTTCCACGAGTCTAGAATTTTGGAATTTAAATATATTGTTTCTTTGTATAATTTGGATTTACATATGTGTTGCTGATTGTTCTTCTTTATAGCCCGTACAATTACAGCTCTAATCACTTCTGATCTTTCTAGATAGAAAGAAAAAACAAAGTTAAAATGCTTCATATTAAGTACAAGATTTAATTGAACATGAATCAAAACCTAATACATTTGTCATTTAGTGGAACCACCAAACATCTTCATGGAACTTACACTTCCACCAAACCAATACTCTTTCAAAATATATTCATATTGGACTAACTTAATATTACTTTACTAACATATTTAATAAACCATAGAGTAATAAAATTATGTCTGGTTTGTTGAATCATATAAAACATGTTTATCTCATGGCCTGTTTTCACAATATATTAATTTTAGATTATGAGACAACGGCTATATACAAATTTAAAATGGCGAATTTTTTCCTTTCTTTAAAGTCACAACCTGTTTATTAATATCAAATTTTCTAAAGACAATACTCTAAAAATCAGCTTTAAAATTTCGAAAAAGTATATGAAATGTGAATTGGATCGCAAATTAACAAATACTATACTAATACTTACGTGAAATATAGAAGAACACTGTAGATACTGATATAGCCGGTGTGAATTGTGATGATAATTAAGAGATTGTGCACTTTGAAGAGACACGTGTAATGTAAATGATTAGACATGCTTATTTAGTTTTTGTTTAAAGGAGTTATGATTGCGAAAAGTTTCCGTCAACGTTAAAGAACCGACCAATGAGTTTCTAACACGCACGTTAGTTTTACTCCATTGGATAAAAAAGAGAGACTGAACATTGGACCAACTAAAAAAAAGAAAAAAGAAAAATGATAATAATAAGATTTGTATAACTTTTGGAAATTTTAAATTCCCTTTTTATTTTTTAACTTCAGTTTCATTCAATGACTCTCTCGTTCAATAATTCTAGTTGACTACTCTTATTATCGTCCAATGGCAAATTACAAAAAAAAAAAAAAAGATGTAATCGATGATATATAAAGGGTTGGCTAATTCCAATGGCAAATTTGTTCTATTTGATCATTTCGTTCTATATTGCAAAGAACGTTCACACACTATTAGACCATCCGCAGTGGTGTAAGATTTTTTTTATTATTATAATTTAAAGTGAGAGAGAAAAGAGAGAGAAAGAAAGAGAGAGACAGAGAGAGAGTCTCTTACACCCGAGTGTAAACTTACACCCGAGTGTGAAGAGAGAGACAATTTTTTTCTTTTTTTAATACCTACACCCGACGACTAAGACCCGAACGCTTGCCCCACTGCGGATGGCCTTAGAGTTAGACCATAGAATAATTTTATTTGATAAAGCAGAAAAAAATGTGATTGGACAAAACATGAACGGCAAGAGAAGACTCGACGTCCACCCCACCTACTCACCCCCACCCTACTTTGTGGCCCCACTAGCTCGGCCCATTGGGCCTTTCTAACTAATGAGAACATAATTACCGTACATTTTCTTTTTATCAGTTTGTCGATTTTTTTTTTGGCATCCATTTATCATTACTTTCTTAATATTTTTGGTCAAAGCTTTTCCAATTATCGCTCCTTCATATTTTTTGCTAATCCATTTATCATTCTAACTTAAAATGATATGTATCGAAACGTCGGAAGTATACAGTAACCAGAGTGCGTTGACTAAAGTTATTACCTACTGTCTTCTTCCTTAGAATGATGTGGTTTTCATGCGTAACCATGAACCATCCAATATCAATTTACAAAAGCTAATAATGAAAAAAGTTTAGTTGCGTGACGTATTTTTGCAATATGGAGAATAAAATAACATAGAAAAGGCTAGAAATTAAATGCGGAAAAAGTTACTAGTAAAATCGTGATTCGGAGGGACATGAAATAAGAAAGCGAAGATATCAGAATTACAATTGGTCAGAATTTGACAAATCATAAAACGATATAGAGAAGAGAACAATATTAATAAAAATGGAAAAAGAGGATGGCTTCCACTAATGGGGAGGTCATTATAATCAAGACATAATCCAATTTAGCTTTTTAAATCACGTGCCACTTTACTTGTACACCACCTCTTCATTAATCGCATTATCACTCATCATATATCTATCTTACATTAAACAGTAGTATTATGTAATAGTACTATAGTATGTTATTCTTTTATATGTCCGTCCACACATGCGTACACATATTTCTATCTTACATAAACAGTAGTATAATGCAGTATGTTATATTCTCTCTTTAGGTACACAATTTATATTTCATTCAGAGTTGGATCTAAAAATAATTAGGGAGATAATTAAGGGATAATAAACAGCAAAGAGCAAGCTAGTTTGAGTACGAAACCCGAGAGGAGAAATAAGAGAGATTCGCGGGGGAGCCATGCGTGGGATTATTATTCTAATCATATCCTTAAAATTAATAATCAATTAATCAATGACCTCTTATATCAAAGTTAATTAAACTAGTTTCTCTTTTTCTGACGACATTAAAACTTATAATTAAAAATCTGAGCGTATTACGTGCAAGACAACTCAGCTCCCCACTTCTCCCATCTGACCTATCCTCAGCCCTCTTTGTTTTTTCCTAATTACATCTCTTTCTTCGTTACTACCTAAATTTCTGAGCACTTATTTATAGTATATCAATTCTAAACACAAGTTCCGCCAGAAAATAATCAGAAACTAAATTTTCATGATAAATTTTAGATTTTTTGTTTGTTTGGTACAAAAACTAATCAACAGTTCATTCAAAAAGAAACTAGTAAAAAAAATTAAATAGTAGGTTAAGTGGATAAACGGTGAGGATGTTACGTAAGATGAGATAGATAGAACAGTTTGATAATGTGACAAGTTTTTTAGTTAGGAGAGGACAGACCTATCAACTCCATGCTCAGACACTGCAAAGCCCATCATTCACTGTTTCTCTCTTCTTTTTTTTCTTTATAATACCCTTCCTTCATATAACTCTCTACATAATAGTAATACGCTTCATGAGAATTAGGGTATTGTCGTCAATTCATTAACCCATTTCTTTTCCTTTTTTAGCGATTAACCCGTTGTACTTGCGACAGAACCCGAAATAATTTAGTTTTATACGTTTATTACACTCAGACGAGGTAAATTAATTAATAACTAATTATTAGTAGTATTATTTTAAGTCACGATTGTGTATATATACGTCCGTACACTGTTAAAAAGGGGTCCCAGATCTGACGGTCGTGATTAAAATGCGACGCTGCACTTTCTTTCTTTCTTCTGTACTTTATTCAAAATTTTCAGTATCCATTCTCTCTTTCTTTTTTGCTTTTATTTTCTCTACTCATAAAAAGTTGTTCACTTTAAATTATTGGATACTTCCCTCACATGTACTCTTTGCACAATACTTTCTATTTTAATTAAACATTATTCAGCCCAAAACCATACAAATAATGTTTTATCCAATCCCACAGATTATACTCAAAAACTCTGATTCATTTTATTAACACTTTAATGCTATGAGAAAGGATACAATTTAGTCAAATTAGTTACTAGATTTTACCAGAAAATAGAAAGTGTGATTAATTAGTCTTGATGGTTTATTTATCCAAGTGGTGGGTAAATAAATAAACATGAACCAATTAATAATAGGAGGAGATAGATGCTCTCAGATTCCACATCAAAACACATGATTGGACGGTTGTGATGTCATCATAAATAACAGTAATAGCTTTGGTTACCGTCAGATCATTTTATTATTTTTTAACATTCTGTTGTGGTCCCAGCAATTTACGGGGCTTCCCCTCATATCCAGCCGTGCATCGCGTATCATTAGATTCCCTCTTCCCCTACACCTTACCACACCCTATCATTTCACCTCCTTCTCGCGATAAGCCGACCCCCTCTCCAATATCTCGTCCCGTTTTCTGCGGCTGCACAGTCGATAAGATAATCTCCCGCTTTCATTCAATCGGACGGCTGGTATTTGAAGTTAATAAGACACGTGTCATCATCAGAATCGACAATCACAATCACCGAAAAGGCTCACATGGATATGTTTGACCATGGTTAACATTAAACCCAACCATAGTTGGCTTTTTTAACTTGACCTCCTTCTCCTTCCCCTATCCTTCTCTTCTCTCCCCCACTCTCTCTCTCTCTCTATCTATCTTCTTCATCTTCTTCTTCTTCTTCGAAGCTAGATTATCTCCGTTAATGGCGCCTCAGATCTAAACCTCGGATATATATACTTGTTCAACTCTTCCTCGAACTGTTATCTGTGGTTGGATCATCGAGATCTCGAGGTTATTTGGTCGCAATGCAGAAGCGAATAGCCTTGTCGTTCCCAGAAGAGGTACTAGAGCATGTATTCTCGTTTATTCAGCTGGATAAGGATAGGAACTCAGTCTCTCTGGTGTGCAAGTCATGGTACGAGATCGAGCGGTGGTGCAGGAGGAAAGTCTTCATCGGGAACTGTTACGCCGTGAGTCCAGCCACGGTGATTAGGAGGTTCCCGAAAGTGAGATCCGTGGAGCTTAAGGGGAAACCTCACTTTGCTGACTTTAATTTGGTACCTGACGGATGGGGAGGTTACGTGTATCCATGGATTGAGGCCATGTCTTCGTCTTACACGTGGCTTGAAGAGATAAGGCTGAAGAGGATGGTGGTGACCGACGATTGCTTGGAGCTCATAGCCAAGTCCTTTAAGAATTTCAAGGTTCTTGTGCTTTCTTCCTGCGAAGGCTTCTCCACCGATGGTCTCGCTGCTATCGCTGCCACTTGCAGGTATTGTTTCCCTTTTGTGTTACCTCTTGCTTTAGGAAGAATCATTTGTTTGAATTAATAAACTGTTTGATATGTGATTTGTAAATTGATTCTACTACTTGAGTAATTTGATCTGAGCATAGATGTTTTGCTGCGTTGTTCCTGCTGATGTTACTCTGTTCTTTGTTGTTTTTTTCTTGGGTCAAGATTTTGCGTATCTAAAAGATTGATGTTTGTGAAGATTCTTATTATAGCCACTCTTTTATCTCTTATTTCACGGTGGTATATATCTATTTATTCCTGGATTATTCGCTCTCAGTGAATCTCCTGAGGTGGGAAATCTAGTCAATTTGGCTTTGTGTGTGTTCCCTTTTCTTTTACTTTTTCTTTTGTGGTTTCTTTTTTTACCTTGTTGGGAAACTTTGATCTCTTTCCGGATTCCCCTTCTTTAGCTCTGTTTTAGCTTCTCTCACAATGCTTCCATGTGAAATTTTAGTAATTGGTTAAATTTTTCTATGCTTATATAGTTTCCCAAAGTGATCTATCTACATTATTGTATCAAATACAACTTTGAAGAAATTAACTACAATTATGCACATGATTTTACTTATTTATTAGGTCCCTTTTGTAGCAATGTTTATGTACTGCAAGTTGTATAACGTGGGTCACTCGATGCTAATTATGTGATTCTTATGCAGGAATCTGAAAGAGCTTGATTTACGAGAGAGTGAAGTTGACGATGTTAGTGGCCATTGGCTTAGCCATTTCCCAGATACTTACACATCTTTGGTATCACTCAATATCTCTTGCTTAGCGTCTGAGGTCAGTTTCTCTGCTCTGGAAAGGCTGGTGACTAGGTGTCCCAATCTCAAGTCTCTCAAGCTTAACCGTGCTGTTCCTCTTGAAAAATTGGCTACTTTACTTCAAAGAGCTCCTCAGTTGGAGGAATTGGGCACTGGTGGGTACACTGCAGAAGTGCGACCAGATGTTTACTCTGGTTTATCTGTAGCGCTCTCTGGATGCAAGGATTTGAAGTGCTTATCTGGATTTTGGGATGCTGTTCCTGCCTATCTTCCAGCAGTTTATTCAGTTTGCAGTCGGCTTACAACTTTGAATCTGAGTTATGCAACAGTCCAGAGCTATGATCTTGTCAAGCTACTTAGTCAATGCCCAAAACTGCAGCGCCTCTGGGTGAGTCCATTCTAACATACAATTTAACGCATGAGTTTGGAAATTTTAGGTCATTTTACCGTATGGTGTAGTTTTCTTATTGTAACTGTGATCTGACTTATTATTGACTACAGGTGCTTGACTACATTGAGGATGCTGGTCTTGAGGTGCTTGCTTCAACCTGCAAGGACCTACGCGAGCTGAGGGTGTTTCCGTCTGAGCCTTTTGTCATGGAACCAAATGTGGCATTGACGGAACAGGGGCTTGTCTCCGTCTCCATGGGCTGTCCAAAACTCGAGTCGGTTCTCTACTTCTGCCGTCAAATGACCAATGCTGCATTGATAACCATTGCTAGGAACCGTCCCAACATGACTCGCTTCCGTTTGTGCATCATTGAGCCAAAAGCTCCAGACTATCTGACTCTAGAGCCACTGGATGTTGGATTTGGAGCCATAGTAGAGCACTGCAAAGATCTCCGTCGCCTCTCTCTATCTGGCCTCTTGACCGACAAGGTTTTTGAATACATTGGGACATATGCCAAGAAGATGGAAATGCTCTCAGTGGCATTTGCAGGAGACAGTGACTTAGGCATGCATCATGTTTTGTCGGGGTGCGATAGCCTGAGGAAACTAGAGATAAGGGACTGCCCGTTTGGAGACAAGGCGCTTTTGGCCAATGCTTCAAAGCTGGAGACAATGCGATCCCTTTGGATGTCTTCTTGTTCCGTGAGTTTTGGAGCCTGCAAGTTATTAGGACAGAAGATGCCAAAGCTGAATGTGGAAGTCATCGATGAACGGGGTCCTCCGGACTCGAGACCAGAGAGCTGCCCTGTGGAGAGAGTGTTCATATACCGAACAGTGGCTGGTCCTCGGTTTGACATGCCTGGCTTCGTCTGGAACATGGACCAAGACTCAACAATGAGGTTTTCCAGGAAAATCATCTCTACTAACGGATTATAAGACAAATAAACGAGGTACATTTTTCATTAATCCTTGTTCATCATCCCATATAATCGTGTTCCGGTTTAGGAACATGAGAGAGCTCTCGGTCGCCAATAATTTGATTCTCGGCTGCTTCATATAACCATCAAGCTCATGAGCAATGAATAAGTGGAGAGAGAGAGATCTAAGAGAGCTTTGTTCTATTTATGTAAGAATTTTTTTATTGTTGTATGTTTGTTTACACTGAGAGATCCTGGTGGGGTATTTTTCTTAAGAGGATAAGAGATTTTTTAAAAGACAATGTCAAAAATGTAACTGTTCTCTTGTTTGGACTCTTTTATCCTTTTAATTGTTTTGTATCTCTCTCTTTGTTGTCTTTGCCATTTCCTTTGTCCGCTTAATGAACTGTTTGCAGCCTTTTCGGTTTTGGAACAGCACCCACTTCTTTCTTTTCTCAGGTCCCTACACTCTCTTTATCACCATAATTAGAAACAAGAGAATCTTGCTCTGTTTTTAGGTCTTGTGTTGATACTTGGAATAGCATCATCGGTCAAACCAGAGTGATAGGATACAATATAATGGAACTTTTGTTTTTTATATGAACAATATGAAATGGGCTTTTTCAAATTTTCAGTTTCCATGATGCCCAACACGGTAATACCATTTATATCGGTAATATTTTCAGTTTCAAATGTTTAGGGCAAGAACAAGAACTCTGGTTTTAGCTTTAAGGGGAAAAAGGGTAAGAAAGAGAGAGTATTGTTAGCGCGATTCCTTCTTTAGCTTTTGTTTCATATTTGTCTTTATCGTTTAAAGTTTAAACCATTACTTGGTGGCCTTTCCGTTATAAAACTAGGCACGTTAATATTCTATACGGCCCATTAGTATGGAAATTTTCTTTCTCACAAATTGTTAATGTCTCGAGAAACAGAGCTCATCCGAATCTTTTATATATGCTTTATGAAAGGAAGATTATAAAGTTATGTTAAAAATGTGTTTTGTTCTTATGTTTGAGGTCATTTGGTCTTGTTTGTATAAATACCGTATTCAATTTCTTTTCACACTTTTAAAGTTTTTATTAAATACGAACCGACCAAACCCAATGGTTTGGCCGGATCACTTTATGCAACAAGCAGAACACAGAGCCCTATCGCTCTATGTTTGGACCAATGACGGGCAAATCCAATCAAGAAGAGTTCGCTTCAGAAAATGATCACTCTGTTTCACTCACTGGATCTTGTGGCGTTGAGATTCTTCGAGTGTTGTATGAACCACAATCACTGCACTTGTGTCCCAAAATGTGGAACATAGCTTTACTCCCCTTGTTGCAGTCATTGCAGAGAATTGAAACCTGCAGAAAGTTTCTTGGCGGATGTAAAACCATGAACACAAGGAAAACAAACCAAGAGGTGACACAACGTTGGATTTATAGACATTACCTCAAAGTTATACTCAACCGGCATCTCTGTTGCGCTTATCTGTAAAAAGAACGTTGGTTGGTCTTTACTTCATTCAAATACAACAAATCCAAAATTTGATTATTACCTCAAGATCTAATAATTGCCACGTATGAGACATATCCAACATTGACTTGGAACAAATGGGGCATCGGTACCTGAGAGAGAGAACATTGGTAATTATAAGAAATCCAAATTTGATATTGTGAGGAACGAATTAGATTGATGGAGAATTTACTGGTTTTCATTGATCATTTGTTTGAAGCAATCAAAATGCATAGTATGACCACATTTCATCACATGTGCGGCTTTTACCGAATCAAATAGATACTGCAAGGTTGATCCAAAAAACAAAATGATCTTTTGAATCTAATCAGTAATCACTAACAATATGGAACAAGAGACAAACCAAAATTGATTCCATTCAAACAAACCTCATAACAAACAGGACAAGAATTTTTTGTGGAGTTCTCAATGCACGAGTGTTTATCGCGCAAGCCCATTGCATAGCAAGCTCCTGCAATATTTACAAGGGAGTTTCGTAACAACATATGAGATAACCAAAACTATTGTATAATAACTATCCACACAAGATTCTATAGTTAGAGAAAAGAATCTTGTTACTATTAAACTAGTTATAGATTCAAAGGCTATTAGACATCCGATACTTGGCTACAATACAGCTCCATAAGGATAAAACCTGTATGTGCAACAAATTCAAAGATTTTATTTTACATTACAATTGTCACTTGTCGAATAGATTCTTATGTTCCTAAAGCACATTTGATAGAGACGAGTCGCAATCTTAGACACCACCAATGTATCTAGAACTTGCTTTAAAGAGGAAAAACAGAATCCAACACATGCAAGTTGATAAAGGTACATAAACTACATACCACAGTTCTGGCAATGAAAGAATTTGTCACGCCCACCAACTCTGAAAATTAATAATACCACAAGATTAAGCTAAAAATATGACTGTTACGTAGCACAAGTTGTCTATATCTCAAACACCTCACCTACAAATTCCACAGTCATCACAATGAAATTGTTCTTTCGAGGTCTGCAAACATAACAACGGCAAGATACTTTCAAGAACCAACAAAGTGACTCATAGCAGTTGAAACATAATCTCATAGAGAAAGAATTACATATAGAAAGAAAGGATCAAAAGCTCACATCGTCGTCAAAGAATTTGCAGATATCGCAAAAGTATTCCCCCATATTGACGCCACAGTTGGAACAGAATTGAGCAACCTGAAAATTTTATTTAAAATGATTACCTACAAATATGAAATATATAATTTGCAGATAAAAGAATAAAAATCATCAGCATACCTCTTGCTCAGTTTGACATATTGAACAAACAACCTGAAAAACAAAACACAATTTTTTTGTTTTATGCCAAACAAAAATTAAAACATAGAGATTCAAAACACAAGAATGAGGCTTTAGTCAAACCTGTTTGACGTTTTGACGGACCAAATCATGTCGTTCTTTAGGGTCAGATAAAGAATTCTGAAACAAGAAAAAAAAAAAAGCATGTTCTAAAAGACTAGAGAGAGCAAGGTTCGTTGTTTGATTAAACTAGCAAATTAGAAGAACGAACCGCAGCGTCGTTGTGGCAGTGGCGGCATGGGAAGATGAGATTGCAGCAAGGAGCTCTGATTTTACATCGTCTCTTGTAGTGCTCGCATCTGATTGGTACAGAGAAACAAGGAAGAAAATCAGGAATCAGAGAGATTCCCAGAAATCAATCGAATCGAAGGGAAATAAAATATAAACCCGAATTGGAATTTGCCAAAGTCTTTGTCTCTGGGAATCGAAGAATCTGCTGCTTCCATCGAGTCTGAGTGGAGATTAGCACTAGCACCACTACCCATCGCGAATCTATTAATTAGGGCTCATGATCAGCTCCAACCTAATTACAGACTCGGCCTTAACCGATTACTGTTACACGTGTAAATTTCTTATTGGATGTTCCCCATGCCTTCCTTAACCGGCGGTTAATAATATTCAAATTGATTTTTGTTGTTGTTTACGTTGCCATGAATGAGCTTTAAAAAATGTGTAGATAGTTAATTAGACGGTCGATTATTTTTGTAAAATGGGACGTTTAGGATATCATAGCTAGGTCAATTGTTGGATCGTGGATGTGTTGTGATGAGATATGAAGAGAGAAGTGTGTAGTATGCTTTTATCACGCGCCAGTCAGAGAATATTTGGATCCGACAGAGACAGCAAGTGAAGGTAGTTGTTACACGTCCATAAAGATCCCAAACAACTCGGAAGTTATGTAAAGCTATTCCACACATCTTGCAAAGCCCCCCTAGCTATTTCCTCCTTTTCCCTTTCCTTTTTCTGCCACGAATCGTCTATCACTTTAAAGTATAATGGTACTTATGCATTGTTTTTTATTCATCTCGATCGATAGGTATTTATACATAACTCTGGTTTTCTTATTCATATATTTTCTCGAATTCTGATAGAAATTATTGGTGTTTGTGCAAGAGCAATTCCATTTTCAAAGTCATCTTACTAGTAGTTTACGAATGAAAATCGAAGAGATTAAAAACAAAAAAAAAGAGATGAAAGAGAATTGTGTGCTTCGTTATCATGATATAAAGTGAGCATGGAGAATAAAATGAATAACTGTTCCTAAAACATAACAATTATTTGTAGTCAGATTCAATCATACATTTTCTTACGTGTTTTGTAATATGAGGTTGAGGTAGGTGAAAAAATAAACACTTCTATGATTTTGATATTATTAAACCGCTCAAGATCTTCTTCTACCGAGTCATTGTGACTTGTGAGCTAGGGGTTGGAAAAACGTCATGGTCTCTTTGGTTTATCATATTTATGGACCTATATATAAATATCTTAATACTCACTAGACACATTTCGTCAGCTCAAAGATACCAAGTAAGAGTACCTAATCAAAATCAAGAAAAGGAATTGCAGTCTTTAGTTTTAGACGTTCTTTTCTCTTTATTTAATTTGGATATTTACACTCACAATTAACTTTTTAAACAAATATCTTCAAACAATACATGCTTCTTAAATAAATAGAAATATTTATAAACGACCTCCTATTCTTCATTTGATAAATTTTGAAATAAGATATTCATTATAAACGATTATTAAACTCATTCAGAAATAAGATAATAGTCGATTAGTATTATAAGAAAGGCAAAGATTAAAACGAAATACAATATAACATATGATCAATAATTTTTCCATTAAATAGATAAAACACATCAGTACATCCACCGATTAGTTAAGCTGGAAATACAAAGCTATCTAATAAATTTCTTAGACATAAGCTAAACAAGATATAAAAACTCGATATAAATAAGAACCTGATACACATTTACGTGATATCTTTCCATCATTATTCTCACTATCCAATTAACATATACTAATTATCTTTCTTATGCATCGATTGTTTTTCTAGTTATGAAATGACTGATACGGCTTGATCAAGGGAACGAGAGAGCCACTTAGGTGAAGCGACATGACATCGTTGGTCGAACCCACGAGCTTGCCACTTACAAAGACCGCGGGAACCGCGTTGGCGCAGCCAAGACGAACTAAGGCCTTCTCAATCTCTCGGCAGTCAGGATCGTTGTCGATCTCGTGGATTGTTGGTTGAACCCTAAGGTCACGGAAAAGGATTTGCACGGCGTAGCAGAGACAGCATGAGCTTTTCGTGAAGATCACGACTCCTTTCTCCGATGACATTCTCATCACCTTGTCCATGGTCAGATTTTGATCTGAGGGCTCAGGACAATCAAGAAATTATATATCTTTAAGTATATGAAGCTTTGGTGTATGTTTTTTTGTTCGTTAGAAGACTCAATGATCTGCTTGGGCTATTTATAGGAAGGCAAGTAGTGAAAGTCTTTGGACTGGTCGTTATTCTTTGAACAGGAAAATTAAAGAAAAATTCAGATTCCCCTCCGAAAAATTAAAGCAGCTTTGCGAGAACAAGACCATTTGTTATGTTCTGTTTTAGCTGAACAAGTTGTAATAAATAAATGATTTCTTTTATTTATTTTGAAGCTATAAATTTGAAGAATGGTACGATAACAGTAAATCAAGCATACGATTCGAGAGGTTATACATTGCAACGACTTCGAATCTCTGTGTCAGATAAATGAACAGTTTCCCATTACAGATTCTCATGGCTATGCGAGTGTTTTCATGAATACTTTGCACATGGGCCGTATAATGTATGTGTCCTACGCTTTTTATGACGAATATAAACATATTAAGATCAGTACGTTAATCACGCAGAAAAGAAATTAGGTAAGTTTGTTTTGATGTTGTCGATTATAGGATTTTGAAGAGACCGACGAAAAGCATATAGCGAATGAATGTTTGTGTCCCTTGCACTAAAATACAAGCTTACGTCGACATGAACGTCAAATAACATAAACGACAATTAATTAGGACTGGTTTTCATTTTATTCGCTGGATATATAATTGGTCACTACAAAATTAATACAATGTTTAGACTTTCACTTTAAACTAACAACATCAGCCATAGTCTTTTTAAATAGGATAATTCTTACAAATAACACAAAAATAAGTTTTGTTACAAATTTAGCACAAAATCTTCAAAATTCCAAAAATAGAACACATTTAATATTAAAGGACTAATAAAAATATTATAATCGTGATTTCAAATTGTAATTAGTTTTATTATTTTATATTATTAGATAATGAGAAAATAATTACCAATTAATATTAATTTTGGAAATTTATGGAATGTGTGCTATTATTGTCCATATAACTTGTTTTACTGTTATTCTAAGGTATTTCTCTTTTGATAAATATGTTTTGATTAGCTAGATATACCAACAAATAATAGACATGATTTTAAAGCCAAATTACTGCAGAAGCAATATGGGCTTGTCAATTTATCAAAGCCCGATTCTCCCTATCTAGACCTCATTATATAGTTCATTGATTGAATCCTTAGGCTAAAAAGAAGAATGAATAAACCAACACCAGGATTCCAGCTTTCGGTGATAATATATCTATCAACTATTTGTAATATGTAGCGAGTATTCCCTTATTAATTGTGTGCCGGCTACCACCAACTTGCTTAAGACAAATATTCGTTGTCTATCTCACACTTACACTCATGTTTGATTCTGCTCTTGCCGTCTCTCAACCGGGACGTATCTACATATATACGTGTAGCATGGTAGACCGATTGCTAGTATGTATCGTTTCATAGAGGATATATCATATCTGCAAAATGTGTTTACTCAACCATATTTTATGTATCGCAGAGACTTAGCTAATTGAAAAAGTTTAGTTTGTACATGTAATTATATATGTACTAAGCATCATAATGATTTTAGAGGTTGAAACATATTTAGGGGAGAATTTTACGTTACTAAATGAATATTTAAATATAATTAAGCATTTTTGAAAATGATCTCACTCACTCGATAAAATTTATTCTGGAATGCAACGTGAATTTTCACGCTGGCCACATGTTTTAGTTAGCGTTGTTCCATGTTCCGATGACTTATGGGTGGAAGCTTTTGAAGTGTATAAGATTCTCCCTTTTTCGATTCACCAAAGATAAGGGAACCTATAGTACTCACCTACGTGTATAATTCGTTCTTGATAAACATCCTTTGTCTTGTCACGTCGTCGATCTATCAAACGATCATCCCCATACTTAGCTATTAACTCTATATTTATTCTTAGACTACAATAATACTAATCTCCTCTAAGTGTAAACTGCTCCAAATGATGTCTTTGTAGGAGAACATAAAAGTTGGATACCAAAAAAAAAAAAAATACTAATCTCAATTCAGTAGTATTTTAACGAATGATGATGATTTTAAGATTTGAGTTTACTCTTTACGTGGAATTCTAACACTAATGTTACAACAGTGCTTAAAGGTACAATTGTCTTTTCATCCGTACAATGTACGTACGTGAGTCAACATACATATATACATCTATACATGTATATAACTTATTATACAATAACCTCCACGCGAAGGAAGCAAAGCATTTTAATACATCTATGCTCCTTCCCGATTATATATATATCATATATGCGCTTTTAGCACTTCGATTATTGACACAATTACATGTGCATACATATACATATATAGATATATACATACATGTACGATGATCGGACGCTATAACCAAATGGCCTTAGCGTCTTTAAGCATCTGCTTGAGCGACCCGTCGACGTGGAATGAGATGATGTCTTTGGCTGATCCGATGTACCTTCCTCCAACGAAAACAGCTGGAACCGCCGGGTTCGATGAACCAAGGGCACGTAGGGCTCGCTCCATTTCACGGCCTTCGGGGTCTTTGTCGAGCTCGTGAATCGCCGGACTAGCGCCTAGTTCGTAGAATAGCGTCTTGATGCTATGGCACATGCAACATGAGCTCTTTGTGAATATCACCGCCGCTTTCTTCGACGACAAATCTCTTATTCTCTCCATTGGCGATGGTCAAGAAAGTTAGTAACTAAGTGTTGTTTTTTGTAATGAGAAAGGCTTAGGTTGTGTTGAACATATGCTTGGATCAGCTGTTATTTATAATGGTTATTGTGGAAGATTTTGGATTATTTTATTTTGGGATTTTCTTTCTACAAAGATATTATGGATAAATATATAAATGATATACCCCACACTAAATTTGTATTGTTAGAAATATATTGAAGTGCCCCACAAACAAAATTTCCTAGAAAGAAGCTAAGTTCTTTGTGATATAATTTTGGATAAGAAAAAAATGCTTACCCTGATGATTTCATGTGATGGAGACACTTGTTTCTATTATTTATTTTGTTGAATTTGTAATTTTACTTTTGAAATGGACTTATAGTAGAGATGGGATTAAAAGTTGAGTTGTAATATATTTCAATAAGAAAATAATAGAGAGATGAATAATGAATTATATCACTTTCGGTCGGTGGCTGGCAGTAGCATCACGTACCCAAAACATTAATTTTTATAAATTTATATCTTATTCCCTTTTTTCTATAGTGGAAACGTGGAAGGTTAATAATTTGCTGTAATGTGGCATTAACAATAAGAGGATAGTTGATGCGTTTTGCTGATAATAAATATATAAATGTAGTTGACATTATTGTATTTATATTATAAAGTCTAATTACCTGAAAAAGATAAAAGCCATTTATAGACAAAATCATCTCGTATATGTTGGCACTAAACGTGGACGACAAAATCTATAGATGCATGAATTTTGTAATAGGATCAAATGTATATGATAAATGACTAATCATTAAACAATTATTAAATGGTCTATGCATTATATTTCATAGTTGTTACATTTATAATAACTAAAAAGACAAACAGTTTTAAAATGTCAAAAGTTAAGTGTATGCAAAGAGAAAAAAAAAGCGCAGGGATTTGGTGGTGGTGACTGTTGCGTCATCTTTGACATGGAAAAAAATCTGAGATAAGAAGTTTATCCACATCTGACCCCACTCCACAAATACATTCATATGCATTATATAATATCTGTGCTCATATAGGAATCTATAAAATTGGCAATGTATGAAAGTTATTCCATATATGATGGATGATATGTAATGTGTGTGCGTAAATGAAGATACTAATCCATGTGTCGCCTAGTTGTCTTGTTTCTACTGTAACCCATTGGTCCATTGGATATATATTCCTTCTTTCTCATACTAATATCGAAATCGAGAATACAACTATTTTATTGAAATTATTGGGTTGACATTATGAAAAGAACCTTAGAGATGGTTGTAGCCATCTAGATACCGGTTTCAAACTATGATTACCATGCAATGCCATCCTATTACTATAGTTGTCTTGTTTCATTAACATAATTAGCTATGATTTGAAACCGGTTATAGAATTATTCATACTATAACACACTAAAATCAAACTTTATTATTTTAATAAGTATGTTTTTCAGTTTCTGTTGTTATTCCGTCACTATACTGTTTTATTGTCCCATTGTTCGTTTAACGTATAAATCATTAATTAATGCTATTGAATTCAGGAGAAGATTAATCAAGAGTTGAAGATTTGGTAAAAGAACGCAATAAAACTAGAAACATTTGATCTTGTTCAATGGGACTTGCGCCCTTTCCAAGAATTTATGGCCAATATGCTTAAGCAACTAAAACTACAGTTTAAGACACTCTCCACTTGGCCATACGAGAATCGATATCTAGACAAAATATATTAATAATTTTCGTATTTTATTGTTCTTTTACTTGATTTCACATTCTTATAAATATCTTCACCTATGCATATGTATATAGGTTAGATAATTATCTTTCCAATTGTCGGAAAATCGAAACCACGTGCGGGTACCTCCTCATGTATAATCATAGTACGTACATTATTACATACATAAGTTTCTGATATTTATTTTTAGGTCACAATATCGACCGTCCATAGATTCATTTTCTCGATTAGATTCTTTTTTTAACTTTTTAATAACCAGAGCGTTGACAGAATAATATATCATCTCTACTTGCCCAAGATTTAGATTCCTCACTGATTCGATAAGTAAAATCACAGTAACGATGATTGCGAGAATATAAAAAACTAACTGACAGAGAGGGTCCGATGGATTAAGAAAGCCCACAAGGTTCGCATTGATAGGCCTTTTGGCCCAATAACTTCAAACTACGTCCATTCTCGACAGTAGCCCATTTTCCATTTTCTTTTCTTTTCCTTCAATTTTATTATTTTTATCCTGCTTTTGTCGCCTGAAGCGTATACCCTAAATCACTAATCTTGGATTCTTCATTCTTCTCCTTTGGATCAAAAGGTATGAACTCGAAACCTTTCTCTCGCGTTTTTTTTCTTCCATTATTTGATAATCGAACCAGTTACTTCAACTTGAATTTTGGCGCTCTAGATTTCTCTTATAGATAGAATGAAGAAAGAAAATCCCTTGTTATCTGCTGCATCAACTTTTTTTTTTTTTTTTTTTTTGGTTCTGTATATCTTTTAGTGATAGGTATCAGTAAGTTTGGTGGAATATTGAATTGGAAAACGGGTTTGGTCTGGTTTCTAGAGTTATTGTGTCCTTTGGATTTATGCTAAGTGTTGTTGTTGTCTTAAAGCCAACTTAATCTTGAATGTGTCTGAAGTCTAAACCAAATTACGTGTTAGATAACTGGGTTTGTGGTGTTACTTGTCTTGTGACATTTCTTTAGCTTCTTTTTCTATTTATTTAGGCTTCTTAAATGGCATCTGGAGATAATGTATCCGAAGAAACCCCCATTGATGCTTCTCAGGAGCAACATGAAACAGTTGATGAGATGCTTGCCCGCCACAGGTAACAGCATCATTATGCTTTCTTTGGATAATTGACAATGCTTCTTTGTCTTAAGTGATTCTAAATGTTGTTGTTTATTGTAGGCAAGAGATTAAACAACTTCAGAACAAAGAGACAGAGATGAAGAAGGCAGCCGCAAAAGGTAGCAAAGCTGAACAAAAAGCTAAGAAGAAGCAAGTCGAAGAAGACGTCTCCAAACTTTCCTCAAAGCTCAAGGAGAAACAGTTGAAAGAACTCGCCTCTCAAGGTTTTAGCAGCAGCAGCAGCAGCACCGTTGTCAAGGACCAAACAAATGAGAAAAAAGGAGACATCGACACGTTAGTCAGAGCTATTGCTGGAGTCTCAGTCACTGCTCAACAAGAGCACTCAAAGCCAAGCAAGAGCGTGAAGAGGCGCGAGAAAAGGGCTAAGGAAGAAGCAGATAGAGAGCAGAGAATCAAAGAGGAGCAAAGCCAAGTGACAAGTGATCGTGTGGTCGAGAACGCAAAGCTCGAGAAGAAGCTTAAACCATTGGGATTAACAATCAATGAGATAAAACCAGACGGACATTGCCTTTACCGGGCTGTTGAGAATCAGCTTGCCAATCGCTCAGGCGGTGCATCTCCTTACACATATCAGAAGCTCAGAGAAATGGCTGCTTCGTACATGAGAGAGCACAAAACCGATTTTCTCCCGTTTTTCTTGTCAGAGACTGAAGGCGACTCCAACAGTGGATCCGCAGAAGAGCGGTTTGAGAAATACTGCAGAGAAGTCGAGTCAACCGCCGCTTGGGGCAGTCAATTGGAGCTTGGAGCGTTAACACATTGCTTGAGGAAACACATAAAGGTGTATTCTGGGTCGTTTCCAGATGTTGAAATGGGCAGAGAGTATAAATCTGCCGATGACTCGAGTCTCTTGTTATCGTATCACCGGCATGCTTTTGGGCTCGGGGAGCATTATAACTCCGTTGTGCTCGCCCACAACATCACCGGCTGATGGATGATGAACTTTATCTCAAGCTTTAAGAAAAGTACTTTTGTATCAAAAGTTTACTGAAAATCTTTCTTCTTTAATGTTTGTTGGATTTGAGAGAACCAATCTGTAACTTCAATTTTTCGTTTGGTTACAAGGCGAAGCATAATCTATTTCTACACAGTTCCAGGTTTTTCATTACACAACACGAATGTTGTACGGAGAAAATGACTCGAAGAAACATATGACCTTTGAACAAGTTTGCGAGCCAATTTGGCAGAGACAGTTACACAAGTTGTTCCTTCCGAATCTTGAGATTTTATCACCAAAAGAAGAAAATTATGACGAATCTATGCTTATTATCACCCATAAATTTAGCTAATTCAATCGACACATGGCCTTATCACGAATCTGCCAAAGATTCTTCATTTCTGTAGATTTCCAAATCTGGTGTCAGAATCATGCTTTCCTGTTAAATTCTGCTAAATTTTTGTATTTTTGGAAAGTTGAAAATGCAATGAACATGGATTCTCTTCCTCATAAGTCATAAGTCAATGCAACAACAACAACAACAACAAAAACTCTTAAGAGTTAAGACCAACTTCACGCATTTAGATAAGTTGTGTGATTCAAACTTGAAAAATGGTTTTGACAATAGTGTAAAAGCTAAAGTAAGAACTGTGTTGGATCACTTACTTGCTCTATAGACTCCAGGTCACACAAGCAGAAAAGTATCTCAAAGACGATCCTTTTTGTTTGTTTTTCTTGCTTTCCGTTTCTTTAGAGCCTGAAACTTGTGGGAAATCTATTGTTGCTTGAAAAGATAAGCATCTAACTGGATAAACCATAATCCAATCTCCACCTCAGTGGATGCATCAAAAGCAAAAGATTTTGCCAAAAAAAGAAAATCACTATAGAGTATACATGATCACACTGTTGCATACCTCCCTGGATCCGTGGATCATTACAAACCATATGGCAAGGATATTTCCGTAATTAGAAGAAAAAGTTTACATGAACTGTATATGCAACTTGGATCTGATATCGAAAAACGAAAGAATCTAAGTTCCTGCAGTTTTTAGAGAACGCCAAAGGGCAGATCACTAGGAGGGAAGTAAAGTAAGTGACAAAGATCTGATTTATGCAATCTTACCATCCTCCACGTATCCAACTCTATAAATAGGCTTACTTTGTGTAGCACCAAAGCAAAAACAAACATAAAGATCCTTGAGTTCCCTCTCACACAGTCACACTAAGTCCTACATTTGTATCACATTATTATATACATCAAAATGGAAAGTGTTAGAAGTTTAGTTGCAGACAAACCAGTGGTGATATTCAGCAAAAGCTCTTGCTGCATGAGTCACTCAATTCAAACACTGATCTCAGGGTTTGGGGCGAAGATGACAGTCTACGAGCTAGACCAATTCTCAAACGGTCAGGAGATCGAGAAGGCATTGGTACAGATGGGGTGTAAGCCCAGTGTACCAGCTGTGTTCATAGGGCAACAGTTAATCGGTGGTGCTAACCAGGTAATGACTCTTCAAGTCAAGAACCAACTGGCCGTGTTGCTAAGAAGAGCCGGAGCCATATGGGTGTAACAGAAGACAAGAAATCTAAATGCAAACTAGGATAGAATAAGATGAGAATGATATATAGTTGTTTTGCTACTTCTTAAATTTGCGGGTTTCGAGTTTCTACCATGCACGGATATGTTTTCAACAAGTGCAACTCTGTAGTTTACACAAGTCTAGTGCTAAGATCAAGAACTTGTATTCTCAGTTACCATCCATACTTGTTATATCAATCAATGTACGCTAAGAAAACTTATCAGCAATAAAAGAGAAAGATTTGCTTTTTCATTGATCTCTAAAGATTGTTCAACAAAAGGAAAGGCCTTTATTCATCATCAGCAATGAAACAAACAAGAGAACAAAAGTAGAGATTCTTACTCACTTCTCACTTGTAAATGTAATCTTTTAAAAGGCCATTTGCATGCTCAACCTCAGAATGTCTTCGCCAATTATCAACTGCTCTAGACACTGTAGCTTTTGCCTCTCGAATCTCTTGAGCCGAGAACTTGTGCTCTATGATTCCCAAAGGTCCAGGTTGCAGAACATTGATCACAGTTTCAGCTTCTTGCTCAAGCTGCCTGTAAAATGAAACCTTAGTATTTCAACATAAACACACAAAAATGGATATACAATCTCTTGTTAAACGGAGAAAGATGATGCAAGCATTACCCAACCTAAAAGTTGTAATCGAAACGCAGAAAAACTCTCTAGATTTTGATAGAAATTGATTTCTTTTTATCAGTCAATTCTTCAATAGTAACGCAGTAATACAAGGAAGAGAAGAAAACAATAGAAAACAATGAAGGAACCTTAAGATCCCGGAGAAGGGTAAGGCTCTAGCGATCCTGTAAATCGACATCGTCGCCGGAGGAAGAGATGAAATTTGAGTACCGATTAGATTGATTTTTTTTTATAACAAAAACTAAACTTCCGGATGTATCAGAAGTTTTCATTTTGACTTCACATTTATTGGGCCGTGGAGCTACTAACAAGGTGAAACCGAGAATGTAAATTATAATGGGCTTAAAGGCCCAATATGTAAAAGGGTTTCCTCTATAATGGCGAGGATAGTATTGTCCTAACAACCAAACACGACACGTCTCATCATCTAAAGGCTTCCTTATCCAGCAACTCCCGCGCCACTCGTCTTCTTCCACCTCTCTCTGACAATGAATAGCTCGATGACGACAAGTCCAACGGCTCGAGCCTTCCTTCATCTTCACTCGTCACCATTCACTTTACGTTCCAGGCAGCCACCGGCCGGAGTATGTCTAGTCTCGTGGCCGCCTTCTCCGTCTCGCAGGACTCGTCGACTCGTCTGTATGGCCGTAAGTGATTCTAGTAGTCCCAATGTTCGATTCTTTTTCGGAATTTTCAGAAATATTAGATTTTGCTTACAATTGTTCGATGTTTTGTCTGCTGGAAATTTTAGGAACCTTACCTCATTAGGAAAATGGAGTCTGTTGAGAAGACATGGAAGGAGTTATCGGTATGTTCTTACACTTCTTGTATTAATGGTTTTGGGTTTGTTTCTTAATCTCAATCTTAAGAGTTTCGAATTACTCGTAGGTAAAACTAGCTGACCCAGATGTTGTTTCAAATCAATCTGAATACCAAAAACTGGCACAGTCCATGTCGGAGCTTGATGAGGTATTTGCACATTCTTTTAGTGTTCAAAGTTTGCAACTTTTTTCGAGGGTTTCTTAAAATTGACTTCCATCGTAGGTTGTATCAGTCTTCAGGAGATTCAAGGACTGTGAAAAGCAGTTACTAGAAAGCAAAGGTCCTTCAAGTCTCATCCTTTCTTTTACTTTGCTTTGATTTTGTTCCTCGGGAGCTGGTTTTGATTGTTTTATTGCTTCAGTTTTGGCGAAAGAGGCTGGAGATGATGAAGATATGGCTGAAATGATAGGAAGTGAAATCAGCTCTCTCACCAAAGAAATTGAGGAGCTTGAAAAACAACTTAAGGTTTAGACCCTTTTATTTCAGCATTTAACTAGGCAATGCCCTTGGACTTGGTTCCATAGCTAAGTTATTTGAATGTTGTTGATATATTTATATATTGTGAAGATGCCCTCTTGATTCTGATCCTCAAGTTGTAACATTGTGTTTGCTTGTTTCAGGTGTTACTTCTTCCTTCCGATCCTCTTGATGCCAGAAACATATTGCTCGAAGGTAACTGACTAACTGTATGTTGACAAGTAGTATTATTGTCTACACTAGCATTTTTCTTGAAAATTATAGGTTTTTCATTTCGCTGAAAAACTGCCTTTTGCTCGGACTTTCCTCCATTGTTAAGCTTATCTACTTCTGGACGAGTCTGAAATCCTAGTTCCTTCTGCAGTTAGAGCAGGAACTGGTGGCGATGAAGCTGCAATTTGGACTGGTGACCTTGTAGGTACATGCTTTCCTTTATTTCTTCTGCTCCTCTATCTGATTCTAATGCCTTCTGATCGGAAAATTCTTACAAGTTTTTATATGAAAAAAAAAATACACACACAATCTGATGGTAATTCACCATTTTGTTCCAAATCCTATTTCATTAAAAAGATTAAAATGTGATTGTTCTTATATTTCATGGCTAAGAGAAGCAAGTGCAATAAATTAAAACTTCAGATCCTACAATGAATCAATCTGCTTTGCATTATTCTTTTGCTTGCAGGTGCGTATGTATCAGAGGTACAGCGAGCGCAGCTCTTGGAAGTTTTCTATGGTTTCATGCTCAGAGGTGAGATGCTCTGTACTTTTTTTTGGCATTTTAAGGAGTGTGTACTGACAATTATAGTATAGATCATAACAACTTAGAGAAATGTTACCCACACATATAGCTTTTAATCCTCCTACTTTTATAAGGCTGAACATGGAGGTTACAAGACGTGTGTGATGGAGATCAAAGGAAATCGTGTCTATAGCAAGCTCAAATACGAATCTGGTGTTCATCGAGTCCAGCGTGTTCCTCAAACAGAAACACAGGGTCGTGTACACACTTCTACAGCAACTGTAGCCATCATGCCAGAGGTAAACTAGCTTTCGCATGTTCCATTTTTCGATATTCTGATTGAAACTTGGTAACCAGTCCAACACTGTCATCTCTGCTTTGTTTCTTTGTTATTATAGGCTGATGAAGTGGAAGTGGTGATTGACCCAAAGGACATTGAACTTACATCTGCAAGATCTGGCGGCGCTGGAGGTTATGCTAAAGAAATTTGCTTTCTGTTTCTCTCACATGTCACTAGCTAGTAATACTGAAAAGAGGTCTTGGTGCAGGGCAAAATGTCAACAAAGTGGAGACGGCTATAGATCTATTCCACAAACCGTCAGGTATACGCATTTTCTGTACAGAAGAAAGGACTCAGATTAGAAACAAGGCTCGTGCTTTCCAGCTTCTGCGAGCAAAACTGTAAGCAACATTCAAGGAGCAAACTCTCTGCTCTTCTTCTTCTTCCTCTATCAAGTCCCACCTTAGTCCTTTCTTTTTGATACATTATATTTGTATATATATAGGTATGAAATAAAAGTAAGGGAACAACAAGAGAAGATAAGGAATGAAAGGAAATCTCAGGTCCACTTCATTTTACTATGTCCGCAGTCTTTCTAAACTCAAGTTCATCATCAAATATTCATCTTATTCTGCTCTATGTCGATTCTTGCGGAAACAGGTTGGGACTGGAGCTCGTTCAGAAAAGATAAGAACATACAATTATAAGGTAATACACGGATTCAGAGCCTTGCTTTGAAAACATGATGGATTCTGTCTTGCTTATGATGTCTGAAAATTACAGGACAGTAGAGTGACTGATCATAGGCTTAAGATGAATTTTGCACTTACATCATTTCTTGACGGTGCCTTAGAGGACGCAGTGCAGGTCCTAAACCTTATACTTATGTTTTTACGTTTATATTAGTTAATGTGAATCTTAAAGAATGTTTGTATAATTCTTGCAGGCTTGTGCTGCTTTGGAGCAAAAGGAGCTCATGGAAGAACTCTCCGAGTCTGTAGCTGCTTCTTGATAATTGCTCAAACTAAACTCAAATAAAAACTTTGTACACACATCAAAATTATAAGACTTTTTATTTATTTATTTATAGCTAAGCATATGAATGATGCAATGAGCAATTTAGCAATATTGGTGGGCATACCTGATTGCCAGACCGAGTTACCCAAAATCTAAATTTTCAGAGTTATTACTTTTCCGGAAAACATTTGACAAGATATTGTAAATCAAATAAAGATGTTATGCAAAAAAATGTCAAAGCACAGAGTCAAACTTAAAGAATTAACGAACTAAATGAGTCTACAAAGAAAACGGAGAAGAATTCTCTTTGCAGTTTTGTGGAATTCAAAGTTTGGCACTAAGCAAACATCCTGCAAGTCTCGAAGCCTAATTGACCATAATCTGAAAAATGCAGAGGTACAAAGAACAAGCCCTTTGGTTAACCGTATGCAACAAATAGTTCTCAAAATTTCATAAGAGTCTTGAAGAGGCACACAATCCATAAAGATAATAAGCTTTGGTGTCATTAGAAGCAATTTTTTTGACATGATTAACATTATGATTTTCACAGCATCAATCAAAAAACAGATGACAATGTAGTAAATGTCATAATTCACAACAACAAAAAAAGACTAAGAGAACAAAAATTGATGTAGTATCTTTTCTGTCAAGGGCATGACTGGAGAGCAGAAACCTGCTGAAATTTAAGAACAAACTTATCCGCAAACACACAATCTTTAATCTTAAGAATCTGGAAATAGTTCAAATCTTCTTTCGTCACCAAGCCTTTAGCCAGAAGCTCAGAGATCACCATGTTCCTTGGTTTGATTCTCTTCTCCAAGCTCAAACCCAAAACAAAAGGTTGCATAGCAATGGCACCAGGAGGGAGACCCACATTGTTTACGAGGTAATCCATGGTTCCCGTAATCTTCCCATCTGATATCTTCACACAGTTTGGGAATCTCATGAATGCTGCCACACAATCGTCTTTGGACCAACCAAATTGTTGGTACAGCCCAAACTTGTGTTCCACAGTGAATTCACTAACATGAAAGAAAACTAACATAGCATGAATGAAATACATCTTTTTCGGGTCAAAACCAAAGTCGCGAACTCTGTTCAGGACCTCGTTGAACTTTCTCTCGGAGCAGAAGAACACAAGTGGACCGTTTTGGACCAGTGTTTTGATGCTTTGGTCCCGGACTCCAAGATCTCGACAGAGGGATAGCCGTGTAGCCAAGTACTTTGCAGTGTCCAATGTGAAAATCCAATATCCACGTCTCAAACATTTGAGGACATTTTCTTGCTCACCGAGTATGCTCTTGAGGGAATCATAGCAAGGAATCAGCCTGTTAGCCAAGCTAAGGGACAGCGTTGTGGGACAATTTGAGATGAGTTTCGCGGTATCAGAACTCGATAACCCGATTGAACGGAAAAACATGAGCTTTGGTAAGAGTACAGTCTCTGGGTTCACAATCAGAATAGTAGGGAATGATTTGACAACCCTGATGATCTGTTCATTGGTGAAGCCATTGTTCTTGAGCAGAGTGAGCACAGAGTCTGGTCTTTCTGAAGATGACAACTTTACGAATCTGGACTTTGACTTAGCAGATTCCAAAGACAACCCACACGAGTTCACGAGATATGATACAGTAAAAGACTTTAACCATGGTCTCTTCTCTTTGGCAACATCTGTTTTCCTTTCTGATACTGAACACAATGTTCTACTCAGCAGACACCTTATTAGCTTATGAGTGAGAAATTGCGAAATGGACACAGAGTCTCCGGAATTAATCGGACAAAACCGTCGGCAGTATAACAAGATTGACATGATACATAAACCCTAAATCCTAAAGAGCAACAATAAACTCGCCAGGAACTTGGTTTACACCAAACCACGACCGAAACTAATGATAAATTCTAGAAATTGGATCCCTTCTCTCGCCCAAATGCATTGGTTCTCGAAACACGGAAACTAAGAGCCTCACGGAGATGTTGTCGTGCTAAAAGCTTGATTCAAATAAGAAATCCCTAGCCTTTCAATGTCAAATCTAAGGCTCTTCTCGCTCGCGTTCGTAAGCACAGGTCGTGGCCTCATCCGGAGTTAAGAATCTTCTCGCCGGTGTTTGCAATTGCAAGCTCAGGCCGTTGTTGGGAGAAGAAGATGAAGACTACTGAGAAGTGGTGTGTGTGGCTCAAACGACGCCGTCTTTTTAAAATTACTCTTAAAACTTTTCCAAATGCACCCAAAACTTCCGAATTGATGCACTAATACCCAAAACTTCTATAGTTTACCCAATTTCACTCTTTGAAACTGTATATATAAAATTGAGTTCGGTAGATATGTTATTGCCTAACTAATTACTCTGGATAGACTAAGGGCCTGATTGGTTCCGGCTGTAGCTTTATATTTTTTGCTGTAGAATTTAGGCTGTAGATGTTTTTGCTGTGGCTTTAAAATATTGTCTGTAGAATTTTGATGCAGCTGTAACTTTTTTAAATGAAAGTCTGATTGGTTCAGTTGTATGCTGTAGACTTCTGTATTTTATTGTCTTAGTTATAAAATTATTATTTTAAGTTAATAAAAATATAAATTACAAGAAATTATAAATTAAATATATATTCAGATGGTAAAAATATAATATTTAACATATATATATATATATATATATATAATAGAGATAAAGTTAACATATAATATTTAACATATATATATATATAATATATATCATAATTTATATACATATACATTAAAAGTTAGTATATATGTTACAAATGATATATATATATATATATATATAATAGAGATAAAGTTGTAATAGTAGCTAGACCAAAGAAATATATAACGATAGTCATTATTTTTATAAATAACTACATGAATTTTTTATGCATATATAAAGTAGATGATATTTGTAAAATTATGTGTATATAACTAATATATGCTTCTACGTAAAAAAACATAAAAGATAGGAGAGAAAAATGAATTAATTTCCTTTTAAATTTTCCAAAGCCAAAATATTAGTGTTGTAGGTTTATGGTTCTCTACAGTCCAAAAAAAGGAAAGACATGAAAAGTGGCTGTAGAATTTTAAAATATGTGCAAAGTCTGATTGCTGTAGATTATTGGCTTTAGATAATAATATGGCTGTGGACAGCTTCTACAGCAGCTTCCAATCACGCCCTAAATCCTTATCTCCTTTTCTTGTTTTACAACAAATGTATATGCATATTGACTAATGCATTATTTCCTTATTATGTCAATACTATTTCCTTATCCATTTTCTAAAGATAACGTTACTCGTCCTTAATACATAATATACACACAAACAAAACATTTGTAAACATATTCAATTTGAAAATGGAAACTTTTTCCAACTTTATCAACACAAATGGAAACTATATATACAAAAGGAAGTTCTTAAAACCAAAAAAAATGAAATAAGATTACAGGACTAAAGTACGTTAGATTTTTATTTTTTGAAACGAATAAGGTTTCTATTGCCAAGTATGAAGTATCATTCTTGAATCTTAATCTTGAAATTGTTTTCTCTCTAAATTGATCCAAGTGTGAAAGTAAAGAGATGGTTACATTTTGTTTAAGTAACTATTTGGGATACCATTTTGTTAATGGTTACATTGTCATTCGACAACAAGCTTGAGATCAACCACAATATGTCGTGCGTCATGAGGGGCCTTATGCGAAGAAATCATAATAGGACTCTACAGTTATAATGCCAATCATTGTAAATTTTATCACATTAAAGGTTTCTCCTTTTTGAAAATATTACTTTAATCATAAACTGTGGCTGGAATTGTAATTAAACACAAAAGAGTGTGTCTTTGTTGTCCGCAGGACGTAAGTCGCAAGACTTATAACAGATGGGCTTTTAGAAGTCCAAGTGCTCACAAGTTTTTCGGCTTAATGTTTTTTGGGAACTTCCTTAAATTATTGACTTGTCAATTATTAAATTATTTTTAGAATATAAGATGCACTATCACTCTACATTAAATGGATTACTAGTAAATACCAATTAACTAGACTCGACTCATTTATTTGCTAGAGTTTTGTTTTGTTAATGCTTGAGCTTGACTGATGTAAAGAAGCTAGCTAGGTCTATAATATTATTTGGATACAGATGAATTCTTCTTATCCATTGTTTCCTTATAAACTATTACCTAAAGTTGGTTCTTATTTTCTTTTACCAATTCTACGATTTTTTTTTTTGAGAATGAAGATTTCCATATATTTTCGAAGAAAAAAGGAATCTCATAAGTATGACCATTGATGGGGGAAAAGAACCTCGTATTCTTTGTAACAAAGATGAAGGTAAACACAAATTTCCCATTATTATTATTATTAGATATAAATAGAAGATGAGACCAATCAAAAGATGATTAGACAGAAGAATATCCTAATTAATTAAAGACTAAGAAGAGATAAACATGCATAAAGCATGAATTCTACAAGATCCGTCCAAGCTCATCGGCTGCTGTTGTCTTGACAGTCGTTTCCAAGGGGGCTTTGCGTCGTAAAACAGCACGAAACTTGTAGAGGACAACATAAGAGACGGTGGCCCAGCAACATTTGGTAAAAAACTTCAGCAAAAGGATGCTTGGTTCGTTTTGGTATTTAGGCAGAACGCAGTTGATGCCATGTGTTGCTGCACAAAGGAAGAAGAACAAAAAGAGGACATGTTTGTGATTCGATGCAGCGGCTTTTAGTTCATCAGCTTGCCAATCTTCTATACGATTCCTGAGAGTCCACTTCCTGTAAGGGAAGGACCACATTCTCGGCCCCCCTACAACCATGAAGTCATAGGAGATGAACAAAAATATCATGGTCGTCGCAACATCGGGAGCATTCCCGCGCTCCTTTAAGTTTTCAACGAAAGACTCCATCATCGTTGGTCGATATATGCCAAGAACAACGAAGAATAAGAAGATAAGAGAGATCTCAAAAAACAATAACCTACCCTTTTGCAACAAAGCAACTTCTTCTGTGTAGACGAATACTTTAGTCTCTTATATATATAAACCCTTCTGGTTTATATTCTACAATTAAGGAAAAATACCTATATTTATGAGTTATTGCCATATCTGTAGTAATTATATATATCTTTGTCTTTTTTTTTGGGTCAACATCTTTAAACAGTTAGCTCAAATGAGGCAATGCTATCATAAAAGGAACATCACCAATTTTTTTTGCCAACTTGATTCTTTTTTTCGTCAATTAAGTGAATTGCTATTAAGTATTAACCAAAAGAAAGAAAGTTATAGATACCTTTGAAACTAATTTTTCTTTATTTAAAAATGATTTTAAATATTACCTAAGAGGATCGATGATTTCTTTGTTTTATTAGTATATATTAAAATAGAAATTAGTTATTTTAATAAAAGCTAGTCAATGTAGTTTTATAATTCTTAGAAATTATCATTATTCATTAGGGATCATTATTCCATTTTTCTCCTTTTCAGTTTCAGTTATATATATATATAAATACATATAGAAATTCAAATTCTTAGATTTTTTTGTTTAATGTAGAGTGTTTTGCTTATAACAATTTAAATCTATCGCATTTATTTCAATTTAATAAAAGAATCTTCTCTCCGGTGTTTGCAAGCTCAGGCGGTTGGGAAAAGGAAGATGAATAAGACTGATGATAAGTCTGTGGCTTAGTTATACGACACCGTCTCATTCAAATTTCTCTTAAACTTTCCAAATGCACCCAGAACTTTCAAATTGATGCATTAATACCCAAACTTCTATAGATCACCAATTTCACCCTTTAATTAAACTGCAATTTTAAAATTGAGTACGTTAGATATGTTGCCTATCTTAATTACTGTGGATAAATATAAGCACAGTATCTTCTTTTCCTTTTATGTCGCTACTGTTTACTTATCCATTTTTCAAAGATAATGTTACTCGTCCGTAATACATATACACACACACAATTTGAAAATGGAAACTTTTTCCAACTTTATCAACACAAAATGGAAACTCTATACAAAAAGGAAAATTTTCAAACCGAAAAAAGGAAATGAGATTTATTTATATAAACGAACAAGGTTTCTATTGCAAAGTATCATTCTTGAATCTTAATCTTGAAATTGTTTTCTCTAGTTAAATCGATCGAAGTGTGAAAGTAAAGAGATGGTAAAGAAATTTTACATGGCTTTCTCGAAATTCCGCAAACAAATCTCCACGGCTCACCCTATCTTGATGACGTTACTCTCATCCCCACGTCACGACTCGTCATCATCCACGCCGCCGATTGGCAACCACATCAACGGTGGTATGGGACTGAGATCGATGTCGGAAGAATCTCTCAACAAACTTACCGACTGTATCAACAACATGAACGAGGATGTTTCGAAGTTGTATATGGAGTGTCCCGAGACTGATTTTAATACAGAGCTGCTTAATCTCCTCAATGATTACTTCAATACTAGCGGAGAAGTCACAGAACTCTGCAAATCTTTAAGAAAATGTTTAGAAACAGCTCAGCACTACGAATGTGCATTCATCGAGGAGGCATTATACGATTTCGAGGAAGAAAAAAGGATTTATGGAGGAAGATTATTGTTAGAAGCTAGTTTTAGAAAAACCCTAGGAGATTTAAGGAGTTTCAGCGAGTTTGACTACTTTAACGATGGTGATCTCGAGAGGAAAGGTATGAGATGTCGTGATGAAATTGCCCATTTGATTGTCAAGCTTCATGAGATGGTGAAAAAGATCGACGAGGATTTGAAACGCGTGCGTCTTCGAAGAGCGGTTGTGGCGGTTGCGTTACTTGTTCCTGTGATAGGGTTATTGGCTACGAAATTGGTAGGGGGTGTTCCAATAGAACCATTGACTACATACGCGGCTCTAAAGTGGAGAAAGGCAACCAAAGGTTTGAAGATGAAAAAGATTGCGATGGTTTCGATGGAGAGAGGCATGACAGTGGCTTTGAAGGAAGTTGAAATCATCGTTAAGCTTGTGATGAGATTGAGACATGTGGAAAGATTGATACGAGAGAAGGCGAAGTTCGCAGTAGATAAACAGTCCTCGGTGGCTGAGGTAATGGGAGGAATGGAGAAGGAGCAAAAGATGATGAAGTCAACCCTCGTTGACTTAGATCGAGAGGCTGGAAGGTGCGATGATCTTGCTCAGTTTGGTCGTAACACTGCTAGGATGAAGGTAGTTGAGTTTCTGTCTCCGGACTAGAAAGAATTCAAAAAATTGAATATAACATATATTAATGTTCTCGTTTTCTGCATTTATGGTTTATTTTGTTTTATGATCTAATCAAACCATTTGTATTAGTTATTGTATTTTTTTAATTTGTCTCCTCTGTTTTTTCTATGAATATAACTGAAAATAGACAAATGAATTGGTTTTTTTCTTGGTACATTAGGCCATTCTTAATTTCTAATTAACGTAATGTGTTTACATTTATCTTTACCTTTTTCATAGAAAAAATTGTTAAATTGGAAAAATAGTAACAGACCAAAAAAAAAAAAAAAGGAAAATAAAACATGTGTGGTTTAGTGAAAGTTGGTGAACAATATAATTATATAAAGATGTGTACGTGTTAAAATCAAGAGCGTGAGCGCACGCATTTAACGTGTTTGACTCTTAAGGTGGATAGATATCTTTGACTTTGGTATGCGATTTGTTCACTGTGAGGACGACACTACCCATTTACCGACGAAAGTACGTTACAGTCCTCTGCTTAACCATCCTTGGTCCATATCCCCACGAAAGGCGGGGTAATTTCGTCAAATTTTGGTCCTCAAACTTGAGTCATCCACTTGTCGTTGTTACCTATGCTTCTTCAAGTAAATACGAATTATCGTTTTGAAGCCAATATTGCTTTATACATGTACATTTTACAGATAACTAATATTTTTTCCTTAAATATATATGTAGTAAGTACGAAGTTCCAACATCATAACACGTGACATTTCCAAATAGACCCAAGCTTCGCCGCAGAGCCGTGCAACCACTTTCTTACGCGTCAAAGGAAAGAACCTGTTTTGTAGATAGTAATTTTGTCTCTTTACGTTTAATTTTCTGTCTTCGATTCTTCATTTCTATCGTTTCTTCTTTATTACTACTACTTATGTAACGAAGTTATCAGCTATCTTAAAAAGTGTTATTATTTGTCGCAGTACATTATTGTTCACTAGTCCATAAGAATCTCCCTATAAGTCACCTCTCGTATCATCATCATATGGAAATCGATCTATTTAGGTGATGCAGAAGAACCTAATGTTATCTTATGCGTTACTAATCGAGCATTAATAAATGTATGATAGGGATGTGATGTTTAGGCATAAACTTAACACAAGAATGTTCTTGTGCTACTTATTCTATTTTAAATAGTGTTTCCGAAAAAGAGGGTTATATGCTATATAACTATAATTGCTGCATTATTATATCAACAAAAGAAATTATATACATTATACAGTCATAAATAAGATTGACACGAATATTGAATATCCTGTAATTATATGGAGAGATATAATGTTATATCACATAAATGCATAGTAAATGGAATTAAGATGTCGAAATCAATGAGAATGTAAATGGGTACCTTTACATTTACTTAATGAAATTTCGTCACATAAGATCTTTAATCTCACATTTTTTTAATTACTACTAATGTAGTGAAAATAATATGTATAGGTCAAAACATTAACAGGAAAAAATATTAACAGGAATAAATAGTTTAAAACACGCGCCATAACTCTCTCACGCGCCTTGTATAGTTACATTTTAAGACCACCGCAAAGCTAGCGAGACCGAGACGAAAGCTATAGAGATTTATCTCATGGTCATAAAAATAAAATTAAAGTGAAAAATCATTAATTTTCCCTTTTATTTTTTAATCTTCTTACATAACTTTTTTTTTTGTTCTTACACGTAGGGAAGAAAAAATGGAAATAAAGTAAAAAAAAAAAAAAACCGCGGCTGCCCTATACCAAAACCCGGGAGATTCTACGTTTTTTTTTTTGGGGGTGCTTAATTGATTTGCCCATCGAAAGAGATCGAAACACATTTTTGATCCTTTGGAGGAAATCGGAAAAACTCAATTCTGCTTTCATTCGATCGGATTGTTTTCTTCAAATTGAATTCGTCGATTCTGCGTTTACAATTTTCCACTTTCTGTGTTTCTCTACTTTGTCTGTCGTATTCGCTGATCGGATTTCTAATTTGATCAAGCTAGGGCTAATCCACCATAGGATTTGGGTTGGGTTTCACTGTTTCGTTGATCGGTGGGGTTGATTTTGGTGTTACGGTGTGGTTGTAAGGGTACCTTGATTTTGAGGGTTTGTTGATTGCAATGTTAGAAAGGGGCTAGGGTTAAGTCTAGGGTTTTGAGGTGAGGATTGAACATATAGTTATGGAGGAGTCTGAACTTGAAGAAGGAGAGGCTTGCTCTTACAATATTACTAACGAATACGCTGGAAGCATAGACCCTGATAACGATCTTTCTTACATTGTGAGCACCTTCTTCGACTTCTCTTTTTCTTTTCTATCTTATTGACAACTGGATTTTGAATTGTGCAAGTGTTAATGTTGCTCTGTTGTCTTACTTTAGTCTCTTTGAAATTAGATTGCATCAGTTTGGTAGGGTTATATATTTACTTTTGGAGCTTTAGGGATATGTCTATGCAGTTTATATGGTATGTGTTTAAATGTTTTAGATATTTTGTTTGTTAAATTCATTCTGATTTAAGTGCAACCAAACACCATGTTAATTGCGCATCGTAGATTGGTCAGGTTGTTATACTATTTGAAGGCTTATCTACCTTCCATTTGGTACTCTTTAGTTTCCGATTGCCGCGTGTTTATTTTCTATTCGATGGTTTTTTACAGAGATTGTATGGACAAGTTTCATCTTATCGGTTACAGTTTTACTGAAAAAGTGATTTTAAAAGGCTTTTTGGATTCGCTTCTATAGTATCGAAACAGAAGTTTCGTTACGGTTTTACTGGAAGAGTGTGCATAGAGATTCACTTCTGTAATATGCTTTTGGATTTGCCTCTGTAGTATCGAAACAGAAGTTTCGTTAAAGCATCCACACCAAAGAGTCTAGAATTTGTTATCAGATAAGTAATCTGTGTTTCGGTTGTCGACTGTATTTTTCTGTTGTTTCTTTTGAAGGATGAGAAGCTTCAACACATCCTTGGACACTTCCAGAAAGACTTTGAGGGCGGTGTTTCAGCTGAGAATCTTGGTATGTTGATATGTGGCAGAAACTCTTCTTCTTGGTTGGCCCACAAAGTGTGAAACGAGTCCTTTGAATTTGATTACAGGGGCGAAATATGGTGGCTATGGCTCTTTCTTACCAACTTATCAACGATCTCCTGTTTGGTCTCACCCGAAGACACCAGCAAAACCTCAGAGTTCTACAGGGACTAGATCTCCCAACAACTTACTAGGGGAGGTATATATTTCTCATTGTCTGCGGTTTGCTCTTTGAAAATCCTGTAATGTTTAATCTCTTACCTTTTTTCTTCTCTCAGTCCCAGAGTGGCAATGCAGCTTCGTCTAGTGTTCCTAAAAAGGCAAAATCTGGGCTTGCTTCCTCTGGAAACCCCAAAAAATCAGTGAAATCCAGGAAACCCAGTTCCAGTGCCAGAATGGAATCTGCAACTAAGAAACCTGGTGTCTTTAGTAAACAGAATTCTCTGAAGCTTCGGATAAAGATGGTACCAGATGGTTTATCTACCGAAAAGAATGCTGCTGCGATATACAGTGGCCTTGGGCTTGATGTATCACCTTCTTTGTCCTTAGATAATAATAGTCTTTCAGGTAGTGAAGGGATGAATGGGGAGCCTCAGGGTTATTCTCCAATGGAGTCTCCCACCAGTATTCTGAATGTGAGATTTTTCTTTGTTTTGTTTCGCAATACGGAAACAGTTTCCTTTGTTTTAAGATGCTTATCGTGTTGATATATTCTTATATGCAGGTAATGACTTCACTTCCTGTGGATCATCGTCAGTTGCTATCTCCTCTCTCTGATGATCTGATTCGATTCATTGCAAGGGAAAAATCCGAAAAGGGATATAAGTATACATCTCCATCCAGGCTTTTCACTGAGAGTTCTTCTGCTATGGCGAACGATTTGGAACCTCAGAAGGCTGGAGAAAAACCATCAGTAGAAAAGAAAAAAAAGATGGTGGAGAGGAGCAGCTTTTCTGCAGAGACAAATGTCCTCAGTAAGAAGGGCCTGTTTGATGCAACTGATGCCACTGTCAAGGAGTCAGTGGAAACAAACACATCATATCCTACTGCTGCGGAGAAAGAAACAGCCAGTAGTAAATTATCTGATGCATCCAAGGAAAACTACAATGGCACTGTTAGGGGAGAAATGGTGGGTGATGTCGACAGAAGGTTGTGGGGTCTAACTCGTCATAAAGATCTTGGGGCGCATCATGAGAATCCAAAGACTATTTCTGCTGGAAGTGTTCGGGAAGATAAAAAGGCTAAATTTGGTGATGATGAGGCTTCAGGACACCCAAGGAAAGTTGGCAAATACAAAGGAAGCAAAGCTTCTGATTCAGTCAAAAAAGAATCGAGTGCGTCAAAGGTGAAAAGTGGTCATAAAGTGGAGCCAGAACATCCTTTGAGAAAGCAGAAGTATGACCAAATAGAACAGGAGCCACCGTCTTCAACAAAGGTCAAGGAACAGCAAACCTCTGTTGTTTTTGAGACTAAGCTGAATGGTCAAGCTGAGAAGAAGGAAGTGGTAGCCTTGAAACCACAAAGTGATAGCAAAAAAGCCGAGGACACTTACAAAGACTTTTTTGGAGACATAGGGGACTCTGAAGAAGAAGAGGAACAGAATTGTTCGCTGGACGTAAAAGATTTGCGGATTTCAGAAAAGGGACTTCCGCCCTTAGAAGATATGCCTGACAAATCGAGCTTCCCGCTGGTAGAACCTCAGAACGTTGGTCCTGAACCCATGTTGAGAAAACTTGGTTCTGATGCTTCTCTTCCGAAAGCAAATCCCGTGATCATACAAGAACATTGGGTTGCTTGTGACAAGTGTGGAAAGTGGCGGCTTCTTCCTTTTGGCGTCGTCCCAGAAGACCTTCCTGAGAAATGGATGTGCACAATGCTTAATTGGCTGTGAGTCTTTTTAACTTCTCTGTTATTGGTCCTATTATTTTGTTGGTGTGCTATCTGAGGTGGTTGGCATGACATGTGTTTGTTTCTCTGTGTTATTGGTCCTACTTTTTTCGGGATGAGAAACTAAGAGAAATTGATTCTATTTGTGATAATGTGCGTTTTAGGCCTGGAGTGAACTATTGCAATGTTCCTGAAGATGAAACAACGAAGGCACTGTATGCAATGTATCAGATCCCTGTCCCTGAGAGCCAGGCTTCAATGCAGAGTAATCCCAGTGGCCCTAAGCCTCAGTTTAACCAGGGAGATGACAACACAAAGAAGAAGAAAAAGGGTTTTAAAAAGATAGACAATGGAATGTATAAAGAAGGTTCTCGAACTGCCGAAACTAACAAGACCATCCAAACATCGTCAAGAAATGGTATTCAAAATTCGCATGGACTTGGCGACTTGGCCGAGGATGAGAGGCAAATACATAAACAGAAAGAGAAAGGAAAATCAGTGGATCACCTCTCTGATGAGTCGAAGAGCTTGAAGGCGAATAACAAAAGAAAATCAGATCTAGAGAGTTCTATGCTGGCCAAAAAAATGAAGATTGAAAGTTTTCTGTTTCCTGATGAATCCGAACATGGAAATGGACGTCCTACCTCGAGTAGTGGTGTCCCTGTCACGTCAGCAGATATAAAGCCCAAGCCTCGAGTCTCCTCCAAAATGCCAAAAGAGGAAGGAGGAGCTTCAGACACTGGAAATAGCAATAGCACAGGGGGGATTAAAAAGAGGAAACTGAGAGAAAGCCATGGTTCTAGGATTTACAGTGAGAACGAAAATCATGAACGAAAGAAAGCTCGAGTTCGTAAAGAAGAGAAGGAGCCTAGTTATTCTCAAGGCAATGGGAAGTTGGAAAAGAAAAATAGAAGTCATTCGAAAAGAGAGTATGCACATGTTCAGAACTCAATCGCGGCCACTTCGAGTTCTTCTAAGATTTCTGATTCTCATAAACCCAGAAACAGCTCCCACGAAGCTAAATGTTCGCCTGTTGAGTCGGTGTCTTCCTCACCTATGAGGCTTTCCAACATGGAGAAAAGTACATCTGCGAGAAAAAAGAAAGAAGAATCTTATGATGCTAATGTCTATGCAGCAGGTAGTTTGAAAAAATTCTCAGATGGTGAAGGTGAAGATGATGGTGGGAGTGATAGATCGCTGTCGCGGATGAAGGACAAACATGGATCCCATGAGTCTTCTGTGCTTGATATTTGGGATAATAAAGGATCTTTGAAAGCCAAAGAGCGCGCTGATCCTTCTCTCGATGCCAATTTTGAGAATGGTGGCCACAAGGATTTACCGCGGAAACTGGATCATATTCTCGGTGAAGGAAAACAGTCTAGCGATCATCATCGACGTAGCAATGATTCCCTGGCAAAGAAGTCAGGAAAAGCTTCATCTTCTCGGTCCAAAGAAAAGAGCCAAACCATTAGGTCTGATTTACGGGATGGCCCGAGACATATTGAAAAGAAGATATACGATGGTAGTCCTGACAGTAGAGCGGATATGATCGCGAGACCAAACATTCCAAAACCTTACGACTCCGAAAGAATATCGGAGAGGAGTAATAGAGCAGATTTAGCTTCTCCATCACGGCCACCATGTAGAGGTATTCAAGGGGATTCTTCTATGCTTTCTGTCCGTAAGAAAGTCGATAAATGCAGCACATCAGCTGGAAATAATAATATTCAAGCTGATGATGTGACAAAGGCAACCACCCAAATAAGAAGGAAAAGCGAGCCTTCTCCAAGCCCCTTGCGAAAGGAAGTAACATCTGCACAGGCCGCCCATAATACTTTAAAAGAAGCTAAAGACTTGAAACATACAGCTGACCGCCTCAAGGTTTTTCTCATAATTCAGTTGCAGTGTAAATGTCTATTTCTCTTTTGTATTCGCTTCTCATGGTCTTACTTTTCTTGTTACTGCAGAGTTCTGTATCAAATCTCGAGCACATTGAGCTCTACTTCCAGGCTTGCCTTAAGTTTCTTCATGGTGCTTTTCTCTTGGAGATGAGTAGCAACGAGAGTGCTAGACAAGGAGAAACAATGGTCCAATCTATGAAGATTTATAGTAGCACAGCGAATCTTTGCGGGTAATTTACATTTGTGAGGATAAAGGAAAAACGTCGTTCATTCCTTCTTTCCATTTGTAAGCATTGAAACCTTTTTTCGTGATAGATTTTGTGCCCATGAGTATGAGAAGTCTAAAGATATGGGAGCTGCTGCCCTGGCTTACAAATGCATGGAGGTCGCGTATATGAGAGTGGTTAATTCCTCCTACACCAGTGCTAATAGATATCGAAATGAATTGCAGACTTCTCTGCAAATGATTCCGCCAGGTAAGCTAGTCGGAGATAGCCAAATTCTTTATTGGCCATGTCTTTAGTCTTGCCCGTTGTAATGTTCTTGTCACTGCCTTTTAGGTGAATCTCCTTCTTCATCTGCCTCGGATGTTGATAACGTGAACCATCCAGCAGCAGTAGACAGAGTTGGTACCTCAAGGGGCATCAGTTCTCCTTTAGTTGCTGGGAACCACATCATTTCTGCGCAAAACCGTTCTAATCTTTTACGCCTGCTTCAATTTGTAAGTGTCTTAATGCCTCTTCCAAGTTCATTCCCCACATTTATACTAAAATATAAAGTTCGTTAGTTGAATGGAAGATGAAGTGATGCAGTTAACATGGAAAGTCATAAACATAGGCCAGTGTGATTAGTCTCAGCTACTCTCTACTGTTTGTAGGCTCAGGACGTAAATCTGTCAATGGATGCCTCGAGGAAATCACGTGTGGCATTAGCAGCTTGTATTGAAAACTTGGGGGAGGCCCAACAACAAGGAGAGGGTATTATATCTATTAAAAGCGCCCTTGATTATAACTTCCAAGACATTGAGGGATTGCTACGTTTAGTGAAGCTTGCAATGAAGGCCAATAACCGGTGAAAGACAAAAAAAAATGAAGCAACTTATTTTGCAAAAACTGAGAAGAGGCAAAGTTATGATAGTGAAGAGATCACTGTTGCCTTGCTGCTCTGGGTCCATTTCCATTCACAAACGGCATTTCAGGATTTTGTTTGGATCAGGTAAGCATTTGTACAAACCAAGAGGAGTTCAGTTGACAGAGTCCGCTGTGAAGAGGTTTCTGGTAGACCAAGGAAGGAACTTGGCATTTGCGATTTTCAGATGCTTCTCTTATTCTACCAAAGGAACAATTCACAATGGCAACATCATAACAAGCTACTTTCCCAACTAATTATCCAAGAACTATGTATGGATTATACAGAGCAACCAAGATGTAACTTCTGGTACTGGATTTTCTATTTCTCGATCCCATGACAGTGAAAGATAGTTCCCCCAGTATCAGGTCAGTCATTGATACATCAATTACAATATCTTTTTGGTTCAACAAGCTCTTATTTTGTCTGTGCTAACCTACTTTGAATGTGTTTCTGCAGATTCTAAAGTCTAAACTGTCGTCATTCAAAATAAGCCATTTAGGGTATTACAAAGAAAAGATATAATAAGATTACAAGATCTGGAGTTATAGTAGCTTTTCCTGTAGTTGTGATAGGCTTTCTAAGTTTTAGGAGGTAAGAAAGAGTTGCATCTATTCTTTTGCAATTTTTGAAGTCATCTTATATTTACTCAAAACTCAACTCTGATGTCCTTTTGTTGCTCTTTCTCTTGGCAGTGTTGTCTTTTTTGTAGATAAGAAAGTATAAGTTACAAATAGAGTTTTGCCGTCTTACTCTGCCGGAGGAGCTTTCTAAGTTACTGGTAACTTCCCCATCTGATTTTCAGGTGCAGTTCTCTGCAAAGTTCTGAAATAGGCTTTGGTTCTTGTAGCTAAAACAATATGTTTGTTTTTGACTGGAGATTCTCGACTGAGTGTATATGTATGTATGCCCCCTCCGATTTCAATGGCCTTATTGTATAAACTGTAACATTGTCCATCAAAAATGATGGATATTATCTTAATACAAAAAACATATATGAGTGAGAGAATTTTACTGTCCTCTGATCATACATACACTAGGCTGGTAATTTTCCTTCTTTTCTTCTTTGATTTCAAAACCTCCAAAATTCAGTAATATGTTTATTCAATCCAACACAAACATTGGGGCAACTGTTATCACCAAAAATCTCTGCAAGAGCAAGACCCGTCACTAAAATGGTGAAATCTATTACAATCTCTCACAACAATTTCTCTACTAAAAAGTTTCGAGATCATCTTCATCACAAGATGACAATCTCCACAGATTCTGAGGTTCTTGATGATTCTCACTGGAGTTCCAGGCCTTGTTTTCATCAAACAGAACGCAATCGCCAGTTTCTCACTGTGGTAAGACAAAGCCATCTCTTTATCTTTCTCCTCAAGATCAAGTAAAACCTCCTTAGTGTCTGAAACATATCCAGCTTCTCTCAGCCTCTGCATTATCTCCTCGAGAATAGCATAGATCCTTTCGCTCTCTTGTTGAGATTCGTCTCCTACAACAAACTCGTGAACTACTCCCTCTACTTCAACATAGCTACATCCCGGAACTTTCTTAATGCCCTTGACCTGTAGAGAGAATCTGTAATTACTTCAGAAACTGTGTAACAGATAAGCAAAAAGAGTTAGAAGAGAGGGAAATAGTTTTGTATTGCCTCCATTTCGTGTCTGATACGCTTAACTTCTATCCACCTCCCTGTTTTGGCATAGACGTTAGAGAGAAGCACATAGGCTCCACTGTTCATAGGATCTAGCTCGATGAGTCGCTTGAGGGCACCTTCACAAGTCTTGATATCCCCAAGCATTCTTGATCCGCTTAAGAGAGACCCCCAAATAAGTACATCAGGTTCCATAGGCATAGATGCTATAAAGCTCTCTGCTTCTTTGATCAAACCAGATCTTCCATAGAGATCAACCATGCAACCATAATGCTGGATTGATGGAATGATACCGAATTCCTCAGTCATCATTTTAAAGTAAGATTTTCCTTCATTTATTAGACCTCGATGTACACAAGCACCAAGAATGCCCACGAATGTCACTGAGTTTGGGTTTATGTTGTTACTCGTGGTCATCTCAGAGAACAGTTGGAAGCACTCATCTGTGAGACCGTACATTGCTAAGCAACATATCATAGCACTGTAAGCTTTGACATCTTTCTTGGATCCCAAGGCATTGAAAACCCTTTTTGCTCTCTCGAGGCTCCCACATTTGGCGTACATATCAATGAGAGCTGTGCCCAGGACAATGTCAATCTCCACTCGGTACTTATCGATGTAAGCGTGAACCCATTTCCCTTGCTCAAGGGCACCCAATCGCCCACAAGCCGAGAGAACAGTCGACATTGTAAACTCATTGGGGCTGACGAAAGCTTCATTTGATTTAGGTAATTGCATCTCTCGGAACAAATCAAGCGCTTCTTTGTATTTCCCACACATAACGTACCCGTTTATCAAGCAGCTCCAGGAAATCACGTTTCTTTCGGGCATTTCGTCGAACAGTTTCCGCGCATAATCGATCAACCCGGCTTTAGCATAAGCATTGACCACCGAGTTCCACGCCGGCAAATCCTTTGAGTCTGACTCGTCGAAAACACGCTGAGCTGAGCTCAAGTCGCCACAAGAAGAATACATATTGAGCAGAGAAGTCCGGACAAAGGGGTCTTTGTCAAGTCCAAAAAGAAGAATCTGAGCATGAGTTCGTTGTCCAAGAGGAAGATGAATTGGATTGTGAAAAGAAGGGAGAAGAAACGGAAAAGTATGAAAGTCGGGACTGACGCAATGGTGGCGCATACGGAGGTACACTGAGATCGGAGAATGTCGTTGAGGCGGTGAAACATTGTGAACAATGGCACGAATGATGATGTTCCATACGAAAGATTCAAGCTTTAGATGACGAATATGAAAAATCGGATTTGCGTAAGATATAATTGCCTCCTTGCTCATTGTCTCAATCTAACAAGTGTATCAGAATTCGATTTTAAATATCAAGGCGGTTATTGACAAAACCGAATTAAACCGGTATTTAAATGAAAATTGGTTTCTTGTCAATTTACGGACGGAGGAAACAAAGGGTTTTGTTCTAATTTTGCAGAGATGGAGGAAGAATTGCTCTCCGCCGTGCCGTGCTCCTCCCTCACCGTTGAATCAGTTATCCGCGTGGCGACGGTAAAAACTTTTATTCATTTCGGGTCATATGTTTGTATAACTGCTGAGATACTAAGATTTTGTTGAAGCTCAGGCCGGTGGACTATACGGATTGTGCGCCGGACCTCGTGATGCTCGTAAAATAGGTATTGAAATTAGCTCTGATTTAGAGAGATTTTACATTACAATTCACTAATCTATTGGTGCTTTGTTACTGATTCTTCGCCAGGTTTAAGCGGCGCATCTCAAGCTTCCTTTGTGGTAAACCAATCTCTCTCTTTTGCTTTTCTCCGGTTGCTGAGAAATTGAGGACTCAGATTAATCTATCTTGGATTCTGACGTTGTGTAGGCGAAATCCATTGGCAGATTCGGATTTCAATGCGGTAATTTGCTTTTACATACAAATTAATCCAACACAATGACTATGGGATTTTGGGCTTAGATACTCTTCTTTGTCACTAGAATTATGCTTTTGAAGATCATAATGCTCTGTTTTGGTTGCCATGTGATATAATGCAGATTTCGTTTGGTTCTAAGTTTTTGAATTAGTTGATTGAGCTGCTCTTCAGTTTCACTATAACTTAGTTCTAGATTCTTGGATTAGTGTTTGCTTCTCAATTTTAGATTTTGGTAGAATGCATCAATAATCCATTGTTTTTGTATTCCTTTCAGGTCTTGTAAGTGGTGTGTTTACTATGACTCACTGTGGGCTTCAACGATATCGAGGCAAGAATGATTGGGTGAATGCTTTGGTAGGAGGAGCTGTGGCTGGAGCAGCTGTTGCTATTAGCACAAGAAACTGGACTCAGGTTGTTGGCATGGCTGGCCTCGTATCTGCTTTTAGTGTTTTGGCTAATTGCACCAGGACAGAGCCCAAACAACACTAACTAAGGTGATATTCAGAACACTGAATTTTGCTAATAATGTGAGTGTGGCTCCTTACATTCCTTCTGATACAGCCACAGTCACCGGATATTGAAAGTTGAAAGTATCTTATCTGTTGGTTTTGTTGCTTGCAGGTCTTAGACAAGTCATTCATCAAGACACTTGTGTGGAATTGGAAAGTGAAGATCAATACCGTGACTCTCTGTTTTAGTTGGCTGAACCGGTGGATGGTCGTTTTTCCTATGGACCACAATTTTGGTCTTGTCTCTCTGTATTCATCATGTCATGTACTCGAATGAAACACACGAAATCCGTCGAACCCAAAACCATATTTACATCAGTGCTGATTACTGTATAATGTTATTTACAAGACAGTCATAGAATAAATCATCAAAACTGATTTTTAATCAAGTGTATTTTAAAAGACATGTTGTTTCTTAATGTATTTTGGTTTTTTTTTTGTGTGTATTTTTTCGATTTATTTCTGTTCTAAGCTTTTTGATCTGTATGAAATTACTAAAAGCTATAAGATCGTTGAATTTTTAATTCGTAGTAAAAATTAAAAATAAAGAAAATAGTTGATTCGAATAAAGAAACTATAAAATATAAAATAATATACATTTTACCTACTCTTCATAATACGCTTGAGAGAGGAATACGTGTCCAAAAATGTAATTTTATCATTTGGGCAGCAGTGCCCTTTATAAATAGTAGTGATAACACAAAACCCTAATTTCCAGTGCTTTGCCGCTCTTGCTCTCCGCCGTCTGTCTACCTCCAGAAATCGTCGACTACAATGGTACGCCGATTTTCACCATTTTCAGCTATCATTGCCTCCCTCTGATTTGTCTTTCGCTTTCGTTTGTTTTGGATCTGTATAAGCTCTTTGGTGAATCCTCGAATTTGTTTTTCTTCATCAATCTATTTTGGAATCTAGTCCCGGATGATTCTGGCTTTGTTTGATTTCCTAGTTTCTATAGTGAATGCATCGGTTTAGTCGCTTCCTCTAGCTATGATGATATGTGACTCTTGTTTGTGATGCTTATCGCCGTTTGTTTCTGCGACGTTGTTGATTCGTAGGCACCCAAGAAAGGAGTCAAAGTAGCTTCCAAGAAGAAGCCGGTATGCTCTCTTAGCACTAGCTTTGTTTATTCTTCTCCATGTATCAGTTTTCGTGGAGTTCTGATTAGATTTGTTGTGTTTTTATTTTTAGGAGAAAGTTACCAACCCATTGTTTGAGAGACGCCCAAAGCAATTTGGTATCGGTGGTGCTTTGCCTCCTAAGAAGGATCTTTCTCGCTACATCAAATGGCCTAAATCAATCCGTCTTCAAAGGCAGAAGCGTATCCTTAAGCAGAGGTTGAAGGTGCCTCCAGCTCTTAACCAGTTTACCAAGACTCTCGATAAGAATCTCGGTTAGTCTCTTTTTGTTATCTAATTGTTTGTTCTCTTTGGTTTGAATGATCAGTTCCTTAATGTATAGTTTGTCGTAATTGCAGCAACCAGCCTCTTCAAGATTCTTTTGAAGTATAGGCCAGAGGACAAAGCTGCAAAGAAGGATCGCCTTTTGAAGAAGGCTCAAGCTGAGGCTGAAGGAAAGCCTGCTGAATCCAAGAAGCCCATTGTTGTTAAGTATGGTCTCAACCACGTCACTTACCTCATTGAGCAGAACAAGGCGCAGCTTGTGGTCATTGCACACGATGTTGACCCTATTGAGTTGGTGGTCTGGCTACCTGCACTGTGCAGGAAAATGGAAGTCCCTTACTGCATTGTTAAGGGGAAATCTCGTCTTGGAGCGGTAATATAATTCATTACTCCTTGGATGTAATCCCCATTAAAGTTTCTCTTTACTTTAATGTTCACCCTAACTTATGTTTATTTCCTGCTTCTATTTCCAGGTCGTTCACCAGAAGACTGCTGCTGCCTTGTGCTTGACCACTGTCAAGAACGAGGACAAGCTTGAGTTCAGCAAAATCCTCGAGGCCATCAAGGTAATTAGTTGAATCAGCTTTTGACAATGAGATAGTAGTGTGAAATGATACAAAAACATATTCTCATAGACACTTCAAACCATACTCTATCTAACGTGTTTCTGTATTTTTGGGTGAGTAGGCTAACTTCAACGACAAGTACGAGGAATACAGGAAGAAGTGGGGAGGTGGCATAATGGGATCTAAGTCTCAAGCCAAGACCAAAGCTAAGGAGAGGGTTCTTGCTAAGGAGGCTGCCCAGAGATTGAACTAAGCGATCCTTTAGTTCTCTGCTATGAAACATATGATAATGTTTTTGTTTAGCGATATTTTGAAAACCTGTTTTATTTTAATTTTTATGCTCTTTTGGATGTTACAACCCTCTTCAGAATTCTATGCAGTTTTGTTATCCATTTCACTTGCAAACTTTTATTGGTTGATCCTTTTTCAAAAACCTTATTTTAGTTGCAACTGTAATCAATTCTATGAATGGTTGTTCCTGCAAACCAACGAAATTCATCGTGACCTAAAAAGCAGCCGCCCGTGAAGAAAACTTTGGCGATTTTCGATTTTCCCTCTCCGGCGGCTGGACTTCTCGTCAGAGTTGTGGGAGGGTCTTTTGTTTTTGTCTTGCTTCTTAGTCTTGTTTTTAGATCTGTTGTTTTTGGCGATGGAGGCGTCTTTGTTCGCGGGTCATGGAGTGATGCCTCGGTAAGGCTCTGTTCTTTCCGGTGGTTGGCTTTGCTGTGACTAGGCGACATGGGGGGCTCTTGTTTGCGGCTCTAATCTTCGATTAGAGCAGGTGTGATGGGGTTCTAGGTTGCGGTGGTTCAATTGCGATGGAGCTTCTGGCTTGAGGTTGGTTTGTGTGGTGCTTTGGTTTGGCGTTTCCTCTCCTCGTCGCGGCATAGGCTTTGATTTTGTCTCATCTCAATTCTGGTTTTCTCGAGAACAAATCGGTTTTGTGGAGGAGATAGTGATTATCACGGTGGTGATTTAGGAGAGGCATGGTTCTCGATTTTGGTAATGGTGGCGGAAGATCTCTGCTTCAGGATTTGCTGGTGGTGGTGTCTTTGGGTTGTGGTTCTTCTGCAGCGGATGATAGGTTGTGGCTCTGTCGGGTTTTGGCTGCCGGTGGTTGCGAGGTGACAGAGACATTTCGTTTTTGTTCCTTGTCGGGTTTATGGCCTTATCGCTCCTCTTTTCGGATGTTAGTAGTTGTATATTTGTGTTTGTGTTTGGCTTTTGCTAGCTGTTGTTGGTAGGCTTTGTTGGTGTTGCCTATGGAATAGTTTGGGTCATGGTTTTGCTCTCTGTTTTCTCATGAAAGCTCCGGGGATTGGTCGTGTTGGCTAGGTTTTGGATAGCTTTCGTTTTATCCCATCTTGGTTCGTTGAATCTTTTACTTTTGACTCTTTCCACCGCCTCTAGATTAGACTAATAATAGGTTTTCTCTCGTGGTCTGTTCGTTGTCTGTTCTTGTAAGGCTAACCTTTCGTGGGGATGCAAAGTTCTAGATTTAGACTTGTTCGGTAGAAGACTAGGTGGTTAGGTTTTAGATTCGCGGTCGTTGCTTATTATGTTCGGGATATTCGTTTTTAGTTGGGTTATTTCTTCGCGGTTTCCTCTATCCTTGGTTCTACTCCGTTTTCGGTTGTAGGTCTTCTAGTATGCGACTTTTGAGCTCTTAGTTCCGCGACTAGTGTTCTCCTCCGACTTTCCCGGTGATTTCGAGAGCTTTACTTTTTGACTATTGTATTCTATCTTGTGTTTCCCGTGTATCGGGCTTTAGCTTCCGGGGATTTCTTTGTTTTCCGCCGGCTTTTGTATTTCAAAACCGCATTCCAAAAACGTATTCCTCCCTTGTATTTCACCCTTGTATTATATAATAAAGAATCTTTCAGTGAAAAAAAAAAAAAGTTGCAACTGTAATTGATTCACATGTGTGGTCATAATCATCGTTAGCTTTCCACGTAGAGATTTTCTTGTGTTTTCCCGTTTTCTTTCTAAGAGAGAGAGAGAGAGGATCAAACGTTTATGAAACGAACATTTTGTGATGGTATCACCAAACACTGGGACTATTACATGCGTCAAATGGAAAATTCTGCAAAGTTGAGCAATAAGAGATGTTTATACAATGAATTAAAAATGGATTCGAGCATAAAAGGCTTTGTATAAACTTGAATAATGGGCTTCAAATTCACACGCCCAGCATGACGTCATGTCAAAACGTTTTTCTACTTTGGGATTTTCCATTAAAATTAAAATTCTCTTTTATTATTCCAGATAAAAGAAAAATAAGAAAGAGAAAGAAAAATATGTGTCTCACTCCACAAATTATATAACCGCCTTCGAGTTCAATCTCTCTCTCTCTCTTTCACCGGCAATAAATCGGCGAATAATCAGACATCATCAACACGAGCATGATGAAGTTCAAGTTCGAATACGAAGAGGTCTCTGTCTCTCTTGATCTCAATCTCTCTCTCTGCCCATCCTTTAGTGTTTGCCTTTAGTTTTTTCTTCTATGTTCCTATGATATAGATGAGGCGTGATCTCAACATGTTACTACTATACACACAGGAATACATAAAAAACTCAAGAGGCGTAGAGCTGTTCGCTTGCAGATGGGTTCCCTCTTCTTCTCCCCGAGCTCTAGTCTTCCTCTGTCATGGTAACAAGCAACTACTATAGAAAGAACCTTCCATCTTATTTACGTTTTTCCAAATTTATTGGCTTTTTCTGATTTACTTATTCATAAAAAATCCCTAATAATAAGTAAAAATAAGAATTGGTCAATGTGCAGGTTATGGGATGGAGTGCAGTAGCTTCATGAGAGGTATTTAATTTTTCCTTCTCTCCCTCTTTTAATGCCCCTCTGCCCTCCAATACATATAGTATAAACTATAAAAATATGTGCTCTATTTGAGCCAAACATTTAATTGAAAATAATGCATATACTCCTTTGTATGGTCTGGCCAGAGAAAACTCATTAATGTTGAGTGTTTTGTTATAGCGACGTGCTTTAGATAGAGTAATTATCGAATGAGATTTTTTTTTGTGGTGATCCATGATTTATGTTCTCGAGCATGATAGGTTATTTATTATTTTCCTTCAGTTTTTTCAGAAATTAGTGTATATATGTGGCATCGACCATATGTGTTCATTGAAGATCCCTTATTTCGCCATCTAATCCCGGATCTTATGTTGCTAGTTTTTGTTTCTATATAAATAATAGCATGGTAGATATCATAATATATTGAGGATAAAAAAAATAGTATACTTTTAATCAGAGGAGATTAGAAAGAATGGAAAAAGAATCTTATTATTGCAAAAGTTGGTGTTAGTTGCACTTTTGTCTGCTTCGTAGCTTTCGATTTAGTTGTTGTTATCTTTATTTTGGGGAAACGTTTCACTATCCTTATCTTCACATTTTTCGTATTTTTCTGCTCTAATTTGTGTAAATACCGGTGTGGCCGAATTTGTCTATTCATGATAACAGAAAAAACTCGGTAGTAAATTCATACTATTAATTATGAGATTTAAGTTTGTTGTGGAGTTATGGTATGTCTAATGTCTAATTATCACGAATAATTTATCAACGTGATTGTGTGTACCTAACTAGAAAAGTAATCAGAAATTGACACAATATAAGACAAGAGTCCCCACGGATATTAATATTAGTTATGTTCCTCTTATCTTTACACAACGAGAAACTCGTGAACCGTAATCGATTGTGATCTTTGACAACTAATTCTGCTTAACCACATTGTCGATACATTGTCTCAATGAAATTCAAAATTTGTTGAATAATAAATTTGTAATGTTTTAAATAGAATGCGGAATACGGTTGGCATCAGCAGGATATGCAGTGTTTGGGATGGACTACGAGGGGCATGGTCGGTCCAAGGGTGCTCGTTGCTATATCAAAAAGTTCAGTAACATAGTAAACGACTGCTACGACTATTACACCACCATCTCTGGTACCTTTATTTGCATGAAAAATAACTATTCCGTCATCATCTTTTTTTTTTGAACATAAAAAGAACCTTTCAATTAGTTTTTCTTCTTCTTTTCAGATTGGTTTTTTCTATTTATGTAATATAGAAATCAAATACCTCAATGTTGACACAAAATCGAGGTTTTAGACTTGTAGTCGATTTATTTTCCTTTGGTTTTGTTCTGTTGTAGGAAAAACGACCAAATTGTTTCAGCTTTCCTTTTCTTTTTTTTATATATAATATATCATTCAAATAGTTGAAGAAGTTTCACTTTGGTTCCATTTTGGATTATTAGATCTCTTGATCTTAGACTTGACTGGCCTCATCCGATTTTCAATGTCCAATTTCCATGAACAAGACTAATCCCTACTTTTGTGATGTTATAGCACAAGAAGAATACAAAGAGAAAGGTAGATTTTTGTATGGAGAATCAATGGGAGGTGCAGTTGCTTTGTTGCTTCACAAGAAAGATCCTTCTTTTTGGAACGGTGCTCTTCTCGTTGCTCCCATGTGTAAGGTCACGTTTCTTCTCCTCTTTATCAACGAACCCCTACAATTAATCAAGTTAAGACATAAATCTATTAGTTTTAGATACAACTTAATTATCAACGTTTTCATTAGTTGTGTGTGTGAGCAGATATCAGAGAAGGTGAAACCACACCCAGTAGTCATAAATCTACTAACGAGAGTTGAAGATATTATACCAAAATGGAAGATCGTTCCCACAAAAGATGTTATTGATGCTGCCTTCAAGGATCCAATCAAGCGCGAAGAGGTATATTAATCGAATCACTCTCTAAAACATAATTAAAAGGTGTACTAATAAAATACCTGGTTCCTAAAATGTAGATAAGGAACAACAAGCTGATATATCAAGACAAGCCAAGACTTAAAACCGCGCTTGAAATGCTTAGAACGAGCATGGACCTTGAAGACACTCTCCACGAGATCACATTGCCCTTTTTTGTCCTTCACGGTGAAGCAGACATTGTGACTGATCCAGAGATAAGCAAAGCCTTGTTCGAGAAGGCAAGCACACACGACAAAACCATTAAGCTCTACCCAGGAATGTGGCATGGGTTGACTTCTGGTGAGCCTGATGCTAACGTTGACCTCGTTTTTGCTGATATTGTCAATTGGCTTGATGCTCGTACCGGTGACTCCGCTTCTCTGACAGTCACTCCCATACATGATTTTACCTCCAATGTTCAAAAGGTCGTTGACGGTGTTAGTAACGGTCAAGGAAAATCTAAACGACCACAAGCTAGTCTCCTTTGTGGTTTAAATGGTGGTGGACGTCGTTTGGTCCATAGATCTTCTATGTAATAATAAACTAAACAGAGAAGAATCTGTTTATTTTGTATTTCATATTCGTTTTCCTAAATAAAACCATCATCATCGTGTCCAAACTAAAATACATAAAAGACTTATTGTCACGAAACACAAAACAGCTACACGATCTTTCTTTACATATTTGAAGGAAGAGTCACAATTTCTGGACTACTATATGAATATTTAATGGGCTTTAGTCTTTTAAGGCCCTAAAATTAAATGGGCCTCAATCCAGCCCTTTTAAACCGCCATGAGTACACTTGGTTTCTCGAGTCCCTTCATCATCACGAAAGCGGGATTTAGAGTTAGCAGGTTAAAACCCTAACGATCTACGTTTCTATGAAAATCTCTTGATAGTTTCTTTATTCATCGTTTTCCTCCTTTTTGTTGAGTAAGACAAAGTTTGTCTCTTGATCTCTCTTGCTCCATTTTGTGTGATTAGAGATTTGATTAGGTTGTGTATGTGATTTTAGTTTAGGCTGAGAGGATGTATAAGAAGGCGAAGCCTGAGTACGCGACAGCTAAAATAGCGGTGTGGTGGGACATGAAGTGCTGTCCGATTCCCGAGGGTTATGATGCTCGTCTGGTCCGCCCGAGCATAGAAGCGGCGTTCAATGAACTAGGCTACTCTGGTCCTGTCTCCATCACCGGCTATGGCGACCAAAGACAAACCCCTTGTCACATCCTGCGAGGTCTCTCTTCCACCGGAGTCGCTGTTGCACAAATCAAATCCGGTTAGTCCAATTGCTATCGATATCTGAATTTATATTGTTTAAATTTCAACAACGTCTCAACGTCAATTTCAACAGAAAGCACATGCTCACTCATGTATTCGAATATGCTGGAGTGGCGAGATCATAATCCTCCTCCGGCTACAATGATGCTCATATCCGATGATTGGCAAGATGTCTTCTCTTGGGATCTGGCCCGTCTACAACAGCACACGAAATACAACCTTTTTCTGTCTTATTCAACTAAGTCTAACATAGGTTCGGCACTGGAACCTTGTGGAAAGTGGATCTGGACGAAGTTACTTGCGACCAAAAGGGAACTTGTTCAGGACAAAAAGTGCTGCAGTTGTGAGTTATCTGCCATGTTTTATTGCAAATCGTGCAGTTACCAGGGCCAAAGCGTGGAGGGTTTCAGGAAGCATCTCTCGACTAGAAAGCATGCAGTGAGAGTAAGTAAACATCCTCTCGACCGTTTTAATGTATAAATTGTTGAACAATAATAGTTTGATCTCTAAAATATATTCTCTCTCTCGCACCAACCTGTTTCCACTCGCTCGCAGGAGGTTACAAACCGTATACATCCAGAACTTGACTATTTGACGAGGACGTGGGCAAAGGACTACCCTGCAAAGCCTGAGTACGCGACAGCTCAAATAGCGGTGTGGTGGGACATGATGTACTGTCCGATTCCCGAGGGTTATGATGCTCGTCAGGTCCGTCCGAGTTTAGAAGCCGCGTTCAAGAAACTAGGCTACTCGGGTCCTGTCTCCATCACTGCCTATGGCGACCACAACAAAACCCCTGATTACATCCTGCGAGAGCTCTCTTCCACTGGAGTCGGTCTTGCACATTCCATTCCCGGTTAGCCCATTTGGTTAATTATCCATCTCTCTGGAATTTTAATTATCCCTATTGAAATGCTTTCCTGTTACTGAAACAGAAGTCATATACAGTCGCATGTTTAGAAATTTGTCGGAGTGGAAAGATAGTAATCCTCCTCCGGCTACAATTATGCTCATATCCGATGCTGTGGAGGTGATGTTCTCAGGTGCTCTTGCCCGGTTACTACAAGAGACGAAATACAACCTTTTTCTGGCTTATTCATATAGGCCTTACAAAATGTCAGTCTTGCTCACTTCTGCAGAGTGGCTTTGGGAAAGCTTACTTCTTGCAGGTGTTTTTTTCTCCTCTCCTTATCATCATCCCCTAACGTTTGAAACTAATGACGCTGTTTCTGAGCTATAGTTGGTGTTTTTTTCTTTCTTGCACTTGTTTCAGAGACAAGAAGACACGTTCTTGGCAAGTGCAGTGAAAGGGGTGAATCTACCAAAATGTTTTCTTGCACAGTGTGTATTTGTGATTGCAAAAGCCTTGAAGATTTGAGGACGCACCTCTCAAGCGAAGACCATGCAGTGCTTGTAAGCATCCTCTGTATCATGAATACATCATTTGAGCAACAACCTGTTTAACTTTTTCCATTTGTTGTCAAGCAGGAGCGTCATTATCCTGAGGTTATTCGAATGAAGTACCGCTGTATAAAGCAGTGTCAGAAGGCAAGTTTTTCTAATGATGATTATAGATCTTCAAACATGGGATTTCTTATTAACAGTTGATGTTTCATATATCTTGTAGACGGAAGTACTAGCAAATTTGCCAGAGAGAAAACGTATGAGGAAAGCATACCGGACGGGTTTTGGTCATCTTCATAATCAGTTACGTAATCGTTGAGCTCGACGTAGGCCTTAATATCTCAAACCTGTCCTGGAAGTTGTTACTTATTTTTCATTTCGTTTTGTTTGTTTAAAACAATGGTTATATATACATTTATTTACATAGGAAGTAAGTTAATCCTATTAATCACTGACATAATTTTATAAGTTACAATGGCTCAAACCCTAGTTAGGAAATGTAGCGTGCAGAGGAAAAATGGGTTATAAAGGGACATTGTACTTTGAGCAACCCATCCAATGAGAAGAGCTGACCACGAATCTGAGGATGAAAGAGGAAAGTCGTCATGAATAAACAATACTCAAAAGGCTATTAGTACATGAACATATGTATTTGCCTTTGCCACAGGGGACAATCTCAGCATTCTTTTTCCCCTGTATAAGACCAAACAGTCAACATTCAGTTGATTGAAAAGTTAAAATCTCTGTACCTCCTATGAGTATTTGAATGGGCTAAGACTAAACAGTGAACTTTATATTTTAATTAGTCATATACTCGTTAGGCTCAATAGTTAGGTGGGCCTCAATTCAGCCCTTTTCAACCACAATTAGTTATATACTCAGGAAGAGCCCAAATCTCTGTACTTCATATGAGGATATTTAGTGGGCTTTAGTCTCTTAAGGCCCAATAATTAGATAGGCCTCAATTTTTCAGCCCTTTTAAACCGCCATGAGTAGTATTGATTTCTCGAGTCCAACACTCATCATTCTTCTTCCTGAGAGATCTTTTTGGAAAACGAAAGCGGGATTTAGCGTTAGCAGGTAAAACCCTAATTTCTTCGATCTGCGTCTCTTGATAGTTTCTTTATTCATTGTTTTCCTCCTTTTCAGCTTCCACCGTTTCGGAGAATTTTATCGAGCTTCAAGTGAACATGAGGTAATTCCTCTAGGTTTCTCATCTTCGTCTTCTAATTTTTATCATTCTTCTTCTAGATCTTTTCTAACACTTGGTTTTCTTTTTTTCTCGATTTCAGTAAACCAATGGAAGAGGATACCAACGTAAGTAACTCTTTCTCGATCTATTTGAAGCTTTTTTTATTGTAACCTAAGCATAAACATAGAACCCTAAATTCGAGCTTTTTAGTGCCTGGAAGCTGGAACCAGCTGTTTATCTTTTGTTGCCTGATCCTTATTTTGGTTCTTACGGATTCTCAATTGGAAATTTGTTGATGTATAATATACCATTAGAAGGAAGTCATGTGGTTTATCTGTATCTTCTAGTAGTTGTGCTAGTGAATAGAAAACACTGTCCTGAGAATTCATCACAGATGGTCAGCTAGAGTTTTGGCTATATGAATGTTGCTGGTTTTGGATGAGTACTTTAGGCAATCTTGTATTGGATGCATTGTTGTTTAATACTCTCTACTTTTTTATGAATGTAAACCTAGTTGCTCATTCTTTAGCAGGGAAAGACTGAGGAGGAGGAGTTCAACACTGGACCGCTCTCTGTTCTGATGATGAGTGTTAAGAATAACACTCAGGTGTTGATCAATTGCCGTAACAACAGGAAACTCCTCGGCCGAGTTAGGGCTTTTGACAGGCACTGCAACATGGTTCTTGAGAATGTCAGAGAAATGTGGACTGAGGTAAAACTTTTTTATCATATTTCTGTCTGTGCTTCAGGTATAGTAGACAAGTGCTGTTTCTTACATGGGTTCTCTGGTTTATTTAGGTACCGAAAACCGGAAAAGGAAAGAAGAAAGCTCTTCCTGTTAACAGAGATCGATTCATCAGCAAGATGTTTCTGCGGGGAGACTCTGTCATTATCGTCCTCAGGAACCCCAAGTGAGAGAAATTGAGATGGCTGGTGGTGGTTGCTATTCATATGATAATTCTCGCTTCTTCTTGTCAAATTCTAATTGTTGCATCAACGGAGAACATGTTTTGATTATGAGCCTTAAACCTAGTAGTGAACTGCCTTGTATTTTTTTCACTTGTGTTCTTCTATCTTGACTTGAAAAATCCCAGTGTTGAGTAATGCCACTAAACTTTGTAATAGCAAAAGCCAAGTTCTTTTTCTTTTAAAACTGTAGTGAGGTTCATGAATAGTAGTAGTAAGTAAAGGTACCAAATTCTTACTCTAAGTTTACAAGATTATCAAAACAGAAATCAAAAACGAAATAAATAGAAACGAAGCTCTGCTCTCTTCACACTGCAAAGTCTTGCAATTTTGTTTTCAACCCACTACCAGCCGCAGTGGCTGCTACTCGATTCTGCATTTGCTCAAGCTGAAGTTGTCTTGGTGGTGGTTGCAGCTGCAGAGGAGCCTTCTCTCTGGTCACCAAAGACACGTTGACGGAAATCTTTGACCATGAGAGGCAGTCCCTGACGAAGAGAGACCTTTGGTTCCCAACCTAAAAGCTCTTTGGCCTTTGTGATGTCAGGCTTTCTCTTGTGAGGGTCGTCTTCTGTGTTTGGTCTGAACTCTATGTTTGCGTTTGGATCAATCGTCTCTTGGACCACCTTCCAGCAAAACACAACCAAATCAAAATATCAGAATCCAGGGTCATATGTAAGAATGGAAGTGTATATATATCTATAGAAAGAGACCTTAGCGAGCTCGAGCATTGTGAATTCACCAGGGTTACCGAGGTTAAATGGCCCGACATGTTCTCCTTCCATCAATCTCATCAAACCTTCAACCTTTTACATCACACAAACACGAAATCAGATTGATCATACAATATTAACAGCTAAAAAATTAACCAGGACAAAGGGGCAATAAAGTTGAGACACCAAAAACAATAAAGTTGAGACCCCATTTTTGGTCCTATGTCACATGATTTTGATACCCATCTTCATAAGATTGCTAAAGTGGGGACCAATTCTGATGTCTATAACAAATTTGGGTCTCATGTTTAAAAGCTTTTGTTATTAGATCCCACGACATACTCACCAAGTTTATTCAATAACATGTGAGCTCACTAGACACTAATTTTTTTTTAACTCTCAAGCTTTTTACCCCCAAAATATGAAAGTATATTGGAAGGCATTCTACACACAAGTAAAACCCTTTCCTTTGAGAATGTCACCCTAAAAAGTAGTCTCACTATATACAAAAAGAACTTAATAAAGGTCTAATACTTTAAAAGTTGAATATACAAGTGATTTGACATCAAATCACCTACCAAATTTGGCTTTTTTTTTCCTTTTCCACAAAAATGTAAGAAAATATCTCGAGTTGGACCAAAGAAACAATATAATATATAAGTTTGGCAAGTTGTAGTACTATATTGAATTGCTCTTTGAGGAGGAATATGGAAAGCCTTACCAGATCAGAAACAAATTGGAAACTCCTTGTCTGCTTCCCATCACCGTAAACAGTCAATGGTTCTTTCCTTAGTGCCTGTTCAATTATTGCCAATTTAAACAATCATTACTCCACCAGACCCTTCTTTAATCATTTATTGTTTTGTGCCACTAGATTATTAACAAACCTGTGCAACGAAGTTGCTGACAACACGCCCATCATCTATACACATTCTTGGACCATAGGTGTTGAAGATCCTAGCAATCCTGACCTGTGACCAATCAACAATGCAGACACCAACTCAGTCATCAATAACCTCTTCTTACTCAATACTCAACTAGACAAACCATAAATTGGCTTGAAAAAGAGGCTAAATGAAAAAGAGTAACCAACCTCAACATTGGCACCTCTGTGATAGTCCATGGTCAACGTCTCTGCCGTACGTTTTCCTTCATCGTAGCAACTACGAACACCTGTTCCATTACAAACCCATTAGTCATCAATCAAATCACAAGAAAACATGCACGTGTCGGTATAGTTACTGTGCCAGTAAAATTTAAAAGTAAAAGCAAATCTTTTCAAGCTCTAGAATTTTGAAAGTCGGCATTGGAAATGCTAGGCCAGCAGCTAATATTGAGGCTGCGTCTAAGGTAGAGACACGTATAAGAGAGCCGCACGATCACAAAGACCCGTTATTTACGGTTCAATGGTTTGACCGTACATAGACAGGGGACCAGATCTGAAAGGAAAGCACATGAAGGGCGCACCATCAAACACCTGTTTTTCAACCCTCTCTCTCTCCTAACGTGCGCATTTTCCGACACAGAAAATGAAAGAAATCACAAAAGACAGAAAAGCTCTAAACGTCGTCGTGTCACGTGACGGTGGAATAAGGTTTGGGAACAATAAATAACGCTTCCTTTTTCAGATTCCGATTAAAGTACACAACCAATGAACAACAAAACAGAAGGCATAAAAACTAAAACTTTAACCCTTCAAAATTGACAAAGAATGAATCAAATTAGGGGGATTACCAATTGGATTAACGTTTCCCCAGTAAGTCTCGACCTGAGGATGCTGCAGAGGATCGCCATAAACCTCACTGGTACTCGTCAGGAGAAATCTAGCACCGACTCGCTTAGCCAAACCAAGCATGTTCAGTGTTCCAACCACATTCGTCTTGTATCAATCAAAGTCAAGGAACAAACACAAACAAACAAACAACAATTCCAGAATTGAATCGATAAAAAAACTGAAATCAAGAATGAAATTGAGAAGGATATGATAGTCTTGACGGGATTGAATTTGTAATGAACAGGAGAGGCAGGACAAGCCAGATGATAGATCTGATCAACCTCAAGAAGAATCGGCTCAACAACATCGTGACGGATAAGTTCAAAATTAGGGTTACTGAAATGGTGCATAACGTTCTCTTTCCTTCCAGTGAAGAAATTGTCAACAACGATGACAGTATCTCCTCTAGCCATCAAACGATCCACAAGATGCGATCCAACGAATCCAGCACCACCGGTGACAACGACTCGTAGCCCTTTGCGTTTCAATCCGAGTGGGATTTTCCCGCCTGTTGCTCCGATCCGGTTCAGGTACTCGAGGCTAGGTTTCCTCTGAGCTTGCATCGCCGGAACGTACGATTCGTCGGGTCTGATTCCGTAACCGGAAAACGGATCCGAGTATGCGTTTGATTGGGTGGAGCGAGGGAAAATTGTGAAAACCAAAGTAGCGATTGCAATGCCAACGAGAACGAAGATAAGTCTCTGTTCACGGAGCATGTAACGCATCGGACGAGTCACCATGAACCATGGTTTGATTGGTTTCGGGTAATAAGCATCGGCGATGGGTTGATCCGCCTCGTGTCGCCGGTTGATCAGCTCGCTCGCCATCTCCAAACCTCAAAATTGAATTCGAGAAAAAAGAAACAGCTACACGATTTCTAGATCTAGAATCGAAAGAGAGAAAATCAAAATCAATCCGTAAGAAGAATTTTTGTTTTCTAGGAAAAAAATCACCGAGTCGAACTCGCCGGGAACTGAGTCGGACCTTGAACGAGAGAGTGAAAAGCGAATCGGTCTTTGTGGTGTATTTAAGTAGCGGAAGCGTTACAGGTCAAGGCTTGTTTTTCACTCTTATTACGAGAATACCCCTTTCCTTCAAAATCGGACCAATTAGTATTGTTGCTTAGTCCATTATTTGCAACAACAAGAAAACACATATTATATGGTTTTTATACTCAATTTGTAATTAATGAAATGATAGGTTCGTTAGGTATGCTAATCTCACGTAAACAAAGTCAATGCCAAACCCTAACTTATCACTCAAAGCCAATTTGGTGTGAGCTTTGAGTGATTTCGACGTTCGTTTTTTTAAAAGTTACAGCATAACATAATATTTTAAATTAGCAATAATATAAAAGCATGTCCTAACAAACTAAACAGTTTTTACAAATCACATTCATAACGCTTATGAGTCTTATGACCATAAGGGTTGGAGAAACGTGATTTTAGATTCAAAAATTGCCTATGAGATTAAATGTGACTTATTTTTGTTTTATTTGGTTCTATTGTTAACTTAAAATTTTACAAAAAGTAACCAAAGATTAAAGGTAAATATCCAATTTAGTGATACTATGAGTCCATTATTTTTAATTTAAATTATACACTAAGCCGCCGCGGTGTTTCCCTCTCTACCTTCACACCTCCCTCCCTCCCTCGCAAAACTACAAAATTTCTAACTTGTGATCTAAAAAAATCACACAAAACGTTGGACTCGGAGGTGGATACAAATTTTCAAAAATGGAAGAGCATGTTGGCGTTTACGTTGACTTGTGATGCTAACCTGGCGGTTTAGCTAGCTATGTCACCCCACATCTCCTTCATTTTCTTGCCTAACTATTTTGGATTCGTGATGGCTACCAATTGAATTTATTATTAATAATTATTTTTTCCCTCTAATCAACTTCTTTGTTTTCTTATAAATAACAATTGAATTTTGTGACCCATATAAAACTAATGGAATAAGACTAGCTAACTATAATAATGTTAGGAAGGACCTCTTATATGAAACTACTATATATATGTGACAAAATCAAAGCATCTTGTTAAAAAAATTATATATTGGTCTTAAATAAAGTAAATATTTAATTAACTCTGTGTAGATAGACAATAAAAAGTTGCAACTTCCTACTATTTGGTAACTAAAACTAAACAGAAGATTTGAAGCATCAATATGCAATGTTTGTGGCGTTAAGAGTAAGAAAATTCAATTATTGTCGTAACTTTTCATTTACAAGGAGCTAACGCTAAAACGAGTTAAAATGGTAGACAAAAAAATCTTCTGTGTTGAACCAAGAAAAAAATATCTTTTGAGTATTTTTATGGGATATTAGGTTTATCACCGACTTCTTCTCACGTTTGACTTTACGAGAGAGGTTCGTTACTCGTTAGGTGGCTTGGGTTTGGGCTTGGGACGGTCAAATAAAAACGACAATACTGGACTAATAACATTGGCCCAATAGATGACCTTAGGCCCACAACATTTTGCCTATAAATAATTCCATTAAGATGAGATAGATACACTTATCGTAGTGAACCACCTTATTAATAATATGATCTTACACGTTCATGGAAATTAAAGCTTTATAAAATTTCATGATTTAAGAGATTACAAACCATTAGCCGCTAGCTTGTTGAGGAGAGCGAGAGAATTGCTGGACAAATACAAAGACGTCGTGACTCTCTTCCGAATCATCCTGACCGTTGATGATGACCTCGTGGACGTCTTTTCAAACCCATCAAGACACGTGTCCTTGTCCGTGAGGGAAGTGCTAAGCCACGTGGCAAGATCACTCATCTGCTGCTGAAACTCGCTGGCTCTGAGTGTCCGAAGGACGGCCAAGGACTTGTGGAGACTATCAAGAGAGTCTTGTAGCAGTTCGCGACAATCTGACAAAGCGACTCGATCTCGTTTCCCAATCGTTGAAAGCCGCGTTTTGAGAAGGTGTCTAAGGACGTCTTTGTTGTCGGTTATGGCAACGGAAACGCCGGCACGTGCCCATTTGCTGGGACTGTTCTTGGCGACTGATGCAAAAGGCGATAGCGTTTTAGCGCAGAGATCTTGGTAGCGTGTAACACTACACGCGTTTTGAACGTAGCTTTCGCGTTTAGACGGTAATGATGAAGTTGGGTTGAGAGAAACGAGAAAGAAGACAAGTGCAAATGTGATGGAAGAACTCATGAGTTTTTTCATGGGTTGTAAGAAAACTGTAATCTTTTATACAGAATTGGTGTCGACGAAAGAGATCGTATATATAGACACGTATAAATTTAATTTAGGTGTTTTGGTAGGTTTAAAAGTGAAAGTATAAAAAGTATGGCGGTCCATTTGTAGGTGTCGGAGTTATGATCACAACGTTTCGTTCTAACGCTATGTTCGATGTTATTAATTTGTTGTTTTGGCGATAGCAAATCATTGGTTTAGTTAATTTGATTACTATGTTAACTACCCCAACCTAACGAAACTAGAGATTGGTCTATTTTATTTCTTTATTGTTTTGGTAATCATTGGTCTAATCCTTACTCTACCAGGCGGACTTAACCAAGATTGAAAACATGATTTTCCCCAACGTAGTGATAAGAAGAGTTGAGTAGAAATTCTTCTATAAAAGAAAATGATAAATTTATTTCATCATGGCTACGAATATATGTTATAAGATTATCACTAAGTGTTGAATATATGTTATAAGATTATGACTAAGAGTTTATAAATGGAAGATGAGCTAGTTGTGTACGGAACGAGGTTGTAGTACCGTTACATCGAAAAAGCTACGTTATGTAGTTTTGTCATCGCCATGAGGCCCATGACCATATCTCCCTTCGAATCCATTTTTTTTTAGTTAACCTTTTCTTTATTTACGACATTGCTACTTTCTTTAGGACGTGCGTGAGTTTATATACAACATAATCACGTAATGCGTGAGCATTTATGAATACAGCTAAAGAATTGAATCAAACTCACATGAATTGAGAGAACAAAGTATATGTGGTTATGGCGATTCACATGATTCCTATGAAACAAAAGACAATGCTCCTCAACACAAGAATCTAAGGATTGCACACCAGAAAGAAGATGACTGAGACACTAATAAGAGAAACCTAGAACTCTGAACATAAAACCATGAAGATCATTAAAAAGGACTTTTGAGCAAAAGCATGGACACTCATGAGTCATGAATGGGGGTAAACTGAAAGAGGATTGTGTAGTGGTTTTCATTGGAAAATGAACCATACTTCTGTGACCCCGTAGCGAAAATAAAGGTTGTATTTTCTTGGTTTGAAAAACTAGAGTGATTTCATGGCTTCATTCTTCTGGCGTCAACTCTTTTTCAAACTTCACATCAGACTCTGTGAAGCCACACAAACACAGACTGGGTGACAAGGAAATCTAGAGAGATGATACCTAAGCTTACGTAGGAAAGAATTCTACTCCAATCTAACAATATAAGTGACATAGATTTGGAAAATGACACAAAAGATGGGTCTCTACGACAAGACAAGGCTTCTAAGATTTGAAAATGACACAAAAGATGGGTCTCTAAGACAAGACAAGGCTTCTAAGATTATTGATTCAAGAAAAGTGGAAAAGTGAGGTCTACAGTCTAACAAACAACAGAATCAATATTAGCCATGAGCTGAAAATGTATGTAAGGAGCTTCTTATTGATTAAATTTGGCCGTGAAGAGAGAAAACAAACAGAGAATGACAAAAAAAAGTTACACCTTTCCCGATTAAACAAAACGAGTAAGGGACAAGTAATCCAATTTCAGACTGGGCAAGTCATTGAGAGAGACTTACTTACTCATACAGATTATTTCCGAAGCATTTCCTCTGATGGAAGCTCCAAAGTAGCTCCTGCGTGTTCCTGACTTGCTTTCACCTCTACAACACGAAACAAAAAAAAAATCAGATTCCCAAAAATATGAGGTTTCACTCACGCATTTCAACAAACAGATGGTGCGCAAGATAAAAGAGAGTGAAATGAGTCAAAACGCACCGTATCCGCCGCGTTCGTTTAGTTTGGCCTGGACGATCATGGTGGAAATGAACTGCGTGGCTTCACGCGCCTCTTCGAGAAGGCGAGTGATGTCGGAGTTGGAAGCCACGAGGCGGTTCTCTTCGAATTTCTTACGGATCTCGGACGCCGAAGCTTTCAGCATCTCAGTATCACCGGCGAATGATTTTCTTGTAGCCCTGAGAAGAGCTCTGTACGCGATCAATGCTTCTCCGGTCACCATTTCTACTCCTTCCCCTTTCAAACTCCGCCGTCGTCTCCTTCACCAAAATTGGAATTAGGAAACTGGTTTCCGACAATCTTCTGATCCGAATTTCAGTGGGCCTTTTGAAACGTTCATGAATAAGCCCAATTTTGGCCCATTAATGGATATTTCGGATCATACCCGTTTCAAGCTGGATAAAACCCGGATCGTTCGTAATTACTTACTTCGTCGCATCCTTGGGACAATTTATTTGTGGTTTCTGGATGAACGCATTGTCTGATTGTTCGTTCACTTCAGTGTCTTCAACATTCCAAAGAGGTAAGTGTGTTTTGTAATTGTAAATTCACTCTTTAATTTCGCTGTTTTGATGTTATCGTTCTATACGAAGAAACCCTAGATCATTGAGTCTGACCAATTCTTAAATTCATCTCTTCGTTTACCATTCATGTTTTAGGAATTTGGTTTAGATGCTATATTGATCTTTTATGTTTGGTTATTTCTCCAGTTTAGATAAAGATGGATCATGTATACAAGGGTCAATTGCAAGCATATGCCCTGAAACATAATCTGGAGCTACCTGTCTATGCGAATGAGCGAGAAGGGCCTCCTCATGCTCCTCGATTTAGATGTAAGGTTACATTCTGTGGACAGACTTTCCAGAGCCTGGAATTCTTTCCGACTCTAAAATCGGCTGAACATGCGGCTGCGAAAATTGCATTGGCTTCATTGACGCCACAGAGTCCAGAGGCTAGTTCCCCCACTCTTTTTAGGACCACAATAGTTATGTGCCTTTTCAACAATGTTTAAATTTTAGTTTTATCTTTTTGTTATTCAGGGGATTGATGTTGCCTACAAGAACCTGTTACAAGAAATTGCTCAGAAAGAAAATTCTATGTTACCAGTTTATGCAACTGCTACTTCTGGTCCATCGCATTCGCCTACCTTTATTTCAACTGTTGAGTTTGCTGGGAAAGTTTTCACCGGAGAAGAGGCTAAAACCAAAAAGTTGGCTGAAATGAGTGCTGCTAAACTTGCATTCATGAGTATAAAAAACGGTATGTATTATTAACCTTTTAACATCCCTTGCTTTTCCTGTTTGTTTGTTTCAAAGCCATTTGATTTTATTATCTTGATGCATATTTCCAATGTTAAAAAAGTCAAACGAGACCAAGTTGGTGAGAATCTATCATGTGTAGGGAACTCGAACCAGACCTCATCGCCTTCTTTGCCTTGTGAGAGACAAGAAGCTGTAAGTTCAAATGTGAAGAGCAGTCTACAAGAGATCCATTCCCAACCTTCCAAGGTGGTGATGACCCCTGATGCCCCATCAAAGTTGATTAAAGTGTCTGAAGATGGTTAGTCTTCTTTGAATCCTACACTACATGAATAATGCTTTGGTTTGTTTGTTAAAGGGAAATCTCTCTTCCTTTGTTATAACATGCGGTCCAATCAGAGGGACATATTTCCTGAGATAGGTAGGAAACAACTATGAAATAAGAAAGCCAACCTTACTCTAACTGCATGAAATGGATTATAATGTCAGTTTTATGCTAAATGGTCAAGATGGTTGTTCATTCAAAATTCATGCTCTACAGTCTTCATTCTGTGCAGGATTTCCAGATCTTCATAGTGCACCAGCCACTAATGCTAAGGAGATTAACGTTGCTTTGCATGTGCCTGAAAATCCTGCAAACGATGGTACTCTTAATGCACCAACTACTGATGGTATGAAGATGAACATTGCTGCTGCTTCTTCTCCTATACCTCAGAATCCTACAAACGTTGTTACTCTTAATGCATCATCTACCAATGGTATCAAGAGGAACATTGCTGCTTGTTCTTCGCGTATGCCTCAGCATCCCACAAACGATGGTAGTGAAACATCATCATGTGTAGATGAGAGTGAGAAGAAGAAGCTCATAATGGGAACTGGCCACCTGAGTATACCAACTGGCCAACATGTAGTTTGTCGTCCGTGGAACCCGGAGATAACTCTTCCTCAAGACGCGGAGATGCTCTTTAGGGATGATAGATTTATTGCCTATCGTCTCGGGAAGCCATAAAGACATCATCTTTGATGCATAAAGTGTAGGGAATATTAAGCTAAGCTATATCTCACTGTGTGTAAATCGAATATGTTTAGGCTTCTTGTCTCTGGTTTTCTTAAGCAATAAGCTATGTGCTGTGTAATGACTAATTTTAGTTTTGATTGATAGTATTTGGATACTAAGAAAATCGCAGTGAACTTAGTTGTTGTGATGATGATCCAAATCACTGATTCAGTGGAATTTGCCAAACGGAAATGGAAGGAGAAAATGGCGTCGGGGAGGGAGATAACGGGAAACAAAAGTAGATGTTACGATTTCTGGATGGATTTTAGCGAATGTATGTCTCAGTGCAGAGAGTTCACTTCGACTACCTCAGAGTGTTAAAAGTCTGAATCATCTTTACCTTCCTAAACACTAACTTCTTATAATAACATCACTCGAAGTCTTGTACCTGCATACAACTACACAATAATTCACAAGAAGTGAACAGACAGTAAATTTTTGAAGCATTGAGTTTATTAGAAACAAGGCGAGATTAAATGATAATATAGATTGTGGAAAAGCTTAACAGAATAAATATTAAAGAGTAAGATGTAGAAATAAGCGGAACCACAAAACGGTGTAGAGAGAGACACTAGATATCAAGTAGAATATTTGTAACGATAACCGAATATAATTAGAGACACTAGAGTAGAGGTAAGTAAGATATTTGGGAACAGCAATTCCATCCGTCCGACGATATTAGATATTCGAGATCTGTGCGGAGATGTGCTGATTTTCGGAACACATCCAGGTTGTAAATAGCTAAGTCCATATTGGTACCCAGAAGTGCTGATTTTCGGAACAGATCCTGGTTGTGAACGAAGTGAGACTAAATTTTCGACGAAAGGAGTTATAACACAAAAGTCTGGAGAGAGGCAACAAAGGTAGTCTGTCTCTGGATAATATTTGAACAACCTCTTCTCACTGTCACAAAAGAAAAGATTCCCTTGCTTAGAAACAGCCATGGGCGTGAACCACTTTCTCCAAAATATAGGGGTGGAAATAAGATGGGATAATCTTATGAAGTAGGTCATAGTCCATGTTTCTTCTTGTGCATCCATGCTCCATATCTCTAGTGCCCATTCAGGATCAAAACATGTGTCGGCAACGGCTAAACGGTTTTCAAGGTTCACTATCCGAGTTCCACCCGTGTACCTAGGCGGCGGAAGTACAGGGACATCGCGGAACTCTTCAGTGTGAAGATCCAAAGCTAGTATCTTAGATCTATGCATCAAGTTTAACCAGTAGATGGAACCATTCACACACGCCGACTTCCTTGTTGCTTCAATCTTGTAAGGAGGGGGGGTAAGTTTCCGCCATTCCCCAATGTCAACATCAAGAATCTCGAAATAGTTGAACTCATATAACATCCTCACTACCTTATAGCTCCCTTTAACTTCATCCCTACCAAATCCCATCGCCCAATACCCAGGGAATACTTCCGACCACCATACTTCGCCCGTAATGAGTTGGTTTCCATAGTGGGAGGGGCCGGAAGGGAATCTAAGGAATTCTCCGGTGGAAGGGTTCAAAACGTTGACCCAATCTGTTACCGGGATGCAAACCAAACCGTCACATGTCAACGAAGGTCGTGTGGTGGCGTCATGGCATTGTAAATAGACAACGTCGATCTCTGCGTCTCCTTGGAATCGTAATTCTCCGGCAGCCAGGATTTTGGGGTTCTTTTGAACACTCTTACGCCTCTCCACGAAACTCTTTGACTCCAGTATTGATCTCCATTGTTTTGAGACGGTTTTGAATTTGAGAATTGTTTTCAATGGCAGCCTAAGGAGTATGTCTTCCACCAGATCTTCATTTATGTATACTGGATTGGGGTTTTCTTCTTCTTCTTCCTCCATCCTTATCATTTTAGGGTTTTCTTCTTCTTCTTCCTCCATCCTTATCATTTTGCAAATTCCTAAAATTGCACGATATGTTAAAAGACTTTTATATCGATTATATATATTAGATTAGGACGATCCGATATGCAGATATTTTTATTTTTACGATAATATTACAATTACCAAAAACACTTATCATAGTTAAATATTGTTTTGAATTTTTCTAAAAAAAGAAGTAAAAAATATTATTAGTTAGAAAAAATTATCTATACATTTTTTATGCGGGTGTAAAAAACAAATATTGGTAAGTTATAACTTATAAGTAGTTATCCATATATATTTTTTCAATTTTAATTGGTAAGTTTTTAGTAAACCGGATTTGAACCTCACATGTTGTATTTCGCAATATAATTTAAGTATCTACTCTATCATAATAAATTATATTTTAGTTCTATACACTTTTTTTTTACGGCAACTTAATTATATTATATCATTAAAAAATCACATGATATATTATACATGTAACCATTCAAATATAACCATTGAACTAAATCAAGAAAATTGAACACAATTTCGATGAAGAAGTGGAAGTGACGTTGCTTTCCAAACGAAAGCCTTATAAGCAACGTATAAAATCTGTTAAATCCCTTCTTCGTATCCTCTTAAAAGGCTAACAATCATTGGTAAGTTGTTGCGACTCCTTCAGTGGATCTGCCAAATGGGAAAAAATGGTTGTCGAAATTCACAGATGAAATTAGTAGGGCCCATCAAGTGTTTATGTTAAAGCCCATAATATAAACTATAAAGGCCTATTAAAAGATTATTATTTCGGGTTCTAATTGGATAAAACCCGAGTCGATCGGATCCTTGGAAATCAGGCGAAGAAGTCTTGCTTGCTAGAGAGACGACGAAATTTCTCCAGGATTTGGGATTAGAGAGAGAGAGTGAGAAAAATGGCGTCGGGGTGGGGGATTACGGGAAACAAAGGGAGATGTTACGATTTCTGGATGGATTTCAGCGAATGTATGTCTCATTGCAGAGAGCCCAAAGATTGTACACTTCTTCGTGAAGACTACCTCGAGTGTCTTCACCATTCCAAAGAGGTACCTTTTTCCTTTCTTTAGGGTTTCTTTCAATCTCGTTCCTTGTGATCATCAATTTCACGCTTTTTGATTGCTTGATCTATTTCATTGATGATTCGCCCTGTTATCGGTCGTCTGTACGAAACCCTAGATCATTGATAGTTTCTAGATCACGAGTTTGAGTCATTCCTAGATCAGTGGGAGCAATCCCTCAATCTGGTCGTTTCGTTTTCCATTGATGTCTCTAATTAGATGTACCTGTATAAAAACATAAGCTTTCTTTTGCTTGGAACCAGAAAGTTGAATTGCAATTCACTAGTAAAAATGTGGATGCTTTCACGACGAGGTAGCTTCTAGAGATCAGCTTCATATAATACCCCACTTCCTTTGTCTGAGATTCAGTTTCATGCCCATGAATTATTTATCTGTTAAGTTTGGAAGTTGAGGCTTACTCTTCATCTCTTTGTCTCTGTTTGATCTTTCAAATGGAACGATCTTGTCTCTGTTCTCTATGTCGTGAAATTATAAATATGACTCTCCACTCCAAGGAATGAAACTGAATGTATAGGCTTGCGGGTGAAATTTTGAGAGAATCAAAAGCTTTGTTCTTGTTGTCTCCAATATTGATTCTTTCTTCTTTGCTTAGTATAAGCTTTTGGTAGATGGACTGATGAGGAGCGAATATTTGTTGTAGTTCCAACGAAGAAACAGGATATACAAAGAGGAACAACGTAAACTAAGAGCTGCTTCAAGGAAAGGCGAAGAAACTGGGGATGGAACTCATACTCAGCACTAGTCAGAGAATTTTCCTCCTATCTCCAAAGCTTGCATCTTTAGCAGACGAGAAGAAGAATAAAAGAGGTTCTTTGAAGATTTCTGTATGTTGTGCCAAACTTCATTTGATTGTTTTCACTTTCAGTTTGCTCTTGCAATGGATTTTTTCTTTTTTCTTGTCTATTACCTTTGACTGAGTTGTAATATGCCTTTGGCTTGCTCATCAAACACAGACTCCTTCTTTTATGGTAATAATTACTCTTACAGGTATATTAAAATCATAAGTCGAAAGACATTAAAAACAGAACAGTGGATGGAATAATGAAAAGGTCCTCTATAAGTTGTCATTGACTTATAGAAAAGTTGTCAATGACTTTCTCTTAAGTCTTCTCTGCAACTTCTATATGTAATGCGTCTAGAGAGAAGCAGCTTTTGCATTGGGTAATATCAAAATGGGGACGAGATCTCTAGAAATAAAGGTGACATCAGCAAAAGGGCTTAAGAAAGTGTCCAAGATGGATGTTTTTGTGGCAGTGAAGTTATCCGGTGATCCAAAATGCTCTGACCACCGTGAGCAGCGGACACAAGTGGCAAGAGAAGGTGGAACTAGCCCCAAATGGAGCAATGATGTCATGAAATTCACCATTGACCAAACCTTAGCTGAAGCTAACCGCCTTGTGATCACTTTCAATATCAAGTGCGAGCAACGTGGAGGAGTAGATAAAGACATCGGCGAGGTTCATGTTTCGGTGAAAGAGCTTTTGGATCATCTCGGAAACGATAAGACCGGTCAAAGATACGTCACATATCAAATCGGGAAATCCAAAAGCGATATTAGTTTCACCTATTCGTTCACAGGTCCGGTGGGGGTCCCGACAGGTGGCGGCTGTTCACGGTACGCAGCTCAAGTGCCGGTGCGTCCTGTATCGACCTACCGGCCTGTTTCGAACGGACCTGTGTTGAGTCAGTTGAACGGACCCGTGTTGAGTCAGTTGAACGGACCCGTGTTGAGTCAGTTGCTTCCAAGTGTTGGATCGTTTAGTTACAACCACGTTCCTTCTCAGCCACCGATATATCCACCACTTGCTCAACCGGAGATTCTTCCACCGGCATGCTTCCCCGGAGTGTATCCGCCTCATGGCTATCCGATGAGTAACATGCCGGGAAGTCCACCCACAATGTATCAATCTATATTTCCTGGCTTATCATGTCCACCGGAAGGTTACTCTTCGGTGGCTCCGCCGCTGACACAACCGGGACTATATCCACCGATGAGTCCTTACAGATTTTGATTAAATGTCAACGTCTCCAAGCCTAGTCGTCGGTGAGGAGATTTGTAGATTCTATTTAACTAATAATGATGTCATCATTTCCCCCAACTTGTGTGTGTTTTTTCTTCTTTTCACTATCTCTTTATGTTGTTGTGTGTGTTTTGCAAATAACCCTAAAAAATAAACATGAATCTTTTACGAAATTACACCTTTGTTTTATTTTATTTTCAATTTTATAAAAGTTTCAATATATTTTATAACCTAATGTTAATAGTTTTGGGTCTATAATATTTATATCAGGAGTTGATATGAATCGTAAAGCAAAGAATCTAAATTTTAAATTTGTCTTTATCACAAAATAAAAATAAAAATTGGTGTTATTCACAAAAAAAAGGATTCAGTTAAAAATTCCAGTAATATTTGATTTTATCCTCTCTTTTTTTTTTTTTTGTTAAATAAAAAAGTCGAGTAGCCGCCTGAAAGATATGACGGCAACAAGCAAAGCACGAAGTCATCTTCTTCTTCCTATTTCTCTATTCCTCCTCCTCCACGCTTCTTCTTCTTCCTCAATCTCTCTTACGATTCCTTCGAATTCCTTCTTCCATGGCCACCGTCTCTTCTTCCTCCTGGCCAAACCCCAACCCTAATCCCGATCCCACGTCTGCCTCAGATTCCGATTCTACTTTCCCCTCTCACCGCGATCGCGGAGACGAAACCGACTCTCTCGATTCCTTCTCCTCCATGAGTCTAAACTCCGAGGAGCCTAATCAGAACTCTAATCGGGACGTTAATATTAATCAATCGCCTATTTCTCCCCCTACGCCCAATTTACCGGTGACGCCTCCTCCGTCCGTGCTTCATCTTTCCTTTAACCAGGACCATGCTTGCTTCGCTGTCGGCACTGATCGTGGCTTCCGGATCCTTAATTGCGATCCGTTTCGCGAGATTTTCCGGCGTGATTTCGATCGTGGCGGTGGTGTTGCTGTGGTGGAGATGCTTTTCAGATGCAATATATTAGCCCTAGTTGGTGGTGGACCTGATCCTCAATATCCTCCTAATAAAGTTATGATTTGGGATGATCACCAGGGCCGATGTATCGGAGAACTCTCTTTCAGGTCCGATGTTAGATCGGTCCGGCTTAGGAGGGATCGGATTATTGTCGTTCTGGAGCAGAAGATTTTCGTGTACAATTTCTCAGACCTCAAGCTGATGCATCAGATTGAGACCATTGCGAACCCTAAGGGTTTGTGTGCTGTTTCTCAGGGTGTTGGTTCTATGGTATTGGTATGTCCAGGTTTGCAGAAAGGTCAAGTTCGAATCGAGCACTACGCTTCTAAACGGACCAAATTCGTCATGGCTCATGATTCGAGAATAGCTTGCTTCGCTCTCACGCAGGATGGGCATTTGTTGGCGACAGCTAGCTCTAAGGGTACTCTGGTTCGGGTCTTCAATACTGTTGATGGAACCTTGCGCCAAGAGGTACGCTTTTAATTCACAGAATGCTGCTGTATACTTCTATTGATTGATGTAAGAATGCTGGCAAATTTGGTTGTTTAGTCACTGACTTGTAGTTTCTGGTTCTGAGAATGAACTAGGTAAAGAGAGTAGGACTGCATTTGTATGATCTCATTTCATATTTTTTCTATTATTAGCTTAGAGATTGAGAAAAGTACACTTTTATATCCTCGGTGACTGCTTTAAGCTGATTTACTTGCTGTTTTTGGATGTGTGTGATAGAGGCCGATAGTTTTGAGCCTGTGTACAATCAATTTAGTGTTTTCGTCTCTGTCAATTTACTTCGTTTCACCTTAAATCTTTAGTTCTTAGATGTTGAAAAAATCTATAGTTCTTAGATGTTGAAAAGGATGCATCTTTTGCTTACTGAGGTGAACCTGGTAATATTTTGAAAACTTTACCTTGTTTTTGATGAATCCATCAGCAAGAGCAATGGTTATTACAAAGCACACGGTGATTTATCTTACAGCTTCACTGAGTCTTGTTTCTTTTCATTAGTCACTGACTTAAGTCCTTTCTTCATCGGTTTCTCCGTAGAAAAAGTTTCAAGTATCTATCTTATCATCTTTATAATGATATCGGAATCACTCCTCATGTATAAGCTATGAAATTTTGTGATTCTAATATTTATGAAATCTCAAATGTATCTGTGATCCTTATAATAATGCCGTATGAGTTTGGAATCCATGGCACAATAATCCCACCGTGATGTGACTCTACAGGTTAGGAGGGGTGCGGATAGAGCGGAGATCTACAGTTTGGCCTTCTCTTCAAATGCTCAGTGGTTAGCTGTCTCAAGTGACAAAGGAACGGTCCATGTCTTTGGTCTTAAAGTCAACTCCGGATCTCAAGTGAAAGACTCATCCCGAATTGCACCTGATGCTACTCCCTCATCCCCATCGTCGTCTCTGTCTTTATTCAAAGGTAAATGCTCTAAACCAAAAATCAGTTACTTTCACAACTTAGCAGCATATTTGATCAGAAAACTCCCCTCATAAAGCTCCCATTGACATAATTAAGCACGTGACTTTTTTACTTTATTTAGGAGTGTTACCAAAGTATTTCAGCTCGGAGTGGTCGGTGGCTCAGTTCAGGTTGGTTGAAGGAACTCAGTACATAGCCGCCTTTGGCCATCAAAAGAACACCGTTGTTATTCTTGGCATGGATGGGAGGTAAGCAAACATAATTCCATTGACAAACTTTAATCACGAAATTGCAATTGAGAAGCTGATAAAGCACTTGAATTCTTGATGATTTGTTCTGTTCATGGCATATTCGATTTGATTTGACCGTAGTTGGGTTAACCTCCTTTGATGTTCTTAAACAGCTTCTACAGATGCCAGTTTGATCCGGTGAACGGCGGAGAAATGTCTCAGATTGAGTACCACAACTGTCTGAAACCGCCTTCAGTTTTCTAAAAGCTACGTACTTATTCTCTTTTGTTCCTTCTCTCTCTATCTCTCTGCTACTTAAGCGGTGAGATTTGATGCAATGTATAGTTGTGTATATAATAATGGGTCGTTCTATAATTTGTAAAAACCTTCGATCGCTAACCAAAAATGATTCACGGCTCATCAATTTGTGTCTTCCCAAACATTTCACTAAACCACTTGGCTGTGTAAAAATGATCAGTGTTTAGTTATATCAGATCAATCAACTTTTTTAGTTTGATTGCCACGTGTACTGAATGCCTCGTGCACGCAAATTAATTAGATACTAACGGTGGCAGGTGAATTTCGTAAACCAAGTTTCGAGGCACGAGAAAACAGAATCCTATTTGAAACACATCAATTTAGGCGACCTCAAAATAACCAACTTCTGAAATAATGTCTATAAAATTGGAAAGATTCGAGTACTTACGTAACCTAATGTTAGATTCGATTTATATCTTATACATAGTTATTAAGAGTCCAAGAAACAGGACCACATACATACTAGCTAGGTTTTACGAAATTCAAAGCATAGGTCATATATATATAGAGAAGCAAATGAGACCACAGTTGTGACTTGTGACCTCCCTCACTCTTTCTTCCGAGTTAAGAGTTAGTGTGACTCGGTCTTTGATAAAAAAGAACAAAAAAATAAGAACGGCCATGAAGGTATATGGAGATGAGATGTCAGCGTCCGTGGCACGTGTTCTTCTCTGCCTCCATGAGAAGAACACCGAGTTCGAGCTTGTCCCTGTCAATCTCTTTGCTTGCCACCACAAGCTCCCTCCTTTTCTCTCCATGAACGTACGCATATTTCTCAACACATTACTATCATGCGCATATATCTATGTATGAAAATATCTAACCATATATGTTCTGTTCGATGCAGCCCTTTGGCCAAGTTCCAGCTCTGCAAGACGACGATCTTACCCTTTTTGGTTCGTATAACTATAATAAATTTATTTTACATAATGATTTAGTTTAGTTTAACAATATTTATCTATCAAAACAGAGTCGAGGGCAATCACTGCATATATAGCAGAGAAGCATAGAGACAAAGGAACGGATTTGACAAGACACGAGAACTCTAAAGAAGCAGCGATTGTGAAGTTATGGTCGGAAGTGGAGGCTCACCACTTCAACCCGGCGATATTCGCCGTCATCCACCAGCTCATCGTCGTGCCGCTTCAAGGCGAATCTCCTGATGCAGCCATCGTAGAGAAGAATCTGGAGAAGCTAGGGAAAGTGCTCGACGTGTACGAAGAGAGACTTGGGAAGACAAAATACTTAGCCGGAGATACTTACACACTAGCAGATCTCCACCACGTTCCGTACACTTACTACTTCATGAAGACGAGTCATGCCGGTTTGATCAACGACCGTCCTAATGTCAAGGCGTGGTGGGAAGATCTATGTTCTCGTCCGGCTTTTCTTAAAGTCTCTCCTGGCTTGACCGTTGCTCCCACCACAAATTGATCCAAAGATTCTCACTGCGTCTTTTTTGTTTTCTATGATATCAAGTTTTTGTTGTTTTTTGGGTGTTGTTTTTGCGTTTGGGCATCCAGAGAATCGAACCCGGATTAGAACTGTGGGAGGGTACTATGATACCATTACACCAGATGCGCTTTTGTGACGCGAGGCCCAAAATATTATTCTTTCCATAGACGTTAAATTTTAAGGCATTAGAGTGTCTCTCTCTGCTGTTGTGACTTTTGTGATTGTGTATGAGTGTTGTTTTATTGTTTTTTACTAATTACTAATCATCCAGAATCCATGCGACTCATTTTGATCTCACAAGACACATCATTATTCATATGCAAATCCCTGAGGTTTTTTTTTTATCATAGAATAGACGAAATCAAACCAAACCAGGATCCTTTATTTTAAGAACATTACAGTGAAGACGAGCCTGCAGAGAAGTTGCTCTGAAGCTGAGTAATATCTTGAGAAGCAACATCAATTGTACCTTTGAGAAAACCAGAGTACCAAAAAGCAGAGAGTTTCGGCGACCTCTTGCGACCAGGATCGCTGAAATTCACATAGTACATTCCGAAGCTGGTTGTATATCCAACCGTTATCTCATACAAATCTATCAGCGACCATACGAAGTAACCTCTCATGTCCGATCCATTCCTGATCAGTCAAAAGATTTGTCACAAAGAGAGAGTCAAGTAAACCGGAACTAAACCAATGAATTATAAAGTCATAATATATTAATGTGAGGACTAAAATTTGAAGAAGGATGATCATACTTGATGGCGTTGAGCACTGCACCAATGTAAGCTTGAATGTATTCAACTCTTGGTGTGTCTTGTAGCATCGAATCGTGTTTCATTGGTGTACCTGGTTTTTTTTTTGGGTGCGATTTGAAGAATCTTGAGAACAAAAAGGTGTGGTTTCAAAAAGACAAAAACAGAGCAAGAAGACAAAATATAATGAAGTGTACCATTTTCAAGAATGTAGATTGGAGGATTGTTATAGCTCTGCTTTAGATGCTCAAGAACACCTTCCAGACCCCATGGAGTAGCCTCCCACTTCAAGAAAAGCAATTGCATAAGGAAAATCTCCAGATTCAAGAAGATCAAACAAGAGCTTTTGGCATAAATACATATGTGTGTTCTGCAGATTTTCAGGACCTTACCTCGAATGATGAAGAATTCCCAGCGGCTGTCCAAAGAAGAAGACTTCTAAATTAGAGAGAGTTTCAAAAAAAAAAAAAGACTGAATAATGATGAAAATAAACTTGGCATACAGATAATATACGCGCCCATGTCTGTAAAGAAGCCTTTGTTAGTGCTACTGGGAAATATATAAGGTGCGGGTCGGTTTGTGACATAGACTGTCGTGTAGTGAATAATTCCTACAAAGTCAGATGATCCTTTAACTTTCTCTGACTCTTCCTCCGAGAAAACCGGTAATCTCGATCCCAAGGTTCTCTTCATTTCATCCGGATAGTCTCCATATACCAAAGGCTTCAACATCCTGAATTATCAATATAGTCTTCAGATTTACCCCTCAAGTTCTTGAAACAAAGAAATAAAGTTTCTTTTTCTCACCAGCCATAGAGGAAAGCTTTAGCTCTTTGAGTTGCGATTTCATCATCCTTGGAGTTTGTATAAGGAGATAACCCCAATGAAAATATACTAAGGCCTATGGATCCTCTTTGCTTACTCTGCACCATGGATTACGTTCATTCTGGTTGAGAGTTTTAAGAGCGAAAAAGAGATAAATATGTATACCTTGTACTTTAGTTTATACAAACTTGAGGCAGAGGCATGAGCTAGCAACATGTTATGGCCTGCAATATATGTTTCCATACAAGAATTTCCGGTAGAGCAATTGATGTATTTGGTAGGAGAACAATGTCCAAACTTTATTCCTTCGCCATAAAAAGCAAAGGCGAATATTGTAGCTTCGTTGATTGTAGTCCATAACTTCACATCGTCCCCAAACTCTCTGAAGCATACATCTGCAAAAGCAGTGAAGTCTTCTCTGCAATATAACAAATAAATAATTGTTTATTTTCTGTTCATATTTTAAAAAGTGACTTTGTTATATCATAATCTTCTTTGATCCTTTACATAATTTTGCGGTTGATCCATCCTCCATACTCATCTTCAAGAGACTGAGGAAGATCGTAGTGGTAAAGTGTAACGTGAGGTTCGATTCCTGTTAATAGTTTTGCCAAAAGATTTGTCAGAAGCTATTAACTGGCTTTAGTTGCGACTTGCGACAAAGTAGTAAGACAAAAAACCTCACCATGGCTTCGTAGTTCTTTGATGAGGTTCTTGTAAAACAATAGACCTTTTGGGTTAATGGGTCCTCTTCCATCTGAAAAATTAACACAGACAAAAAGGGTTTAAAGAGGTTAGGAACTATATCGTTAGTTACTTGCAAATCAAGAAAACAGGAAGAGGCATTTACTAGGTATAAGTCTTGACCAGGAGATGGAGAATCTGAATGCTTCTAAGCCCATATCAGCCATCAGCTTAACATCTTCCTGCAAAAGTCACAATAACATTGAATTTGAGAAAAACAGAGCCGATAACTTCTTAGACAAGTAACAGGCAAAGAAAAGAGAGTAACCTTGTATTTGTGATATCCATCACATGCTATATCTCCATTACTTCCATTATCTGCAATTTTTGAACTAAAAAAATTTCTCATATAAATGCCGAATAATGACTAAAAATTTCAACAAAAAAAAAGCTTACGACAGTGGGAGCTTGTATCCCAGACGCTAGGAGTTCTTCCGTCTTCATCAACAGCTCCTTCCCACTATTCCCACAAATCCCCCAAAAAACTCAAATTTTAGAAAAAACAAATAAAAATGGAAAAAAACAAATTGCCATTGATGTAGCAGACTCGAACCTGATAAGCAGAAGTAGCGGCTCCGAAGAGGAAATCCTCTGAAAAATCGGTTCTGGTGAAGGCATCAATGTAGCTTGTCGCCAAAACGATAGCCAGAATAATGGAAAACAGATAGAAATGTTTCATCTTTTATTTTCTTCCGCTAGTTTGAGTCCAAATGAATAAATAATTGAAGGGTCCTGTTCAGTCGTTTTCTTGGACCATTAAAAAAGAAATACATAATTGAGTGAAGTGTATTTTGGTAAATTGTGAGGACTATAGTCTATATAGATATCTTTTCGATTCTCTTCCACTCGTAATACGCGACAAATATACAAATATACGCGACAAATTTCTCATAAGGCTGAAATTTAAGCCTTTACTGTCTTTGTGACTTTTGTCAGTTTTGTGATTGTGTTCGAGTTTCGAGAATCTATATATGCTACTCTTGTTGGTCTCAAAAGCTACATCAATTCATTATTCATATGCAAATCTTATCAAACCATTTTCCAACTCATTGAGTTTGTTTCATACGATAGATGAACTCAAACTCAAACCAAACCAAACCAAACCAAACCATGATGCTTTAGTTTAAATACATTAGAACGAAGAAGAGCCAGAGAATTTTCTCTGCAACTGAATAGTATCTTGAGAAGAAACATCAATTGTACCATTGAGAAAACCAGAATACCAAGAAGCAGAGAGCTTTGGAGACCTCTTGCGACCAGGATCGCTGAAATTCACATAATACATTCCGAAGCTGGTTGTATATCCACTCAATAACTCATACACATCAATCATCGACCATACAAAGTAACCTCTCGTGTCCGATCCATTCCTGATCAGTCAAAAGATTTGTCACAAAGACAGAGTCCAAGTAAACCGGGATATCAGACCATTTCAAAAGATAATATGAGGACTAAAAGATGAAGAAAGAGAATCATACTTGATGGCGTTGAGCACTGCACCAATGTAGCCTTGAATGTATTCAACTCTTGGTGTGTCTTGTAGCATCGAATCGTGTTTCATCGGTTTACCTGTTTTTGTTTTTTGGTGCGATTTGAAGAATCTTAAGAACAAAAAGTGTGCTTTCAAGTAGACAAAACAGAGCAAGAAGACAAAATAGAATAAAGTGTACCATTTTCAAGAATGTAGATTGGAGGATTGTTATAGCTTTGCTTTAGATGCTCAAGAACACCTTCAAGACCCCATGGAGTAGCCTCCCACTTCAAGAAATGTCATTGTATAAGGAAAATCATCAGATTCAAGAAGATCAAACAATAGTTTTTGGCATATAAATATTCTGCAGATTTGTAGGACTTTACCTCGAATAATGAAGAATTCCCAGTGGCTGTCCAAAGAAGAAGAGTTATCAGTGAAAAGAGTTGAGAAGCTTTTTGACTGATGATGGAAATAAACTTAGCTTACAGATCATATATACGCCCATGTCTTTAAAGAAGCCTTGGTTCATGATGGGAAAGTTTGAAGCTGAGGCTCGATTTGTGACATAAAATGTTGTGTAGTGAATAATTCCTACAAAGTCAGATGATCCTTTAACTTGCTCTGACTCTTCCTCCGAGAAAACCGGTAATCTCGATCCCAAGGTTCTTTTCATTTCACTCGGATAGTCCCCAAATACCAAAGGCTTCAGCATCCTGAATTATTAATTTAGTCTTCAAAAATTTTGTCCTTAAGTTACTGAAAGAAAGAAAACTTATTCCTCACCAGCCAAAGAGGAAATCTTTAGCTCTTTGAGTTGCGATTTCATCGTCCTTGGAGTTTGTGTAAGGAGATAAGCCGAATGCAAATATACTAAGGCCTATGGATCCTCTCTGCTTACTCTGCACCATCATATGAATTATGTTCATACGGATTTAAGGAGTAGGGTTTTAAGAGTGAAAAGGATATTTATATTTATACCTTGTACTTTAGTCTATACAATTTTGAAGCAGAGGCATGAGCTAGCAACATGTTATGCGCTGCAAGATATGGTTCTGTAGAAGAGTTTCCAGTAGAGCAATTGATGAATTTGTTGGGACTACAATGTCCAGGCGGCGTGAGTCCTTCGCCATAAGACGCAATGGCGAATATTGTAGCTTCGTTGATTGTAGTCCATAACTTCACATCGTCCCCAAACTCTCTGAAGCATACATCTGCAAAAGCAGTAAAGTCTTCTCTGCATATAACAAAATAAACAACATCCTTTTGTTTTCAATTCATATTAAAAAGTGACTTTGTTAGATCAAATCTTTTGTTATCCTTTACATGATTTTTCGGTTGATCCATCCTCCATACTCATCTTCAAGAGATTGAGGAAGATCATAGTGGTAAAGTGTAACGTGTGGTTCGATTCCTGTTAAAAGTTTTGCCAAAATTTCTATCATAAGCTATAGATAAAGGCAAAAGTAAAAAAAGAAATAAAAAAAAAGTATAATGACAAAACCACACCATGGCTTCGTAGTTCTTTGATGAGGTTCTTGTAAAACAATAGACCTTTTGGGTTAATGGGTCCTCTTCCATCTGACAAAAAGGGTTTAAAGAGGTCAGGAACAATATCGTTAGTTACTTGCAAATCAAGAAACCATCAAGAGGCGTTACTAGGTATAAGTCTTGTCCAGGAGATGGAGAATCTGAATGCTTCTAAGCCCATATCAGCCATCAGCTTAACATCTTCCTGCAAAAGTCACAATAACATCGAATTTGAGAAAAACAGAGCCAGAGACTTACGATGACTTCTTTGAAAAGTAAAATGGCAAAGTAGAAAAAGATAAACCTTGTATTGGTGATACCCATCACATGCTACATCTCCATTACCTGTATCATCTGCAAGTTTCGAACAAGGTTAATAAATGTTTGTTGACAAAAAAAAAAAAAAAGGAGAAAGGCAAAACAGATAAAAGAAAGCTTACAAGAGTGGGAGAAAGTATCCCAGACGCTAGGTGTTCTTCCGTCTTCATCAGCAGCTCCTTCCCACTATTTCCACAAATTCCCAACATCGATTTCATAGAACAAAAAAAAATAAAACTCGATTTTATAAACAAAACGATGATCCAAACAAAAAAATTGAAAACAGGGAAGCAGAATCGAACCTGGTAAGCAGAGGTGGCGGCTCCGAAGAGGAAATCCTCTGGAAAATCGTTTCTAGTGAAGGCATCAATGTAGCTTGTTGCCAAAACGATGACCAGAAATATGAAAAATTGAGAGAAAGGTTTCATTCTTTTTTGTTTTCCTCCTTTCGTCTTGATTACAAGAAAATGATTAGTACAAGTGTTTAGTCGTTTAGTCGAAATTGATGGATCTTTTCTATTCCATCTTCCACTCGTAAAAAGGGACAATACATGTGAAAAAATGCCTAAAAAATATATTCTTTTCGGTAGTGATAGTCTTTGTGATGTGAGTGTGACCGACATAAAATTACAAATTTCTTTAATTGTAATTTTGTAAACGTTAATTAGTCGCCAAGTGGTTAAGTCCATTTGACTCCGTCTTCCCACCGGAGTTCGACTCCACTAACTCGCGTTACCCCTGCGTAGTAGGGATTGGCTATGGATCGGGTCTTGACGATCCAAATATCAAAAAAAAAAAAAAAAAAGACGTTAATTAGTCTTTCATTTTTGGAATATTAAATATGAATTTTGGGAAGAAAAACAAAATAATTGGTGGATTAAGATTTTTTACCCCTTTTGGTTCATGCTAAATTCATTGTATTTTGTTGAACAAAAATGCTAATTACTTAAACTTAACATTTTTGTTTCTAAGATATTTGTATGTACTAAAATTGAAAGAGAATAGTGAGTGGATTTTTGTTGTTACCTCTGGTCCTCTGGATTCATCTTTTTTTGGTTTAAAGACAAGACAGTGGACCCTTTCCAAAAAGAGAGCTGCCACGTGATTAAAAATCTCCCACAAAAGTCAAATTATATTTCTCCTTTTGGCAAGGTGATTATTTACATGAGAAAAAGTTTCTAGAAACGAATGAATTGAATGTGAAGAAAAAAAAAGTACATAAAAAATGAATTGCGCATCCAGGGAATCGAACCCTGGTCAGTACCGTGGGAGGGTACTATGATACCACTACACCAGATGCGCTTTTGCATAAATTACCTCAAACATTGTTTTTAAACGGAATATTCAAATATTGCGATTGTTTTGCCTAGGCACCTAGCAAATATTGACATTTTGTTCCGTACAAAAGAGAGCAGCGTAAATCCCAGATTCATGGGATGATTTAGAATATAAGTTAGTAAACAAAACAAACAATTCTTCTTAAATCGAGAATGTTATCTTCTGTTCACAAATTGGGCCTTCATTGATTAAAGTAAGTCCATTCTACGATAAGGCCCACGACCATCAGAAGCATCTATAATTTTCACTCAACTTTATAACACATCAGAAAGCATATATTATATTTTTCAGTGAAATTTTTATATTCAGGAAAAAGAACTCTAAATTTCCATGTCATGGTGAAATGCTTTTTCAAAACCACATTTTTCTTAGATATGTGTTTGATTTGAGCTAGTTAGTTAGATACATATAGATTGGTTGTTATAAATGACCACACTCTTGATTTTACTTTCTTGACAGGTGGTTGTAATTTCCTTGATCACAAGTTATAATGCAGATATCTCAACTTATTAAGGTATCGATATCTTCATTTAGTCACTATCATACGAAGTTACCACGTCTTCTTCTTCTTTTGCCCTATCTTTCCATACACCTACTTGGATCGGTTGAGAGTAAACATATAATATAACAAGGGGTCAAGGTGATGTAGTAACGTGTGATAATAATATATATTTCACTGAATCAGGTACATTATGTTAATTACCTTACGTAATTACAAATTGTTATGGTAGTTAGCGATTTAGAAAAACTTGTCGATATTCCATTGATACCAAAATAAGCTATTAACTTAGTATTCACGTATGGTCCTAAACAATTCAATAATCTCACCAACATAATAATCTCATAACGTTGAAATATTAAACGAAATGTAAAATTGCAACCCTCTATAAATTGCTAAGTTCTTGCGTACATGCTTTGAAGACATAAATTATCAAATAAACAAAAGCAAAAGCATGTTTAAACTCTGTCTCGTTCTAATCTTGCTTATTGCAATAGATGCAAGTCCGGTTCAGTCCGGTTCTCTTAGTTGCTCCGGGAATATATCAGCGAGCGATGTCGATCGAGTTCATTTCGCGCTGAACTTGGAGTTCACCGAGGCCGAGTTCTTCTTGAAAGGGGCTACCGGAAAAGGACTCGATGAGTTTAACGCTACCCTTGCTAAAGGCGGACCACCGCCGGTAGGGGCCAAGAAAGCCAATCTTGATCCTATAACTAAACGAATCATCGAGGAGTTTGGTTATCAGGAAATCGGTCATCTTAGGTAAAACAAACAAATTCAAAATTTCCTTTAAGTAATTGTTGTGCATGACCGTTAAAACTCAAAATAAGTTTTGTTGATATTGAAGGGCGATTACGGATATGACGGGAGGAATTCCGCGCCCGCTAATAAATCTGACGAGAGAGAACTTCGCAGTGTTTATGGACAGAGCGGTTGGACGCAGATCTAATCCGCGGTTTGATCCTTATGCCAACTCACTCAACTATCTCTTAGCTTCATACTATATCCCTTATGTTGGCCTTACCGGTTATGTCGGAGCCATCCCTTACCTTGTCTACTTCAATATCAAACGGGTAAATTTTACTTTCAACTTTTTTAAGATTTTAATAATTCTAATAGCCTAAGTAAAAGCTTTACTAAACTCTATAAAAAATAGTCTAATGCAAAAATACATTCTATAGCCAAAATTTTACATGTTATACTATATATACACGTTAAGCTACAGTATGAATTCGTACCGTACAATCGAATTAATAGTTTGCTCGTAGTGATTATGGTGATATTAATATATATCAGCTAGTGGCGGGTCTACTAGGGGTGGAATCGGGTCAAGACGCAGTGATAAGGACGCTTCTGTACGAGAGACAGAACGAGACGGTGGAGGAATACGGCGGTGTCACGGTGGCTGAGCTGACCAATGAGATATCTAACCTCCGTAACGAACTCGGTATGTGCGGGATCAAGGACGAAGGCTTGTGCGTGCCGTTGTGGCTAGGAGCGGAGAATCGCACCACCAGCAACATCCTCTCTGCTAATCCTTACTCTCTCTCTTATGACCGGACAGCGCAAGAGATCCTCAGGATTATGTACGGCACCGGCGATGAGCACCGACCCGGCGGGTTTTGGCCGTGTGGTGCCAACGGAAGGATCGCTAGGATGTTTCTTGATGAAGGGTGTTATGGTGATTGCGTTTGTTCAGATGACAACTAGATATTTCCATTGATACATACACTAGAAAATAAAATCGGGATTAAGATTGTAATAGTAATCTCATTAATTTAATACTGGTGATTAGTCCATGTATTCTATAACCATGTATGTTTAATTATTAAAAAAAAACGTGTTTCTATTTATGTAGATTATTTTTGTGGGTCCCGACATAAGCAAATTTCTTGACTTGTTTGGTGAGATCAGCTAAATTGAGAAAATAATCAGCTAAATGAATGGGACAGTAGAAAAGATAACAATTTCTTCCACTTTCCAGCAAGATATGAACTATAACACGTTGTAATCAATAATTTCTACTGACGATTATGATGTTACACGTATGCATTACGCCGCGAGACGTAAGAATACTTCATAAGAAACAAATCTAAGCCCACAAGTAAAATATTATTTTAGTGAGCCAATTAGTAAACTACTTATATTTGAACAGAAAAGTATTTTTGCAAACTGACTATCGCGATGTTCGTGTCATATGACTCATGTTTGATTATAGTGACAAATTATCGTCGTGCATTCCACAAAGGAGGCGGTGTTGGAGTTATAAACGCGATTTCATCTCCACCTTAGAAAGGAACTTCAAAGTTGAAAACTATAAACACAAATAATTCACCAAGAGAAAATATTTCTAAAGTGTTTTGAAACGTTAATCACTATGCAAACTCCAGGTCAATAGGAGCTCAAAAAGTACAAATGATTGAAGTTGTTAATCAAGAAACAACAAAAATAAGGAAGAAAACAAAATGTGTCAATTCAGGCAAAACTGTATTGCATAATTACATCGCAACGTTTCAGACTTTTAAAACTAAAGCTATGCTACAAATGTTAATAAGCAAAAACTCTAGGAACAAACGTAAAAAACCAAAGATATAGGGGTACAAGACTAATATTCTAAAAGTTACAGGTAAAACTGTAATTTTTTAAAAAAATCTCTGGCACACAACACAGGCATAGCTAAAGGCTAAAACCCAACAGTCACGGGAACAAAGGTAGCAATTTAACTTATTGAGCATTTATTAAATATTCTAAAGTTACAAAAACTCATATAGTATCTCACTATGTCTGTCTACAAGAAAATCAATTCCCAAAGTGATTATGATGAAATTACGACTACAATAAATCATTAAATACTCCATACACGACTCCACACCATCAATGGGAGATCAAAATAATTAAGGAAACTACAAACAAATAAAATGAAATAAAAACACAAATTTGTGTCCCTAAACGCAAAATTTAAAGAAACAAACAATACATCCTCACGTCGTCGTCGTACTAAGCTTGACCGCTTTGAACGGCGGATGAAGCAGCCCAAACTCGTCCTTGGCATCGAGCGGTCTATCCGTCTGGTTGCGTGTGGGTTTCACGCGCCGACTCCCAAGCGATTTATGCGTGAAACCATACATGTGAAGGATCTGATTGTCTCCGAAATTAAAAGCTCTATCCATCTGCCGTAGACACCGTTCCACCGGATAATCTCCGAATTTCCCGCACGGTTTACATCCGACGAAATGCGTTACTAGTGGCCACCGATGGTCTCCAAAACCCGGTTTATGATTCTCAATCATTTCCTCGTACCGGTCTACCAAAATCCCCCAATAACCGTGCAAGTAATAACCACTCTCTAGAAAAACTTTGCCTCCCCATTTCTCTCTCTCCGTCGCCAGAAGATAAACCATCGCCGATTGATCGTCAGCTTCGAACGCCGGTCGGTCTTTAAGTTCCCGGGTCAAGACTTTACCCGCTTCTTCTCGGATCTTCCCTTTCGGACCCATAGGAGCCCAAGCGTCAAGAAGATCAAGCGACCACTGTGAGTTCCTAAGCAAGAAACTTCCTGTGTTCAGACCAATCCAATTCTTCTGGTCATAAACCATCTCGTCCCAACCATGCATCACCAAGTTGTAGTCTTTGTACCTCTCCCATGGAAGCTCGAACACCATGTCTGTAAACATGGCATCACTATCCATCCACCATAGAAACTCAATCTCAGGATGAGACAAGAGTAACTTCCTAATCAGCGGAAGCTTAGCCCAGAATCCAGCCATCTCTGCATCAAGCAACGCCATGTTGTAGAAGATCTCGATTCCGTGAATCCTACAGTAATCGATTTTGTTCTTAATCGATTTCAAGAGGTAATGGTCTCCTACTGGATTCTCACACGGTTTAGGAGCTGAACCTGTGACAAGAAGAACCCTAGGCTTCTTTGGCGCCACGAAATTAGAGAAATTAGGGTTTTGTTTGAGCCAATCACGTCTCTGGTCATCCCAATCAGAGATCTTGGGACCGAGAGAATAAGGTTTAGTCCGGTCTTGAGATTTCTCTTCATCTCCTTCATCAACGAATAGCTTGTTGATATCGAAGGTCTCGTAGCTGTTACCATTTGCATCTCCGTCTTCAGATGACGTCGTTTTGGAAGAGACCTCGACGAGGACACGGTGAGGCTCGCCACGTTTACGCGTGTAGAAGAAATGCTCACGGATCTCCTCGATATCTTTCTCCGGCGTACCAAACTTACCGGCTCCGATTGTGCCACGTAAGACGATTACGGTGAGAACGAGACAAAGAATCGTCACTTTTCCTTGACGCAAGAATCTCTGTAATCTCCGAAACCGATGCGCTCCTATACACTTCTCTATCATCTTCTTCACGCAGATCTGGTCTCGATTCGAAATCTAAAGAGAGAATCAGAGGGAAATCTAAAGAAAATGTTATCGTCTGTTTTGTTTGTAATTTGTAATGACGACAAGATTATTACGCGTTTTGGAATTTCTACCTCGTTAATGGAAGGAAGGAAGGATCAACGAAGAGATTAGAAAAGCTTCAAATAAAGCAAAAAAAAAAAGCATTCAATGAAGATTTAAATTTGGATTAAAGAAGTAAACAAATATATTATTATTATTTAATAAATAAATATTTGAATTTTGGAAATGTCAGACAGAACATGCCTGCCTGTCTGTCTGGGACGCGTAAAACTTGGTGCGGCGGATCACTAGTAAAAAACTAGGGGTAAAACACTCTTCAGATATTAAGTGGGCCTTAATAATCAGAGCCCATTTGTTTGTTTGGATAACAATATAAGCCCATTTAGCCCAATTGAAATGTCGGCCTAAATCACGGATATTTTTGTTTTCGTTAACAGAAAACGTTAAACAGAAATAGACTGCTTAGGGGAACGAACTCACACAACTGTCCGGATTAAATTAATTATGTTTCCGTTTTTGTTTGTTGTAAATATAGAGCGCCAACAAATTATAGACACCAGATATTTTAACCGTTTGGGATTGATTAACGGCTTTTTCTAAGAAAAAAATATACTATAAATTCTCTTTTCATGTTAATTTTTCAATTCAGGATTTAGAAAGATCACTATATCTTTTTAATCAATATTCTGAATTCTCCCTGGTTAAGGAGGAGGGTCTCCATCAATGGCGGCGGCAATGTACGGCGTCAGGAGCTTTTTCTTCTCGGCGGTGATTGTGATATTGTTCGCCAGCCGTTTTGGAGACGCCACCGCAGCTGACAGAGGATACATTAAGTACAAAGATCCAAAAGTAGCGGTGGAAGAAAGAGTAGAAGACTTGTTGATACGGATGACGTTACCGGAGAAACTTGGTCAAATGTGTCAAATTGATCGATTCAACTTTTCAATAAGTACTCGTCCGACAGATATCTTCACAAAGTATATGATCGGTATGTGTGGTACAACATCTTGTTATATATAGAATTTTCGAATAATTTTTTGATAAAAAAAGCTTATAATTGAATTGGTGTACGAGTACAGGAAGTGTTTTGAGCAATCCGTTTGATACCGGGAAAAACATATCACAGCGGATATTGGACATTAACGTGATGAAGAAATTGAGTCTTACGACGAGGCTCGGAATCCCTCTACTTTACGCTATTGACGCGGTTCATGGCCACAATACTTTTATTAATGCAACCATTTTCCCCCACAACGTCGGCCTTGGTGCCACTAGGTCTATATTTTAATAAATCATATATATATAGCTTATGTGAAATGTTGTATAAATTGAATTTTTTATAATTCAAGGTATTTGACGGTTGTCAATCTGTGTTGTTGTAGGGATCCTCAACTTGTTAAAAGGATTGGAGCTATAACCGCGCAGGAAGTAAGGGCAACAGGAGTCGCTCAAGCTTTTGCACCTTGTGTTGCGGTAATTAAGCGGACAATTTACAACAGAAATATAGATATATATAGTAGGGAAACCTTTCTCATTCGTATTGAAAAAATTGGATGAACAGGTTTGCAGAGATCCTAGATGGGGAAGGTGTTACGAGAGCTATAGTGAAGACCCTGCAGTTGTGAATATGATGACCGAGAGTATCATCGATGGATTACAAGGAAATGCTCCTTACATCGCTGATCCCAAGTAACCAAGAACTAAATACTTAGTTTCGAATCTAAATTTTTATTAATCTTGATCACTAGCTAGTTAACTAACGTACGTGAAAATGTGTATCTACGAGGTTAGGATTAATGTGGCTGGTTGCGCCAAACATTTTGTTGGGGACGGAGGGACAATAAATGGAATCAATGAGAACAACACTGTTGCTGATAACGCTACTCTCTTTGGTATCCATATGCCTCCGTTTGAGATAGCAGTGAAGAAAGGGATCGCATCAATCATGGCTTCTTACTCTAGTCTTAACGGTGTTAAGATGCATGCAAACCGTGCAATGATCACTGATTACCTCAAGAACACTCTCAAATTCCAAGGCTTTGTTATCTCTGATTGGTTTGGAATTGATAGGATCACACCGATACCAAAATCAAACTACACTTACTCCATTGAAGCTTCTATTAATGCCGGCATTGACATGGTTGACCCTTTACTTTTCTTTTCTTTTTTACTCTCAATCAAAAAACTGATTCTTGATGTGTTAAATATGTTAAGATTCTGGATCGAGATATTTAAAATGTGGAATCTTGTTGCGTAGGTTATGGTTCCATGGGCTTATCCAGAGTACTTGGAGAAATTGACAAAACTAGTGAACGGAGGATACATCCCTATGAGCCGCATCGACGATGCTGTTCGAAGGATCTTGAGAGTCAAATTCTCTATCGGTCTCTTTGAGAACTCATTGGCAGATGAAAAACTTGCCACTCCTGAGTTTGGATCTGAGGTAAATTCAAAAGGACACCAGGTTTTGTATTATATACATAATTTAAAAACTTTATCAAATAAACTTCTTAAAGAGTTAAAAGGAAAAATCTATATAATATAGACTAGGCCTAATATAGACAAAGTGTGAAATAATAAAATCAAATTAGTAGCCGTTTCATAAAGCCAATATAAGAACTTAAATTACAACAAAAAACTAGCATGAAGATACCATCAAATTAAATAAAGCATTTAGTCTTATTGTACCTAACTATGCTTTAATACAATGTTGTAGGCTCATCGAGAAGTAGCGAGAGAGGCGGTGAGGAAATCAATGGTGCTTCTAAAGAACGGGAAGACAGACGCGGATAAAATTGTGCCGCTCCCGAAGAAGGTGAAAAAGATCGTTGTCGCGGGGCGACACGCTAACGACATGGGATGGCAATGCGGTGGCTTTACTCTCTCGTGGCAAGGATTCAACGGAACCGGAGAAGATATCCCCGCTAACAAGAAATTGGGAATCCCTACCGGTAAAACAAGAGGTAATATATATAAAATGTCAGAGAATATTAATCCGTCACAGATGCATGCATTATAATATCTAGGGTGTCCCGAATCTTTCCAATTATATTCAAGGTTTAATAGTCTATATTGACATATTCTAAAATGTTATTTCAAAACATATATAGGAACAACAATATTGGAAGCCATCCAGAAAGCAGTAGATCCCACTACTGAGGTTGTCTACGTGGAAGAACCAAACCAAGATACAGCGAAGCTTCACGCCGACGCAGCATACACAATTGTGGTCGTCGGAGAAACCCCTTACGCAGAGACACGTGGGGACAGCCCCACTCTAGGTATCGCCGACCCAGGTCCAAATACGCTCAGATGGACTTGCGGTAGTGGGATGAAGTGTCTAGTGATCCTAGTCACTGGACGTCCGCTCGTGATGGAGGCTTACCTTGATATGATCGATGCTCTTGCAGTCGCATGGCTTCCTGGAACCGAAGGACAAGGAGTCGCTGATGTCTTGTTTGGTGATCATCCCTTCACCGGCACGTTGCCTCGCACGTGGATGAAGCATGTTGTTCAGCTTCCGATGAACGTTGGCGACGAGTACTACGACCCTCTCTACCCCTTCGGATACGGAATCAAAACCTAAATCAATAACGATAACCATGTAATTATGTGAACAATATAACTGTAACACTTTCCCGATCAATATATAATTATAATTTTTGTTACATATATTCAATCCTATGTTAGCATTTCCATATCAAAATTGAAAGAAACCTACAACAATATACATATGTGGACTATGGCCATGAAACGTAACATCCAACTTGTTCACGACTTGATGACCGATCATGCCTATTTCATTATGGGCTTGAGCCCACTCCTTCACTTTTGTTTGCTTCTGAGATGTGAAAACAAAAAGATTCTCATTTTGAGGAAAAGAAACACAAGTCTTTAAGGTTTTTGTGAAAATGGAGAGAAGACAAGAGAAGAGACCACGTGACGGCGAAACAGGTCCTACCTAGCACCATGCAATGTCGGATGCTGAGATGCGTGCTAACTGTTTGATAAATGATTAAATGGTACTGTATAAGTTTTGTTTAATTAAAACGTTAAGTTTGCTCTCCTAAATCTATTAAATAAAAAATTTGTCATTACAACGAAACTAATCAGCTACACAACATATCTCATATACTGCCCTCAGTCCTATTTTCATTCACTATACGCGAGGGAAAGGATTATACAAAATAAGACAGAAGGTTCGCTTATCATATAATGTGATCAAAAACGATGATGCAGATGATTAATATCATGAGTTAACTTTATATATGTTGAAAAATGCTTTATCTGTATAATTGAAAATTCTGAACTGTAGTAAAGCAAACGAGAGCAATAATAACCCAACAACATATGTAGTTTTATGAGTGTACTAGATGTTTTAAAAAGAATTTGCATTTCAAAATCACAAGCTAGGCCATAGGTGATAGGTCCAAAAAACTTGTAGGTTATAGACAAAAAACGGGAGCAATAAGCCAATAATGCATAACCTTTGGTCCGATGACAGAAACGTCTGATGATTTTCCAGGAAATTAAACACGTGAGGAAATTTTATTGTCAATTTTCACTTGGTTCGAGGTTTGTTGTTGAGATAATAATTAATCAATTTCTTTGGACAAAATGACCAACGAGCATCTTCTCTACTCCAATGTCAGGATTATAGCTCATAAGAGAAGTTGGTCTATTTGTACACAGAAATTGATTAATTTAGGCCTAAATACTATTTCCTTAAAATAGTAATTTTTAAAAATAGGATTAGAGCTCATAAGAGAATCTATGTGCGTTTCCATAAATACATAAGCATAGATCCAAGGACAGATGCATTGGTTCCATTGGTGATTAGGTCACGCATGACCTACCATTTTTATACGATTACATTGACAGAACAAAAATACCTTACCTCATTTTAGAGTTCAAGCTTAATCCTTGAACGGAAAATGTATTAGGAGTCCTATTATATTAGTTAATTTTTTTTGAATAATGTTAACTTTTCAATTAGTCAAAAAAATAGCTAACAAAGCAAGGCTAAGAAGATAATTGACCATGCTATGATCGTGATGTTGTTAGAATTAAACACTCTTTAATGGATTGTCAATTTTAATAACAAAAAGAAAAACCCAAGAGACTGAAACTAAACGTCACATGACTCACATGGTCCTTGGATACGAATTCTTAAACAAGGAGAGATCTCAACACTAAGTCCAAAATAATTTTGTATAGAAAGTGACATCCATTTTCTCTACTCCCACTCTTAAGTCCAAATTAATTATTCGTTTCCACTATAACTGATTTCTTCACACGTGTCTTGCAGAGACAATACATTGATATCATTAAATTACTAATCTAGCTACTGATTAGACAACTAGTATTTTTGTCTTCTTTTTCTAGTCGGCTATAAGCATTAAATATAAAAGCAGCCTTGATTGATATCTTTATCAATCTTTTCCTATGTTTTTCTTCTTGCATCACACAAACGATAATAAATACTAGTAATAAATTCAAAGAGAGTATTATCTTCCGAGACGATGCGGTGGCTTTCTTCTACGTGGGTCTCCGATCTCTCTTGTTCTTCGTCGGCCGTTATAGAACCGTCTTCATCTCTTCCAGCTCTAATCCAATGGCTAAGATTCATTCTACTCTCTCCTTGCCCACAGCGACTTCTCTCATCCACCGTCGATCTTCTCTTCCTTATCATCCTCTTCTTCTTCGCTATCCAAAAACTCTGTTCTTCATCATCTTCTGCTTCTTCAAGAATCAACGGTGAAGCTGACATCACTAAACCTCTACTAGGAAGAAGAACACGAACCAGAACAACCGGGTTGTTCAAAACGACAATCGTAGTAACCATTCTCCTGTCGTTTTGCTCCATCGTGCTCTGCGTTTTGGCTTTTTTCACCACTCGGACGAAATTAAAGCTCGTTGATTCTCTGTTTTGGTTAATCCACGCCGTTACTAACGTCGTCATCGCCGTCTTAGTTCTCCACCAAAAGAGATTCGCATCTCTGTCTCATCCGTTAACGTTACGAATCTACTGGGTTTTCAATTTCGTCGTCACAACTCTCTTCACCGTCTCCGGGATTCTCCATCTCCTCTCCGACGATTCCGCCGCCGCGAGTCTAAGAGCAGACGACGTCGCTTCGTTCATCTCCTTCCCTTTAACCGCCGTTCTACTCCTCGTCTCCGTCAAAGGATCCACCGGAGTAGTAGTAACCAGTAGCAGCGTCACAGCTCCGGCGGAATCAAACGACGTCGGTTTAGAGAAATTCGAAAACGTTTCACTATACGCATCGGCATCGTTTATATCGAAAACTTTCTGGTTATGGATGAATCCGTTACTAAGCAAAGGCTACAAATCTCCATTAAACCTCGACCAAGTTCCGACTCTTTCACCGGAGCACAGAGCCGAGAAGCTCGCGACGCTCTTCGAATCGAAATGGCCCAAACCACAAGGGAACTCGAGAAACCCCGTCCGTACAACTCTAATCCGATGTTTCTGGAAGGAGATCGCATTCACGGCGGTTCTAGCCATCATCCGTCTCAGCGTCATCTACGTCGGACCAGTTCTCATCCAAAGCTTCGTCGATTTCACTTCCGGCAAAGGATCATCGCCGTCGCAGGGTTACTACCTCGTTCTCATCCTCCTAGTGGCCAAATTCGTCGAAGTGTTATCGACTCATCAGTTCAATTTCAATTCCCAGAAGCTAGGGATGCTTATAAGATCCACTCTCATAACAGCTCTCTACAAGAAAGGTTTAAAGCTAACGGGCTCTGCTCGTCAGAATCACGGCGTTGGTCAAATCGTGAATTACATGGCAGTTGATGCTCAGCAACTCTCTGATATGATGCTTCAGCTCCACGCAATCTGGCTCATGCCTTTGCAAGTAGCGGTGGCTATTGTGCTTCTCTACGGTACTCTTGGACCTTCTGTGGTCACTACTATTATCGGTTTAACCGGAATCTTCGTGTTCATTCTCTTGGGAACGAAGCGAAACAATCGGTTTCAATTCAGTTTGATGACGAATCGTGATTCACGGATGAAAGCAACTAATGAGATGCTTAATTACATGAGAGTGATCAAGTTTCAAGCTTGGGAAGATCATTTCAACGAGAGGATTCTCAAGTTTAGAGAAATGGAGTTTGGTTGGCTATCCAAGTTTCTTTATTCGATTGCCGGAAACATTATCGTGCTTTGGAGCACTCCGGTGTTGATCTCGGCGCTCACTTTCACAACCGCGGTTTTCTTGGGTGTCAAGCTTGATGCAGGCACGGTTTTCACCACAACAACGATTTTCAAGATTCTTCAAGAACCGATCAGGACGTTTCCGCAGTCTATGATCTCTCTTTCACAGGCTATGATCTCTCTCGGAAGACTCGATGCTTATATGATGAGTAGAGAGCTATCAGAAGAGACTGTGGAAAGAAGTCAAGGGTGTGATGGGAATGTCGCTGTGGAGATCAAAGATGGAAGCTTTAGTTGGGATGATGAAGATGACGAGCCTGCAATTGAAAACATCAACTTTGAGATTAAGAAAGGAGAGCTGGCTGCGATTGTAGGGACTGTTGGTTCAGGGAAGTCTTCATTGTTAGCTGCAGTTCTCGGCGAAATGCACAAACTTTCAGGCAAGGTTCGGGTTTGTGGGTCAACTGCTTATGTAGCGCAAACTTCGTGGATTCAGAACGGAACGGTTCAAGACAATATCTTGTTTGGTCTTCCTATGGATAGAAGCAAGTACAATGAAGTTCTCAAGGTTTGTTGTTTAGAAAAAGATATGCAGATCATGGAGTTTGGAGACCAGACTGAGATCGGGGAACGCGGAATTAACCTTAGTGGAGGTCAGAAGCAGAGGATACAACTTGCACGAGCGGTTTATCAGGAATCCGATGTGTATTTACTCGATGATGTCTTTAGCGCGGTGGATGCTCATACCGGTTCAGACATATTCAAGGTGAGCACTTAATCTATCAACTAAGTTCATCAAAATCAAAAGCTGAATCTTCTTTCTTTGTGATTATGTTCCTGCAGAAATGTGTAAGGGGGGCATTAAAGGGAAAGACTATCTTGCTAGTAACTCATCAAGTAGACTTCCTTCACAACGTTGACCGCATCTTGGTACAGTTCGACGGAACAAAAGATTAAAACTTGTTGAGTTTAGGATTTATGAATTTGCTAATGATTGGTTCCATTTTACAGGTTATGCGAGATGGAATGATTGTGCAGTCAGGAAAATACGATGAATTAGTGAGCTCCGGGTTAGATTTTGGGGAATTGGTAGCAGCGCACGAGACATCAATGGAGCTAGTTGAAGCTGGCTCGGCATCAGCCACTGCAGCAAATGTGCCAATGGCATCACCAAGAACACAGAGAAGTATTTCAATAGAGTCTCCCCGTCAACCACCAACACCAAAGTCTCCAAAAGTACATAGAACTACTTCAATGGAGTCTCCAAGAGTACTTAGAACTACTTCGATGGAGTCTCCTCGTTTAAGCGAGCTAAACGATGAAAGCATCAAGTCGTTTCTCGGCTCCAACATCCCAGAAGATGGATCAAGACTGATCAAAGAAGAAGAAAGAGAAGTGGGACAAGTGAGCTTTCAAGTTTACAAACTCTACTCAACAGAAGCTTATGGGTGGTGGGGAATGATACTTGTTCTCTTCTTCTCTGTGGCTTGGCAAGGCTCTTTAATGGCTAGCGATTATTGGCTTGCCTATGAAACATCAGCCAAAAACGAGGTTTCATTCGACGCAACAGTCTTCATCCGCGTCTATGTCATTATTGCTGCTGTTTCCATTGTTCTTGTGTGCCTCCGGGCATTTTATGTCACTCACTTAGGCCTCAAGACTGCTCAGATCTTCTTCAAACAGATTCTCAACAGTCTCGTGCATGCACCAATGTCTTTTTTCGACACCACGCCATCGGGAAGAATTCTCAGTCGGGTTAGTAGATAACTTTCTCCATTTGAGATCTAGAAAACCATGGAGATTTCATTTTAAAGACAGTAGTCCCTTTTATATGTTTTTGCAGGCATCTACTGATCAGACCAATGTAGATATCTTCATCCCGTTCATGATAGGACTAGTGGCCACAATGTATACTACTCTGCTCAGCATCTTCATAGTAACATGTCAATACGCTTGGCCAACTGTTTTCTTCATAATTCCTCTTGGATGGCTTAACATTTGGTACCGGGTAAGTGGCGAAAAGAGATGATATTATTTGTTTCTGATGCTGGTAGCTCTTTGATGTTTTAAACATCTGATTGAGTTTTGGATCAACCAGGGATATTACCTTGCATCATCTCGGGAACTAACTCGTCTTGACTCGATCACCAAGGCCCCAGTAATCCACCATTTCTCAGAAAGCATAGCTGGAGTGATGACAATCAGATCTTTCAAGAAACAGCAAATGTTTAGGCAAGAGAATGTGAAGCGAGTGAACGCCAATCTCAGGATGGACTTCCACAACAATGGTTCAAACGAATGGCTCGGGTTTCGGTTAGAGCTGATTGGGAGCTGGGTACTCTGCATCTCGGCTCTGTTCATGGTCTTATTACCAAGCAACATTATCAAACCAGGTATGAAGACTAGAGTGACTAAGCTTGTTTAATAACATAATATTAGTTTTCCTTATGATGAGTTTTTTTTGGGTATCAATGCAGAAAATGTTGGGCTTTCACTTTCTTACGGACTATCGCTGAACGGTGTCCTGTTTTGGGCAATATATCTAAGCTGTTTCATTGAGAACAAGATGGTTTCTGTTGAAAGAATCAAACAGTTCACTGACATTCCCTCGGAAGCGAAATGGGAGATCAAAGAGAGCCGTCCACCTCCAAATTGGCCATACAAAGGTAACATACGTCTCGAAGATGTCAAGGTACGATATAGACCAAACACGCCTCTTGTGCTCAAGGGACTTACAATAGACATCAAAGGAGGGGATAAGATTGGTGTGGTTGGAAGAACAGGAAGTGGCAAATCGACTTTGATTCAGGTCTTGTTTAGACTTGTGGAGCCATCTGGTGGCAAGATAATCATCGACGGAATCGATATCTGCACTTTAGGACTTCATGATCTAAGGTCAAGATTCGGTATCATTCCTCAAGAACCTGTTCTCTTCGAAGGAACAGTAAGGAGTAACATTGATCCAACAGAGAAATATACTGATGAAGAAATCTGGAAGGTTAGAGGTTTAAAAGGTTAAACCTTTTTATTTGATTCTTGATCCAACATTTTCTAAAATTTGCTCTGTTTTTTCTTTGTTTAAAGAGTCTCGAGCGATGTCAACTTAAGGATGTTGTTTCTTCCAAGCCCGAGAAGCTCGATTCTCTAGGTGAGTTAAAGTTACTTGTTTTGAAGCTTGACTGACAGATTTTGCTTGAGATTAACATTGGAGAATATTTGGCACAGTGGCGGATAATGGCGAGAACTGGAGTGTTGGTCAAAGACAGTTACTCTGTTTAGGAAGGGTTATGCTGAAACGAAGCCGGATTCTGTTTCTAGATGAAGCAACTGCGTCCGTCGATTCGCAGACTGATGCTATGATCCAAAAGATCATCAGGGAGGATTTCGCGGAGTGTACCATTATCAGCATTGCTCATAGGATTCCAACAGTTATGGACTGTGATCGCGTTCTTGTCATAGACGCAGGTAAGAAAACAGAACATACACAAGTTGTTTACCTTTTTGGTGGATTAATGGAGTTTCTAACGGATGTGAAATTTGCAGGAAAAGCGAAAGAGTATGATAGTCCAGTTCGTTTGTTGGAGAGACAGTCGTTGTTTGCTGCATTGGTTCAAGAGTATGCTCTCCGATCCGCCGGAATATGAGACCACTTTTTATTTTTGCTTTTCCTTTCTTTTCTTTTGTGGTCAACTTAGTTGACTCAACTAATATGAATATGATCACACCTTGTTTTTATAATTTCATGGAGAATTATCTGACGGTTTATGTAGATTTAATAAAATTTCAATAATCACGAGTCTCCTTTGGCAATGCTATATTGTTCTTGAGAATACTTTTTTCTTTTATGCAACAAAAGTTTTTCATGAACTTGAGGCTGTTGTGTTTCCTTCTATTCAACAATAAAATACATATATTCCCTTAATTTAGTTTTAAAAGTTAAACCCTAAAGGTTGGAAAATGAATTATGTATATGAAACCAAAAGACTGTACTACTGGTTGGTATATGAAACCAAAAAAAACTTTACTTGAGTCAGGTATCTTTCGAAAATAGGTCTGACCCATCTAGAGCATAAACCTTAAACCAAAGATGGGCAACATTAGGAGATTAATGTAACTAGAGTTGATTCAATCTTGATATACAAGACTTACGCGTGATCATAATGTAATTGGTGTTGATTCAATCAGAATCTTAGGAAAATATATAATTAAAAAACATGGAAAGGAGCTTAATTTTGGTCGGCAGAGATTCCGTACTGACTATTCCGACGAAATAACATGGATGTTAACAAGATTCATTTGGATTTTTAACGCTTTTTCTGCACATTATCCGGTTTTGGATTAGATCAAATATCCTTTTATAATTTATCTTTTGGGTTTTCACTATCAATATATTTTTTTGATCCACATACAAAAGTTACTCTTTCCTTTTTCCTCACGGCTTGTTCGTTAGGTCACGGTTTTAAACTTAAATCATTGCGTATACATTGCATAATGGTATCCGAAAAAAAACTAATAACAATAAATAAACTGACTTTTTTGTCCATATTTTCACCAAACTGTAACCAAAACCGTATGAAAGTAAATCGAATACAAATTTAAAGAACATTCTGTGAAGAAAATATAACATGTTCATCATCTTTTCTCTTGGTATCGTTTTGCCTTTCTGTTTGCTTATAGCATGTAAATGTTTATTATTGATTTCCCATTTAATTAATTATTGTTACATTTTGTTTCTTACAATAAATAAATAAAGATTTAAAAAGTTAAAGTTGAAAATAAATAAAGCAATTTGAAAAAGGGTGATAAATGAGCTGGCCACGACTTTTCTAGCGAAGTGTAACTTCACTGGCTGTTACATCATTTATTTACGACTTTCACACGGTTCCGTTGATTGTAAAATATCAGAGCTTCTTAAAGTTTAGCCATTTTGATCAAACAAAAACATTGGATATAGAATCACGAACTAATATGCATGTATGCATTTAGAAGACGATTAATCAGCCTACACGCTAAACACTATTCTAACACCTAATGTGCGCCTAGCAGTATTCTAAATGCTGTGAAATACAAACTCTTAATTACTCGTTTTTTTTGTTTTTACTTATGAATCCATTATTACTTTTTCGGAATTATCCATTTTTCGTTCTAACTCTTTTTCAAATGTTTCTTTTTATTTTCTCTCTTTTTCTTGACTATTAAGAAACCTGCCAGCTTTAATACAATTTTGGTGGATAAACCTGTCAATGGTGTTTCTTTTTCTAAAAAAGGGTGATAATCTGTATTGCATATTGATATTCAAATTGAAATTTTTAGATACTTTATGATAAAATTTGCTATAAAAAAAAGTACTTTATGATAAATTAAAAATATAATAATATAGTTTGTGTAGGAAATAAGAAAGTTGCACTGTGCTGAAATAAAGTAGAAGACGAGTAACTATCATCAGACGTATAAAGTATGATATTTTCATGTTAACCCGCACGAGCACGGCACATGTGTTTATGTATTGTAGCCTTTTGGAGTTTTTCTCTCAAGTTGTAGAATGTTTTGACCAATAATGGCCGACCTTATCATAAGATTAACTTTTCACTGACCAACCAGGTTAAATATACTCAACGCAGAAACAAGTCTAATTACACACCGCTTTTTCCATTGAATTAGTTACTTATTTTTGTATTCGTCTGTTATAATTATATGTCAAAAGTAAAAATAAAAGTTATTACGATAGTCAAGATATCAATTCATGTGTTTGAGTGTTACATATTTAGAAGCATGTGATGTGAGGGTTTGTTAGCGGTGACTTGTGCAATCGAATCGATCGTACTACGTGAATGTCTAGCCTACATACAAGATTTTGTTATATGCTTATATATTAATCTGTCTACAAAACTGGACCACCGTAAAGTAAGGTTATATTGGAATATTCGTCTAGTGGTGTTGAGGTATCGTCTAATCATTCTGAACCGTTAATGGCCTACGAAGTTCTTAGAAAGATCTTAGATATGGAATTCAATTTTCCAAACATTATGTAATTTATTATTATAAAAATAAATAATAATTGTAATAGTGTTGAAAGTGAAGGAAAGTGGAAATACGAACGGGAAAAAGAGAGAAGAATTCCAATGTTATTTAAAGTAGAAACAAGACATAAAAAAGGTGAAGGCATCAAAGGTCGTTAGCAAGGAAGGGCCATTTAAAAATCCTCTTCACGACAAAAAAATTAGTAGGTTTCTGATGTGTAAAACGGTCTTAAAGACATTTTCTGAAAAAGACTTCCCCGAACAAAGTTATAGTTGACGGAAATTAAAACAAAAAAAAAAAAAATTAGAGAGAAAACAAGAAAGAAATAAAGCAAAAAAAAAAAAATTTAAAAAAGGAAGAAGAAAGAAATAAAGAGCCGTCAGATTGGGACAGTCTTTCTCTTAGCATTTAAGCAAAAAAACTTTTGAAAGACCACGCTTGAGTCCCATGACTCATGGAAATCCAAAAGCTATTCATTACTAGATTTTATGGTTCTTTTCGGTTTATTTAGTTATGTGTTTCCCAGTTTCGTTTCAATTGGTTTGGACCATGCATTTCTTCGCCTATTCGTGTGTTTTTCTATATATCTAAAAAAAAAAAGAAGATTTTCTACATATAGTACTGCTCTATGTAAATAATCCACAAAAATTTTAGTCATTTCTGTTATTTATTTATTTAAATATTTATGAATTTCTTAAATAATCAGTTTAGAGACATGCATGAGAGAATCTATCAATGTGCTCTACCAAATGAGTATACGATCGTTTATTTGTTTTTGATCTTTTTGGTAAACTGCTGCATGTGATGTGTTTTTTTATACTTCGAATTATAGTAGAATGATGGGTTGATAATTGGCAATATTTATTATACGTCTGATATGCCTTAAAAAAAACTAATTAAATTTAAGAAAATAAAAAATATTTATTTAAATTTAAGTTCGCAAAAAAGATTTGGTGAGCAAGATGTTAAAACTTATAAAGTAAACTACGGTCAAAGACTTGCTCAAAGTAATGTCTCCACGATATTTATTAGAACTCACATCCAACAAGTGGGTTTAAAGCTCAAGTAAAGTAGCTATTAGACGAATATATGATGTTCTATGAAAGAAAACACAAAACAAAAAAAAGTCGCAAAAGCTTTAATCACTTTTGAAAATATTATTTTTCCCTCTTTCTTTATGAAATTTTCCCTCTTACCAATATATAAAACTCGTATAAACGTTACTTGAGTTCAAAAAAGAAAAAATCAACAATAAAAACATATAGAAAGAAGAGGGAAATAAATAAAGTAAAGAGAAGCAAATAATTCATATAGTATTTGTCTATAAATAAAGAGATTCAAACCCACAGAATTATCCACATTTCCACTCTCTCGTTTACTTCTTCTTCTTCTTCGTTTCACCCACTCACTTCATTCTCTCTCCAAAACCTTCACTTTCTCTATCTATCTTCAAAACAATGGGAAACATGTTTGACAGTAGCAAGACCATATGGGGAAACATGAACCATGGATCGTCACGTTACTCTCTCAACGGCAAAATCATGCTTGCTTCCGTCATCATCCTCTTCGTCGCCGTCATTTTAATCCTCTGTTTCCACAGCTACGCCAGATGGTTGTTCCGCCGTCAAAACCGCCGTATTCGCCGCCGTATCAGTGCTCACCTCCGATCACTCGCCGCCGCTCGAGACCCCACTCAATCATCCTCATCTCTATCTCCTCTTGATCCGACGGTGCTCGAGAAGATCCCGATATTCGTCTACTCCGCTAAAACCCATGAATCTCCACTGGAGGAGTGCTCTGTTTGCTTATCGGAGTTCGAAGAAGACGACGAAGGACGTGTCCTTCCCAAATGCGGCCACGTGTTCCATGTTGATTGTATTGACACGTGGTTCCGGTCCAGATCAAGTTGTCCTCTTTGTAGAGCTCCGGTTCAACCCGCACAGCCGGTTACCGAATCCGAACCGGTTGCTGCCGTGTTCCCGTCGGTTAAACCAGTTGAAGATACCGAAGCCGGAAGTTCCTCATCATCGGACGAATCCGAATCCTCGACGCCGTCGTCCTCCTCTGGGTCGCCGGTGAGGTTTCCGATGGAAGCTTGTGAGAGAGCACCGATTGATTTAATCGGTATAATTGTGGAGATCCCCAGGGAATTTGAAGATTCTAATTCGGGTCTACCCGGAGATAACGGGTCGAATAACCGGACTTCATTACAAAGGCAATGGAGTATTTGATTACAAAATTGGATAGTGATGGAATCCGACCCGATATCCGGGAAAGCGGGTGGGCAAATTCGGATTCTAAAGATTGGGATAACCGATCCGGTAATCTGGGGAAGCGGGCAGAATCGTATTACTGGCATGGAAGACAACACGTGGCGTTTTGGATTTCCACGTGGCATTCGTTGGGACGTTTGCTTTACAGAGAGACGGCGTTTGGAAAAAATGAACGGAAGTGAGATATAAAGTAACGGAGCCGTTTGAACAATGTATATACCAGACGGTGTCGTTTAAGTTGAGAGAAACAAATCGCTAAGCGAAGCTCTCCCACCAAAATGATTCTCTTTGTTTTTTTTTTCCTTTTTCTCTTAAATGGGTTGATTTGATAAATGTAATTACAATAAGTGAACGTAATCGACGGTTCAACGAAGACATTTGATCGATATTTTATCTTATTTTCTGTAATTATAATTTTAAATATTATTCATTATTATTAATTTAACCATATGTAGCCATAAATGCTATTGTATCTATTTGTAAACCGTAAGTCATATGCTGTTTTTAGTCTAATGTTGTTGTTTCAATTGTAAAACTCTCAGGGCATGCATGTATAGTTGCTGATGATTTACTTGCATGTTTTCTTGGCTAAAGTGGGTTACTTACAAGTTACAAGTTACAAGTTACAAGTTACAATTAAAGCAACTTTTAGAACTTAATTGATATATCAATATATATACCACAATTGTGGTATTAGGTAGGATGGAGTTTTGACTCAGTGACACGTACACAAAGTGACATGGACATGAACTCAAAGAGTCTAAGAGGGACCATCCGACCGACTCGCGTGCGGTGTGCATGGGTAAAGAAAGTGGAATCTGATTCATCTCTTAGTAAACAAATTATAACAACGAGGCTGCTTTAAGTTTAAAAGCTATTTCTCAAGCACATGTCTCCAATTTTCAAATTGATTTGTGGGGACAAATTACCAATACATATATGTAATGATTAAACATGTCGACCGAAAAGAAAAAACTTATCACATATTTGACTATCTTCCTTCTATAAACCATACTCTTTTGTTAAAACTTGGGACAAAGGAAAACATCACTCAAATTAATAGACCTAAATCGAAATTTAACAAGTTACCCAATTCCAGGAGTGGAGCCCAGTGATCCGGTTTGAGTTTGGAATGTAAAGAATGGATTATAATTAAATCTTATATAAAAATAATAATAAAAGCATTATTGTTTAAAACAAAATGAATTGTAATAGATCGACAGAAGTTGCCGTCATTAGTATATAAACACATATTTGAAGAGGACAAAGTCAAAATGCCGACTAAGTTAACCTTAAAATAATAGTAGTGCAGCAAGATCCTTGTGCACGATGATTATGAAAATTGCAGCATTGAATTTGACAAGGCGATACAAGAATAATAACTCTATGTCCCTATGACGTAGTATACAAGAGCAAGATTTAATTGCATTTTGATCGATTTTTAACAAAAAAAAAAAAAGAAGAAGACTTGGTTGCACGATTAAAATTAAACATGATTCATGTCTACTATTCCTTGCAGTTTTGTCTCCGAAGGACGATATGATGTTCTACCGGCTTTATTTTCAAAGAGTGTTTGGGTTTTGTTTAGGTAGGTGGTCCGCATTAGATAGAAAGCTTTGTAACATCTCATGTGTATTTTTTACACATTCAGAAGGGGAAAAAAAAATCAAAATCTATCGTGCAATCCATCTATGGAAAATGACTAGAGCATTAGATTCGTAACTATTGTTTTCGGTTTTAAAAGCTAGACAAATCGTTGTTTATGTGTTTAGTAGACACGTGTTAATGCAATGTCCACAAAATTAAATTAAAAATATCTTTTTAGCATCCAAGAAAAATAACACTCATTAAAATTAAATTTCTCATATATAAGTAGTCGCATAAACCAAACAAAGATTTTACTCTTACAATTTTATTACATGAAATGAAAAGCATAACCAAAAGGATATATTGCATTGGTAATGCAACGAATCAAATGAAATCGGAACAAACAAACAAAAGAACATTTTCAAGGGAAAAATTTCCAAATAATAAATTGATTAAAGCGACCTCTTATATAATGCATGCAAAATCATCATCATCATCATAATGTGATCATCACGATCAGTATTTGGGAGTGGCGGGGGCAGCCTTGGGACCGGTGTAGTAGAAAGGTCCGACGCTAAAGAGCTTCAAGTTCTTCTCGGAGTAGAAACGGTATCCGTACATTGACAAAGGAACTCCTGTGAGACCCTTGTTAACATTGGTCGGGTTCTTGCAAGTCTCGACCGGAGAAAAGTAGAGCTTCACACGACAGTAAGCTAGATCCTTGATATCGGTCAACGACACGTGGAAGTATCCCTTAGAGTTAGTTGGATCACTGTAGATCACAACCTCGTTCTTGCTTTTCCCGTATGATGCTGGCTCGGAGCACACAATCTTTACCTTTGCTCCTACACGAGGTTAGTTAATAAACCGGAAGTTATATAATTAGCAATGTTGTTGTTATAATAAATTATCTAATCAGGGAGGCTTAAGTATGTTGCATACCTAGAATAGGGTAGGTTTCGTAGCCGTTTTTGCATAGAATAATGCCATCAACGGCCTTAAGAATCTCTGGGACGTACGGTTTGGTGGGTGGAGTGTAGGTTGGTTCTGGTACATATGGAGGAGGAGGAGAAGAATAAGTTGGAGACTTTTTGTAGACCGGAGGTGAGGGAGTAGGCTTGTAAACAGGTGGAGTGTAAACCGGAGGTGGGATAGTTGGCTTAGTGTAAACCGGAGGTGAGAGAGTTGGCTTGTAAACCGGTGGAGTGTAAACCGGAGGTGGGATAGTTGGCTTAGTGTAAACCGGAGGTGAGAGAGTTGGCTTGTAAACCGGTGGAGTGTAAACCGGAGGTGGGATAGTTGGCTTAGTGTAAACCGGAGGTGAGAGAGTTGGCTTGTAAACTGGTGGAGTGTAAACCGGAGGTGGGATAGTTGGCTTAGTGTAAACCGGTGGTGAGGGGGTATGCTTGTAAACCGGTGGGGTGTAAACCGGAGGTGGGATAGTTGGCTTAGTGTAAACCGGAGGTGAGGGTGTATGCTTGTAAACCGGTGGAGAGTAGTAGACTGGAGGAGGGAGGGTAGGCTTGTAAACCGGTGGAGTGTAAACCGGAGGTGGGAGGGTGGGCTTGTAAGCGGGTGGTGTGTAAACCGGAGGTGGGAGTGTGGGCTTGTGAACCGGTGGTGTGTAAACCGGAGGTGGAAGAGTTGGCTTGTAGGCGGGTGGAGTGTAAACCGGAGACGGAAGCGTGGGTTTGTGTTCCGGTGATTTGTAAACTGGAGGAGATGAGGGAGAGTAGTAATCGGCGGTGGCTATGGTAACCAAAGAGAGGATGAGGCAAATGGCCAAGGAGGCGCGTGTGATCGCCATTGAAGAGCTTGTCTTGTCTTTTGCCTTGAGCTAGTTCGTTTTGTGTTATTTGTATTTGAATGAGGAAAACGATTTCACCAAATGGGGCTTTATAAGAAAACGTTTGGGTATTAAAAATTTGGATAATAATAATGAAATGTTATTTTTAAGGTGACTAATTGATGGTAATCACGTTTGGGATTCTCATAGTGTGATACACGATCAAATACATGTTGGCCATTAACAAGAAACAACCATGCACAAACGTTTGGGTCCGTGCCGTAAGGGTTCGGTCTCTAGTCTGGACCACCTCGGTGGGCCAGGACACTCGGTTATCAAAAAAAAAAAAAAAAAAAAAAAAAAAAAACCATGCACAAGCTGACCAAAGGATCATCGGATAATTTAAAAAGATGGGCTCGGAAATTTGATAGGCCCATTAAATAATAAAGCACACTCGTTTGCCAACTTTTAGTATCTAAACATATAGTTTAATTATCCAACCACAAATGGGCCAAATAAACCTAAAAGCCCAATTTACAAGCCCGAAACATTGAAAACTGAAAACCCTAATGATGAAAAGAAAACAATCCTATATATTTGTCGTTGCCTCAATTTGAAGCTCAAGCGGCGACTGACTAATGATCGGAGATTTATTATTATTCGGTGATTTATTTTTCTCTTCGTTACTTTGTTTGTGTTATTAAGTTAGATCTTAGTATTAGGGTTCTTCTTCTTTGTTTTATCATATGCTTAGAGAATTATTACGGCTCGTAGTTTGATTTATGGGTTTAAAATTGTTTTCAAATAGAGAGGTTGAAGAAAGGGCCTTTCTTAATCCCAGCTAAGTTTGATCAAGTACTTATCTGATTCATGTGAGGCCTAAACCAAAGTTGCGAGTTTCGCTGATAATACCTTCTTCTTTTTTAACCCCAGAAGGTGTTTTATTAGTAACTCTGCTTACATATTTATTCCCTAATCAAATCTCAAATTTTTACTTGGGTGTCATGACACTTTTTTGTATTCTGTGATTGATTTGGTCTAGCTAAATAGTTTCTGTTATTTTGTAGTGTTTTCTTATCGTTTTTGGGTCTTGCTTTAATTTAATGGCAATAAGCTAACATGTATAACATACTCATTAGTTGTTCACTGTCTTTGTTGTAATCTCAAAAGTTGAAAATTTAGACTCAAAGAATTGAATCAAACAGTGAAAGTTCCAGTTATTAGGCACAGGTTAAGGTATTTCTAGAATGACAAGTTTTCACAAGTTGTTAGTTGTTACTCTAGGATCCAACCGAAGCTAAATGATTATATCAATGGGCCTGGTGAATATTTTAAGAAGCCCAATTTGGTGAATTGAAATAGAATTGTGAGCCCAAAACATATGGATACATAATATATTACCTGTCAAACAAACAATGGTTTGCTCATTTCTTTTTCAACCCACAACATTAGTTGTTCATAATTCTTAAGTATACCCTTTTTATTAATAAAGATTTTAGTTTCGGAAAACAATGGAAAACGTCAAAGCAGAATCTCAATTCCCAAAACAAAACCCTAAATGAAAACATCTTGGATCGAAGACCAAACTACATTACTAGCACAAATCCTGATCACACAACAAATCCTGATCACACAAGTCAACAAAACAAGAGTTTTGGTTTGTTCTTTAAATTGAGAGAGCAGGGAATCTACTATTCCAAAAAGGCAGACCAACTGGATGACGACTAGTGTTTTTTTGCTGCAAAGAGTTTGATTCCTTATAAATTTTCACTGTGTTGCCTAGGACGCCTTAATAAACACTCCCTAATGATTTCTAGGGCAAAGGAAATAAGATATATAAATTTTGGCCCACTTTTAGGTTCAGTAAAAGACTCCAATAAATCACAAAACAGAGACGACATATGGGTGAAACCTGTCGTTGATAGAGGAAAAGACCTTGTTAGAACCATCAATAATTAATACAATTGGGATAAGCTGACGGAACATACCTTTGCAATTCATTAGCTGAAACAGTTTCAGTCGGTTTTGGGAATTAAAGATGGTTTAACTTCGTCTTTATACAATTTTATTTATATTAAGGTGAACACAATGGTTGGATACAATATTGATATCCAATGAATCTTTCTTAAAAAAGGAAATATACGTCAAATATGTAAAGATTTGGCTTATATTATACATGTGAATATTTGGAAAACACACTTTTTCGTGTATATATTTCTTTTTACAATTATTATACATACTGTATATCCTCTTAGTTTACATTAAACATGTGAAGTATTTGGAAAGTTTAACGACCAGTATATCTATATATAGTCTAATGGGAAAATCAAATAATTACGCTCGCATAGATATGGAAACAATTTACATTTTTCCTTTTTTAATGCATAATCACGTCTTCTTTAACAATCTATATATAAAGTTCATAAATCACATTTTAATTCATTTGTATCTATATTCAGCTTCATTTTTATGTGTTTTGTTTTAAAATAATTTTAATTCACTTTGTCCATCCTAAATCAAATATTATTGCATTTCTAAGCTACTATCATTTTTCATTAATTTAATAAAAAATGATTTATTACATTTAATTAAATAGACAATTTGCATGATATATTAATAAGCATTTTATAATTTTCAAAGACTTATAACATTTTAGTCTCACTGCTGGAAAATCTTGATTTGAACCTCCTCAATACTCATCAGTCCACTTCTCAACCTCTAAATTTCCGAACTTTCTTGTTTCTCAAGAAACTCCATCTCCATAATTAAATCTGCGGCTAATCACGATCAGGGATCGTGACTAAGGCAAGTAAACGAACTAATGGGCCTGCCTCAATCTTAATAAGCATTGTCCCTTTATAACGTGCCCTTTAAGTAATAGCCTAAACGGCTGAACGTAAACAGGAAAGTCGAAACAGAGTTGAAGAAGGAGAAATCTTTATATTGTTGACGAGATCGATGTTATACAATAAATCGAGAGAGTAGGCAACAACAATATTCAATCGTTTGTAGTGATCAGATCCAGCAGACCGTGCAATTTCAAGAAACCTCATCATACTGATGAGCTTCCATTAACCTGAATAGCACGTTACAAACTCTTTCTTCAAACAGGGGATAAACAACTTACCAAACAAGATCTGACTACAATGGCTAAGTAGCGATTGTCCGCTTTCCCATAGTCCTCACATCTCTGGGATTGGAACCCACCATGATTGTTTTCTTGAAACTGCAGTCTATAGATACAAGGGTTAGTTCAAGTCAAATTGTTCCTACTAGAGATGATAGACATGCAAAACAAACTGATACTAGCTTCATGCCCATCGACTTTTCTAACTTATAATTAAGAGCTCTAGAGAGTTTTAAGGAAAACACCACAAAAGGGACAAACAGTTCAAGATTCAACCCACCACTAACTATATACCCAAAATCCTTTTTTTTTTTTTGATAAGATCGAGAATCCATTGGTGTGGGCCTAATTCCATTGCGAGAAGGTCACCAAGTAAAACTGCCTATACGATTAAACGATAAACACGCGAAACGGAGCTAAAGAGAGAAATGCCAATAGTACTGTTTTGTTTCTTTTTTTTTTCTCTCGAGCAAAGATAAACACCAGCAGAGTTTTTGTTATTTTCCTTAACACATTTTTTATTTATTAAATCAAAATAATTTATATGGATAATTATAATAGAAAAAGGAAGTCTATACCTAACAATTAATAACAGTATATATACTTTCCAATTTTCAACTTTTCGCACGTGATCCATATATATGCATACCTAGTTTTTCGCACGCTCATAAACCTCTCTCTCTCTTCCTTCTTCAATCCAATCTCTATCTCTTTCCTTGCGCTTCAAGCATTCATAGATAAGATTTTTTATCTTTAATGTCAGTTTCAGCAAACCTACTCGATGAGAACTTTCGCAACTTGCGAAAAGAAGTACCTTGTGATGATGAAATTGGATCTCCCATCAACGACGACGATGAAGAGTTCTCGACTACAAGTATTAGGGTTCTTTTGGTCGATGCAGATTCCAATTCTTTACTTCTCATCAAGAATCTCATGACACAGTACTCCTATCAAGGTATCTAGTTAGATTGAATTAGGGTTTCTTTTTTATGTTACTTTGACGAATTACGGTAGTAAGGGTTTTTAATTAGGGTTTAGGGTTTTACATTACTTTATTTTTTGGTAATTGAGGGTTTTACATTAGGTTTATGGTTATGTTTAATTTCGTGTTTCAGTAACGAAATATGAGGACGGAGAAGAGGCCATGGCTTTCTTGATGAAGAATAAGCAAGAGATCGATCTAGTGATTTGGGATTTCCATATGCCCCATATCAATGGACTCGACGCTCTCAATACCATTGGTAAAGAGATGGATTTACCCGTAGTAAGTAAGTATATATGTACAATTAATTATACCAATATTTCTATTTTATTTTCCTTCGTATATAACGTAGTAAGACATTCTCTAATCTTTAATATGATCCAATTAATGTGAAATTATTCGTGTCAAGTCATGTCTCATGATTACAAGAAGGAAACGGTGATGGAATCGATTAAGTACGGCGCGTGTGACTTTCTTGTGAAACCGGTGAGCAAAGAGGTCATTGCAGTTCTATGGCGACATGTTTATCGCAAAAGGATGTCAAAATCTGGTTTAGATAAACCGGGTGAATCAGGTACGGTTGAATCAGATCCGGACGAATACGACGATTTAGGGCAAGACAATCTCTATCAGAGCAACGAAGAAGCCTCCAAAAACACTTCCGATCAAAAGGGAGAGAAGCCTGCGACCAAGAAACCGCGGATGCAATGGACTACTGAACTTCACCACAAATTTGAAGTAGCCGTCGAAAAACTCGGCAGCCTTGAGAGTAATTAATCTTGCGTGAATTGAATAAGTAAGTTTCTTGATTATAAATATATTATCTTACCGTTTAATTGCATTTCGCAGAGGCTTTTCCGAAGACGATTCTCAAATATATGCAAGAAGAAATGAATGTCCAGGGGCTCACTAGAAACAACGTAGCCAGTCATCTTCAGGTAATTAATACTTATATCAATTTTGGATCTTTATTCTATTTTAGGGTTTATTGTTTCTTGGAGGACAAGAAACCAGTAATTAGGGCTAACAATTTACAACGATTCTGATGGCAGAAGTACCGTCAAAATTCAAAACAAAAGACCAGCACTCACCAGGAGCGTCAAGAAGATTTTGTCTGGCGTAATGCTGGGCCAGATGCCACTCTCGCAGCCTCTAATCCGCCCCTAAGCTCGAACCTCAATATCCACGCTACAGCATCGTATTTGATGAACAATCAAGCTGCGCCTAGAGCATCATATTTCATGAACAATCAAGCTGCGGTGAACGCAGCCCCAATCCCGTATCCATCAAACAGTTGCCTGCCAATGAACAACAACAACTACTTCATGACCAAACCTTTCACTTATATTGACCAATTCCAGCAGCAGCAACAACAGTACCATTCTTCTCTAAATTTACCTTCCATGCTAACCAAGCAAGAACCTAGACACGTGCCATCATCAGCAATGGAAAATTTCGATCCGTTCATGATCTCTAATCCAACTTTCCATTTCGATCACGACGAGTATTTCCCACCTGAAGGATTCAACAATTTCGATCAGATTGGTCAGAATTGATTCTCCAATCTAAGGTGATAGATGAATCCATCTATATATCTATCGTAGTTTTTTTTTTTTCTCTCTCTACTCCCTAATGCGAATAGCAATACCTTGTTGCAATTTGCATTTGTAGCCCTTTTTATTGTTTTATTACTTTGGTCGAACCTATATATGGTTTAATAGTGAGTGATCTATGTAATCACTTGCGTAGATATAAAGTTGATTTGGTCATGGTTAATCTCAATGGCAACATTGATAGTACTCATTGTGCTTGGATTATGTACCTTTGTATTCGGACGCTCAGAGGCTTTTTAAAAGGTTCTTTATAGTCGACGATATTGTTATAGAAACTCAATATACGATTCTCACTTTTTCTGTTTTAGTATACGATATTCATTTTAGTATACAGGTTTAAAATTTATATGTTAATTTCTGATCATAAATAAGTTTAAGATATAAAAATAGGCGACTAATTTACCCGTTGACATTGAGATGGGCCTTACGAGATTACTAATATTTTGTAATTAATAATAAATACTTTGGCCCAGCGGATTATGCGTGTTCTTTGTGATTTAGCACAAAGTTCAACGATTAAGCACTTTTGTTTTTGTATTTTCAAATTACAAAAAAAGGCCAAACTAATAAACGAACCAACTATATATATAATTTTTATAGTGTGCTAAATATAGTCGACAATTTTCCCAAAATTCTGATATATATGAAGTGATAAGTGATAACGTTGAGAATTAAGAAGCGATGACCACAAAAATTAAGAACCGAAACAAACAAAAGAGAGACAGCTTGGAGAGTGACACGGAGCACATGGAAGCAGCTGATTCCAGGAGAAGGTTACAGCTACTTGGCCACGTGTGCTGCCAGGAGATCACTTTTGTGGGACCCATTTTTTTACCAGAAACCCGAAAAATAAAAATAACCAGTTTATATTATTATTTAATTAATTAATTAAAAATTAATTTCCACATCACCTCGAATACTCTTTTGTGTCAACTACAAATAAATATCATAAAAATCGTCCCCACTTTTTTTGCCTTTCTTTACGATTATGATACTTAATTTATCACTCTATCATTATGGATGATTCCAATAATCAAACCAAGGTTTCCGTATTACATACGCAATAATTAAGGAAAAAATAAATAATAAATTCGGTTTTTTTTTTCCTCTAAAAAAAAAAAAGTGAACATCTATGCTTCGGAGAAAGACCTCACCGAATATTGAAATCAATTAATCAATCAATAACTCCCACTATGTGGTAACAAATGTTGAAATACAATTTGTGTTATTTAATCTGATTACAGCAAAGTGCTTTACTTTTTGGTTAAGAACCAACCAGAGGAGGACAAAAACAATCAAAGTGTGACGCTTTCTTTACTTTATACCACCATAAGGTTATATATCAATTCCATCAATTGAAAAAAAAAAGAGTCAAGCACTAAAGTATTGAAAAAAAAAAAAAAAAAAAAAAAAAAAAAAAAAAAAAAAGTGAAGTAAGCAAAGAGACCGACACCATGTTTTAACTAGAATGTACTCTTCATAGTGTCGTGTCCTTCTTCCACTTTGGTTTTGCCATGTTTCCATCATTTTCCGACTTGAAGCAAAATCTTTTTCCAATTACAAACATTTCATAAACAAAAAACATTGTAGACCAGGTTCTTCAAGAGGAAACAAGTAGAAACTGTCGATGAATCTTTTCATCTAACTGTTAATTTGGATTAGACGATTAAATAATCTCTGTTCAAGTGAAAAAGATGACAGAATTATATTAAAAGAAAACATATGGTAAAAAGTCTGTACAACAAATCTGAATGTATCCTATGGTTTTCTGTTTCTTCTTTTTTCTTGAGTTTTTTTATTTCATGCACAGAACAATCGAATAGAATACAGAGGAACGAAACAAATTCCAACAAAAAGTTGGTAAAATCAAAAGAAGAAAGAAAGAATTAATGGTTTTTGTTTTTTTTGTCAAGGAGATGAGAGAATTTACCAGCTGAGACTATAATATGTAATAACAGAGATCATCATCATCAGCGAGACTAGTGTCCATACAAATCATAAGGTGCCCAAAGAGTATCAAGTGGACAAGGCCGTCTCGAATCTAACCGGAACCACGGTTTACCACTACCGGACCAATGAAGCAAGCTAACCGGACCGGGATGTAGATCTCTACAGCTTCCTCTCACGTTATCTCCCCCAAGTCCATGCTGGTTCCACCGATGCTCTATCGGAGCTACTTCTCCGGCGAATACCAACAAGAACGGTGGCAATGATCCCAGCTCGTAAATCCTATCACTCTTCTGAATCTCCATCCATTTCTCTATCACCTCCGTGTACCCTACGCGCCTCCATCTCTCAAGATCCATCACCATCACTCCCGTGTTGAAGTAGCACGGTTTTCTCCCCGTGAAAGCTCCGGAGAACCTCTCGTCCGACCAGAACGCCGGTGTGAAATACTTTGTGAAGTTCGCGTGACAGTATTCAGGAGCTCCGATCGTTTTCGATCCCAGTTTCGTCATCCACAGCTTTGCGATATCGTCGACGACGACTAGATCGGAATCTAGGTAAATGACGCGACGGACGCAAGGCTCAAGAAGATCAGCTAGGTAATTTCGAGCGTAATTCAACGGCTGCTCAAGCGCTTGTCTGACGGAGGTTGAGATCAGAGTCCGTACAATCTCCGGATCGAAGAAGTAAACCTTTAATTTCAATTCGGGAAAAGTCGAACGAATCAAGGATTCTAGGTCAGTCTCGGAGACGAGGAAATGGAAGAAGACGCTCTCGGGACACGACGAATGCTTCAGAATCGAATGAACGGCGGCGATTGAGCCACGTAGGTACTCGAAATCCAGAGTAATCGCGACGTGGACCAAGGAAGGGTTACAGACGCCGGAATCGACATCTGCGGCGGCGCAATCGGCGGCATTGCGGAAAACAGGAGCTTTTCTGAAGGAGAATCTATGCGGCGGTGGATCGGAGGAGGGAAATCGGAGGTAAGCGTCGAGATGAGAGGATCTGATAGCTTCAGCTGGAGGAAACGATTGGAGAGAAGGAGAGAGGACGATGATAACCAAAGCGGCGGAGAATAAACCGGAGAATCTCATGATCCAAAGCATCCTGAGACGACGACGAATCGAACCTCTGCGTTTCTTCTTCTTGGATTTGAAATCGAACCACCGATCGGCGGCGATAGAGGCGATATAAGACCGGAGAAAAGCTAGGGTTCCTTTGATGTCCGCCAGAGTTTTGTAGGTGAATGCATCTGAAGAAGAAGAAAAAAATGCAAAATTGAAGGTAAGAATCGGATTATTCTGGCTGAGGAAGAATCAAAATCAGAAAACTATTTGCCTTGGGATCGAAGCGACCTGAGAGAGGAGGAGAGGAATAATTCCTGAAACCGGAAAAAAAAAATGAAAGAGAAGAAGAGAGGCGCAGGTTAGGAGGGGGCGGTGCTACGGTGCGCCACCGTCTGCTGTTTTACGCCCTCTCCTCTCTTTTTATGTCTTTGGCTCTCTATTTTAGTAATATAGAGAAGATGATGATTTGATAGGAAGAAGAAGAAGCCAGAGAGAGAGAGAGAGAGAGAGAAAAAATGGGTAAAAGGACTAATTCCTTGGATTTCTCCAAAGCCAACAAACAGATTTGTATTCTTACTTATTTGTATGCCTAATCATAGAAAATTTATGTTTTCTCGACAGAGCCTAATGGTTGTGTTTATATATTATCTCTATACATTTTGTCACTTGTGATTCAAATTGACATATTTATGGGAATATATTTTTCTGTTTTTTTTTGGTAGAAAAAATCTTTTGTAATTTATGCAAATACATCACTATATCAAATATAATCTGTCCAGATTTAATATAATATAAATGTAGAATATTTAACTATTTTATTATAACTTTAAATTTAATACTAAATTTAACTTTAATAAGTTTAATTTTAATAATAAATACATTATAGTGATATAAATTTAGTGATAAGTAAATTTTAATGTATATATTTTTTAGAAATAACATTTAATTATAATTGAATCTCAATTTTAATGCCCTTAAATTATAATATGTATTAGTCTTAATAAAATAAAATTTTAATTTAAGATTAATATTTACTTAGTTCTATGTTAATGGTATTTATTTTTCCAATATGAAACTATAAGTAGTGATAAAACAATAGCACTAATACATAGTATTAATTTTTATTTATTTATATGTTTAAGACCCAAATCCAGACCAAAATAATTAAAACTACTGTTTTGATTGTTAACAAAAAAATCCATGGAAAGGAAAAATATTCCAAACCAAACGCAAACCAAAATCCTAATCAAACATTTCTTTGTAGCTGACTTTTATAAATAAATATAGGCACAAGTGTTCATTAACATTTAACTAAACCAAATTTAAACACAAACAAAGACTGAAAAGATTCATGAGTTTATTGAAGAATACGTGAATAAAAGAAAATAAAGAAATTGATGGTCCTGACATTAGCCATTTATGTGCTTAGAATACTGTTCGGCGGTTAATGTGTCATCTCCACACGAAAACCATCGCTAACCTTTGACCAACAACCCGGATAATCCGGTCTGGTCCGTTGAACCAAAATTAAGTGGTGGTCTATTTGAGTATTACTACTTCTTATGTGCATATTGTTTACTTATACTAAACCAATATTTATTTAATGATTTATAACGTAGAGACGAAGTACAGTCACTAATTACTTCCCCGGCTAAATACATTTGATATAAATTAATGATATTCTAATTCAGTTGGAACAAGTAATTGTTAGTTAGAGGAGATGTAGCACACAACAAAACTTTCTAATAATTGATTCGGTAACAAGATAACTTAATTACATTCAAATCTCAAGCATTTAAAACTTTATATTAATTTGTTTATTAATGCGATAAAGTGAGATTTTCAGATCAAGTGAACCCCATGATTCATGAGTGGTAGATAATAGGACCGTTTACTTTCCTGTGAACTTTGAACTGTATTTTTTCTTCTTCCTATGTTCAGATTTTTCAGCATAAAGAGATTTTCCAGTGTTAATTTGGAAAAATCTTTATATCAGACCTATGGATGTTTAACTAGAAAATCGAAATTGGATTATTCAATCTGTCAGCTCAAGTTTTCACTTGGCTTATTTTAGGGAATTCTTTTATTAGTTTGCATATTTGACGAAACGATTATGTTAACAAATCATTCTTAATTTGTTATGCGATGCGTGAGTGACATCAGTATATTATACGTATAATCATCATTTATCACTGAATATCATATATTGCTTAACATGGAGAACTATGTCGGTAACATATACCAATTCAAACCCAAAGACAATTATTTTTATAACCTTTCAGGTACACGTCGTCTACTTTACGCTTCGTCATTTTCTTCTTCTTTTTTTTAGAAAATAAAAAAAGAACTTTAGTATTATAGTCCGAAATATAAATGTTATTCCAATATTACAGTTGAAATGTCCTATTTTATTTAAATTAAGAATCGTATAAGACAACTATACATGTTCATTGTGAGGGACTAAGACGATTCATTACACAAGTAAACTCATATATATTTCACAACTGATAACAACCATGGATGGTTCAAATGTCATTGTATAACTATATTATATTCCAAGAATCTATTACAAAATGAATCGGACAATTCAGTGCAAGTAGAAATGTACGTGGTACAAGATTATAGAATCAATAAATAAATGTTTCATATTATGTAACTTGTTTTCTTTTATGGACCGACCACGAAACTCCATGTGCCACCATAACGTTCAAGTATTCATTCATTCACTTATGAGCTAATTGGACTTTATGTAATTTGGTCAACTCCCTGATTAACTTGTATAACCAAAGGCACACACACATACATATATGTACATACACGCCCTGTTCTAAAAATCCCCGCCTAGGCCCGATTACTCCCCGCTTAATCGCTAGGCCCACCCTATCCGCCTCGATTAATGACTAATCCCCTAAAAAATCAGTTATCCGATTACTCTCCGCCTAATCCGATTACTTCCCGCCTAATCCGATTACTCCCCGCCTAATTTTACATATCTCGATTATTTTTAGATTACAAGTATAAAAAACTTTTTATTTTTGTTATTCAATTATTCAAATTGGGAGTTTGTGATGTTTTACAATAACTTATGTTCAAATTTTAATAAAAATCATAAATTTGTAATAAAAATCATAAAAATTTATCTCAAAAATACAGTTTTATGTGTTTACTGCAATTTTGAAAACAATATTTGATTAATATGTTTTAAAAATATGAAAATAATTCTAAAACTAATCCCGATTAATCCCCGATTTTAATCCGATTTTCCGATTAATCGCTAGGCCCATACCTAGCGCCCGACTAGCGCCTAGCGATTTTTCAAACAAGGCATACACGTAATACATTAAGAGAAATTTAATAATAAACAAATCAGGAAGATTCTAATAGATATTGGTTTAATGTGGTTTAGTTGTAAATGATTAACCGGTTTGTTCCGGCTTAATAGGTTAGAAGAGGAAAACTGTATGGGATTATTGTTGATTTTGCCATTTTTCATAGAAATCTTTTGAAATTGCCATTTTTACTAAAATCTTACGGATTTGTCATTTTCTAACACTTCAAAATGTACGTATTTCGGATTTTTTTTGGTAAAAATACGTAGTTTATACAAAATACTAAACCCTAAGAACAACCACAACCGACTAAACCCAAACATATAACGAATAAAACGCATGTTAAATCATATTTTCGTATCCTGAAAAAGGGCAAAATCCATGAACTATTCAAAAAAAGGCAAAATCCACAAATGCCATCCCAAAAAATGGTAAATCCATAATTGATTCAAACTGTATATACTCATTGTCTCGACACATTTAATAAAGCAACAGATATTTTTTCCTAAAGCGGCTCTCTTGTCCTCTCTAGCTGAGCACGATCTTGCTTGATTCAAGCTCAGTTCTTCATTTCTGTTCATCTCTTTCTTGTAATAGATTCTTTTATCATGTCGTTGTTTAGGTTTTGTCTAGATACTTTATTGAGTCTCAAAAAATATATAAGAAGAAGTTATAGTGCTAGTTTTAAATTTAACTGTTGCACGGAATTGTTGAGAGGCATACATTGGATCTATATATTTATTATCGTGGGGGACAAAATAATAAAGTCCACTATTTGTTTGCATATGAAATTTCAGTGTAGGCGCTAACACTTGGTCACACAACTCACAACGATGGCTAATTTATTTAGGCAGGAGCCACGTGGAAACTCGTTATGTTCATTGCTTGCGCCATAAGTAATTAACCTAGTTATTATGAAAGTTTAGCAAGTGCCCTTGAGCCCTTCATTTTATTAATTTCGAGATGAAACTATCAGCCAAATTTATTTAGTCAGGACTAGATGAGTAAATGATCGATAACAACATCACACCTTACTTATGTACTTTAGTGATTTGATTAAAAAACTTTTACAAACCAAATTCAGGTTTAATTAATGCATTTTCCATAAACCAAGGATATTCGGGGGAAATAGGCCCATTTTAAACATTTAAACCATTTCGGCCCATTATAGATTTGTAGGCTCGAAACTTAGCCCAAGAATTTAAGATTACACCCAACATGGTCCATTATTAAAGACCTCTCGATTAGTATCGACGAGTCCAATATTTTTGTAGAAATACGAATTGCTTTTTTTTGGTGAGAACGTAACTGTATTCGAATTTATAACACCGACAATGATTAGCCCAAATATGGTAAGAATTTGATAAAAGATCTCACATCTTCTTAGAATAATTAGTTTATCCCTATAATTGACTATTGATGAATAACTAATTATGTGTTTAAAAGGATATTATATACTTTTGTGAATCGTACAACTAATACTCGTAGTTAATATGCTTCCTCAGGAAAGGTTTAGGCCCACTAGCTCACATGATTGATGACTCATTTTGAATTTTTGATTCATCATCACTTATCCACTTGAAAATAACAAATGCCAAACCAAAACCCTCCATCTCTCTGAGAAGGTTTTCATACTTTAATTGAACAAAAGTGGTCAACCGAATTTCCACAAAACAGTCAACAAACTTAGATTAATTATAGGTTTAGTTATAAAGGCGATTTGATACAAACAATCACACATACAGCATGATTGGTACATCAAACTATACAAACAATAAATATTTTTACGATGTAAATGCAAATCTTTATATTTCATAAACATAGATTTATACAAAACTTGAAAGATAAATGAAAAAAACGCATTAAATAAAATTGGACCCACAATCCACCATCTATTATTTCTTTCTTTCTTGTACTAATTTTTATTTTATTTTTTGTAAATTTGATACAGATCAAAATCACAACTTTGCCTATCATCAATCTCGAAATAGTATCAAACAAGTCAACAATTTTGATTCTTAATATTGGAAATTTATTATAAAGAAAAAAAAAGGATAATTGTTTGTTCTTTATTACCTAACAAGTAACGACAGAAGATACGACAGAGACAACCGCTGGTTCAGAAGGAAGCTTATGATTATTATTAGGTGTGTCGCGGTGCACGAGATTCCCCTGCGCCTGCGCCATCAGTATCGACTTGTAAATCTCCACAAGCATTTTCTCATCGTACTCCTTCATTTGACCCGACCCGAATCCGGATCCACCGTATCCAGATGATCCAACAACCCGTGAGTTAGCCAAACGCATCATCATCTTAACATATGAATCACGTAGCCACACCAAAAACTTCTTCGGCGTCGCCGTTTTGAGGATCCTCAGTTTCGGCACAATCTTGATCCTCCAAAAACGTTTCTTGCGGGTCGGATCCATTTTGATCCGTTTACCTTTCCTTCGACCGGAACTCGTCTCTGATGACCCATCAAGCTTCTCGTATCCTCTCCACCTCCGCCAGTACCTCTTCGGCGTTATCTCCATCATTCTCTATTGAGAGATTCTCTATTGAGAGATAGACGAATGAGGAATTAAAAAGAGACAGAGAGAGAGAGAGAAAAAGAGAGATTGGTTGGGATTTATAATAATGACTAAGAAGACCTAAATAGTTAAATCCACTGTCTAGGCAGCTGCATACACGTGATTAGTTATACGCATCTATATGTATGCGATTATACGTAATAATTTTCGGTAATGATATTGATACACATTTTTTTCTTTTCCTTTTTTAAAGTTTTCTTTTCAATTATAACGATTACAGTTAGTTAGTAATAAATCCAACAATGAATGATCCATGTCCCTCTCGCGACATCCGATTCAGTTTTTATATATTTTTAGAGTTTTGTAGAAAATGAAAGTTAATCTTTTTTACACATGCATATGATTTTTTTTTTTTTTTCAGCACTACATGTATGAAACTTTTAAGAGATTTGACTTTTAAGCAGGTAACAGTGCGCATAAGTCGAATATTCTTATCTAAAACGAATGGTCTGAATAACGAAGAAGCGTTATCATTGATTTTTTTTTTTTTTGTTAACTAGCGTTGATTTCCTTGTTTGATCGACTATATCTGATTCTTGTCATGAGGCCAATGGTCATTAATATCTCAGCATTTTGGTATCAACAGCAATGGGACATCCTTGGGGATATGAATATGGGGGGAAATATTAATAAAATAATCTAAGACGAATAGGGACACGTTGGAAGCACGCTGTAAATGAAATCAACTTTTTGTGTTAAAGCTTTCGCCGAGAGAGAGAGATAGATGAGAGAGAAAGGAATAATTCATTAACCCAAAAAGGTAACCAATCCCAGTAAGCCACGTCATCGGTACACCTGAGTGTAACTTAACACCCGAGTTTCGGATCTAAGCCAACATTTGCATTTTTTTCTCTTTTTTTATTCTAACACTCGACGACTTACACCCGGAGAATTGGTCCACTGCGTATGGTCTTAGTGTCTAACGAATATTACATTTGATTATTTTAATTTTTAAGTAATAAGCGTAATGGCGTTTAGCGCGAATCGATCGCTGTAGCAATAATGGCGATCTGTGACGAGACTCCTATGGGCCATGGCCCATGTGACAAAGCCTCCACTAAATCCTAACCGTTGGATCTCTCTTCATCGCAAGTCTATAATATAGAGGGTGAGAGAGACACGCATGCATAACAATGCATAAGATCTTCCGAATATTAATGTTTTGAAAATACTATATATTATAAGTAAAAATGTCTAAATCAAATAAATTGTAGCATGTTTTAGGTGAGGCTACATCGGTTTCATGTGTACATAAGTACATTATATTAGTTATCGTGGGAAACATTTGACTTAAGAAAACGTAAAGGGAACATTAATGAGATCATCGAGCTGTGATTTGATCAAATCGATAGATTCCCTCTACACCGTACGCGGGAAATGCGTGCAATATTGTTTTTTCTTTTGTTAACATCAAACGCATTTATGCTATTAATTAATCAAAAGTGTCACATGTATTTGTGACAAACCAATGTGGTGTGCTTAGAAACTAGATGGGCCTAAACCAGACAGACGTTTTGTTTAGTTTCCGAATCATAAATCAACCAGATGTTGTTTTATGAGCCTAATACACTATCCGAAAATTGGGCCGAATATTGTAAGGAAACATAACCCAATTGTATCTCATCTCTCAAGCCCATATATACAAACAATCTCTTTCTATCCCTTAATTTTCACTCTAAATACAAAATGATCACATAAAAAGCATTGTTGTGAAATTTTAATACATTTCTAAAAATACACTAACATGTCCATTACAAACAACTCAAAATTATTAAAATGAGGTAAATGGCTCATTTTTTTTTCCAGGCTGACATTCACAAAATTATTTTGCAATATTCAAAAAGAAAAACGAACACAATGTATAGTAAGAATAACTACGACCACACCTTACAATAATAGACATCTAATGTAAGAATTAATAAACTATAACATGTAATATATTGTGTGACTTGTCACCAAATTTGCATGTTAAGAATAAAAGAAAAATGAAAGTTCTAAAAGTCCACAAATACAAATACCAAATGGTTGACACAGTAGAGTTGGTCTTTCACTGATCGTTTGGTTATTATCATTAAATAAAATAATTCCTTACAATCTATTTTTTCTTTTTACTTAAATTAACCATCATTCAAATAAAAAACGAGAAAGCGCCTCATTGATCGCATGGCCTCTCACCATCTCCTCCTATTAATCTCACTTTCCCAAATCAAGAATCATTTGATTTCTTTCCTTTTACCGTTGCTTCTTTCCCATTCGGACGAAGCTCCGGAAAAATGGACGGGTTCGGGTCGCATCCGAGAACAATCGCCGTTGATCGATGGATGGAAATAGTTAACGGTAAAGGTTACGGCGTTGGTGGAGCTCGACCCGACTCACCGAAGTTTCAACCGTCTATTCCCCCTCCGCCGGGATCAGGTTCTACGGCACGTACAACTACTACTCCGTGGAGATTACTCGACGCCGAAACGAAGAGGAAGAAGAGAATCGCGACGTATAAGACTTACGCTTTGGAAGGTAAAGTCAAAACCACGGTCAAGAAAGGGTTTCGTTGGATCAAAAACAGATATTCTCAGATTATACACGGATGATTAATCTTTTTTTATTTTACATTTCGTGTCTTGGGCTGTCGCCGGCGATAATCTCCGGCGACTTTTATTTTTTTTGCTGATGTTAAAAGGTAAAAGAGATTTACTATAGCCTTATAGGGGAGTGTTTTGATTTGATCTTGAAAGCAAGATTCGTGTCGTCGTTGTATGGGTGAATATATAAATTAGTCTACAACGATTCAGGTCAAACACCGGTCCATGTTTGTGGCCCAATTTATTGCCTTTTTTACATCTTAATGAAGCCCAAGTAACACCTAACTCTCTGGCCCATTAAGTAAGTACAAATAGAGAGAGTATTAAACAGTATCGGGAACTGTGATCTTTTTTGTTTAATAAACAAAGAAGACACCAAAGCACCTTCTACGCACGATCATAGCTGAGCACGTGAAGCCACGTCTTCTCTTTATTCACTTTACCCAAAATAACCTTAACTGATTTTACAATATTGCCCCGCTTGTCTGATTGAATTATTTTTTTAAATTTTTATTGTCGTTAATCATTTGTAATTTTCTCCAGATTCTGCACGCCCTCGATTATTTCCAATAAATAAATTGATATCTACGTTAGACAAAAAAAAAGAAGAAAATTTGGCGTATACAAAAGTCCTCATATGTACATTTGCAGTCATATAAAAAGTCCAGAAAAAAGTTTTACATTTCGAAAATTTGAATTCGTTTACTGGTCCGATAATAAATACACGAATACGAACATGGTTTTTGGCTCATTTTATTTATTGAGATCAGATCTTGTATCTGAAATTAAAATTGAAAAAGTGAGTTATAGCTTATGTCAGGAGAAAAAGTTTATAAGCCGACTTGAATTGATTCTTTTTATTGAATGTCACTAGAGTATTTTACTCGTTGAGTCATTATTGGGTAACAAAATAAATGTTTTGTCTGAAACAATAATAAATTAAGGGGTATTACGAGAAAATTATAGAAAGATTGTGAAGGGCAAACTCGTAAAAATGGCATTGCAAAATTCCAAAAACATCCGTAGAGATTCTTCTTCTTTTTTATTCTATTGGATCAGCCTGCAGAATCCTAAGCAACAACCATAGCATTACCTAAATTATCAAATTCATAAAAAAAAAAACACAATGAATTACGTATATTAATTAAGACCAGTAGATTTTCAACTTTTTAATTCATGCAAACAAAACATGTCAGATAATTAAAAAAATATCGCGAATACTGTAATTTACTTTTCTCTACAGGAAAATAGCATAAGAATATCTTTTACAGAATAAATAAAGAAAAAGGTTTTTAAGAATTAAATAAAAAAAGGTCAATAAATAGAGAGAATAAAAAAGCAGCTTCATACATACACTGCATATCTCTGCTTCTTTCTCCTCGCTCTTCGCGCTCTCTGCAGTAGAAAAAACATTTTCTTGAGAAAGAAGCCACAATCTCTATCACACATACTATGGATCTTGTTGAGAGTTTTGGCCATGGCGATCCTGATACTCCGCGTTTCAGTGACGACTTTGGTTCTGGCTCTGCTTGCTCGACTCCTTTCGTTAGTGCTCCGTCTAGTCCCGGTCGTGGTCCTCCACCGGGTTATTTCTTCAGTGCACCGTCGAGTCCGATGCATTTCTTCCTTTGCTCTGCTTCTTCTTCATCGGAGAATCCTAAAAAGCTCGACTCTTCGTCATGCGGCGACTTTGAGTTTGATTTCTCGTCGAGGTTGTCTTCAAGCAGTGGTCCTTTAGGCGGTGTTTCAATGACCTCAGCTGAAGAGCTTTTCTCTAATGGCCAGATCAAGCCGATGAAGCTCTCTTCGCATCTTCAGAGACCTCAGATCTTATCTCCGCTTCTAGATCTGGAGAACGAGGAAGAAGACGACGAAGACGATGAGACCAAACCAAACGGTGAGATGGTTAAACGTGGGAGAGATCTGAAACTAAGAAGCAGATCTGTTCATCGGAAAGCCAGATCTCTCTCTCCTCTCCGAAACGCAGCGTATCAATGGAACCAAGAAGAAGAGGAAGAGGAAGAAGTCGCCGGAGAGAGACAAGTGAAGGAGTGTATAAGGAAGCTTCAAGAAGACGAAAACGTGCCTTCAGCTGAAACGACACCGTCTTGTTCTGCTTCTTCTTCACGATCATCTTCTTACGGTAGAAACTCTAAGAAATGGATCTTTCTTAAAGATCTGCTTCATCGAAGCAAAAGCGAAGGAAGAGGCAACGGTAAAGAGAAGTTCTGGTCCAACATTTCATTCTCTCCTTCTAATTTCAAAGACAAGAAACTCAAATCATCTCAACCTGAAGAGAAACCGATTCAAGAAACAGTTGAGGCTGCCGTGGAATCCAAGAAGCAGAAGCAGAAACAACCGCCGGCGAAGAAAGCTCCGATCACCGGAAAACCAACAAACGGGATAGCGAAACGGAGAGGGTTGCAGCCGTCTGCTCACGAGCTACATTACACAACGAACAGAGCTCAAGCAGAGGAGATGAAGAAGAGGACATATTTGCCTTACAGGCATGGACTCTTTGGCTGTTTAGGGTTTAGTTCCAAAGGTTACAGTGCCTTGAACGGTTTAGCCCGTAGCTTAAACCCAGTTTCGTCCGGTTAAGTTATAGATTAAGCAAATGTTTTATGTATAGATAATGAATCCTTAAGTTATATATAGACTATAGTATATGTCATTGTATTTTTCAGTTGTTAGATTTGATTACTATGATTCTCTTCTAGTTCTTGGGAATGTATTCAGAATCTAAAAAAATTACAGTAATGTTGTAGTAACAGTTTTGTGAGTTTTTTTAGTGTTCTTGTGGACAAGGTAATGAAAACAATAATGGTGGGTGGGGTTTTAGTTTGTTGAGAGAGAGTGCAATAATTTTTTGTAAGTACTTCTACTACTCTGTGAGATCTGCAGGAAAGAGATTAAAATAAAATTGGGGCCATGGGTGAGTTGTTGTGTTTTGGAGTAATGTGTGTCAAGAGTTAAGAGAGAGCATCTTCATCATCTACATGACCCATTTGTGCTTTGTCTTATTAACATTTGGTGATTGAAACTGCATCTTTTAAGTCTTATCTAATTGTCTTTTTGCTTGTATTATTATTTCATATGATTTATTGTTAATATCTCTATCTATTTGGGATTTTTCTTCATACTTAATAACCATATTACATCATCCCGTTGTTGAGAAGAAGAACCCCACCATGAGTTATGTATGGTTTTTGTTTCCTTCGTTTTAAAATATCTACCTCTTGATCAACACAACTTATCATACTTTTTAGTTGCTCTTATTACCAATTTTACTTGTCATTATCAAATCAATTCATATGGTTGGATGTCCCTAGTTCAAAGTTATGATGCGCATTATTACATTATCTTGAAATGTGAAGTATACAAGAAATTCTAAGTAATAATTACGAGTGACGGGAATAAGAACGGTGTCGTTTTCTCGCTGCCACTGCTGCGACAAAAAAAGGTGTCGTTGAAAATAAAACCAGAATAAAGAAATGACGTGCACGTATAGCGACTTTAAAGATCCACCGCACATCAGGAAAAACATTTAGCTGTCTTATCTATCTGAAATATACGATTCAACCCACATGAACTTGTCTCCGTTTGGGCCCAAAATTTATTTAAGTAGTCTCTCTGATTACATTTGTGAAATTTTAGAAAACAAAAGAAAAAAGGCCACGTGAGTTGTCGTAAGAGACTAGTAGTAAAAACAGAGGAGGTCCATACTTAACATGACCCACTCCTCTGAAAAGAGAAAATCTCACTTTTCTTTCTTTCTTCTCCATATGATTCTCAATAAGAGTAATAATTTGAGACAGATTACATTAAAGTCAGTCATGTCATGGGTCCTAAATACATTTTAAGGAGACTTGTTCTTATTTCTTTCCTTTTTACTCATATCAGAATAAAATAATAAGTTCTACAAAACTATTTTTATATGTTACATATCATACATATTACATAGGACCGGCCTAAGATTATTATTAGCTCTAAGTCAAAAACTTAAAACAATAAAATAAGTAATAATATTAATTTTTATTTTATTGTGTTTGGACTAATGGTAGAAAAAATGATGGGGAAACAAAATACAAGTTGCAAAATAAGTGACGAGGGAAGAGTCACTTCAATCAATCGGCTATGTAACTGTACACTTCATCGCTTAGCTGTGCTGATCTGATCTGTCTCACTGTTTATGAGTGGGAACTTTCTAATTCCGATAACCAATGTAAGCTTTAGTTTCTATTTTTTTTTCTATAATAGAAATATCATATTTTCTTTAATAACGACTGATACCATAATTTAGGTGTAGAAGATTGGGGGAAAAAATTACATTTGCGAAACTTACAAATATAGAAAACTTATAAAAAATCTGCGATGAAGTGACTAATCTCTTAGCTCTCAATAAATTCTAAAGTTCAAATCATTATCAAATATATCTGGATGTTTATATGGCAAGTGGAGTTAATAAAACAAAAACATATTAAAAATTATTTTAGTACTATTTATTCATTTTTTGGGGATATGAAAAATTTAAAACACTAAAAGAAAATGAAAAGACTAACAGCAGCTACAAGTTTCAAACACAACAGAAATTTCACATTTAATAACAAAAAGTAGTATAAAACTAAACCAAAAAATTGTAAATTCTCTCATTCGAAAAGTTACACGGAATCACGGATAGTGGAGATATTAATGGGCTTAACATTAATCCGCTGCTTTAGCGGGCCTGACAAAATTAGGCCCAAACAGTCTCTTTACCTCGCGCCTATTTTGACGGACTGAAAAACTTTATACCGCCTGTAATTCGTAATAGTTTCGTTATACTTCCTTACTTTTAAATTTGATCAAACCAACCCCCAATTCAATTGATTATCAAAGGAAGTGCAAGACTCAACAAATACCTAACTAACTTTAGTTAGTCTCTTCCTCGAGCCATTGGGTGATTCTCCAGATGCATTACTGAATGGAGCAGAACTTCCAAGTCTTTTCCAAGAATGCGCTGCATTACCAGTTGCTTATCCAAATCTTCGTAACAGCTTGTGATTCTCATACCCATTTGATTTTTCGAACCTTCTTCGGCTTCTGGTACAATCTCAGCCGTCCATTGAGAGTTATCTACGGTTGCATCTTTTAGCCTGGAAAAACAAAAAAAAAGAGTTAACAATGTAATTCAACAAAGAACTAGGAACATCTTTAGGGGTTTTTGAATAAAGAACCATATAAGACTGGTTTTACTTACTCTTCCAGTATAGAATCTGCTTCGTTTCGGTTTTTCACTCGAAATAAAACGTCAACAGTGTCCTCATTAACCCTAGCAAGCCCCTCGAGAGGGCAAATCGACAAGCACATCGAGTGTATCATTGAATCAGCTGTTTTCGAATTTAGATTACCAATCCTTATAACGAGTACTGAAGAGGGATGATTTGAGGGTGTCTTGGAGATAGCAGAACCCTTGGAGCTATTTTCGTCTCCTGGCTCAGAACTGGGACTGATTATGTTTTGAGATTTGGATTTGTGATCTTGAATTTGAGATGATGACATGGTTGGCTTGGAGAAAGGAATATTTGAATCTGTAGCATCTCTTGCTGGTGAAGAAGCATATGCTTCCGTCTTCTTCTTGCCATTAACTTTCTGGTAAGAAAATGGATTAAGGACAATTATAAGCATTCGATATTTTCGAAACAAACAGTGCTACTTAAATCAAAAGTTGTCCAGATGGGAATAAAATGACGCATTCTAAACCGAGAACACCCGCAAAAAGTTTGCATAAATATTGTAAACGTACGTACCCAAGAAACTTCTGGCTTTTCAGTCAACAACTTTGGTTTCGAAATTGAATCAGAAGCTTGTTCCTGCTTCTTCTTCTTTTTCTTTTTCTTCTTGCCTTTAGTATTCTGGTAAAACAAACAAACTCAGCTCAAGTAAGAAGATATAACCCTTTCGGATCAAACCTGAGCTGCGAAAAGCACCAAGCTGACAATATATGGATACAGTGAACACAGAAGGAGATCTCCATAACGATTATAAAATGTACCAGAGATATCACTGGATTCTCATCCTGAACAGGCTCTGGCTTCTCAGTTAACATCTTCACAATCACATTCCGATCCACTTCTTTCTCTACAGAACCCAACTCTGAGAAATAATCATCATCCTCAAGATGACTAAATAACGCAGGTGCATGAGTTTTCACTCCTGCAGATAAAGAATCAGAAGCAAAACCATTGTCAAGAGCAAAAATTTGTCTATTCTCAATCATCAAAGTTCTAGTTAACAAGCGTACCTACATCAGATTCCGAGTAATTACACGGTGGAGAACTATGAAATGCGCGGTTGAGCAATTTGATTGCTACTCCATTTCCAGATAATAGCAACCTATTCAGAATCAGCATTCCATCACTGAATCTACCAACACGAAGAACTAAATATATCTAAAACCCTAACGAAACAATGTCAAGCAAACAAAACACTGACGAAAGTGAGAAACACGAAATCAAACCTCACCTATCTTGTGAAATACGCTTCGAAATCGCTGCAATTTCACCTGAGAAAAACCGAAGCAGCCATTTCATTTTCCAGGGATTCAAATATCTGAAAATGTCTCGGAAGTGCAAGAATTAATACAGGAAGATTGACGAATAACGTACAATGTCGGCTGAAAGATGAGCTGTGTCTGCCATGGAACAAAGTTTTGAGAGAAGCTCGTACTCGCACCGCCGCAAACATCGTAGTCGCTCCGCCGGGAAGAAAGAGAGGAGAAGTTAGTCTAACGCCGATTGAATATTATCAAACGAGGCCGTGTTAGTGGCCTGTTTATCTTAATGGGCCTTAATTATTGGGCCTATTTTAGGCTTCTTTCTACGCTTTTTCAAAAATGACGTATTGTGCTCTCTTACCGACAACTCTGTGAAATACAGTATGGTTGGTTCGTCGGCCAATTTTTGGGCCCTTTGTTTTTTTTTTTTTTTTTTAAATCTTCATTCTGTTTTTGACTCTATTTTAGTACTATGTCGGCACATGAAATGCGTCCGAGTTTGCGGTCAATTCGTAGAAATGGTCCATCTCATGAACTTTATTGAGATTTTATTCTATATAAAGGAAAAGGAGTATTAAAGTTTCATTTGGCCACCGGTAAAAGTAGAGAGACAAAAGTTGCATGGCATCACGTAAGGCTACTATAGTGACAATGGACCAAATCGTCCTTCTACACGTAAGATAGCGACCCTCTCGTTATGTTTTTTTTCTTCTTCCTATTGCTAAACGTCTACTCTACGCTTAGGAAAGATATCATCCATTTAATGAGTGAGTTGTTGCCAACAGAAAAATAAAACGAAACGAGAGAGAGTACTCTGAATTAGTCGTATCTAAGTTGTGGCAAGGTTCCTATTAAGCTGCTATAGCCTTTTTGTAATCAAAATTTAACGTTCATAGCCCAATTATATAAATTTATAATAATAAAAAAAAATTCACATCAAAACAAAAAAAAAACGTGGTTGGCTACATGCTTAGGAAATTAGCTCGGGTTTTGGTCTATTAAAGAAATTTTTTTGTTTTTTAAATACTTCCACCTAGAATAACTAGCAACGATTGGACAATGTCAATAGAGAATAGCTGATTCACAATACGATAATTAGAGTCTCTTGTTTAAGACGAGTCTCTTATTTAGAGATTGCCAATGAAAATATCTTAGAGCATCTCTAACACAGAGGGATGAAGATTGAAGGAGGTTCTCTGGAAATTTAAATAATATTAAAAAAAGTTAGAGAGAGAAGGAGAAAATAGGAGAGACGTTTAGTGATTCTAACAAAAAATGGCTGGTTGTCATCTTTATCACTGATTCATTGTATTAAAAACAATTAAGATATATTTTTACAATTAAAATATCAATATTTTCTTTTTAAGAAATTAACTCTTTGTCTCTTGCCCTTGGAGATGGCCTTAGGAAATTAAATTTAAAAGGATGAATTTTGTTTTTGTGTTTTAGATTTTTTTGTACATCAATGGTGTAATTTTTAATGGATCATATGTAATATAACTAAGAAGATCGACTTTATTTTGTTTTATTTTCCAACGCCGAAAATCGTATTTACACATGAAAAAAAGACTTGCACAGTTAAAACTAAAAAACGAACGCAAGGGTACGAACATGTTCTATTCACACCAAAAAAAAAACATGTTCTATTCACAAAACCGACCAGATCCTGCCATGGGGACCTTTGCTAAAATCTAACGGAGAAAAAAGCGTATGCATGGTGCCAAATCTTTCAAGACAAAAGCCAAGCAGCCATCTTTTTTTCTTCGTCAAGATCCAACGGTTCTCCAAAGTCGTTGGGGCCCCTTTGTCTGGTCTCAGATTCCATTTCCTCTCCATTTAACAGCCACGACAAAACCGAATCAAGATCCTCTTTTTCGTCCCAAAGGGTTTCACCTTCTCTCCATACAAAGTCCCTGCAGTCAGCGAAGTCGTTAGCCATCGATTCGATATTTTTGTGCCCAACGGAGACCCCTCCATATGGCTCAGAGTTTTTTACGCTGTTCGACTCACATGAGGACACGTGGACAGCATAAGGCTCGTCCAATTGAAAACAAGAATCGAAAATATCATCATTGAGAGACAAAACTCCAACGTCCCCATCAATGCTTGGGTTACAATAACCATCGTCTCCATAGCCACATGGTCTTAAACCAGGCTCCTTGGCTCCACTTAAGCTACTACTTGACAACCCCATTAACGCGTCTTCTTTTTCTCCCACTCCATTCTCTATTGTTGTAGTTGGCAAAACAATGTCGTTTTTGCTTGCCTTTAAAGAATTAGGGTTTTTGTGGTTTTTAGGGTTTGGGATAAATTTGGGTTTCATGGCGGATCTGCTGGTTCTTCCGGGTCTACGCTTCGGAGGCGGAGGCGCATTCTCGACTACAGTAGTGACAGTTGGTTTCCTGAAGTAACCATGGAATTTACGGCTGAGATGAGAATTCCAATAGTTTTTAATTTCGTTGTCTGTTCTTCCCGGTAGATTGCTCGCAATTATTGACCACCTGCAATTTAGCGTTAACGTTATTCTATTTTTTTTTTTTTTAAATGCTTTTTCACGACGTAACTCAGCAACCGTTTGATTTAATATTGATCCATAATGCTTTCACGTGATTCATGTGATTGTGTACCTTCTATTGGAAATAAATAGCCATTATAAATCAACTTTTGTTCAAATAAGTAAAGTTACCTGCTTCCCAAAGTGGAATGCAATTTAACAATGAGGTCCTCTTCTTCGGGAGTTATGTTTCCTCTCTTGAGGTCTGATCTCAAATAGTTTATCCATCTCAATCTACAGCTCTTTCCACATCTCTTTAGCCCTTTTTAAAATGAACTCATTCAAAAATAATAACACGTCAGATTTTGAGGCATAAGAAAGTCAGCGATTGATATTACTCATCTTTTGTTCTAAATAGAGCTGTTTTTGAAATAAATAAATAAATATTTCTGTGAGGTACAGTCCATATATGTCAACAAAACAAGAAGGCAATTTGGTCTGAATACTATATGAAATATGACAACACAATCGCATAATATTCTAAGAAAACAGTTTACGTTTTAAATATTACGCATTCATTATAGAAAATGATACATTAAGTAGATCAAAAATTAATCACGGATCTACTATTAAAAATTTTACAACCCATATTGTATTATTGATCCGTGAGATAAATTAATTTTCTCGATGCATATATAAAAGGATTAAGGGGAGATTCTCTTATAAATTTTGACCAAAAAAAAGATCTCTTATAAGATGCATGCGATCAATCGAGAGACAGAGTACTGTATGTAATCTTCTTACCGGCATTTTTGGGAAGAGAACGCCATGAACCTTCGCCGTTGGACTTAATGTAGTCGGAGAGAATCTGGTCTTCCTCCGCCGTCCAGCGCCCCTTCTTCATTCCTACCTTCTCACAGCACGGCTTTCTTCCCATTCTCTCCGCCAACTATTAAATTTCACTCACTTCACTTGACCCCTATAGTCAATCACTAGAGAGAGATATATAAAAGAGAAGTAAAGTGACGACACCACAAAAAATGTGATTGGTTTAGATATTTATAGGAGTGATAAGAGTAGAGAGGAATGGGTTATTCAGCTATACTAACCAGTTCAAGCTGGCTCGTCCTGAGATGCTAATAATAGTCTTAAAATACTATTGGTTATACATTATTAGTTGTAAACTGTTGTTTTTTAATGAATTTAGAGGGACTCAGATAATAGTCGTATAATTTCAGTAAATTTATACCGTATAGTGTATTTGAGTTCTTCTTACTTAAACAAAAGAAAATGTATCTGAATCTTGGTGCCCACCAAAGAGTCTTCAAAACACGTGTGCAACCATACACACGTGTACAGTGTACAAGTCTCAATTCGGATTCAATCAATCATCTAACAATAGAATCATAATCGTACTTTTTCTTCTCAATTATTTTACTTTTGTCATCAGCGTTGTTTTTTTTTTTGTCTATGGGTAGTAAATGGTATTAATGGGCTGGGACCACTCGTGTGAGATGTCAAGTAACAAAATAATGTTTCGTCGAAGATGCGAATATTCAAGAGACCTGACATATTACAATCATGATTGTCCAAACCAGTCTATGTTTCTTTGCATGCAAATCAATAAACAACAAAATATGTATTTATTATTTAACCACCCTTTTGTTTCATAGTGTTTAACCAATGCACAACGTAATGTGTGACTAAGATAGTCTAGATTATATAAAGATTAATAAATCAAATTTCTCAAAGTTTAATTTTTTTTCCTGTCATTATAGCAGCGCTTTTGTCATTATAATTACAGGTTTAATATTGTAGGTATAAAATCCATAACTTTAAGTCTTTAAGACCTTTATCCCAAATAAAAAACAAATGCAAAACTAGTTTCGATTTGGCCTCCGATCCCCAGATTGGTTTCCATAAATCTCGATTTTGTTTTGGCCCATTAACCTAGGTTTCTGCGGTAGGCCACATTTATGGATTTAACATACAGATCGTAAGGAGAGTTACAGGCCCGCTTCATTATTAATGGGCCTTGTTTAGATTATATAGTAAGAACGACGTCGTACTCATTAAAGTCGACGAAAAGAACAGTCAGCGATTCAACCGTGGTTTTTCCACGTGGCTGATATCTATTGGTTAGGATCGTCAGAGACTTAATCCTGATTGGTTAAGCAGTGCAGTGTACACGTACACCGACCACGATGCTCGAATTCTAAACTCGTTCCGCGAAAGGAAGAGAGAAAGGGAAGTGAGAGAGAGATTGAGCTCTAATCTCATAAATCAGCGAAGGAGATCTTCGTTCTTGTTTGAAATTGAAATCCGAATCTCAGATTGGAGTTGAAGTCCTTGGGAGAGATCCGATTCTCTCCTGATTTCCGTTTCCATGGCGATTCGGTGGTCGGAGCTGTGTATCGTATTGTTCGCTCTTTCTTATGCCATTTGCGTCCTTGCCGGGTAAGAAACATCTTTCGATTTCTCAGAAGCATAGAAATGTGTGGAAAATGTGAATGCTTAGAAAATCTATGATGTGTGGATTTAGGAAGAGTTACTACGATGTGTTGCAAGTTCCGAAAGGTGCATCTGATGAACAGATCAAGAGAGCTTATAGGAAACTCGCTTTGAAGTATCATCCTGATAAGAATCAAGGAAATGAGGAAGCGACTCGCAAATTCGCTGAGATCAACAATGGTATTTTTCATGTTGCAACAACTTGTGATCCTGCTCTCTTTGATTACACGTTTTTCGTTCTGAGAATTGACGTATTGGTGTTTTGTGTTTGATGTAATAGCTTATGAAGTGTTATCGGATGAGGAGAAGAGGGAGATATATAACAAGTATGGTGAGGAGGGGCTTAAACAGTTTTCTGCAAATGGAGGAAGAGGAGGTGGAGGCGGAGGCATGAATATGCAGGACATTTTTAGCTCGTAAGTTTTCTGCAAATGGTAACTCTTTTGGATCCAAATAGATGTACAAGAGTCAGGGTGACTAGGAATTAATCTTTCTATCTTTTCAAATAGCTGACTTTGGGGTCTGGCAAACATTTTTCTGATCTTTTATCCTGTTTAACCCTTCTTAGCATAGAATTCGTGTTGAGTTTTATGTAGTGATAGTGGATACAATTGGATTTGGTAATGTTAAGGGAATTTCTTGTAGCGTGAATAGTTCCTAAATTTGGATGATGTATTACATTTGTGTTTAAATGATGCAGATTGCTAATTTGCTGAGATTATTGATGTGCTTAATAGGTTTTTCGGTGGAGGTTCGATGGAGGAAGAAGAGAAGGTTGTCAAGGGTGATGACGTGATTGTGGAACTTGAGGCAACTCTGGAAGATTTGTACATGGGAGGCTCTATGAAGGTATGTTAAGCTCCATGTCAGGATGTTATTATCATCATTAATACATGTTACTCGTCTGGATATTGGTACTTTGGTTCAAATATACTTTAATCAATAGAAATTTTTAAACTTTATTTCATAGTGTTATTCAGACATTCTTTAGGTTCATGCGATGTCTGGTTAGAATAGATATTTCTTATACATAAATGCAAATCAAAGGACTTGCCTTAAGTTCTCAGTGAGGATGTTCTACATTGAACTATCAGGTATGGAGGGAAAAGAATGTGATAAAACCAGCTCCTGGAAAGAGAAAGTGTAACTGCAGGAACGAGGTCTACCACAGACAAATTGGTCCTGGAATGTTCCAACAGATGACAGAGCAGGTAAAGGACGGCTCTGTTTAAGTCTCACTGATGTTCTTGTTCCGCCTGATATCTGTTTGACGACATGTCCTCTTGTTCCCCTCAGGTCTGTGACAAATGCCCTAATGTCAAATACGAACGGGAGGGATACTTTGTGACAGTTGATATCGAGAAAGGAATGAAAGATGGAGAAGTAAGTCTTGAAACTATACAACCCTTATTGCAACATATTAGACTACATTTCTTAGCAGCTCTTTAACTCATTGTGATTTATTTGTGTGCTTATTAATTTCTCCTATCGTAGTTTCTTAATACCAAATACTTTTCAGGAAGTGTCTTTCTATGAAGACGGTGAACCCATTCTCGACGGTGAACCTGGTGACCTTAAGGTTAGCCTCTTGCCTAAATTTCACTATTCGTCATTTCACTAAACTTCAAGATCAGAGAGAATAAACCATTGGTGTACATTTGGCAGTTCCGAATCAGAACTGCACCACACGCCCGTTTCCGAAGAGATGGCAACGATCTACACATGACCGTTAACATAACACTGGTAAATAAATTCCACAAACTACTCCTGTATCAGTATCTCTACATCATAGACCAACAATTGATACATTTTTCTGACTCTACCAAATCTCTCTTCTTCAGGTTGAGGCGCTAGTTGGTTTTGAGAAATCATTCAAACACTTAGATGATCACGAAGTTGACATCGGTTCCAAGGTAACACTAATACTCTTCTCCATACACGCAAAACACTTGAAACACAGTGACCATCAATTATCATCTAATGGGTTAAATATTGTGTGACGACGACAGGGAATTACAAAGCCGAAGGAAGTGAAGAAGTTCAAAGGGGAAGGGATGCCACTTCACTACAGTACAAAGAAAGGGAACCTCTTTGTCACTTTTGAGGTTTTGTTTCCTTCTTCTCTCACTGACGATCAGAAGCAGAAGATTAAAGAAGTCTTTGCTTAGTGCTCTCTCTCTCTCTCTTTAGAAGTTTGGGGTTTAAGAGGAGAACGTCCTTAATGTAACATGTCTAGGTTTTAATATAGAAAGAAAAAAATATGAGGAGACAAAGACGAAGATGAGAAAAGTCACGAGGAGGGTTTTGATCATTTGTCATTTTTGTTTGGTTTTGTTAATCATATTAGTGCATATTCATGAATTAAATACAATTTGGATTATTTCTGTGAATCCTATTTCCAATACTCTTTTGTGGGCCTTGTGGCTAGTTATCATAAAAAAAAAGATAATGAAAACACTCGTGTCTCTTTTAATTAGGCGATGAAGTTAGGTTTTAGTTGTTGCGATGAAACTAATAAAGTCCAACAATATCGAGCACCTGATTTTGTTGTTCCAAGAAACGTGGGAGACACAACAAGTTGTCAAATTCTTAGGCGCTTCCATCTTACACGTGTCCTCCATATAGCTCTACCCAGAAAGATCCCTTAAAATATTAATTACTCCAAAATTGTGAACTTTATAAAATTAATCGTAATTGAAATCAAACCAGCAAATAGTTTGAACATTCCAGAGAAGTAATTAATATTATGAAATTGATGCGGGGGCATCCGTTAAAGTTGGTTCACCAGCTTTCTAACACACACATCCATCGCTATCAAAGGAAGATTTGATCGGACGAGGAAGCTGAGAAGATACCAAAAAACGACAACAGATTCATTCAAACTTGCACGCCATCGCCGGATTATTCCCGGTGTATACGTATTTTATACGGGTCTATTTACTCCATTAACGAAGAAGAAGAGGAAATTTGAAGGAAAGAGTTTTGGTTTAAGTGTTGTTGATGGAGGGTGTTTTCTTAAAAATGTCGGTGCAAGGAGTAGTATCTCCGATGATTCCGGTGGGTCCTTCTTCTTTCATACGCGCCATCGGAGGCTCTGTTGAGGAGAAATCAACGGCTGGTTCTCTGCCGCGTTGGGTTTCACGTCGTCGTCCTCGTCCGCTTGAGTTTCTTCGGATCGGTGGTAAGAGAGATGAGAAGGGAACAGTAAGAGACGACGCCGCCGTTTCGTTGGAGAGAGAAGACCGGAACGGAAACGATAACGGAAACTGGGTATTGAAAATTTTGGAGGTTGGATCAATCTGGAAAGGGAAGAGACAGCGATCAGGTGGCGGTGGAGAAGAGGACGACGAAGAGGAAGTTACTGAATCGAAGAAGGAGAAGGAAGATTTATGTGAGGAATGCGATTTCTGTAGGATCGATGATGATGATGATGATGATGATGAAGAAGAAAAGGAGGAGACTGTGTTTGGTAGAGAAGAGTTCTCTGAGATGTTAAGCAAAGTTCCTGTTGAAGATGCTCAGATGTTTGCCAAATTGTCGTTTTTGGGGAATTTGGCTTATTCAATCCCTAAAATCAAGGTGAATTTGACATGATTGAAACCAAAAACCTCAATTCTGTGTTTCTGAATTTGATCCTTATTAGTTTTGACATTGTTGCAGCCTGAGAATCTGTTGAAATATCAGAAACTGAGATTCGTGACTTCCTCAATTGAGAAGAGAACGAGTCTTAAGGTTGAAGAGAACCACAATGGCGAGGAAGAGGAGGAGAAGAAGAAGCTCATCAACCCAGCTGTTGCTTACAGAATCGCTGCTTCTGCAGCTTCTCGTCTCTTTTCCCATTCTAAGTCTGTGCTTCCTTTTGGATCATCTAAACGTCAAGACAACGAAGAAGCTTCTCTATTGGCAACTGCTGATTCGGTTACAGCAGTTGTGGCAGCCAAAGAGGAAGTTAAGCAGGCGGTCGCCGATGATCTCAAATCAAACCGTTCACCGCCTTGTGAGTGGTTTGTATGTGATGATGATAAAAGTGGCACCAGGTTCTTCTTTATTCAGGTAATTTGTGATTAGAGTCTTTGATTGCCAAAAGATGGATAGCTTAAGAAAGGAACTCAATACTTTACAGGGATCAGATTCACTGGCTTCATGGCAAGCTAACCTTCTGTTCGAGCCTGTTCCATTTGAGGACCTTGATGTGCTTGTTCACAGAGGCATATACGAAGCTGCAAAAGGAATATATGAACACATGTTACCGGAAGTTCATGCCCACCTCAGTTCCCGTGGCAAGCACCGTGCTTTTCTCAGGTTTAGCGGACATTCTCTAGGCGGAAGCTTGTCATTGTTAGTGAATCTCATGCTTCTGATCCGAGGTCAAGTCCCGGCTTCTTCTCTGCTCCCGGTGATCACTTTTGGTTCACCTTGCATCATGTGCGGAGGTGATAGGCTTCTTCAGAAACTTGGTTTGCCTAAGAGTCATCTTCTCGGAATCTCAATGCATAGAGATATTGTTCCCCGAGCATTCTCCTGCAATTACCCTAACCGAGCCGCAAATATTCTCAAGGCATTGAATGGAAACTTCCGGAACCATCCTTGTCTGAATAACCAGGTAAAATGTGAAAAACATCTTAAGCTGTTTGCTTCAGATCGTTGTTTCTTGGCTTACTCTGTTTGCCTTCTTTTCTGCAGAATGTATTGTATTCTCCAATGGGGAAGCTTCTAATTTTGCAACCATCCGAGAGATTCTCTCCCCCACACCCTCTGCTTCCTCCCGGAAGTGGTATCTATCTCTTAACCTCTAAGAATACTGATGAAACAGACAAAAGTCTAAGGGCTGCAAAGAGTGTCTTCTTTAACTCACCACACCCCCTAGAGATTCTTAGTGATCGTCGTTCTTACGGGTCAGAAGGAAAAATCAAAAGAAACCATGACATGAGCTCTTACCTGAAGGCCTTGAGGCATGTGATTCGGAAGGAGCTGAAGCAGATAAAGGCTGAGCGGGATCAATGGCGGCGCAAGTTCTTTATTATAAACGTTTTACTTACTGGGAGAGATTCTTTGAAACTCATAACAAGATTTGTGGCATCAAGAAGTAGTCAACTAGTGATCATCTTCTTTCTCCCAATTAGATTGTTAATTATGAGTGTTTATGGTGTGGTCTTTCACCATTCACAAGCACATTTTAGTTTCTTCAAGTGAAGATTAGGCCTATTCTGTAATAGAATCTATCACACACATCAATTATTTTCAGAAAAGACAGCAACTATCTTAGTATAAGAGAAAAAGGGATAACAAATTCTTTCATGATTTCACTGTTTGGAGTCTTGTCCAACTGACATAATCTTACAAAGGGATTGGCGAGGAAATGCAAGAGATTTATTCATTAAGGGGGCATAAAAGCTCAGACCTTTGTAACAAGATGAGTATTGAGGAAACTAGAGATTCAACTTCCCTGCTAGATACCAAGAATGCATAGCAAGGCTGCCAAATGACAAAATGTTAGCAAGCGATGATAACCCGTGAATCATTCCAAACTTCTTGTTCATAGCAGCTAGCTTTGGGATAGTCTTTGCCTTTTCTCTGTTCTTGGACCAACCAACTTCATCTCCAATGTTGTTTTCTCTCTCTACTTTGTGCCTTTGCTTCATCATCTACATACACCAAAGCAAGGCCATTGATTGGTTCATAAGTCATCTCTTGTATGCATTGTTCTATGCAATTGGAGGAACTAGGCACACTTACATTGATGGTCATGGGAGTGAAGACAAACAAATTGGTGAGATTGAAAGCAAAAGCGGATAGGAGAAAGCCTAGCTGATACTTGTCGACCAAAGCAGATGACTTCCATGGATGCAAATAACCAAAAGCAGAGAGTGAAATTGCGCAGCAAGAACCAACCAAAGTGAAGTAAGCTGGAAACATCTTGCTCTGAAGATTACCAAACTGATGCCTCGGTAAATTCCTGAAGAGAGAAAGAAATCAATCACACAGAATCCAATTCCACGAAATTGAAGAAGAGGATTGAGAGAGAGAGATGCGTACTTGAACATGATGATTCCTCCGATGAAGGTAGCCCAGAGGGCAGCTCCCCAAGCTGTAGCGAAACTGAGTAGATGAGCTAGCTTCAGGAATATCGAAAGCTTCTCCGAATTCTCTCCATTCGTCAACGATCCGAATGTCTCCGGAGAGAATATAACTCCGACGGCTAAGAATGCCAACGCTGCTATGAAACTGGTATACCAACCCATCGCCGATGGTGTTTTCCGATCACTCTTTCTCGAATTTGGTAGCTGAGACCAGAAGACGCGACACGTTTTCTTAACGTCGATGTGAGTTTGGGTAGGTAGTTGCCATTTGCATTGACTAAAGTACCCCTTGACTTGCACAAATTCATTTTGCTTGAAACATCATTTGTTTTAGTTTGGGCCAAAGACAAAAAGTCCCATTAGAGGTGTTCGGTCCATTATCCACAATCGAAATTGTAAGTCTTTTTCTGCCAACAAGGCAACAATATTAGTACAAGTTAACCAGCTAGAATTGATCAGGAACACCAAGTAATATATCTCATAATCTCAATTAGGGCTGGAAATTAGAATCGAACCGAGATTTGGACAAATTGAATCGTTCGTTTGTTTTCGTCTTTGTGACCGTTATTCTAACCCCTTTTTTTTTTCTTTATCACCCACTAAAATTGCAAACCACTCTAATAATATCATCGTAATGTCTTGTTTTGCTGGTATTAGATATTTGATTTGGCTAAAAAGAATATTCATTATTCTAAACATCGTGTATTTTAGAAAAGGCCATTCTTATTCAGATTTTAAATATTCTAGATGTATTCAGTAGTGGTTGTTGGATAACTATGACATGTTCAACATCTATGCTTGTAATTAAGTTGTAACTTGTAAGGTACTTCAGATCTGAAAACTCGATCTAATTTCTGTCCTCCACTAAATATAATATAGTACAAGTTAATACGAGCTTGTTTTTGTTGGCTCGAGATGCGTTCTTTATCATGGAAAATAAAATACTTCCATCTCTCTTCTTCTGACCAAAGTCGAGTACCTTACTGTCCTTTATGTTATTCCTACTTTTCCATCGATTTTTATAAAAACTTTTTTTTTCACAATTTGAATACGATATTTTATTACAAAAAAAAGTATAAAATAAGTAATAAGTACCGATGATAAGCTCACATGGATACACACTGACATCATCATATTCATATACCTCTGGCCACGACTGATCCTCTTTCCAATGTCTCCAACATCCTATACATCACGTGCTTCTTTTATTTTAACTTTTCCACCCTCAACTTTATTGTTTTTCTTAATTCGACCACATTCACCCAACTCAAGCTCAAAATGAACCAATTCTCTTACGATTATGTTATCAAGATATAACTATTACCAAACAAATTTGTTTTTTTTTTCACGTATTATATAGGTTAATTTATCAAATCCTGCTCTTGTACAAGAGTAAATTATTTATTAAAGATTTGAAAATTAATAGATTAATAGAAATATAGAAAGATTCTTCCTTCATTTTTACATATTTCAGCAATTTTTGGAAATAAACGAAAAACGAGATATGTACATGGACTTGTTATAGTCAAAATATGTATTCTATAGAGTGATGGTGATGTTAGTTTAATAAGTAGGTGGCATAGTATTCCCTGTGGCATTTGTTGAAAACATAAAATAATAAGTATTCCCTGTTCTATGATAATTCTGAAACCCAAATGTGAAAATGGCTTATAATAATAATTGCATAGAAGATTTTAAGAGTTGTCTCTCGTATTTTTAAATTCAGCAGGGAAGAATGCTTGACCAAACCGAACCAAACTTCGAAATATGGTCAAGATTCTATGAAATTTAATTAATCGATTGGTTGACAATCGAATAAAAATCAACGACCCATCGGATATCTATCAGATTATTAATCAACTGCATCATTCTTTTATTTAATCTTACGTACTGATTAATCCATTACCAATACCAATAAATGGCATCCAAAACTTTGTAGATAAGGATTCCTCGAAATATTAATTTCTTGTGTCAGACTCGTTTATCCATTTAATCGGACAAATCTAAATTCCGATTAGTATTTTTTTTTGGTCGGCCAAATTCCGATTAGTATTTTGACACTTCTAATGGAAAAAATGGTAATTTTAATCTCACACAACTTTGATTTTATATTCGACAAGTAAAGCATTTTCTGCACAGAAATAAAGAGAAAGTAGGAGAATTAACTCAAAAGAGACGAATATTTAAAGTGACAAAATTCTCAAGTGGAATTAAAATCTTACTTATATACAAACTATAATTCCCGGTTAACAACTGATTGCATCGTATTTCATTGGAATCGGTTGGTTAAATCCGGTCCTAGATAATAAACTCCCAACGGCGGCAAGATCTCGGCAGAAAACACCTTGAAACGCGTTTGAATTTCCCGGTTTAATATCTACGAAACCGGTTATCTTTATTGTACCGGGATTTTCAACCGGTTCATGTTCTTCAACCGTTTTCGTTGACGTTTGAGTCAACGCCATCATCTTCTTCCTCTGTTCCTCCTCTGCTATCGTTGCCGCCAAAACTGAATAACCTCTCTGAATCAATCGATAAAGCAACAAAGAAGACATCTTCGCTCGATCTTTAACGGAACTTATCTCGTTCTGATCGAAGAAATCGCAACGTTCGATGAATGCTAAAGCCTTGTCAGGTTTATGCCTGAGACAGAGCAAGAGATTTGCTCGATCAAGCTCCGATCTCGTGCAACCGCGTCTAACTCCGACCAATCCGTAATAATCAACGTTTCCGATTTCTCCATTTGCGATTTTTGCTTTCAGTTTCTTCGATTTCGTCGTCAATTCGCATAACTTTCCCGGAATTTCTCTGTATTTCACGTTGTGTCGTTTCCACGGTGGTCCGGGAAGTTTCCGATCACGTAAGATGGTGTTGTAGAGTATCTTCAAGTGCTCTAAGTCGTGAAGCGAATCCGGTAGACACCGAACCGTTTCCAAGAGAGCGGCTCTAGTCTCCAACGCGTGGATGCACGACGGCTCAAGAGCTAAGGTTTTGTTACAATCGGCGATGGCTTCCGCGATTTTTCCGGCGGATTTATAAGCGGCGGCGCGGTGCATATAGCAATCGGCGAGGAATCCTTGTGGCGCGGGACGACGACGACCGTCGAGGATTTTGGAGAAGTGACGGATGGAGTCGGAGAATAGTCCAGCGTCAAAGGCGGCGAATCCGGCGGAGCGACGACGGAGGAGATTTTTTGTGTGTGCGAGAAGGTTAGTGACGGTTTCGCATTCGGAGAGTTTGCGTGGAGGATAAGCATAAGAGGAGGATGATGATGATGATTCGGAGAGGAGGAGAGAGACGCTATCATCTGACAAGCTTACACTTAAACGGCGGAACTCGGCGGTTGCGAGGCGTTTTCCGGTTTGAAGAAGAATCAATGCGTCCTCCATTAATCCTAGGTGGCAACAAGCTTGTCCTAAAACAACATATCTGAAAAATTCCAACAAATCAAAAACAGTAAATAATTATTATTTTCAAAAACTACACTCATATTGGTCTATAAAAAGAAAAAGAATTATCAAACGAAAATTAATTTGATTTTTTTTGCATTAATATTTTACAACAATAGAATAAAGGAAAATTACCTCCATTGTTTATCTTTATCGCGATTTTTTAAAATCCCAGCCATAATTTTATTTTTCAAGTCAGAAACAGAGAAGCACTTGAAGGAGGAGTCACGGCGAGGAGATGAGTCGGAGAGAAGTTTCCGGGAGAGCTGAGCAGAGGAGGAAGAGTAAGAGCTGCCTTCGTATGTATAAGATCCATCTTCCTCGTTCACGGTGAGCTTGAGGCTTGGAATATAATCTTGAAGCATATTAACTACATCTTTGAAGCGACGAAGAAAGAGCAAAGATCTGGCTTTAAGTTCTAACGCAGTTTCCGAACGCGGCGATATTGATAACGCCGCGTCTAGTAAATGAATGGCTGAAGCAACGTCGTTTTGCTCCTCACTCTCCATTAAAGACCTTGCGTCCTTAATGTACTTATCAACAGTCTGAAAGATATAAAAAAAACAAGTTAATGTCTTTTGAGTGAATGATCATTACCCATTATAGAGATTATCAATAAATTCAAGAAAGATTAGTGATTTGGAGGTTTTATATACCTTCTTGTGAGTGAACCACCAATGCTTCTTGTCGCCGTTAAGGACAGGATAAACCGCCATTGTTGTTGCAGAGTAGTCTAAAAAAAGGTTTTGATATTCGCTGATTTGGGTCAATATATAGATCAAACTATCCAAAGTTCTTTGCTTCTTCTCCTCTAAGATTTGAGAAAAGAAAGAGAAGTGTTGTTTTATAAAGAAACAGAGCAGTATAGGGGAGAGAGAGAGAGAGCAATGACAGCTTTGACCTGAGAGAAAAGTTGTGATCCTTCAACTTAAATTAGCTGGCACCATTTCTCCTTTTATATATTCTCTGTTAAGTATATATTCTCTTGCTATATAGCCTACGTTTATCAATCTCGTCTAATAATAATATCTCATAATCATATCTCTTCTAATTACTCTTTTATCTTATTAGCTAATCTCAATCATATCTCTTGTAATTACTCTTAACCTTATTAGATAGCCTCATAAGTCATATATGTATACTCTCTTCATGAATAATATACTTCTTCCTATATATATATTCTCTTTTCTCTCTTCAATGAGTGTAGTATCTGCATTATCTACTTAGGCAAGGTTTTGGACTAATTATTCTAGTATTCCTTAGTTTCAATTCTAATCTTGATAAAGTTTTGGATTTGTATATTTGATTCATTTATGATTTTTTTTTTGGTAAAATGAAATTTATTTATGTTTATCACGCATCAAATCATATCTTTTTAGTATAGCATTAGTGACATGTTTAAACATAAAGTTTTATCTTTTATGTATAAACTGAGATATTTTACCATAAAACTACGATTACGAAACTTTTAACACAGCTGATTAAAATAGTAGACTTTGTAATTTGTATGCATCATTATGATTTGTCATATTCTGAAATCGTCATAGTATGACGAATGATTGCATTATTCCATCACCCATCTCTTGAGTAATCATGTTCAATTATTTCTTACTATATACTTCAAGTTTCATTTTCTTCATCAGATTCTCTGGCTATTATTGTTTTGCCAAAAATGAAAATTTAGAATGGAGCCTATAATATTGATCATAATGAGATGTTGGCCATGCCAAGAATTTCTTAGTAGTGCATGTTAAAGCTTTTGATAAATTACACACGAGTTTCAATTCTTTCTAGATACATGTTATGTGCTTCAATGATGAATAATTAACCTTTTCCGATTTGTTACCATCGTGAAATTACGTAATTAATTCAATCGGGGCACGTCTTGTTATTAATGTTTCTAAGAAAACAGCATGCTATTGCAAATGATGTAGAAATTTGTATGGTCTTAAATCAATGCAATGTCAACATGTATGTAGCAAAATACATATGGTCCGTATTAAAAAAAAAAGATATATGGTCTGAAAACAATATGCAATGTCAAATAAATATCCAACCTTTTTTCATAGGATTCTTAAAGAAAATAAAAATTATATAGCAAGGGACGGTTAGCCTTTATGATTGGGGAACTGAATATAACAGCAATAATAATAATGCAGCTCATAAAATGATTATATTATAGGTACAACTTCCTTCCACAATTTTTGGACTTATAGGCAATCTATGTGTATTGCCTACAATTTATAACCTAATTGTTAATCATTCAGAAATATAATATCGATCTTTAACTATGTATTACATTTTTCTATTCTTCCTTGTATAAATAAATATAATAAGTCAAAAATACAGTTTTCTCTTGAGAACTATTATATACTATATATGTGTATAGTATACTACAAATTAAAAGAGAGGCTCGCGCATTAAATAGTTGATGATACTACACACCATGCCATTGGTCGAGACAATTATGCCAGGATGGCTTGAGTTAACAAACTCTAGAAAGAAAGAGGATTATGTGCTAATTGTAGTTAACTAGTGTTAAGTTAAATATTCGGTTTAAAAGTGGGTCTACTTAAGAGCAACTGTCCCCATTCTATAAACATGTTAGCATCTTAAGAAGCACACCATGACGGCTTATATATGAATATATCATACAATATAACATGTTCATACATATTTATACGTACATACCCTTCATATTTTCATACACGTTGATATATATACTTCGTCAAATTCCTTCTAATCTTCTATCACAATTTTATGTTTTAGTTTCTAAATTTACTTTTTATAAGTTATATATAGTCCAACAAAACCCAAAAATTATTCGGAAAATCATAAAATAATAAGCTTTCTACAAGTGGATGTCCAAAAATATTGTACAAAACACTTTCACTATTGGGTGTTTCGACATTGCAACATGATTGCATTGTCTATACTCTATGGTGACTTTTACCGAGACATGGGTTTTATATCGAACCAAATAAGTGTCAAAGTTGGCGCAAATATTAAGATAGGAATCTATATATAATCGAGTAGTACTAGTTGTATAATCAACGGCATTATTTAATTTCAAGTATTGAGTAGAAAATAAAGAATATTGCGTTGGGCATCAAACCAATCATCTAGTTTTGCTCAAATGCATACGATAGAGACCTCTTTTGGATCCAAAAGCTTCGGGTTTTGAACAAAAAACTGAAACCAATCAAATGAAAGTCAGATAGCTCAGAGGAAGGCACGTGTTCTTGGCTTAGATATCACGTGGGAATGAGTAATCCATGTGCTTCTCTTTACCCCAAATACCAACTTTAATAGTTCCTATAACTTTTGTTTTCTCCACGTTAATCAAATTTAACCGAGAACCGGTTTGATCGAATGAGTTTTTAATATTTGGATTGTTATTTTTTTGTTTTTTCATTCAAGACAACAACTTAAATCAAATTATTCATTTGGTCACATTTTCATGCTTAGTGTGTTTCATGGGAAAAAGAACCAGTCTCTAGATCGGCTGTGCTTTGCTGAAAAGTGGCGAATAATAAAAAGAAACAGCAATTAAAACAGAACAGCAAAAAACTGTTGATTGTTTAGCTTTGGACCACGTAGACAAGAATCAATCCAAAGGAGAAATTCTGCAAAAGTTATAAAAAGGGAAAGTGTGCACCTACTAATTTTATTCAGACATCCATATTTGCATAGTCCATAGACATATATATTGAGCTGCAAAATCTTGAGTCACAAAATCTAATATGTGTGTTTTATGTGTGCTAATAAGCCTTATTACGTTTCAAAGCGGCTGATATCAATTTATCTTTGTGGGAAAAGAAAAAAAGCGGCTGATATCAAGGACGCATTTTGAGTGGTGCTCAAAACCATGTGTGTTTTTCTTTTGCTCTCTCAAATTTTATAATATATGTATTTTTTAATTATGAACTATATTGTTTACATACTTGTAATGAAAATAATTACATAGTTATCCATAGATATGTTTGTGTTCGTTTCACAATACTTAGGAAAAAAAGAAAAACAGACATAATGATAAGTTCACAAAGAGACATAACACATGTAAAACAATATACGTACACTCATTATGGTACATCTAAGTATCAAATTGATTGGTCTTCAGTGTAGGACATTGTGATTGTTAAATGTCAAGCTCGATTCACATGGGGTTTTTTCTCTACGATACATTATTAAAGTAAAAGTCTTCATCTTTCGAATTTTCAGAAAAAGCTAAGAGACAGCCATTGCTTAAGCCCCACTCAGGTACATAGTCACAGACAAAATGGGTTCACACTTTTCATAGGATTCAAGTTTGGTCTGTATACACTAAATCTATAATTTAAAAGCCGTCAAAAATAGAAATCTTGTTGTATACACACATTCACATATTTCATTTGAATCGTAATCATACATATAGATATTATAACAAGCAGAGATAACAATCACATTGTATAGATAGATAAGACTTATAATTGATCTAGTCGATATATTGAGAAACCCATTTAAATCCTTCGCCGTAACCCATCTTTCTGACAATGCTGCACATGAACACCTCAAGGGGACGAACATTTGTTCCTGCTAGATTCACTTTACCTTTCCCAGTGGTGAAATTGGTGAGGCCTAGATGATAACGCAGCTCGTCTTCTGATGCAGCGTACGGAATGTCGATTTTGTTTCCAAGGATGAGGAAAGGGACATTTGCTAGGGATTCATCAGAGAGAAGAGCGTCAAGCTCTTTCTTTGATTCTGCAAACCTCTCTTTGTCATATGCATCCACTAGGTATACCACTGCATCAACCTAATAAGAGACAATAATAAAGTTACAAACTTGAAGACAGAATTCAAACAGGGTAGCTAATAGTTTGACACCACAGTCTATAAATCTCTTCATTCATTGAAATCATCAGCTATGAGAATGTACATCACAAGAGACCTGAGACCTCATGGTGTGATGCTAACAGTAATACTAGTCCATAGCTACCTCCACATACATACCAATCAGCATGTCGTTTCAAACTACATCATTTCAAACTATCATCTGTAAATTTGTTTCTTTGCAAATATAATCCATCGGACGGACCAACACAGCGGCCTAAGGAACATAGTAGGAGTAGTACACAGCATAAGCTTACTAGGTACACATAACCAGCATAATGTAATCACAGGACCTATGCTGCAATAATCATAAGAGAATTGCTACATTCGAAACTTCAAATTAGAGTTAATCATATCACCCTGTCATTTGAAGCTATCATTGAAGATTTCACTTCACCTCTATCATCTCAAACTACTGTTTTTGGCACAGGGACGATTGAAATCTATAACAGAGTCAGCTTAGAGTCTATAGCAGATGAAATTCTGACAAGACTTGCTAATTGATTGACCTAAAAATCCAAAGAATACAAAGAACAAAGAAGATCAAACCTTAGCGTAATAGTCCTTCCAGACTCTGCGAGCAATCTGATGACCTCCCAAATCGAAGGCTTTGAACTTGATTTTGCCGATACTTAGTTCTTCCGATGTCGGATGCTGTGTCGGCTGATGCTGGACCAGTCTCTGAAACCCAAATCAAACGATGATCGATGGCTCAAACTTTGATTCGGTCGCGCTAAGTAACAGAAACAAGATTCTAGAAAGCGATTACTGATATGATTCGAAGAAAACTAACCTCGTCCTTTAACATGTGAAGCAAGGTGGTTTTGCCGGCGTTGTCGAGACCTAGAAACAGAATCTTCGCTTCTTTCTGCCACAATCCGAGAGTTGCCAGAACTCCATAGAACCAATCGACCAGGAACATCGCTTCTTCTTCTTCTTCTTCTTCTTCTTCTTCTTCTTCTTCTCTCTCGTGAGATTGAAGATTTTCACGCAGCTTCGCACTCGGAAACGACAAATAAATTGGTTTCCTTTTTTTTTTGGTGTGAAGGTGAACCTAAAAAGGTAAAAACGGCATCGTTTGGATATGAGTGTGTTGTTGACTGGGTGAGTAACAGATATACATTGGGCCTTCAGGCCTTGTTTGAAATTTGAAGCGAACAATAATTGTAGTAGTGACTTTAATCTAGACATGTAAATTCAAAACTTACAGTATATGATTCTTTTCATTCTATACGTTGACGAAAATTTGTTACATTAGTTTAACTTTGGCGGTGTACTAACCATACTAAATATAAAATCGTTAAATTAACTGGATGAGTCCACTAGTTTTAAATCAGCAAAAATATCCGCAACATTTGTTCAAATCATTTTTCATCATATTCCGTCATTACTATTTAGACCCGTTGTGTATTCTATTATTGCAATATACGAAGATTTAAATGTTACATCAGTTCTTTCGAAGCATATACACAATCATAAGAGTTATATATATGAGCTTAATTATCTTGAGGTTGCTTCTTGACGATAACCACAGGACACTTGACTCGTTTGGCGCAATACTCGCTCACACTCCCTAGCAAAGCCCTATCAAATACACCAAACCATATATCAACCAACCATTATATCAAAATATTTTTGTCCTATAATAAGATTGAAGCCTTACCTTTTGAAGAAGCCATAGTCATGAGTGCCCATTACTAACATATCAGCTCTAAGTTTCTCAACTGCCTTGCATATAACTTCCTTAGCATCTCCTCTTCCAACTCGTCTTTCTATATTAATCTGCACATCAAATCGCACATTAATTTACTCCTCCTTGATTTTTTTTCGTCAAATCTCTTTGAAAACAGCCATATATCGCTAATCAAATGTTTCTTTTGGTATTTAAATATTGTTCCTAATTAATAGGTTGTCGTGAGAACCTTTTTTTTTGGGCTAAACCAATTGAAAATAAATAGATTTAACTCATAACTACTTGATTAAATTCACTTTCTAATAATTTGTCAGTTTCTTGAAATATAGAAATAAGCTTACGTACATCGGATTCATAATCTTGGTACACGGTTCGAGATCGAGCCATGACCGATTCCACGAGCTCGTATTCATACTTCTTCAAAGCTGTAACCGGGTCTCCGGTCACTATAAACCCTGGAAATCAGACCAAACAAAATCTATAACTAAAGTGAACGAATGAATATTAATGAGGGTAGTTAATCAAAAGATTTTAATCGTGAAATAATGAAGACTAACCTGCGGCGTCAAGGGAAGAGTAAACGGGAAGCGGGGGCTTTACGTAGAGGAGGATGAGTGTATTATTGGAATCATATGGAAAAAGATTGTCAAGACTCCATGAAAGAGCTTCCATGCTCTCTTCGCTTTCGTCCACTGCTACTACTATCTTTCTCTCCTTTGTTTCCTCCATCTCTTTACCTTTCTAAAAAAAATACTGATTTCTTTTGCTTTCAATTATTAGAGAAGAAATATCTTATGAATAAGGCTCGATGGAAGAAGAGATTACGATTGTGTTACTATTTATACAATTAGCTAAGGCAAAACCCACTTGATTTCCCATTTTGGAATTAAGTGTTTTTATTTAGATATTTGCAGACACTATCCCTTGTGTAATTTTTACATTAGATAAGATATAAACCCACATATGATTGATTGATAACCAAATACAGAAAACTATCGTTTTTCTTTCAGGTGTGACTCTTATCTACAATATGCGATATTTTTATGTAGATAATTTATGATTTTTATAGAATTATTTCATGCTTGTGAACTAGTATGTTATTATAGATTTTAGGTGACTCAATATTTATGAACTTAATCTGGAATCTGATTTTCCTCATATATCCCTTAGTTTTATATACATCCCACAGGGTTATTGTCTTATTGATGATTGATGTTACAGTGAATGACTGATCTTGATTTTCAGTTATGTAATATCCATAAACACGTATACAAAGATAACGTGAACTAAGAGAAATGTATGATAGAATCAAATAAATCTAAAACTAAATTGGTCCCCTAAAAAAAACTTGAGAAAATATCACGACCCTAAAACGAAGATAAGATGCATACAGATACCTTCCAACTAAAAAAAATAATTGACACCTTTGATGATCTTTATGCGTTTGCGCTTTAATGCTCCTGGTGGACCCAATGGTTATATGGGTAATATGTAACCAGATAAATGGGCCTTTAATGGGTCAAAATTATTATCACTCAAAGCTTCTAATCAAACAATGGCCCAAATACGGGAAGAGCTCTCAGCCGTAAATCAGTGGCTTTTCACCGACTTCGCCATTGCTAATCGCCGTCGAGCTTCCATGGCTGCTGCTCCATGGCTCTATATCTCTATGAGAAGAAGCTCCACTCAGAATCCATTAAGAAGCTTCCTCATTTGCTCTTCTTCATTCAATTCCGATGAATTCATTTCCAGTCAAAGCCGCGTAATCGGCGGGAGAGGAGAAGAGGAAGTACGATTTTCCGGTGCTCTCTTCTCTCGTATGATTCATTCTTCTACTTATCATCCTTACCGTCAAATTCCATTGCCACTCTCCTCTGTACAACTGCTTGATGCGAGTCTTGGGTGTAGAGGTTTCTCTAGTGGTAGTTCTAATGTTAGTGATGGATGTGATGAAGAAGCTGAATCTGAATGCGATAATGATGAAGAAACTGGGGTCAGTTGTGTTGAATCAAGCACTAATCCGGAAGAAGTAGAGAGAGTCTGCAAAGTGATAGATGAATTGTTTGCGTTAGATAGAAACATGGAAGCTGTTCTTAATGAAATGAAACTAGATTTATCACATGATCTCATCGTTGAGGTTTTAGAACGTTTTCGACATGCTAGGAAGCCTGCATTTAGATTTTTCTGCTGGGCTGCAGAGAAACAAGGATTTGCTCATGATTCAAGAACTTACAACTCCATGATGAGTATTTTAGCAAAGACTAGACAGTTCGAGACGATGGTTTCGGTTCTCGAAGAGATGGGTACGAAAGGTCTACTGACGATGGAGACATTCACTATCGCGATGAAAGCTTTCGCTGCTGCGAAAGAGAGGAAGAAAGCTGTTGGTATCTTTGAGTTGATGAAGAAGTACAAGTTTAAAATTGGTGTTGAAACCATTAATTGCTTGCTTGATAGTCTTGGCAGGGCTAAGCTTGGAAAAGAAGCTCAGGTTCTGTTTGATAAGCTGAAGGAGAGGTTTACGCCTAATATGATGACTTACACTGTTCTACTCAATGGTTGGTGCAGGGTGAGGAACTTGATAGAAGCAGCTAGAATCTGGAATGATATGATTGATCAGGGCTTGAAACCTGACATTGTAGCTCATAACGTTATGCTTGAAGGGTTGTTGAGGAGTAGGAAAAAATCAGATGCGATCAAATTGTTCCATGTTATGAAATCCAAGGGACCTTGCCCTAATGTCCGTAGCTATACCATCATGATCCGTGACTTCTGCAAACAGTCGAGCATGGAAACTGCCATTGAGTACTTTGATGACATGGTTGATTCCGGGTTGCAACCTGATGCTGCGGTTTACACGTGTCTGATCACGGGATTTGGGACTCAGAAGAAGCTGGATACTGTTTACGAACTGCTCAAGGAGATGCAAGAAAAGGGACATCCTCCGGATGGCAAAACGTATAATGCACTGATCAAACTGATGGCGAACCAGAAAATGCCGGAACATGCCACAAGGATCTACAACAAGATGATCCAGAACGAAATTGAGCCATCGATACACACATTCAACATGATAATGAAGTCATACTTCATGGCGAGAAACTATGAGATGGGGTGTGCAGTTTGGGACGAGATGATCAAGAAAGGGATTTGTCCTGACGATAACTCCTACACGGTTTTGATCAGAGGGCTTATAGGTGAAGGGAAGTCCAGAGAGGCATGCAGATACTTAGAGGAGATGCTTGACAAAGGAATGAAAACCCCTTTGATTGATTATAACAAGTTTGCAGCTGATTTCCACAAAGGGGGACAACCGGAGATATTTGAGGAATTGGCACAGAGAGCTAAGTTCTCCGGTAAGTTTTCTGCAGCAGAGATCTTTGCGAGATGGGCTCAGATGACTAGAAGGAGATGCAAACAGAGATTCATGGAAGATTGATAACTTGGGGGCGGGTAACTGGATCATTCAACTCACTCACTCGGAGAAAGCTTATCTGCAAATGGTTGGTTTTCGAGCCACAACTCTTACTTGAATCAAGAACATGACTTCACTAGCACAGCTTGGACTGAACTGATCACATTGGAATCTGTCAGATAGCTTTTTTTGTAATTTGCTTCTATAAGACTATAACAAGAAAATATTAATTAACAGTTGTGCACAAAAAAATTAATCATTCTTTCACTGAGAAAGTGAAGAAATACAAGTAGGCCGAGAGAATAGCTTAAAACAGAGCATAAATCGTCTGCAAATCATTTGAATACAAAACAAAGTTTTAGCAAAAGGAAGATAGAGAAGTAACAGAGCCGTGCTACAGTGAGGAAAAAAGAAGCCTTCGTTTAGGGCATGTGATTTTAGAAAAAAAATTAGGGGCATATATATATATTAGTGTCATGTAGTTTATCCTCATTTAAATTATATAAATATAAGTGTTATACAACATTAAAACTTAAAATATAAAGAAAACTGAAATATGGGCTTCTATAATCTAATTTCAAACATAGACTTCTAATATATTAATTAACTTTTAAAAAGTAGGCACATACTATTAGTTAATTAACAATTAGGCAAAGAGATTTGTTGGCTTTCATTTTCGTTGTTATGTTTTCCTGAGTTTTTGTCTTTGGTCAAACTTTTGATTCTAAGGTAATACAAAAACAAATATTTTATTTAAACGTTCTTTCACCAAATCGTTTCTATTAAATTAAAATTAGTGAAGTTTTTCATTCAAACTATTCCCAAAATTGGAAGCAATAATTATTTTATTTTATCTACTACAGAAAATGTGAAAAAATATCACCCAAGTAAACAAAAAAAAATAAAAGAGAAAACTAAAAGATGAACAAGCAAAATCTTAAGAGAATGCTTTATTAAATTTTTAAAAACTTGAAATTTTGATGAATTTGTGGAAAATAATGATAAAGAACATGCCATTCTTGAAGATGATGGAGTGGATGCGAATATAAATAAGTGTCAAAGAGAAAAAAATATATGTTAAACTAGAAAATGGAATGCATTGAATAAAGAAGATGTTATTTATTTTTGTAGATGTTTTTCTATGAATTGAGGTATCTTTTTTTTAATCGCTTCTGATACTAGTTAACGTTCGCACGGCTCTGCGGGTCAAAGTTTCATAATTGAAGAAGAGTTGCAGATGAGTGAAGAAACAGGTTCAGAACTCATGCTGTGAAAGTTGCAGGTTTGCGTTTGAGATTTGAGAAAGTTTGGTTTATTAAGTGAACAAGCCAAAATGGTTCATTAAAGAGAACAAGAACGAGTCAAGAAGAAATCAGTTAGAGCAGAGATAAGAAGTGAACAAATACCTGGAGAGCAAGTGGAATTCTGTTCAAAGCTTGTGAAGAAAACATAGGGTTGAGGAAAGTGGAACGAGTAATGTTCTTGAGGTCTACAGTTGGGAAAACTGATAAAGACATTCTTTGAACATTGGAGCTTGAGCTTCCCACTGCCTTACTCATGATCCGAAGTCCTAGTCGCAACATATCTCAAACTCAATCACTCAAAGCTAGGGGAGAGAGCCAGAGAGGGAGAGAAAGTGAAAGATTTAGAGCATTAACATAGGTGATACTCATAAAGTATCATTAACAATTTTTTAGTATGAATTATAATGTTTGTTTATTGTTTGAGATTTTTTTTGATATTCGTACTAAATATGTTTTCATTGGTGAGACCGGTTTAAGTATCATAAAAACATACGATTACAAAAGGTAGTATTACAATAAAAAAACGTAGAATATACTTAAGCAAAAAAACACATAAAATTCAAAAAAACATTAAAAAAAAAAAAAAAACTCTTACTTGAATCAAGAACATGACTTCACTAGCACAGCTTGGACTGAAATGATCACATTGGAATCTGTCAGATAGCTTTGTTGTAATTTGCTTCTATAACAAGAAAATATTAATTAACAGTTGTGCACTCTAATGAAAAAAATTAAGCATTCTTTCACTGAGAAAGTGAAGAAATGCAAGTAGGCCGAGAGAGTAGCTTAAAACAGAGCTTAAATCGTCTGCAAATCATTTGAATACAAAACAAAGTTTTAGCAAAAGGAAGATGAAGCTGTTTAATATATAAATTATTTTTATGACTTAAGAAAAAAGAAAGAAGCTAACAATATATGAACAATTGAATTAATATTGAAAACTAAGAGAAATTTGGTTTTGGGTTATCACAAAAAAAAAAAATACAAAAAAACAATTATTAGCCAAGAAAAGAGAGAGTTTGCTCTTATAGGGTCTAAAAGAAGGCCCATTTACAAATGGGCTTATTAGTTTATAGGACTGCTGCTTCTCTCTCGTCTTCCTTTACACCGTCAAAACCATGTTTCTAAGTCAGTGCCGGAAATGTAAACCTTTGCTCGAGTCTCGTCTACCTTTGCTCCGCCTCTCTCTCTCTAAATGTCTCGATCAGTCCTTCAAAACCACGGCTAGTAGCGAATACGGTAGTAAGATCCCTGATGCTCTTCTGGGACATCGAGGACTAGAAGATCATAAGGCAAGCGTCTTCTGGGACATGGAGGACTACAAGATCCCTGATGGTCTCAGTGCTGGTGAGGTTTCGAAGAACATCAAAACGGCTTTTGCGGAAATGGGATATCCTGGTACGGTCTCAATCAAGGCTTATGCTGATGCGACGAATCGGAGGATCCAGGATAATGAGTTTCACTCCGCCGGAATCGAGCTCAAGCGCGTACCAGAAGGTGAAGTAGAATTCAATCATTCTCCTTTTATACTTTTTGTGTACATTAATTGTTGGGTAAATTGATGTGCGTAAAATGGTTTCAGGCTCGAAAGGAAAGGATCATTCGAGAGATATAGCTGTTTTAACTGGCATGGCGGTGTGGATTGCTGCCAATCGTGAAGTATCATCATCGATGATGGTAATCTCAGATAGCATCTATGATTTTGCTGTAGACCAGTATAAGAAGATGAATCATTATGTTCTTTGGAAAAAACTATCAGCTAAGGGCAAGCCTATCGCCCAGACCAGAAGATACTCTAAACGTTGAGACCATATATACTTGGTTCTCTCCATGCTAATGTCCTTTTGTTCTCTGTCTAAAGGCTTTATGTGTCTCTGTGTAATGAAAACATCCACGTTTCATCTTCCTTTTTGTTCTAAATGTGTATTTTCTTCCAAATCAAACACACTCGTAACAATATTATTTAGCAAATCTGTGAATCGTTATTTTCTTAGCAAATCATTTCGAAGGTTACACTCGTCGTTACCCAACAATATTATTTGGCAAATCTGTCTCTCGTATGATTCATTGCCACACTTTCTCTAGGGTTAGTTAGTTCTGATGGTAGTGATGATGAAATTGAATCTGAATGCGACAATGATGATGAAATTGGGTTCAGTTGTGTTGAATCAAGTACTAATCCCGAAGAAGTAGATAGAGAGTCTGCAAAGTGATTGACGTATTGTTTTGCCCTAGATAGAAACATGGAAGCTGTTGTTGATGAAATGAAACTAGATTTATCACATGATCCGATCGTTTAGGTCTGATGATATGCATTTGGAATCTGTCAGCAAGCTTTTTTTGTAATAAAAAAATATTAATAACAGTTGCGCACTCTAATGAAATTTTTTTAGCATTCTTTCTCTGAGAAAGTGAAGAAATGCAAGTAGGACGAGATGATCACGAAAGGGATTTGTCCTTACGACAACTTCTATCAGAGGGCTTATAGGTCAAGGGAAGTCTAGAGAGGCGTGTACAGAGGAGATGCTTGACAAAGGATTGAAAACTCCTTTGCTTGACAATTTTGCTGCTGATTTTAACAGAGGAGGACAGTCAGCAATATTTGGGGAATTGACACAGAGAGCCAAGTTCTCTGGTAAGTTTGCTGCAGCAGAGATGATATTTGTGAAGACTAGAACCAAATTCAAACATGGAAGATTGATGACTTGGGGATCTTAACTGGATATTTCAACTCTTTTTTAATGGGTAAATGGTTCTTGGTCAACTTTTTACTTGATTCAATAACACAGACTTAACTCCCCCAGCTTGGATAATATTGCAGCCAACACTTGAGGTTCTAATGGCTCAATGAGAACCCATTGAGAAGCATCAGGAAGCCAATATACGAATGGAGAGAACACAAGCTGTTTTATAACATGAATACAACATGTATGGTTACTTATCAAGTCCAAAACTCAAACATGTCTCTGCTCTTTGTACTAAAACATTTGCCTGAACAGCAACACATTATCTGTCATATCATTGTAACATGTTACAATAGTGGGTTTATAGTTCAAACACACATAAACATACCGATGCTGCACTTAGCATTTGGCAAAAATGAAATTTTGAAGTCTCAAACAGAAAGAAAGTGAAGCAGCATTTGCAAAAGCTTTGAGAGTGAAATGAACTTAACGAGAATTAAAGAGCTCCTTGATTGATTTATGGGGTTTTGCTTGTTTCTGCGTCCTTGTTCCTCCAAGGATTAAGAGCTTCTCTCATGGCTTGAGCTTCAGGAGAATTTTCCAACGCCCGTCTCTCTGCTTCTATTACAGTAACCTTGTCGTCTGCAAGTTTCCGTAATAAGACAAATTCATCGAAAGTAAGAATCTTCAATATCAATAAGCATTCTTACAAGATGAGACTAGAGATTAAGTATAAAAGTCCTCATACATTTCTATCCAAAATCCTGTGAAATTAAACTGCCCATGTCAAGCAATTTTCGATCTAAACATAAAATTGAAAGCGAGAAAGAATTGAAAAGATGGGAATTTACAGAAACCAGTCTTGATCATGAAGAATTCCATGCCTCCGCCGATAATAGCCGATCCAATCGCGATCTTCAAATACCAATCCAGAAATCTCGTCTTCATCATCCAGAGATATACTTTCCCCGGTGAAGCAAAGATTTAACCCAACTACCCAAGATTTATGCCCGGAAGGGTTTTAGTTCACCGTGCTTGTAATTTGTTTTGATCTGCTTCTTCTTTCTTCTTCTTCTTCTTCTTCTTCTTCAAAGTCTCAAATGATCCAAAACACCAAAACGCTGTCGTATCTAATTTTGGTTAGAGTGGTCGGTTTAGGCAAACCAATTCAGGACAAGTAATTAAAACGAAAGCTAGGCAAACACGTGGCACGTTTACATTGGATTAATCTATATAATGCATTGTGGTCCTAGATTATTCACTTGAAGCGGGCTAGGGTTTTGAAGATTACAAGGGAGGTCTCTAGGGTTTGCTAAAGTATGGATCGGATCAGCAATCTTCCAGACGAGATTATCTGCCACATCGGTTCTTTCCTATCGGCCAAGGAGGCTGCTTTCACTACTCTTCTCTCTAAGCGTTGGCATAATCTGTTTACCATCGTACCAGATCTTCATTTTGATAGTTCGGTTAAGGATGGAGAAAGTCTTACTGATTTTGCGGACAGAGTAATGGCTCTTCCAGCAAGTTCTCGTGTAAACAAATTCTCTCTGAAATGGTGGTTTGATGAAGATACTGAGTCTGCTCAGTTTGATGAAGATACTGAGCCTAAAGATACTGAGCCTGCTCAGTTTGATGAAGATACTGAGCGTGCTCAGTTTGATCAAATCAACCGTTGTCTACGTGATGTGCTCAAGCGTGGGGTCGGAGATCTTTATCTGTGGGTAAATGGAAAACAAGGATATACACTGCCTTTTGAAGTTTTCACTTGCCAGACAGTTACTAAACTCTCACTAGGGTCTAGTTTTGTTATTGACATTCTCCCTGAGAATGCTCTTCTTCCAGCGCTCAAGACTCTCTCTCTTTATTACATTCGTTTCTATGAGTTTGGTCGTTGTGCATTCAAAACGCTTCTTGCTGCGTCTCCTGTGCTCGAGGAACTAACCGTGTGTGGTGTCAACTGGGAACTTTGGAAATGGTCCCGCACTGTGTCTAGTTCTAGCCTTAAGAGGCTTACTATAATGCGTAAAGGGTGGGATTCTTTTGATGACTCTGATTTTAAGAGCATTAGTTTTGATACTCCTAGTCTTGCCTACTTATATTACTCTGATTATGTTCCTAAAGAGTATCTAAGTGTTAATCTCGACTCCCTTGTTGAGACTAAGCTCTATCTTTGTCCGGAAGAAAATTATATGTGGGGTGAAGGAGATGAAAAACGTTTCAATCCAATGAATCTGCTTCATGGGCTAAAAAATGTCGAGACTCTTAACTTGTACACTATCATGACTGCAAAGGTATCGTTTTCACTCTCTTTAAAATTTTACAACTACTTTTCTAAAAATGCTATACATTTTGGAACATTTATTATTTGACGTATAAGAATCAAAATCTTGCTAGGTAGTTCTTATGTTTCTAATACTGTAATTGGTTGGTTTTCTTATGTATATGTTTCAGATGTTCTATGTCTTCCGTGAAGCACTCCCAGTGTTTGAGAAGCTGTCTCATTTAACTGTTAACCTCTCTAACTTCTGTTGGTCTTCTATGCCAATGCTGATCAAGAAAGCTCCAAATCTAAAGACTCTCAACATCGACGTATGAATATTGCAACCCCAAAAGTTCATTAGATACTCATAATTGACCTTGAATCTCAAGTCTTCTGCGTCTTGTTTCAGGGTCCCTTGCACTACGAGAGTTACTATCGTTGTGCAGGAGATATTGTTTGCGAGTGCGTGTCAGAGTATTCTTTCCTAGTTTCATGTCCTTTGGAAGTCCTAAAGATAACCGAGTACTATGGTTGCTTTAGAGAATTGATGCAAATGAAACATTTCTTGGAGAAATTGTCATTTCTTGAGCTAGTGGAAGTTCATTCTCAAGCAACTGGTGAAAGAAAGCTGAAACTCATAGCAGATCTTCAAAGGCTACCCAGAGCTTCGTCCAAGTGCAAATTCGAGGTCGTTTCCTAGATTTGCTTGAGACTTTTTGTTCGTTAATTCAGCAAAATTAGGTAAAACTCTGTTTGGCATAAGAAAGTTTGTGTTTTTATTTTTCAATCTTTTACGTACAAACTTTGAAACAAACAGCTTTGCACCTTCGTACCTCTAAGTGGCTGTTGTATAATTTCTTTTTTTTCGTGAAACAGTCGAGTTTTTGTAAGGTCAACATCAGTTCCATTACGCCCATTAGAAAGCCCCCGAGCTAACTTCTGAACTCTGTTTACTTGTTTAGGGTGAGAGCTTCGTGTAGATAACTAGTATGATAGGCTTTGGTGATAATTAACTGTCGTTTTATATATAATCATAAAAACGGTTATGAATCGTGTGTTCAACATTGCTAAAATGAAAAGGAGTTAAGAATTTGATTTGGTTAATAGTTGTTTTTTTCTGTTTTCTATTATTAATCAGCAGAATACCTTTTCCAGCTTTTTTTTTTTCCAGCTATAAGAAAATAAACTCGCATGTATTTATCTCTAATGTTTATTATACTTTATGTTCTTATTTTGGTTAACACTATTTCAAAACGCAATAAAATTAAAATTCAGAAATATAAAAACTGTAGTATTTTAATGAATAGGAATTTGAATTTTGTAGCATTTTTTATCTTATACCAAATAGTTAGAAATTTAAACCTAAACTAAACCGGAATTTGCTTTGGGAGTAGCTGATTACAGCTGGCGCAAAATGATTGGCTTTAAAGCTAAATGCTTTGTTTTTGTATCCGAGTATAAAAAAGAGCAAAATTGATCGAATAATAAAAATTCAAACTCATGTCGACTCAGATCAACAACTTCAGCTTGGACGAAACCAAAAGAAGGATACGTCAAATGCAACTACGACTGCAAATTTTTTCAGAATGGGCAACCCTCGCAAGCAGCTTGGATTTTCCGAGACTCCGATGGTTTCTTTTTACATGCAGGTCATAGTATAGGAGAGAGGTGCTCTTCGGTCTTGGAAGCAGAAATACAAGCCTTGATCATGGCAATGCAGCAAGCTTGGGTTAAAGGTTTTACAAATATTATTTTCGAAGGAGATAACAATTCAGTCACAAAGCTTGTTAATGGTGAAACTCTTAATTTCAACGTGCACAACTGGATACGTGAAGCCAATTTCTGGAAGAACAAACTTTCAAATGCAGAATTCAAGTGGACAAGTAGACATAATAATAAAGCGGCAGATCGTCTTGCAAAAGAACACTTCCAAGGACATCTACGTTTTGAATCTTTTTTCTTTGTTCCTCCTTGGCTTGTAAACATCCTCCATGAGGATCACTCTATTGATTAATCAATGAAAGTAGTCGTTAAAAAAAAAATTCAAAATTTCTCTTGTCGTCTTCCTTTGTTTTCTCTGCTTTCAAGAAAATGTTACGACTCCGCTCTAATTCTTCGTCAATTTCTCATTGAAGATTCAATTTCGCTTCAGAAATCTCTCAAATTGATAGGATTGAGTCGTCTTCTACCCCAATTACGCTTCGGTTTTCTTGTTTCTGCATAAACGCGACTGCGATGATTTCTGGGTTCTGCTTCATGTCGACATGTGAAGTATGATCTCGCATTCTTTGAAATTGATATAGTTTATCAATTGCGGTTGATGTTGGAGTCAAGTCTCTGAAGGTTCCATTAGAAATTGAGGTTTTCTGGGTAGTGAAAGAGGGTTCTTTAGGGTTTGCGAAAAGAATGGATAGAATCAGTAATTTGCCAGATGATATTATTTATCGCTTAATCTCCTTCCTTTCGGCAAAAGAGGCTACGTGCTTAAAGTATGCCTCCAAGAAATGGCTGAATCTGGTTACTATCATACCGAGTGCTGTTTTTGTTGATTCCTCGTCGTCTGCCAGTAGTGGAAGTTTCCAAGATTTCGCTGATCGAATAAAATTGGCTCAACTTGCCAGTCACCGTATGAGGAGATTCTCTCTAAAGTTTCAGTCTTTGGATTTTGCTCAGTTTAGTATTGTCAACGACTGTTTACGCAAAGTGTTGGAGTGTGGTGTCTTGGATCTTGAACTGGACATCAATGTCAAAGGAGATTACTCACTGCCTTTTGAGATCTTCACTTGCCAGAGCGTTGTGAAACTGAAACTTGGGTCTGGTTTTGTTATTGACATTCTCCCTAAGAATGCTTTGCTTCCTGCTCTCAAGACTCTCCTTCTTGATTCAGTTCGGTTCGATAATACTGGTGGTTGTGCGTTTACAAGGCTTCTTTCTGCTTGCCCTGTGCTCGAGGAGTTAATCATAGATGGATTCAACTGTGAACTTTGGAATTGGTCTCACACCGTGTATAGTCGGATCCTTAAGAGACTTACTATAAGGCGTGACTTTTCAGAAGAATTAGAAAATTCTGAAGACTATGATTTTACGAGAATTAGTTTTGATGCTCCCAGTCTTACCTACTTGGAATACAGTGATTATATTCATGATGAGTTTCCAAATGTAAATCTCAAATCCCTTGTTGAAGCGAAGCTCCATTTTAATATGTTGACTGCTTGGATGAACACCGATCTAACGAATCTGTTCAAGGGGTTGAAACATGTTCAGATTCTGCGCTTAGAGTTGATTGACACGTTGCTGGCAAGTGTTCTCTACTGTTTTTTTTTCTTACTCTTTAATATGTTTCTGCAGCTTAACAGATAGTAAAGAATGGGGAACCATTCAGATATAATTTGCTAGACGTTGGAATGTTTATTAAAGTTTTGAGCCATATATTGCAATTTTATGACTGACATGTTGATTTTTTTTCTGTTCCAGCTGTTTGATACCTGCAATGAAGCAGACACAGTGTTTGAAAACATGTCTCATTTAGATTTGCCAAGTGAAGCAGATGGCTGCTGGGATCCTCTAAAACTTTTTGTTAAGAAATCTCCAAATCTGAAGACTCTCACCATTGAGGTATGACCAAAAGCCCCCAAAAAGTTCATTGAACAAACCATAAACTATAGTCCAACCCCAATAGGTACTCATAAAATCTTTTCTTTCAGGATTTGCACTATGAATATCGAGAATATCGGGATTTAAAATCTGTCTGCGAATGCTTGGAGGGGTATTCTTTCCTTTTGTCCTGCCCTGTTGAGATCCTAAAGATAACCCATTTCGGTGGACGGATCGGAGAAATGGTGCAAATAAAGCATGTCTTGGAGAAATTGCAGTGTCTGGTGCTGTTGGAAGTTCATGTTAAGGAAAGAAGAGTTGACAATAAGCTGCAGATCTTGGCGGATCTCCTAATGCTCCCGAGAGCTTCATCCAAATGCAAAGTCCAGGTCAAGTTCGTTTGAACAAACAAGAGTTTGTTGCCTCAACATGAGAACTGTTTTGTTTTGCATCTTGTGTACATGATATTGCTCTGAATCGAACAGCTTGGTGTTTTTGTGCCTAAAACACTCGAGTTTGTAAGAGAGTGGCTAAGCTACATTTAGAGCATGTATATGGGTGATACTCATATAGTATCATTAGGATTTTTTTAGTATTATTTATAATATTTGTTTATTGTTTGAGATTTTGTATGATACTTCTACTAAATATGTTTGCATTGGTGAGACCGGTTTAAGTATCATAAAAAAAAAATTATTTGCAAATTGAAAATAAATATATAAAAATATAGGATTACAAAAGGTAATATTACAATAAAAAACGTAGAATATACTTAAGCAAAAAAAACATAAAATTAAAAAAAAACATAAGAAAAAAACATGATGATAAAAATAATTTAGTCGCTGAGATAAAGATTTGGAAAACTATATATTCAACAATAAAAATTGTAAGTGTTTTGGTTCATAAAAATTTGAAGTGTTTTTAAGTGTTAGGTTTTTAAAAATTTGAAGTGTTTTTAAGTATGAGACGATAGTCTACGAACCTTTCGCTGGGTTATGGACTGGATGAAGCATTACTTCATCATGATTCCAGAAGCTGAAATCACCAAAGTCCAAAAAAAAGATATTAAAGTTATGGCAAAGTTAGATAAACCAGATAAATTTAGCAAAGAATTCCACTAAATACACAATCCCTCACTATCTGAGAGTTAAATACACAATCCCTCACAATTAAAACCAACAAATCAGCTAAACCCTAATCCGATTTCTAATCCAAAAGCCGATAATCCTCCTTCCGATTTAAGATTAACTACCAGAGCAAAGAATCCATCAGCTTAATAATCGAAGATAAGACGCAGAGATTCAACCAAAATAGAAGAAAAGATCCGATCGACTAACAAAACCAGTAAGCGCACAATCTAGAAATCGAGAGAGAAAGAAGAAACGTAGAGCGATGAAGAGAGAAAGAGAGAGCTCGGAAACCCTTACCCATGGCGGATTGTAGAAGAGAACGAAAGTAGAGGTTTTCGCGAATCGCAATGAGAGAAGAGAGGAGAAGAATCGAGAAGGAAATGATTTTTTTTTTTTTCTCGGCTTCAGCCAAAACGCGTTTTTGCTCACCAATAGCATGCTGCCACGTCACCTGATACTCAGTATCAGAGGTATCACTGGACTGATACGTATCAGGCCCAAATTCACGTTTTGATCTATTAAAAAATAATTGTTGGGCTCCTGATACTCAAATTAATTCACCTATGTGGATGGTCTTAGGTCTATTATTGCCAAGAATAAAAGAGAAAGATATTCCAATGAATCAAAAGCTTTGAGGATTTAACATCCACAGTTTTGGATTTACTTCTGTTGTTAAGTAATTTGATTTGATTGTTTGTTTTTTAGCAATGAACTTTGCTGCAAACAAGAAAGAATATTTAATGAACCGCTAAATCGTAATTGTATCATCCTCAATTTGACTCTGATTCGGTTTGGTTTATTAAATGGTATAGTAAAATAGAACAACGGTTTAATGAAGAAAAATTAATTTGAAAAGCGAACAGGCATATACACGTGGCACGTTTGCAGTGGAAAAATTCATGTAACAAAGCGTAGTCCTGTGCACAGAGGATTGTGAACTTGAAAAAGCTAGGGATTTTGAAGAAACTCCAAAGTCCAAACTCCAAAGCTAGGGATTCCCATTCGTCAAATTCGCTTTGAAGGCATCAACATTCATGGCATTGGTACCTCAGTTTCTTCAAATATCCTCTCTAAGTTCTGGTGTTCGCTCTAATTCTTCATTTTCTGCATATATGCGCTTGTGAAGATTTCTGGATTCCAGTTTCGTGTAGACTGATTAGGGTAATCTGCTTTAGTGATGTATCTAGTTATAGTCGCTGAAGGCTCCATTAGAAACTGAGTTGTTTTCTTTTTAGTAGTAAAAAAGGGTTCTATAGGTTTTGCGAAAGTATGGATAGGATCAGCAATCTTCCAACCGAGATTATTTGCCACATCGGGTCATTTCTCTCGGCGAAGGAGGCTGCGTTCACGACGGTTCTCTCTAAGCGTTGGCATAATCTGTTTACCATCGTACCAGATCTTCATTTTGATGGTTCGGTTAAGGATGGAGAAAGTTTTACGGATTTTGTGGACAGAGTAATGGCTCTTCCAGCCAGTTCTCGTGTAAACAAGTTCTCTCTGAAATGGTGGTTTGATGAGGATACTGATCAGCGTGCTCATTATGATCTAATCAACCGTTGTCTACGTAATGTGCTCAAGCGTGGGGTCGTGGATCTTCATCTGTGGGTAAATGGTAAACAAGGGTATTCACTGCCTTTTGAAGTTTTCACTTGCGAGACAGTTGCTAAACTGAAACTAGGGTCTGGTTTTGTTATTGACTTTCTCCCTAAGTATGCTTTTCTGCCAGCTCTCAAGACTCTCGTTCTTGATTCAATTCGGTTCTTCGATTTTGGACGTTGTGCGTTCAATACGCTGCTTTCTGCATCTCCTGTACTTGAGGAGTTAGGCATAGATGGTGTCGAATGGGAACGTTGGAAATGGTCCCGCACTGTGTCCAGTCCAACCCTTCAAAGACTTTCTATTCGACGTAAAGAGTGGTATCTTTATGAAGATGACTCTGGTTATGAGAGTTTCGATCCTCGGGGTATTGCCTATAATATTGAGAGCATTAGTTTGGATACTCCGGGTCTTACCTACTTAGATTATTCCGATTATGTTCCAAAAGAGTATCTTATTGTTAATCTCAACTCCCTTGTCGAAGCTAAGCTCAATCTTTCCGTGGAAGAAGATGGTCTCTGGAACAACGGTCATGCAGATAATTTCAATCCAATGAATCTGATTAATGGGGTAAAAAATGTTGAGATTATGGACTTAACTGCTGATACTATGGAGGTAAGCGTGCTCTTTATCTTTTTCTCTTTGATATGTTACTCTGCAACTTGTTAAATAAAAGAAGTTATATCATTTTTTCAAGGTTTTGATCCATAGGTTGCAATTGATGGATGACTAGTTGATTTATTATGTTTCAGATGCTTTCTGTCTTCGGTGAAGCAATTCCAGTGTTTGAAAACTTGTTTCATGTATCCCTTAGCCTTTCTAACCACTGCTGGTTTGCCCTTCCACTGCTGCTAAAGAAATCTCCACATCTAAAAACTCTCGTCCTTGAGGTATGACCAAACCCCATAAGTTCATTGGATAAACAAAGTTCTGAGAACACTATAGGTCTCATTAATCTTGAATCTCAAATCCTTTGTTTCAGCATTCCTTGCACTATGCAAGTCTTACTGATAGAGAAGAATGGGGATTAGTTTGCCAGTGCGTGTCGAAGTATTCTTTCCTATTGACATGCCATGTGGAGGTCCTAAAGATAAACGAATACTGGGGAACTTTGGAAGAACTGGAGCAAATAAAGCATTTCTTGGAGAAACTGTCATGTCTTAAGCTGGTGAAGATCCGTGCTCAGGTAAAGGTTGACAAAAAAGTAGAAGTCATGGCGGGTCTACTAATGCTTCCCAGAGCTTCGTCCAAGTGCAAAATCCAAGTCAAGTTTTCTTAAATTGGTAACTACGAGCAGACTCTAATATTTTCTACTTTTGCTTAAGTAGGTTAGAAGTTGTAAACATGATCATTAATTCAGCTAGGACTGATCATTAGGATACAGTCTAGTCTATGGTTAGTATTGAGGGAACCAAACTTGTAAACGCATCTGTTATTGTTCTGAATCGAACAGCTTGATGATTGTTTTGTCATCTCTGATTACCTTCTGTTGTGTCGTTTGTCTGTGAAACATTCGAGTTGTTAAGAGGGAGAGGCTAAGAAAGCCTACGAGCTAACTTAAAATACCGTGTACCGTGTCACTGATGTCAATGTAATAATCATCACTCCATCATTGATAAACCACCAAGAGATTCTCAAATTTTATCTTATGCTCAGATTTGACTTTGGTTCGAGTGGTCGGTTTGGTTTGTCATGTTTGAAAACCGGTCCAAAGCAAATCTTTTTTTATAGTATTTATTTTGGGGGATAAATCCAAAGCAAATCAAATTAGGATTAATCTTAATCTACATAATAAGGCGTGATGAGGAATGATGGTCACATAGAAGGGGTTACTTAGCCAAGGTGGAGAGTAGTATTCTCTAGGCTTAACGAAAGCATGGATAGGATCAGCAACCTACCAGACGAGATTATTGGGCACATCGGGTCCTTCTTTTCAGCGAAAGAGGCTGCCTTCACTGCACTTCTCTCAAAGAGGTGGCAGAATCTCTACGAAAACCTGTTTCATTTATCAATCCCAGCTCAACAAAGTATCTGTTGGATCGGTTCGCAAGTTCTCCTAAACAAATATCCAAACCTAAAGACTATCACCATCAAGGTATGACCGCGGAAACTTGACTGGACAAATAGGTAACTCATAAAATCTCAAAAATTTCCTTTTTTGTTTTGTTTTTTCAGGGTAGTTTGCACTATAAGGATGATGATCGTGGGGATGTGGAATCAGTTTGCGAATGCTTGGAGGGGTATGCTTTCCTGTCGTCATGCTCTATTGAGGTCTTAAAGATAACCGAGTGTAAAGGAGATACAGGAGAGATGGTGCAAATAAAGCACATGTTGGAGAAATTGCCGAGTCTTGAGATTTTGGTAGTTCATCTTAAGCCAAAAAGAGATGACACAAAGCTTCAGATCACGGTGGATCTCCTAATGCTTCCGAGATATTCGTCCAAGTGCAAAATTTGGGTCAGGCACTCTTTAACAAAATCTTAACATATCTGATTACAGAAACAAATTAAGGTGTTTCCCGTTTATTGACATGAGAGAATTGGTTTGTTTTTGTATCACACTCTTAAATCTTTCTTTAGATTTTGATTAATTCTTTTGGAATTTGGATTCAGCAGCTAGGACTGAGCATAAGGCCAGAATCTAGTTTGTGATGAGTGTGAGAGAAGCAATCTTAAAAAGATCAAACTTTTGTTGACATAAGCTAAGGACTGGTTTGTTTGTTTTGTTCTGTATCTTTCACATGTATCTAAATCAAACACAGCTTGGCGTTTTTGTTATCTCTAACTGGATGCTGTGTCGTTTATTAGTGGAGTTTGTAACGGAGAGGCTAAGCCCATCAGATCAATTAAGCCTATTAAAAAGCCCACGAGCTAACTTGCCAACATCTGTCTGTGTTTTAAAATCGTGATCAGTAAAATGATGTAATCATAACGTCAACATATAACTTTTTTAACCAGAGAGAGCCGCACATAAACAACCATCTGGTAGACTTTCGCTATAGTTAATGGTCGTTTTATATTTAATTAATTTTACGCTTATGAATAGTGTGTTAGACATTGCTTTCGTTAGGAAAAATTCAAAATGTTATTAATACTTTAACAATATATTATACACATTTGATAATTTCTTAAGAGGCATCTTGGTGGAATATTCCATCTGTGAAAAGACGGAGAAACTTCCCTCAACAAAACGTGCTTCCCTTATAAAATTCCAGCTGGCGTCACAGCTGTCGTCAGTCACCCCAAATTGCGCTTAAAGAAAAAAAAAAAAGATTTATGACCAAAAGTTATTATCTTCCTTTATTAAAATATTAAAAAAACGAAGAAAAAGGCTAAGCCAGCTCATTATCATCTTCTCCTTTAAAAGGATAGCTTGGTGTTACTTTATCGCCTTCTTTCGTTTGGCCTTTGATCTAACAATATAAGCTTTTTTACGTTTATCAATCTTCTCGATTCATCCAAGTATTGATCCATTCTTGTTATCCCAGATTTCTCATCTCCTTTCTTTGATTCGTTTCCTTCTGTTCTGTCCTCAGATCTAGATCTAGATCTAGGTTTTTTTAATTTCTCGTCGGGAATTTGGCTTAGCTTGTTCTGATCTAGGGTTTGGTTTTTGGGAATTTTGAAAAAAAAAATATTAGGAATGATTCTATGAGCTACTCAATCCTGTTTCGTCGGATTCGAATTCTACACTCTTTCTCCGTCGTTTACCTCTACTACACATACGTTTTCTCATGAAATAATCGTTCTCAATCTCATCTTTTTCGTTTTGATCTAACTTATTCTTTGATAGATTTAGAATTCGGGGAATTTTCAGATTGTGTCTTAAGAATTTGGGGGTTTTTATAGGAATATAATATTTCTAGAAGAAGAAGAATATTTTATTTTCGGTGAGAAAAAGTCAAAAGGTCAACGAAATGGGGTCGTTGCAAAGGCAAACAAGTCCTGAATCCGATAATGATCCGAGGTACGCGACGGTGACGGATGAGAGGAAGAGGAAGAGAATGATCTCTAACAGAGAATCTGCTCGTAGATCAAGGATGAGGAAACAGAAGCAACTTGGTGATTTGATCAATGAAGTTACTCTTCTCAAGAATGATAACGCTAAAATCAACGAGCAGGTTGATGAAGCTTCAAAGAAATACATTGAAATGGAGTCTAAGAACAATGTCTTGAGAGCACAGGCTTTGGAGTTAACGGATAGGTTAAGATCATTGAACTCTGTGCTTGAGATGGTTGAAGAGATTAGTGGTCAGGCTTTGGATATTCCTGAGATTCCTGAATCTATGCAGAACCCTTGGCAGATGCCTTGTCCAATGCAACCAATCAGGGCTTCTGCTGACATGTTTGATTGCTGAGGATGATTCATTCCTATCTTAAGGATCCAAAAAGAAGCATTGAGATCGAGTCTTTGGTCTGTTTTACTTACTGTCCTTGTTGGTTTTTCTTTTTCTGATGGTTGGAGTTTTGTAACAATTAGTGTGTCATTGGTCAATGAGTCCTGTGTTGTCAAGTCTCTTAAGTTTCTGCAATTTCATTTGGTCCGTGTCTTTGTATGGTTTTGTAGCCATAGTCCTCTCTAGTCTTGTCTCATGTAATTTGTGTCTACTGTGTTTCTTATTAAATTCAAGCTTTCTTATTGTTCTCTGCTCATTGCCTCTTTTGATATTTTGCCTTTTGTATTCGTTTATGGAACTACAAATTACAAATGTTTTTTAGAGCTAATTGAGACTTACAAAGACAGCATTCATATCACCTTACATAACCGAATTGACCGGAACATGATCTTGATCGCTTCAGTTGTCGTAAGTACGGCACTCGTTGGTCTCAGGATTATCTTTGCAGTATTCCTCCAAAGGGTCCGAACCATCAGCTTTCTTCTTGTCTCTAGCATGGCTAGCTGCAGCGCTAAGCTCTTCAACCTCGTCCCACGCAGCTACACACTCTCCACTCACAGGATCGCCAGCACAAGTCTCCTGAGCTTCCTTAATGCTTTTCTCCACTACATCCGATATCCCTCCTTCCGGTGCTGCTCTAATCGGCTTAAGTTTCACCATCCGGTTGGTTGTTCTTGACCCAAGATTCCACGGATTGTTCAAATGGACCGGACCGGCGAGACGAACTGGTCGATTCTCGCTGGTGACGATGACACGTTGGGTTGCAATGTTAAGACTAGTAGCTATAGTTGCCATCTTTGGATGGAGAAGATACACGCAGCCTTTGATTTTTTTTTTTTGAGAAAAGAAGATATTTCAGATAAATGGGAGGGAACAAGATATATGAAGTGTGCGTGAATTTAATTCTGTGAACCCTATTTCTTATCCTCTGTTAACCAACAATAACCACGTATTTGAATTACTTCTTGTGATATCTTTTTTCCGGTCGAGCTTTGGAAATAATTTCCTCGATAAAACATATTTTTATGTAGCAGTACAACAATGAAAAATTGCAGCCATCCAAGCCGTTTTCTAAGAACACTAGTGCTCGTTAGATATTTTATATAAAAAATATTAAATATGTCTTCATATAATCGGATCAATCTGGAAAATGAAAAGAAACATAAGTGGAAAATTCAAGAAAGATGTCTGAAGTTTAATCATGTATCTCCGGAAAACAATATGTTAACAAATCTCCAATTTTGATCAATCTGAGATTGTTTATTTCTCAAGCAACCATTGTCTTAGGTAACTTATCTGAGATCTCAAGAAACCATAAAAACAGAAAAATCAAGCCAACAATAGAGTGAGTGAGAGAGGCTTTTTCATTCACTCTTCAGATGCGACAACACTGATCTCACCTCTCTCAAGCAAATCATAGAAAGTTCTGGTTTTCCTCTGCTCATTCCAATGGTGCATCTTCCAGAGACCACCAGCAGCTAAACCAAGTGTCAAACCAATAATCAATTCCTTCACAACGCTCGGGCCTTTCAATGTGGCATGCGCAACCTTGTGTCCTGCCATTTCTTCTCAACCTACCACAAATTTAAATCATAGAGTCATTACTAACATAATTGAGACCTTCACAATGCTCACGATTCCTAAAGCTGAAAACTTTATTGACAACCAACATAACATCTATACACACACACACACACTCTTATTGATCAGATAAGCTCTCAAAGCAATTTGGTATGCACTTGGAGTCTACATATACACATAAACATGTAAAATTTCGATCCATTTTTCTATCTGATCTCTAAATTACGGCTCTAAACAATGTAAGATATCAAAGGCTTCGGATTTATTACTAAAATGGTACAAAAACCCTAATCCACAGAATCCAGATATTGAAACACGAAATAAAATTGGCATTTCTCCCGAATAAAAGGATTAATTTTTTCAAAGAATCACAATTCTAAGAGAACCAAATTCAAAACAGTGACCAATCTATAAAAGAGATTTCGATCGTAATCACACCGATCCCGACGAAAAGAAGAGAAATCGATCCAAATCTGATAACATGAAACTGCTTACCTATCCAGAAAGAAAATTACCACTACAATTGAAAGGAAACAAAAGATATCAAAGAGAAGAATATGGAGTTTACCGAGTCGGAATGCGTAGATGAACGAAAGAAAGAGGCACGAGACGACGAACGAAATGGTGATTGAAGTCGAAGATGCGTAAGCAGAGAATCCTTCACTTTCTCTATACTCCATTCGTGTCTTATTGGGCTTAAATATGGGCCTAATAAAACCAAAATATATGGGCCTGCTCTCATATTTAAATCGCTGCTCGTGTTCCTTAAAAAAACTCCAGCGAAAGTCCTGACTGGTCCCACCACGTTAAATTCCAAATCCAATCTGTCACACTAAACTAACAACTAATTTCCTAATCCTGAATTTAAAAATAAATCATTATCTTTCCCTCTTTTCCGTTAATTATTGTAAAATTCATGAGCTCACGAGTTTGTATGAAAGTCATTATCATTTCTTCACCGAATCTCTTGTATACCCCACGAACTCAACCACCTTTGTCGACTCCAAATTTCAATCCTTTTCTCAAACAGTTGCATTTCGATTTCAAATTCTCTGATTACAGATAATTATGAAACTGTTTCTTCTTCACTAACTTGTAACAGTTACAGAGAAAAATAAAGAGAGATGGAGAGACAAAGAAGTTTCTCTGTGAAGTCCACAAGAGTCTTAGCATTCATCATCACAACAATCTCTTCCGCCATTGTTTTCTTCACTTTTTTCTCCTCTTCCTTAATCAAATCTAACTCTTCTCTTTACCCAACACCAGACTCTAACTTCCAGATCGATTTAAGTCCTATAGCCGCCATTTCCGCCGTCTCCGATTCTTCAGTTTCTCCTCAAGCAAGCCCGATTCTGATCTCTACCCATTTCAATTCACCCGAAAACACTTCCGGGTCTTCAAAAATTTCCGTTTTTGAGCAGAAGATTCGCGGCGAGAGTTTGGTTAAGGAAGTTAGGGAAACTGCTAATTTAACTTCGATTAAAGTGATTGAACTTCCGAGCAACAATGGTGAGGAGAAGACAAAGAAGAGAATCGAAGAGTGTGATGTTACGAAAGGGAAGTGGGTTTACGATAGTGACTATCCATTGTACACAAATGCGTCTTGTCCTTTTATCGATGAAGGATTTGGTTGTCAAAGCAATGGAAGATTGGATCTTAATTACATGAATTGGAGATGGGAGCCTCAAGATTGTGATGCTCCCAGGTTTAAATTTCTACTTTCTAATTTTGTTGTTTTCCTCTTAGACCTTAAGAAGATCTCTTTATTGGAGTGGTAATGATTGGTGATAGTGACTGATGATGATAATTGTGATTCATTGTTCCACTGAGCGGTTAATGGTTTTGAGATTGTATTAAGTGTATAACCCTTTAATCATTTCATGGTCCTGATTTTGAAATTGTGGTCATTTTTGGTATGTGTGAGTTTAGGTTCAATGCTACAAAAATGCTGGAAATGATTAGAGGGAAGAGGCTAGTGTTTGTTGGAGATTCAATTAATAGGAACCAGTGGGAATCTATGCTTTGTTTGTTGTTTCAAGCTGTTAAAGATCCCAAGAGAGTCTACGAGACGCACAACCGAAGAATCACCAAAGAGAAAGGGAATTATAGCTTCCGTTTCGTGGTACATGACTATAAATAATCTCAATGGACCATAAGTGTATCTAGATTTGTGATTGTGTTAATGTTGTGTTTGTGTACTTGACTAGGATTATAAATGCACTGTGGAATTCTATGTTACTCATTTCTTGGTTCGTGAGGGTAGAGCAAGAATAGGAAAGAAGCGAAGAGAAACACTTAGAATCGATGCTATGGATCGAACCTCTTCGAGATGGAAAGGTGCTAATATCTTAGTGTTCAATACAGCTCATTGGTGGTCTCATTACAAAACCAAATCGGGGTCAGTACTTTTTTCTTAAAAACATCAGAAGAAGAATGGAACCAAGATATTGATTGATTAGGTTGAGTTTGCAGGGTCAACTATTACCAAGAAGGAGACCAGATTCATCCCAAGCTCGATGTATCAACCGCTTTCAAGAAAGCTTTGCAGACTTGGTCATCATGGGTTGACAAAAATGTCGACCCGAAGAAAACTCGCGTTTTCTTTAGAACCGCTGCACCTTCTCATTTCAGGTTTTTCACCTGTCTCTCTCTACTTGTTGTTTTGAAAGACAGATATTATTGTTCTTCTCAATTTATTATCTCTGTATTGCTTCTTTGGACAGTGGAGGAGAATGGAACTCAGGAGGTCACTGCAGAGAAGCCAACATGCCGTTGAACCAAACCTTCAAACCGAGCTACTCGAGCAAAAAGTCCATTGTTGAAGAAGTACTGAAGCAGATGAGAACACCGGTAACCCTCTTGAACGTTAGCGGTTTATCTCAGTACAGAATTGACGCCCACCCGTCTATTTACGGAACAAAACCAGAAAACCGGCGTTCAAAAGCTGTCCAAGATTGCAGTCATTGGTGTCTCCCTGGTGTTCCTGATACTTGGAACCACTTCCTTTACCTCCATTTGCTCCATAAACGATAAATACAGTTTACAAACTAATCAAAGCTCCAGTTACTTGTTCAGAATTGTTTGTTTAATGTAGGGATGCTCGATACAGTTTAACCAACCAAACCAAAACCATATTGGAAAAACCACGATAAATACAGTTTACAAATTTTAGTTTTGGTTTTATCGAGTTAATCTCTTGGTTAATTGAACCATCTGATTCTTCTTAGCGCTTAGCTCTTCAACGTGCACATTATATAAGCATCAGAGACCTCCTCAGGGAATGGAGTTGATATTCTTCATCTTACTCTTTGTGTAATTTTAATTAATTAAAGCCCCCAAATATATTAAAAAGGTAAAAAAAGGAAACAACAAAAAAAAAAGGAAAATACTCAACCTTAAAAAAAAAGGAAATTTTGTGATGAATTTCCTTTTGTTAACAAATTTTACTTTATTTATTAATACAGAGCTAAATCTACAAAATCACAAAACCTTGTAACGGCTAGAAATCTATACAACCTTTGCTTATAAATACTCTTCTTCTTCTTGAGAAATCAAAATTCTCTACTATTCTTCGAGACAGAAAACCAAACACACAAAATTTATCATCTATTTCTTTTTTAATACATGATGCAGTTATCTTCTCGATAGATCGCAGATGATTGAATGATCTCATTGATCGGATCGCCGATTTCGCATCATCGTTAAACCTCCCTTTCGAATTTCAACCAACTGAAGGAAAAATCGGAAACCTAATCGATCCGAGACAAGGCGAAGCCGTGGTGGTTCACTAGATGCAACACCAGTTATATGACGTCACCGGGAACGATCTCGAGACGTTGGAGATTTTACGGAGGCTGAAACCGAATCTGATTACGGTGGTGGAGCAAGAATAGAGCTACGACGATGGAGGAAGCTTTTTAGGGAGATTCGTGGAGGCTTTCTCGCATTATTATAGCGCGCTTGGGGATGGATTGGGTGAGGACTGGAGAGTGGTGAGAGATTCACGGTGGAGCAGATTGTTTCTTCATGGGCCGTTGTAATTACTTGGGCTAGCTATGGGCTCACGTCTGGCTTTGGCGATGGCTTTGTTTCATGGGCTCTCTATGCTACCCAATTCCTACCAGGTATTATCTTTTTCATTCTTTTTTTTTTTTTTTAAATTAGTCTAATTGTTCTTAAATAATAATAAAAAAAATTAACTAAAAATATTTTAACACTTAAAATTATTTTTAAAAATAATAATAATTTAAACTAAAATTTTTAAAAAATTTAACACTAAAACTTTGAAAAAATAATTAATTGGTCCGTAAATTTTGGTGTTGCGATGTTCGGTAATGTTTTCACGTAATGTAGATTTAACACTTCAACTTATTTTTTAAAAATAACAATAGTTTTCACTAAAATTTAAAACAAATTTAACACTTAAACTTTAAGAATAAACTATGAAATTTCATTATAAAAAATTTAAAAATTAGTTTAAGTGTTAGATTTTAAACACGTCGAAAACTAACCGCGCCTAGGCATCCTGTCCTTAGTTGGTCCGTAAGCTTTGGTGTTCGAAGTTCGGTAATGTTTTCACGTAATATAGATTTAACACTTAAACTCGTTTAAAAATAATAATATTGGTTTTCACTAAAATTTAAAACAAATTTAACACTTAAACTTTAAGAATAAACCATGAAATTTCATTAAAAAATTAGTTTAAGTGTCAAATTAAACACGTCGAAAACTAACGGCGCCTAGACATCATGTCCTTAGTTGGTCCGTAAGCTTTTGTGTTCGAAATTCAGTAATGTTTTTACGTAATATAGGTTTAACACTTAAACTCATTTAAAAATAATAATAATGGTTTTCACTAAAATATAAAACAAATTTAACACGTAAAATTTAAGAATAAACCATGAAATTTTATTTAAAAAATTAAAAAATTAGTTTAAGTGTCAAATTTTAAACAAGTCGAAAACTAACGGCTCCTAGGCATCATGTCCTTAGTTAGCCCGTAAGCTTTGGTGTTCGAAGTTCGGTAATATTTTCACGTAATATAGATTTAACACTTAAAAATAATAATAATGGTTTTCACTAAAATTTAAAACAAATTTAACAAATAAACTTTAAGAATAAACCATGAAATTTTATTAAGAAAACTAAAAAATTAGTTTAAGTGTTAAATTTTAAACACGTCGAAAACTAACCGCGCCTAGGCATCCTGTCCTTAGTTGGTCCGTAAGCTTTGGTGTTCGAAATTCGGTAATATTTTCACGTAATATAGATTTAACACTTAAAATCATTTAAAAATAATAATAATGGTTTTCACTAAAATTTAAAACAAATTTAACACTTAAACTTTAAGAATAAACCATGAAATTTTATTAAAAAATTAAAAAATTAGTTCAAATGTCAAATTTAAAACACGTCGAAAACTAACGGCGCCTAGGCATCCTGTCCTTAGTTGGTCCGTAAGCTTTTTGTGTTCGAAGTTCAGTAATGTTTTCACGTAATATAGGTTTAATACTTAAACTCATTTAAAAATAATAATAATAGTTTTGACTAAAATTTAAAACAAATTTAACACTTAAAATTTAAGAATAAACCATGAAATTTTATTAAAAAAATTAAAAAATTAGTTTAAGTGTCAAATTTTAAACACGTCGAAAACTAACCGCGCCTAAGCATCCTGTCCTTAGTTGGTCCGTAAGCTTTGGTGTTCGAAGTTCGGTAACGTAATATAGATTTAACACTTAAAATCATTTAAAAATAATAATAATAGTTTTCACTAAAATTTAAAACAAATTTAACAGTTAACTTTAAGAATAAACCATAAAATATTATTAAGAAAACTAAAAAATTAGTTTAAGTGTTAAATTTTAAATACGTCGAAAACTAACCGCGCCTAGGCATCCTGTCCTTAGTTGGTCCGTAAGCTTTGGTGTTCGAAGTTCGGTAATGTTTTCACGTAATATAGATTTAACACTTAAACTCATTTAAAAATAATAATAATGGTTTTCACTAAAATTTAAATCAAATTTAACACTTAAACTTTAAGAATACCATGAAATTTTATTTAAAAAATTAAAAAAATTAGTTTAAGTGTCAAATTTTAAACACGTCGAAAACTAACAGCGCCTAGGCATCTTGTCCTTAGTTGGTCCGTAAGCTTTGTGTTCGAAATTCAGCAATGTTTTCACGTAATATAGGTTTAACACTTAAAATCATTTAAAAATAATAATAATGGTTTTTACTAAAATTTAAAACAAATTTAACAATTAAACTTTAAGAATAAACCATGAAATTTTATTAAGAAAACTAAAAAATTAGTTTAAGTGTTAAATTTTAAACACGTCGAAAACTAACCGCGCCTAGGCATCCTGTCCGAAGTTCGGTAATGTTTTCACGTAATATAGATTTAACACTTAAAATCATTTAAAAATAATAATAATGGTTTTCACTAAAATTTAAAACAAATTTAACACTTAAACTTTAAGAATAAACCATGAAATTTCATTTAAAAATTAAAAAATTAATTTAACTGTCAAATTTTAAACACGTCGAAAACTAACCACGCCTAGGCATCATGTCTTTAGTTGGTCCGTAAGGTTTGGTATTCGAAATTTGGTAATGTTTTCACGTAATATAGATTTAACACTTAAACTCATTTAAAAAAAATTATTTCACTAAAATTTAAAACAAATTTAACACTTAAACTTTAAAAATAAACCATGAAATTTTATTAAAATTTTTAAAAAATTAGTTAAGTGTTAAATTTTAACCACGTTGAAAACTAACCGCGCCTAGGCATCATGTCCTTAGTTGGTCCGTAAGTTTTGGTGTTCGAAGTTCGGTAATGTTTTCACGTAATACAGATTTAAAACTTAAACTCATTTAAAAATAATAATAATAGTTTTCACTAAAATTTAAAACAAATTTAACACTTAAACTTTAAGAATAAACCATGAAATTTTATTAAAAAAATGAAAAAATTAGTTTAAGTGTCAAATTTTAAACACGTCGAAAACTAACGGCACCTAGGCATCCTGTCCTTAGTTGGTCCGTAAGCTTTTGTGTTCGAAGTTCAGTAATGTTTTCACGTAATATAGGTTTAACACTTGAACTCATTTAAAAATAATAATAATCGTTTTCACTAAAATTTAGAGAAATTGTTAAAAATGCCCCTTTTTCAATACCCCTTTTCAAAAATACCCCCTTTGAGAGTCCATTTTTAAGTTTGCCCTCTTTTATTTTTTAATGACCATTTTACCCTTATTTGAAACAAAATTAGGTCCACAAAATACAAAATATTTTTTGGCGGGAAAAGTGATCCCGCAATTTTCCCGCCAAAACACTTGTAAAAAACCTTTAAAATACCTTGTAAAATTTTCCCGTAAAAATTTTTTCCGCCAAAAATTTTTTTTTGCGAGAAATGTGATTCTGCAATTTTTTTGGCGAAATTTTTTTGGCGGGAAAAATTTACAAGGTTTTTTAAAGGTTTTACAGAGTATTTACAAGTGTTTTGTAAGGTTTTACAATGTATTTTAAAAGGTTTTACAAGGTACTTATAAGGTTTTATAAGGTATTTATAACTTGTAAAACCTTATAAAAAACTTGTAAAACCTTATAACTTGTAAAACCTTATAAAATTGCTTGTAAAATCTTATAATATCTTATAAATACCTTATAAATACGTTGTAAAACCTTTTAAAATACATTGTAAAACCTTATAAATACCCTGTAAAAAACCTTTAAAATACCTTGTAAATTTTTCCCGCCAAAAATTTTCCCGCCAAAAAAATTGCGGAATCACTTTTCCCGCAAAAAAAATTTTTTGGCGGGAAAATTTTTTGGCGGGAAAAAATTTTACGGGAAAATTTTACAAGGTATTTTAAAGGTTTTTATAAGTTTTTATAAGTTTTTACAAGTGTTTTGGCGGGAAAAATTGCGGGATCACTTTTCCCGCCAAAAAATATTTTGTATTTTGTGGACCTAATTTTGTTATATTTCGTTATATATATTGTGATATATTTTATTAAAAGAAGGGTAATTTAGTCATTTTGTACATAAAAAGGGGTATTTTTAAAAATGGACAGCCAAAGGGGGCATTTTTGAAAAGGGGTATTGAAAAAGGGGCATTTTTGTGAGTCTCCCTAAAATTTAAAACAAATTTAACACTTAAACTTTAAGAATAAACCATGAAATTTCATTAAAAAAATTTAAAAATTAGTTTAAGTGTTAAATTTTAAACACGTCGAAAACTAACCGCGCCTAGGCATCCTGTCCTTAGTTGGTCCGTAAGCTTTGGTGTTCGAAGTTCGGTAATGTTTTCACGTAATATAGATTTAACATTTAAACTCATTTAAAAATAATAATAATGGTTTTCACTAAAATTTAAAACAAATTTAACACTTAAAATTTTAAAAAATCATTAATTCTTTTAAGTAATACCATGTTAATTTCTTTATTACTTTAGAAAAAAAAATAGTTTAAGTGTTATATTATAAACACGTCGAAAACTAACCGCGTTTAGGCATCATGTCCGTAGTCGGTCCTTAAGCTTTGGTGTTCGAAGTTCGGCATGTTTCACGTTATATAGATTTAACACTTCAATTTATTTTTTTAAAATAATAATGATTTTCACTAAAATTTAAAACAAATTTAAGATTTAAACTTTTTAAAAATAATTAATTTTTTAACTAAAACTATGTTAATTTTACTATTATTTTTTAAAAATTAGTTTAAGTATTAAATTTTAATACGTCGAAAACAAACCGAGCTTAGACATCTTGTCCTTAGGATTTTCTTTGGTCCGTAAGATTTGGTGTTATAAGTTCAACACTTGAAACTAATTTTAAAATGTTTTCTTTAACTAAAATCATTTTAATTCACCAAAATTTTGAAATAAACAAATAAATTTTTTTCTTTTTAAAATTACTTTAAGTGTTAAATTTTAATACATCGAAAACAAACCGAGCTTAGGCATCATGTCCTTAGGATTTCCTTTGGTCTGTAAGCTTTGGTGTATAAGTTCAACATGTTTTCACGTAATATAAATTTAACACGTGTAAACATGTTAAATTGACCAAAAATTATTTTAATTCAATAACGATTTTAAATAAATAATTTCTTCTTTTTGAAATTAGTTTAAGTGTTAAATTTTATTATGTTGAAATGAAACCGATATTAGGCATCCCATTCTTAGGATTTGCTTTGGTCTTATAGTTTTGGTGTCGTAAGTTCTATATGTAATTTATTTCACAAAAAATGGAAGAATATATTCCTTTTCATTTTTGGTTATATGCTTGACAAATTTTGTTAGTTTTTATATTATTTTACTAAAATATTTTTTTATGTCCAACCTTATATGATAAAATATATAATGGACAAATGTAGTAGTTTCATATGCTATTTTTGATAATAGATTTATTATTAATACATGTGGATTTATTCTCTTCTTGTTTCTTACATTTGTAATTGCTATTGCCCTTTTTCTTCTGATTTATTTAATTTTTGTATATTAATTTTCCTAGTTTTGGACAAAAGAGGACAAGGAAAAGTGGTAAAAAATCTCTAGATAGTTATAATTTTTTTTACATTATATATACCCAAAGAGATAAGACACATTCACAGTTGGAAACAATGAATAAAGACATAACTGATCCAAAAGCTAGCGAAGCTGTGTCAAATGATATACTAGAAGAAAAAGTTCTCGAGCATATCCCTGCTAAATCCCTCTGTAGATTCAAATCTGTGTCGAAACAATGGAAAGTGATGATCGAATCGAGCTATCTCGCCAATAAACGTCTTGTCCGATACCCAAGTCCGAAACTCCTTGTTCTTAGGTCAGAAATATCTAGTGATCGCTGTTCAAGAACCATTTTGTTGGAGACTATCTCAAAAGATCACCGCGAGAACAACAAAATCTTTATTTGTTCTTACGAATTTCCATCATATCCACATAGTGAATATCATTTCAATAATCTTGGTCGAATAGCTGGGTACTGCGACGGTTTAGTCTGCATCTACCAATCTGAAAACATTTATATAATTAACCCCACGACCAGAAAACTCAGGATACTTTCTTCTAATCTTTTGCAAAAGTGTACATGCCTACCAGGTACGAAACAGTCTTTTGTTTAATAGATTTTGGTGTGCTAATTAAACAAATCCTTTTGCATAGACATGGACATAAATATATACTAGAAAAGACTCAAAATATTAAATAATCAACACACATATATATTATTTTGTGTTTATTTTTAGGTATGCGTAAAGTACCAGTTAATGTGGGATTTGGGAGAGACATCGTTACAGGATCATACAAACTAGTTTTGATGTATCTCTACGACCGTGTTTTTAACAACTTTCTTGTCAAGACTGAAGTATTTAACCTCAACAATGGCGAACGAAGATGCATCTGTTTTCCCATTCTTTTCAATGAACTTGGCAATGATAAAACATCAATCTTTGCTAATGGATCGCTTTATTGGCAGAATATTTATAACCTAAAGATTGCAGCTTTGGATCTTCACACAGAAATGTTTTCTGAGGTATTGCCGCCAAGTTGGTACACCAATTACTCATGTGGTGTGTATTTATGGAGTCTAAAAGATCGTTTATGTCTATCTGATGTGTTACAATATCCTGATGTGGACATTTGGGGTTTGCAGCAAGAAGGTCCCAATGTGATGAAGTGGGAAAAGATTCTTTCAGTTACTATTTTAAGTATGGATTGTTTAGACCCAAACTTTTGGAAACTTGGTCTAGCTGCTTGTTATTTTAGGCCTATAGGTCAAAAACCATCTAGAAATTTCTTAGAGAAAGTCCCTGCAGATCAATGTAGCACTACATTGTATATGGAAGACTTGGTTTCTTCGGTCTAGTTTCATACTCCATGCTTTAATATGTTAATTTCATTTCTTCAATTTGGGTTCTTTTCTTGTTAGAGTCTGAATGGTTCTGTTTGAATTTAATATCGCTTTTTAAAAACAACTATGATTTTTACATGTGTTCCCTATTGTTTATATATTTGTAAATTCAGATTAATCTACACTTTATCATCTTCTTGGTTAATGTCATTGACATCAGATGAGGAAATTCCACGTGGAATTCTTCTAGCTTGCTCGAAAAGCAAGATCATTCCAACCCGAAAACACCCTTTCACGATCCTAACCACACCAATCATCACAATCATATAATACAACAACCAGTTCCAGAAATCTACTGTTCCTAAGTCAACGATACTATTTAAATTGTAATCGACGTCGATGGATAACAATAACAATGCTCTCTTAACCTCCATCACGCCAATCAAAGCCTCTACCTCTTCCCGAAGCTTCCACCACCATAAAGCACCGCAACTAGCGGCCAAAGCCACCCTCTCCACCACCGTCTCTTCTTCTCTCCGGCCAAAACCGCTTTCCACCACCGTCTTCACGATCACTCGGTACCATTGAAGTATCACCTCATGGAGACCAAAGAAGAACAAAAGTCTGGTCAAGAAATTGTGATTATTACCGTTGACAATCCCGTTGACTCCTTTTGACATCGTTATTTGAAAGCCTAATCCGACGGAGAATTGAAGAATTAAAAGGATGAGCCACGCGATGCTGACACGTGGATTATCTGCCGAAGTTCTGATCTTGGTGATTAAGCAGTGGATTATAGTATGAACAGTTATTATTGAAACGACGGCGTATAATAGCGCAGGGATTGTGTTGAGGAAGAAATAGTCGGAATTTTGCGGCGGCGATGATAAGGAGAGGAGGAAGGCGGTGGAGGAGAGACGGCTAAGGAGGAGGAAAGAGAGAGGGAGGAGGAGGCTGAGAAGAGTGGTGGTGATTAGCCGGAATTGCTCAATCACTAACTGCTCCGCCTCTCTCCACCGCTTTTCGCCGCCAGTCATATTCTTTCTCTCGTTTGTAGACAGAAACTCAAAAGAAGAGAGAGTTAGTTTATTGCAGTTAAAGAGAGAAAAGCGGTTAGTGGGTTATAAATATTTATGTTTGAAACTTGAAAGAGAGAAAGAGGAAGAAGAGACTGTCACGTTAGGTTATGATTTGAATAGGCCCATATTTGTTACAACATGTAATTGATACGCTTTATCATCTTTTGACGTTTTACCTGTTACAATTAACATATAAATTTTGTTTAAGATGCCAATGTTATTAAAAAAATTATATACACTAATTAGTTAAACATATTCAAACAGACTCAAACTCAAACGTATTAGACAAATAATAGTATCGAGATTATGAGTTGTGACCCAAAAAAAAATAATAGTAGAGACCAAGAAAGAATTTCAATATACTGATGAGGATTTTATTTATTAAAATCCAATCTTTAAAATGTTAAAACCAATATTCAAAAATTGATTTTCGAAAATTTCAATATACTAATGAGAATTTTCAATCTTAAAAGTGTTAAAAAACAATCATTCAAAAATTGATTTCTGAAAATTTATACTTGTACTATTCTTAGATGATTAATTTATTGGGCATGTCCAACTTTATTTTCATCAACCGTTACCATTTCAAATGACAAAAGTAAGTCGGAAAATCATCAGCACCACTAGCTTGTACGGGAAATGAATCTTTCATAGCACAGTTCCTCACAAACGCTAGGCCTTCATGGATCTCGGACGGCAACTTTACGTTCTCGACAATGAGCTTAATAGCTAGATCAAGTCTCTTCTCAGCAACATCTTTGTATGACTTTCAAACAGTGCTACTAGATGCTTCATGGTGGAGGATCGTACAATCGGATTCACCACGGACTCACTAACCCATGTCACCGTCTCTTGGCTAAAGTCCAAAAACATCAACAAGTTAGTCTTCACCAGCACTTCTTCTTTTGTTTTTAGACGTTTGCATAGTAATCCTGAGAAAGATTCAGAGTTCACTTGAGGTAAAACGAAAAGAGCAACAGTCGGCATAGTTAGTGAGAAAAGACAAGAGCATGCCCGACCCACATGCCAAACAAGTGCAGCAAATGATCAGGACATCAAAATTTTGGGAGCATTTTTTGGGCAAATTTTCTTTAAATTTTTTTATATATAAACTATATTATAGGCCTCTTTTTTTAATATCAATATTTTGATGGTTTTTTTAATCATAATTGACGGTTTTAACTTAACAATATATCAATTTGTGTATTATCTATACCTTAAGTATCAATGTTTTCGTATCTAGTTTTTTGGCTCTCAAAAATATTTAAGTCCTGATTTTACGTACTGTTTTAGATTGAATCTCTAAAAAGATTAACTGGAATTATAACTTTAGAAAAAACTTACACATGAAGTCAGTACTCTGGAAGGAAGGAAACTATGTAGTAAGCTAAAGATACGTGTTATCTGACACCAAAAAATTATTTAAAAAATAAATAAAAGATACTTGTTTCAAAATGACAAGGGTCATCTTTGCATGGCCCTAGTTAACTGGATAATTAAAGGCCATATATTATGGTTTAAATGTATATAATGTGTACCAAATTTTTTTTCAAACATGTGTAAAATTAACCTCATCTTTTGAAAAAATTCATTGAGATAATAAGTTGATTTGATGTTTTTACAATTTCCTTATATATGAAGATATATTTTGGATATCTTCTCTTAGATATGCTCTTCCTAAAATTGGTTTACTTTCATTGTATGTAGCTTTATTCTCATTTTTTTCCTTTTTGTTGGCAAACGTTATTACAACTGTCTTTTTCTTCCGAATTATTTATTATTGTATATTGACTCCTTCCTAGTATTGAGAAATAATAGATAGGGTTGAAATAGATATTACAGAATATTTCCCTGACTCGTCTTAAAAGAATTACAACATACATCTATATATAAGGTACCTAGACACAAGACGAATTCACAGTTGCAAACAATGAAGAAAGACATAAAAAATCCAAACACTTGCGAAGTTGATAACATTGAAGAGATTCTTGAGCGTCTTCCGGTGAAATCCCTCTTCCGATTCAAATCCGTGTCGAAGCAATGGAGATTACTGATCGAATCTAACTATCTCGCCACGAGACGTCTTGTCCGACACCCAAATCCAAAACTCCTTGTTCTTCGATTGGAAATGTCTAGTGATCGTTGTTCAAGAACCCTATTTTTGGAGACTTATTCAAAAGATCATCACGACCACATAGAAATCTTTATTCATTCTTACAAATCTCCAGTTCCATATCCCAAGTTTTCTACTTATGATTTAGTTGGTCAAATAATGGGGTATTGCAACGGAATAGTCTGCATCTACGATCTCGGTTACATTTATCTGATTAACCCCGCAACAAGAAAACTCCGTGTTATTTCTCCTCAGTTTTTGCGAGAGTATACAGGCCGAACTGGTATGAAGCACTTTTATTTATAGATTTTGATGCTGATTATATATTTATTTTATAAATTGTTGATGTAATTAAGTACAAAGAAATTTTATAAATTACAAAAAAGTATAGTTGACTAGTACTTGTTACAGTTTAACAAATACTTTATATTCAACAATGTCTTGTTTTCCTTAGGTTGGTCGAATGAATTGCCAATTAGTGTCGGATTTGGAAGAGACATGGTTACAGGAACATACAAAGTAATCTTGATGTATTTATTCGATCGTATGTTTATCAAGACCGAAGCCTTAAACCTAGAAAATGGCGAACGAAGATACGTATATTTCCCCATTTCTTACGATCAACTTGGCAACGATAGAAGATCAATCTTTGCAAATGGATCGCTTTATTGGTTGCCAAAGCCAATTTATATTTCCACTAATAAACTAATAAAGCTGGCAGCCATAGATCTTCACACAGAAACATTTCGTTATGTGCTACCACCGAGTTGGTACACCAAGTACTCCAAAAGTGTGTACTTATGGAGTCTAAAAGATAGTTTATGTATATCTGATGTGCTACAAAATCCGAGTGTGGACGTATGGAGTTTGCAGCAAGAAGAGCCTAGTGTGAAGTGGGAAAAGATTTTTTCACTTAATATCTTAAGCACCAAGAAGTGTTTAGATGCAAACTTTTGGAAGCTCAGTCTAGCTGCTTATTATTTTAGGTCGACAGGAAGAAATCCAGCTAATAATCCTTTAGATCAAGTCCCCGACGATCACTGCAGCACCGTTTTGTATACGGAGAAATTGGGTTCTTCGGTCTAGCTAGTTCCATGGTCAATGCTTTAAACAAATAGGCTTCTCTATTTCTCCAATTAATGAATTTATATTGGTTTTTTACTTCTTTACTTGTTATAGTCTCCTCAATGGCCAATATTCGATATTTATCTCATCTTTAAACGACCGTGCATGAATGTTTTACATGTGTTCCTTATCATGCACTCGAGCGTTTTTTTAAGGCGAACTTTCAAATTCTATGGGATCTAGAATTAATCTCTGTTAGTCGATCGATACGGTTGCAACAGCCACACAAACCAACAAATCAACCCATTTTAACTATAAGCCAAAAAAGAAGAACCTCTCTCAACGTGGAACCAAAACCAAATCAGCAATGAGACCAAAGGGACTAATAACCGTGTACACCTATTTCTCCTACAGATTGTTTTCCATGGGTGTGAAAGGAACGTCCCTGGGACTAAATAGCCTATACGCAATAAAACCCGAAAACACAAGAGAAATCATGGACAACACAATGGCTGTAATGCTAGTTCCATCGCTAGAGCCCTTGACAGTTGAAGCGGTGAGACCCGAAGAAGAGCCCGAGGAGATATCTAGCGGTGTCCAATCGCAGTTGATCGTGTAGTGTCCTGATCCGTGCCAAGGTTTGCTTTCCATTGGGTACCAGAATGCAACCGACATTTTGGCGGGTGAGCCAAGCTTGAACTGAACATCCTGTAAATATCAATCTAGGACCTTAGCTTTATAAGAAGATGTTCTTTATACATAACTCATATTGACCAGGTTCCGTTCCATGGGATAGATTTGTTGTTTCTACAAGTGTGACACATTTGGATTTGGTTTAAGATTAACTACTGATTCATAGAGGTAAATATGCACAGAGATTAACTTTTAGGGAAGGGCCAATGGTAACCGAACGTCATTGATCGAGTAGAAGATTTACTGACCTGTTGGAGACGGTCCATTGTCCTCAAGGGCCTTGAGAACTCAAAATAGTAAGTTCCTTTCTTGCCATCTGGCGTGTAAGGGCTGTCTTCCTCTACATAACCTGTTTAAAACTTCAACGATAAGTAACCCGAGGAGATGCCTATGCCTATGATATGGTTATAAACACCGAGACTTAATTCCACATCTAGTTATTTCCAGTTAAAAACATGATTAATATATCTCTGTATTGGGAACTCATGGAACTGATTATGAAGATATGTAAGACTGACCTGACAGAGTGGTGAAGCTGCTGTGCCACCATGCTCCATGCCAATCGTTCTGTGCGCTAGAATCATTTCCTGTAAAAAAATATTCATGGGATCACATATTTGTAATTTGCACACGAGAAAGAGATCACTCTCGAGTAGCTAGCATCCAACTAGAATACAAACAATTTATAATTTAAGGACGACTTATACTTGGGGAAACACACTAGAGGAATTAAGAACCTACAACATCTGGGTTAAATAATTGAAGAGAAGTCAATTTCTAAGCTTCCATGAACCAAAGCAAAACAAAAACGTAATTTATGCTCTTAGGTTGAAATTGGTTATTCCATAACATCGTCATAGGTTACCTGAGGGTCCAAGGCCATCAAGGTACCGACAATGTGGATTCCAGGCATAAATGTCAACCAGATGACCAAATCTGTTCATATGAAAAACACACAGAGACATTCATAAACAAAATAAACAGAGGTACAGATAAGCCACTAGATAAACAGAGAAGGAGCTAAACGAGATTCACTAATTGGTACAACACCAGAACAAAGTATGAGAGAGACAGAACAAACTATGTTGTACTACAAATCACCTGTCACCTCCATTTCCTTCCCCGTTGTCTATTGGATTACCACCGTAAAGCCGTCCTGGAATAGCATTTCCAATGGAGAAATGCATAATATCAACCTCGAAGCCTCTGCAAGCCTTGCTGGTACAAGAGTCTGTCCCTTCTTTACAACCACCCATCTTGTGGACCAGAAGGTTGACATAAGTTGTTTCATATGAAAAATTCATGGATCTTAAATGAAATAGTTGAACAAAATACTCTAGCCAAATGAGAAACGTACATTGTGATAAGTAGCTTGATCACCAATTTGGAACATGAGAGCCACTGAAGGACACTTATTGTTTTCACTGGATTCAAAAAAGCAAGCAGTTCACTACAATAGTGATAGACTTGCAATTTCAAATTACGTATAAATCATTTTAATATCATCTGAAGCAGTAAATAAATGTATTTTTTTGAAACCTCTGTATCTAAGAAAGTAATAGACATGCCAGAGCCTGACAACTAGAGTCTCTAAGTTTCAAGAATCCCAGGGTCTAACCATATATTTTATCCCACACAATATAAGCATCACCAGGTGAACAGAAATAACTCAGAAAGATCAAGCAAAACACAAATATAAATGAGTTGCATCAAACCCAAACTTGCATTGGACAACTTTTTAGGCGCAGGACCCACATTCTGAAAGGTTAGACGCAGTGAAATCTACTAAAATTTGAGAACAGTTACTATAGATTTCAGAATTCAGATAATAAGTGGTTCCGATCACCAGTTCTTGATCATGCAGAGGTCTAGAGAGGGATAATTAAATTATAAAAAACACACTTACCCTTTATCATAAGCGTAATTTCCATCAATTTCCAGCATAAAGTAGATATCTCGACCATCATGTAGTGCCTACAAAGAGAGATCCACCAATCAAATGTTAAGAACGAAATCGAACTCAAAGTCCACAAAATCCAGATTTATCAATCGAATCAAAATGTCGCAATGAGTTCAGTATCACTAATCAGATGGTCAAACTCACCAAATAGATTTTGAAAAACTCAGAAATTTGATCAATCTATATAATCTACAAGTAATGTCGGCAAACCAATAAGATAATGCAAATCCGATTCGAATCAACACATTACCTTGACTGTCATCTTTCCGGCGTCATACTCGTGATCGGCGTCCGGATCAAGTGCAGGTCGGAGAGGGAACTCGGAGCCGTCAATGTCCTTCCAGTCGTCGTTGTGACCATCGAGAGTGATAATCCCCGGTATGAAATCGGCTGTGACCTGGATCTCCGAGTCCGATTCACAACTCCATTCGCCGGATTCCTGGTGAGACACGACCGTCTCCGCCGTGAAAATCAAGAGCCACGCCACAACCACGAGCTGAAGCATTTTGATTTCTCTTTCGGAATTTGGTTTCCACAGTTGACTGGCGATTACTACATGACTCTTCAAACGGTAAGCAAATCACGACAGCTGTAATTAAAAAACAATTATTTTTAATTAAATATTATGTTTTAGTGGGCCTTATAAAGCCCATTAAGCCCTAAAGAGACAAGAGAACCTCGTTAAAAACCAACGGAGAGATATTCAGATCGGAGTCATCATCGGTCCGATATTTTGGATCCGTGCTCCATTGACGAACAAACAACACTCTCCTTTTCCTAAGTTCCAACCATTTTATTAGCTCCTTCACCGGAGCTTCACATCGGGAACAATGGCGGCGAGTAGGAAGATTTGTCATTCTCTGATCGTCTTCCTCATAGCGATTTCTGCAGACTACGGTGTTTCCGCGGATTCGATAAAAGGCTGCGGTGGTTTTGTCGAGGTTTATCTTTTTTCTTTTTCTTTCCCGATTCGTTTTATCCATCGTTCTGATTGCTTCCTGATCGATTTTACTAGATAGTGTGTGTGTTTGCTTCTAAGTAGATTCAGTGTAGTTGGACCTGCTTAGTACTTCTACGCACTTTTATCTGAGATTTTGCAGTTTGGAGGATGTTTTGATTTTTGGAAATTATCATGGGTTAAGTAGCAGGAAGAACGATCGGATCTGGATTTATTAACTAACGCTGGTGAATTATTAAACGTGCAGGCGAGTTCGTCTTTGGTCAGCTCTCGGAAAGGATCCGATGGGAAACTGGATTATTCCCATATCACAGTAAGAATTCAATTTGTTGACTGTGTTTTTTTTTTTTTCTATCTTTTTCTGAGTGAAGTTTCATTGATTGTTTGTTTTGTTCCCCTTCAAATTACAAGGTTGAGCTACAAACAGTAGATGGATTGGTAAAAGACAGTACACAGTGTGCCCCAAATGGTTACTATTTCATCCCAGTATATGACAAGGTATTCATCAAACCTTAATGATTTTTTTGTTTTGGTAAATCGGTGTTGCGTTTCTGCTGCAAGTGATTTCTATACTTTCTTCTCATAGGGCTCATTCATTCTCAAGATAAATGGACCTGAGGGATGGTCATGGAATCCAGATAAGGTTAATCTGTTCTCCATTTTTTTTTCCGAGGATTATGCATCAAGAATCTTTCTAGACAAAAAAAACACCCGGCTTGTAGCTAGTTGTGACAATAAATTTGGTGTTGCAGGTCTCTGTCGTTGTTGACGACTCTAGTTGCAACAACAATGAGGATATTAACTTCCGCTTCACGGGGTTCGTTTTAGTCTATGTGTTTGCCTCTCCTTTTTTCACCTTTGTAATTGGTGGTTAGCTCATCTTTCTTCCTTTAAAAGTTTTCATCTTTTACTCTTTTGTATATTGCAGTTTTACATTATCCGGTAAAGTCCTTGGAGCTGTTGGTGGGGAGAGTTGTGTGATTAAGAATGGAGGTCCAGCTGATGTCAATGTTGAATTGTTGTCTTCTGATGGAGATCCCGTTGCTTCTGTTCTCACATCGTCAGATGGGAGCTACTTATTCAAGAATATTATTCCAGGTAAGGATTCTCATTAAGCTTTCATCATCAGTGTCTCTTTTTCTATTTTTCTGTCACGTTGTTATTCTGGCCTTGCATGTATGTAGTCGGAAGTTTCCCATATTATAACATCAAATGTAAAGTGCCTATTTTTCAGGTATCTTGTTATGATCAAATCACGAGTCTGTCTGATTGGTTGCAGGAAAATACAATATCCGTGCATCCCATCCAGAGCTGCTGGTTGAAGTTCGCGGTTCAACAGAGGTCTCAGATTTTTTTGGTTTTGCATTTAGTTTTCATGTTACCCTGTTGCTTAAAATTCTCCTGACCAACTTTTTTTCATTTGAGTACACATATCTTTCCCTACTCTTTTTCTCTCTCTATTGTATCCCTTTCTATATATATGGCTTGAATTATTTTAATTATGCATGCTAATAGTTAAAGTTCTCTGTTTACCTGTAGGTGGAACTTGGATTTGCAAATGGCATGGTGGATGACATATTCTTCGTCCGTGGTTATGATCTCAAGGGGTCTGTTGTTGCTCAGGTAATCCCTCTATTGCTCTGTTTATTTTTTCTTCTGATTTTCAAATCCTACTACATTCCTCTGCTTTCAAGAGTAACATTTGGATATAATTGGAAATAGCGATTGGTGTATCATTGGTTTGATTCTGTTCCTGTCCATCATGCATGCACTTGTCTCTATCCTTAATTTTGAGTGTTTGATGAATACTATTTTGTTTCCTTTTGTAGGGAAATCCAATCCTGGGTGTTCATATATATTTGCATTCAGATGATGTTTCCATGGTAGATTGCCCCCAAGGATTTGGTGACGCTGCTGGAGAAAGGAAGCCTCTCTGCCATGCTGTATCCGATGCGGAAGGAATTTTTAGTTTCAAGTCCATCCCTTGTGGTAAATCATTGTTTACTTATCCATAATCAATTCATTGAGCATTCATTTTACCTTAAGCTTTAGCCTGATGTATTATGTATTGTACAACATAAGTTAAATGACTATTAAGCATGTTGAACTTCAAGAAGGACACTTGAAATTCTGGTTGCATAGTCCAGATCTTTATTTCTATTGACCTATTTTTTGGTCGCTTGATTTTTTCGTCTTCAGGAAAATATGAATTGGTGCCACATTATAAGGGTGAGAATACGGTCTTTGATGTTTCACCTCCTGTTATGCCTGTTTCTGTAGAGCATCAACATGTCACCGTTCCCCAAAAATTTCAGGTCAGATAGATTAACTGCAAACTCTTATACCACTCTGTATATTTCTATAATCGGACTCTGCTTACATGTGTCTTCCACTAAATATTGAACTGAATGCTCCTTTAGGTAACAGGATTCTCCATTGGGGGTCGTGTAGTTGACGGTAATTCAGTGGGAGTTGAGGGCGTTAAAATCTTAGTAGATGGTAGTCTAAGATCTGTCACGGACAAGGAAGGCTATTACAAGCTTGACCAGGTATACTTAAATACTATTTTCAATTTAAATTTTATACACTATACCTTGTTCCTGTTGTAAGCCTGCTAAATTGGTTGTTACTCAACCTCTCCTAGTGAATTTTTGGTGCATGCTTAGAGGCTTTTAAAGTCTAGAGTAAAGAATATGGCTAGATTTCTGAAGGTTATCTACTAAGCAAAGCATATATATTATTATATATTTAAAATATGTTCCGACCAAAAAAAATATATTTAAAATATGTGCCATCTGGTTTCATTCCACCACCCCTTTAATCTCATTTCTTGCTGCTGGGATCAATAGTTTAACAGCAGGGGATGTAACGTAATAGTGGTTTAATTCCGTAGGTTACGTCAAATCAGTATACAATTGATGCAGTCAAGGAGCATTACAAGTTCGACAAACTGAAGAAGTTCATGGTATCGGTCTCACTTATTTTTTTTCTTGCGTGCTAAATTAATTGCTCCAGATATGGCTTCACCTCACTGAAGTTCAGCAAACTAAAGTAATCACTCAAACTTCTTTGTTTAGGTTTTACCAAATATGGCTTCACTTCCAGACATCAGTGCTGTATCCTATGAGATCTGTGGTGTGGTGCGAATGTTTGGTTCTCGTCACAAAGCAAAGGTAAATTCTTGTTCATATGTTTCTCTGTTGTTACTTGTCTCTCATAGTCTCATGTTTAACGTTCTAATATTTTAAATCATAGGTAGCTTTGACTCATGGACCCACAAATGTCAAACCACAAATGAAGCTAACAGATGAGACCGGAACTTTCTGCTTTGAGGTTTGTTGATGCAGAGATGTATCTCTTGTAAATCCAGTAGACAAAAGTCAGTTTTATCAAAGAAACCGAAAAGGCATTGATTATTTGGAGAGTTGGTTCTGGCTTATGTGGGACTTCGTTACTTTTCTGTTTAGGGCTGAGTTCTATGTTTCTTACCCTGTAACACATTTTTTTTCATTTATTTATTTTCTTTCCATCATATATATTCCAGGTTCCACCAGGCGAATATAGGCTGTCTGCTTTGGCTGCTACACCAAAGGGTGCTTCTGAGCTTCTGTTTTTGCCAGCTTATTTGGATGTTGCCGTTAAAAGCCCATTGTTGAACATAGAATTCTCTCAGGTGATTCACTCTGAATGGCTCTACTCTCTTGGAAATGTTTTTGTAGCATTGTATATATAGGAGTTGGATGGCCAATATATTTCCAAATGTTCAGGAAGTTTTCTTTCTTTTAATTTTTTTTTGGGTGTTGATGCAGGCCAGAGTCAATGTGCATGGTTCTGTTACTTGCAAGGAGAAATGTGGTCCGTCTGTGTCAGTGGTGCTTGTGGGAGCGGCTGGTGATCGTGACAAGAAGACAGTTTTTTTAACCGACGAGAGCAGTCAATTTCTATTTTCAGATATACTGCCTGGAAAATATAGAGTTGAGGTGGGCTGCATAGTTTCTTCTCAACCTTTTTTCTTCTCTTGTGTACTTCTGTAAGAGAGTCACGTTTACTAGCTAAATACATTTACTAATTGCTAGTCACGTTTGATTATATTAGGTGAAAAGCATTTCACCGGAAGCCGCATCTGATGAAGACAGTTGGTGCTGGGACCGTAGCTCCATTGATGTGAATGTCGGAACTGAGGATATCAAAGGGATTGAATTTGTCCAGAAAGGTTACTGGATTAATATTATCTCCACCCATGAGGTGGACGCTAGAATCGCTCATCCTAATGTATCACCTACTAGTTTGAAAATCAAGGTATTCTTTGTCAGGTGGATTCTCCATGAGTTTTGCCTATTTAGGGTGCTATATTTTACCTTATCAAAACTAACCATTTTCTTCATTTGTGGTAACTACAGAAAGGTTCGCAGAAAATATGCGTTGAGTCACCTGGAGGGCATGAGCTTCAGCTTTCTGACTCATGCATGTCCTTTGGGAGCAATTCAATAAAGATAGATGTCTCAAATCCACAGGTTTTATTTTGTAATGTTTTCTCTTTTGTTCCAGCATTATTTGGCCTGTCCTTCTTAGCATCTCTATTCTTTCTGCAGCCTATTCATCTGAAAGCAGAGAAGTACCTCCTCAAAGGTCTGATAAATGTGGAGTCTAGTTCAACTATTGAGTCTGAATTGCCAGAGAATTTCATTGTTGATATTCAAGACAAGAAAGGAAATGTTATCAACAGTATTACTGCCAAACTTGCATCTGATGGAAGTGGGGTTTATGAGTACTATACCTGGGCAAATCTTGGTGAAAAGATTAGCTTTGTTCCTCGAGATTCTAGGTATGATCTTCTTTTATGATTTCAGGGAACTATGAACAAGACTTCTAATGTTTAGAGTTAGTTGTCTTAGGAATGTATCATAATTCATAGAAGAGAAATTTGTGTTTCAATATCAAACAACCAAAAGAATATTATTGGAGCTATTATTCTTTTCAAGTTCCTCAGCTATGGCTGTATTCTGTTTCAGGGGTAATGTGGAGAAGAAGATGTTGTTTTATCCTAAAGAGCTTCATGTAAGTATTAACCTAGCCATAAAAGATTCTATAATGGGAACATCAAGCTTAATTTATGTTTATTCTAATAGGCTGTAGTGTCAAATGATGGATGCCAAGCTTCAGTTTCTCCATTTACTGGTCGGCTTGGTCTTTACATAGAAGGATCAGTCTCTCCTCCTCTTCCTGGTGTTCATATTAAGGTTTCCGCTGCAAAAGACAGCCTTATTTCTTCACTTAAGAAAGGTGAAGTAGCTATCGAAACAAGCACTTCACCAGCTGGTTCATTTGTTGCTGGGCCTTTGTATGATGATATACCATATGCCACCGAGGCTTCAAAGGTTGGTGTATATTATACTGATATATTTTTCATGTGCATGTAAATTGACCTTAAGATGATGTTTTTCTTCACTTGTCTAATCTTTAAGTTAGATCTCATACTGGTTACACTAAAATTCTCACTTACATTCAAATAATGTGTTCCTAATCTTGGCTTACACATGCAGGCTGGCTACCATATTAAAAGGCTAGGACCATATTCCTTCTCTTGCCAGAAGCTTGGTCAGATCTCTGTGCGTGTAAACTCAAAGGACAATGCCGAGACATCAATACCTCCGCTGTTGTTATCATTAAGTGGCGATCATGGTTACAGAAATAATTCCATATCTGGCGCTGGTGGACTCTTTGTGTTTGATAGCTTATTCCCTGGAAACTTCTACTTGCGTCCCCTTCTGAAGGTAATTAATCCATACGCCCCTTGCATTCTTAGCAAATCATTGGGAACATTCTTCAGTGGCTTTCCCAAAACGTTAAAGTAGCTGATAAGAAATTGAGGATGAATTTTCTGATTATCTATCGTTTTCCTCAGGAATATTCTTTCAAACCCTCAACACTGGCTATAGAACTAAGTTCTGGGGAGTCCAGTGAAGCTGTCTTTGAGGCTACTCGTGTTGCCTACAGGTTTTGATCTTATTCTAAATCATCTTTTTCTCACTATTCGTTCCTGATTTTACTTTTGTCAAAATAATCTGTTGCCTTGATTAGATTCTGGCATAAATTGATTCCTACTCCTAAAAATTTCTCGCTCGCTTCTTTAAGTATGATTGCACCAAGGCTCAGTTCTCCTGAAATAAAGAAAGAGCAAAACACTTTCTTTGAAACGTGTGCGAATTCACCATGACCAGTTACATTGGTCATTTTGAGTTTCAATTGCTATCTCATATATCTCCACTATCTGCTCTGATTTTGGATGTTTAGATTTTTGGTCCTAAACTACCATTTTACTTAACATATATGGTAGGCCTTAGATTACATTCGATTTAATTTTCTATATTTCTGTAACATTACACCTTGTCAATTCCTTTGCAGTGCAATGGGTAGAGTCGCTCTCCTATCGGGCCAGCCACAAGAAGGTGTTGCAATTGAAGCTCGCTCTGACTCCAAAGGATACTATGAGGAGACTACAAGCGATATTAATGGAAATTATCGACTGAGAGGGTTACATCCAGATACAACATATGTAATTAAAGTGTCGAAGAAAATTGGTTCAGGCAACAATAAAATTGAACGTGCATCTCCAGAGTCAGTTTCTCTTCAGGTTTGTTTCTGTTTCTCCATATTATATTCATTCTCATCATCCGCAATTTCAACAACAGAATGTACCTTACAATTGTCTTTTCTTATAGATTGGTTATGAAGATATCAATGGGCTCGACTTTTTGGTATTTGAACAACCAGAAACGACCATATTGACGTGCCATGTCGAAGGAAAACAAAACGAAGATCTAAACTCGAATCTGCTAGTGGAGATCAAATCAGCCATTGATAAATCTAAGATAGAGAATGTCTTTCCACTACCACTCTCCAACTTCTTCCAAGTGAAAGGTTTACCCAGAGGTAAACACCTTGTGCAGCTTAAATCCAGTCGTCCTCTAATCTCCCACAAAGTAGAATCAGAGATTATTGAAGTTGATTTTGAGACAAATGCCCAAATCCATATCGGTCCACTTCGATACAGCATCGTGGCAGATCATCAGAGTCAGGTAAATATATAACTTACACAGTCTTCCATATTTTCAATAAACTTTGTACTTTTTTTTCTCTTTCTCATTGTGGTTTGATTTGTATCGGTTTCAGGAAGTGACACCTGCAGCTATATTGCCACTGGTTATTGGAGTTTCGGCAATTGCTCTGTTCCTCAGCATCCCCAGGTAATAATTCATTACCAAATTGTAACATTTGCAATATGAAACATTTCCATAATTAGTAATCCACATGCTTATACAAAAAAGGTTGAAAGACATCTACCAAGCCACGGTTGGGATTTCGTCTCCCGGGTTCACTACATCTGCCAAGAGAGAACCTCGAAAAGCTATTGCTAGAAAGAAGACGTTCTGAAGAATTTATTCATCTTCGGTCTTTTTTTGTTTTTTGTTATATAGTATCGTTAGAGGGAATTTATTCAAAACATTGCAGAACTCAGAAACTCCTCTAATCCATTTAAAGTTTAGAGAAACGCTCTCAACGGTCAATCTAGTCTTCTTTTTACCATTATTTTTTTTTAATGTGAATTATGTTAGAATCTTTTTCTGATTTTCTCCATGACTATTTCCAAAAACTCTGATATCAGTTTTGACCATTACTTTTTAGATTTAATTTTTAATGATAAAGTTGGTAATAAATTCAACTACGTCTGAGAGAAAAAAAAAGTTGCTTAAATTTGGAATTCAATTCCTAGTTATTTTTCTTCTATTAACTAAATTTTCAACAGATTTCCATTTATACTATATATGTTGTTTCTTATTTAGTTTACAACAAATATCATAACAGAAACAATTTATTATGATATACTCCATAATTTGATACCAAAAGGTTTTTCTAAGATTTTTTTTAGATGAAAATTTAAAACATTATTTTCAATTAAAAACTGTTAGCAAATAACTCAAAGTAATTAGTACTTAAAGAAAATTATGTGAGAGCAAATTATTTAATCTTTATCTTTAACATTATCTTTTATATTTTTTCTTTGGTAGTATTAAAGATAAAGGTTATATATATATATATATATATATATATATATATCTATTTATTTTCATAATTTTACATAAATTAATGTTCTACTTTGTTTTCAAAGTCATTAATTTTCAATCTATAATAGTTGAAAACTGATGATTAGATACATATTTTTTTTCTTTAGTATATATATATTGATGACATAGACCTCTAAACTGGGAACTATCTCGTTGGAAAAGAATGGAGAAAGACAAAATTAATCCTGAGACTATCATTACACCAAATGATATTTTAGAAGAGATCCTTCAATATCTTCCAATGAAATCACTTGCTAAGTTCAAGGCCGTGTCGAAACAATGGAGATCGATGATCGAATCAACCTATTTATCCCACAAACGTCTCGTTCGATTGGGATTACAAACCCCGAACACGAAACTTCTTGTTGTTCATCAACTGTCATCAGATTCTGACTCGACAACTTTGGTTTTGAAAACTTTTTCTAGAGATCATGACAACAACGGACAAATCTGTCTTTCTTCTTCGAGTTCTTACACTTTTCCTGATAATCCAATCAACCAATCTCCACACGAAACTATCCAAGTCTTGGGGTCTTGTGACGGATTGGTCTTGGTTGGGACCTACGATTTTAAGTACATTTACTTGATCAATCCAACGACGGGAGAGCATCGAACACTGTCTCCAGAATTGTTGCAGTGGCCCGGATATTTTAGTTACCATAGTCTTGTGAACAATCCAACGATGAATCGAACAGTTTTTCAGGCAGATATGTTGGAGCAACAAGGTACGTCGTTCTTTTTGTTCAATAAGTGATCATAGATTTGGATGTAATAATCACTAGATGATGATTCACGTTTTTGTCGACTGGTACAAGTGTACAACTAATTATTAAGTAATGTAATTATTAAGTAATTGTTATGTACAAAATTAATATTCATGTAATCATATATATGAAATGATAGATAAATTTATATAGAGACAGAATGTATAAAGGATATACGTAGATTTAATAATAAATGGTCAATGACATCAGACGTTTACAGATTATTGTCAATAGATAGAATGATGATTATGACTAATTCTCAAGTTATATGATATAATATATATATAAATATAGTGGATATTTGACCATTTTCTAATATATGTATTTTTGTTCATTTGAAGCTAAATTTTTGTCCATAATGCCATTTTCCGTTGGATTTGGAAAAGACATTATTACAAAATCATACAAGGTGATTTTGATGTACTTGAAAAAAACCCATCCTCGTGGATATTTTGATCGTTTCAATATCAAAGCTATATCTCTTGATAATGGAAAGCAAAGAGACGCCGGTTGGTACGTTTTAGATGAGCACGAAATTTGCAATGAACAAACACCGGTTTACGCAAACGGATCACTCTTTTGGTGGACAAAATGTACTTGTGCTTGGAGATATCAAACACTTTCAGAATTACCTTCACAGATATTAGCTATTGATCTACACACAGAAAAATTTCGATGGGTATCGTTACCTAAATGTTACACCCGTTACTCTCGTGGTGTGCAAATGTGGAGCCTAAATGAACGTTTGTGCTTATCAGATGTGCTACACATACATTGTTCAGAACTAGACGTTTGGAATTTACGACAAGAATTAGATTCTACTCAAAATTGGGAGAAATTATTTTCTTTTAATATTCTTAATATCGATCGATTAGATGCAAAATGTTGGATGCTTGGTCTAAGGGCTGCTTACTTTCGAAAGATTGGAGAGGACCAAAAACAAGTTTCGTTTGATAGTCTAAGAACGGTGATTTGGTATTCGCCGACTATGATTTCTCCATCAAATTTGCTGCTTTGATGTTGTTTCTACCTTCTATTGATTAAAATATCAAAAGCTTTTTAAGTTTTTAATATCACAGATACAAGTAGAAAGAAAAGCTATTTTTTTGTCAAAGGAAAGAAAAGCTGTTGACTTAAGAGAAAAAAATAAATGTTTGTATTTTTAAAAAGGTATATTGCAATTTCTATATATAATTGGAATTATGTGCTATTTTAAAAAATGCTTAGTAATATATTAATAACTTAAACAGTGTCTTATTAATGTCTTGTTCGAAAAATAAATAAAATAAAATAGTATAGTGTATCCCACATTAGGAAAAAAAAAACAAAACTAGCAGAACACTATGTAATTAAGGACAGCAATATAGATTAAAACTAAAGTGACAGAGCCAATTGTACAAAACTAGAAATAGTATAAGAAGTGGGCGTCGTTGTGGTGTGTTGGGATGCACATGATCCAACGCTGAAGATTACACAATTCAAAAAGCATAATTAATTATCTTGGCCATCTCGGTTAACTGCTGAACCGGTCAAAAAGAAAACACACGAAAACGTATCTTGTCCCAACGACACGCAAATAAATTACAGTTTAAACACTATCCACCTACAATAGCCGGTCATCAATTCAAGGCATATATTTAGCAAGCATCCATGTTTCATTCCTCACTCTATCTTTTCTCTAACCCTAAAATCTCTTTTATCTCTCTCTCTTTCTTTGGTTATGGAGAATATTGGTGTTGGGATGCCGTTTTACGATTTAGGGCAAACAAGGGTTTACCCACTCTTCTCTGATTTCCACGATTTATCGGCGGAGAGGTATCCGGTAGGGTTCATGGATTTACTGGGTGTTCATCGTCATACACCCACACATACGCCGTTGATGCATTTTCCTACTACACCTAACTCGTCGTCGAGCGAAGCTGCGAATGGAGATGAAAAGAAGAGAGATGACGAAGAAGATGGAGAAGAACAGCCACATAAGACAAATAAGCGGTGAGTTTGAGCTTTTATTTTCGTTTTGCAAACAAAAGTTAGCATTTCTTAAAACTATGCTTGCTGAACTTCGGGATTATAGGTTTAAATTCACTAAGAGTATTGAGAAGACGAAGATGAAGGTGCCAAAAGTGTCATTCATCACGAAGAGTGAGGTTCTTCATCTAGATGATGGTTATAAGTGGAGAAAATACGGTCAAAAACCTGTCAAAGACAGCCCTTTTCCAAGGTAATTGAGATTCATTTTCTTTGTGTGTTCTTTGGGATAAATTAGATCTTACAAGTTTTTAACGGGTTGTTTTTTTCCCTTTGCAAGGAATTATTACCGATGCACAACAACTTGGTGTGACGTGAAGAAGAGAGTGGAGAGATCATTCAGTGATCCAAGCAGTGTAATCACCACTTACGAAGGTCAACATACTCATCCTCGTCCAGTACTTATCATGCCCAAAGAAGGCAGCTCTCAATCCAATGGCTCAGCTTCAAGGGCCCACATTGGCCTCTCTACACTCCCTCCTCAGCTTTTAGATTACAACAACCATCAACAAAAACATCAAGGGCCGTCTTCTTTTGGAACTGAGTACATTAACATGCAAGAAAAAGGAATTGATCGTGATGATGATGACGATCATGTTGTGAAGAAGAGTCGAACTCGGGATCTGTTGGATGGAGCTGGTTTAGTCAAAGATCATGGCCTTCTTCAGGATGTTGTTTCCTCTCATATCATTAAGGAAGAGTATTAGTTAATCGCATAATTATGTAGCTATCTAGGTTTAGTTTTTCGAATTGTCATAAAAAAAAAAGGATCTTTAATTTACTTTGCAATCTTGAATGGATCAGGTAGATGTTGAAATTTTCCAAATCTTGTAATGGTAGGGTGATGTTCAAGTTATTACATGTATTTGATCATGATGAGTATTAGTTTTTTTTTCTTGTTTGAATCGAACGAGAGGAATCATACTTGTTCAATTAAGATATATTGTTTATAGTCACTCGACTCAGTACTCTAGTATATGGATCGTCGAATTGATATCCAACCTCGAACTTGAGAGCAATGATACGTTTTCTAGTTAGGGTTTAATGTTTTTTTTTCTCCATATAGAGCCGAAGTCGGTAAACCTTGATTAATTTCTGATTGATTAAGTGTCCCTTCAACAGAGAAGCATAATTTAATGGGTTCAAAGGACCTTTAATTTTAACAGAGAAGCATAATTAGATGGATTCAAAAGGGTATATTGATGTGGCAAAAAGCCAAACTAATGTTATGTTACTTAGTGTATGCATGGATCGAAAAGGATATGGGATGGATCAGTATATATTTAATTAAGGAAAAAAAAGATAACTTAAGCTTATATGATAATTGTAAAAAGATATTCACCACTTTTATTTCATGATTACCCTGCTGCCTACGTTGAAAATATATAATACACTGTCAAGTGTCAATGTCGCTTGCTATTTTAAACTTTAACGTTTTCTTTTTGGTTTCTATTTTATTCTTGTGGTTTCCTCTAAAACCCAAAAACGAAAATGAAGGAGTAAAACAAATTCAAATTCTAACCTAACCTCTAATAAATGATTTTTACTTTTAAGAAGAACAATGACGTGTGGACTATTATGATACTCTCATGTATATGTTTATTAACATTTGAGATTCGTTCCGTCTTCAAGCTGTTTGGAAGCAGTATTAAACATAACGTTTGAATTGAGTCAAACCCTTATAAAGACCACACTATGTGAACTATTTATATTTTTATAGAAATGTTTGGTTTCATCACCCTCTGTCCCAAATTTCATCTTGTCGATCGTATCACATGGTCTTTTGCTCCAAACTGCCACAAAAAAAAAAAAAAAAAAATTTGACCAAGTCATCAAATCTCGACATACTAGATTTGAATAATACAAGATTTGAATTTAATGTTTGTCGAGTGTTATAATCTTTTTTGAATCTAATCCAAAAAAGAAGTATATATATATATACTTCTTCTCGCAGTTAATAAAATTATTGTTGTCGTAAAGGTTTGAAGAGACAAATGGTTAAAATAAAACCTAAGGTAAACAAGTACTTATTAAATCGCTACATATCTTCTAAGATTGTAATTAATAAAAAATCTCAAATAGTTTGACCCAAAAAAAAATCTCAATTAAAAATTTGAAGATTTTGTTATATAAAGTTACATGGATTTTATGTAAGCTGATAAATTGCAGTTTTAGGGGAACTTTTTAATTTTATTAGATTTCTTAGCTATTTTGTTTGGTGATTTTATAATATACTTATTTTTTTTCTCTTTCTAGTTTCCTTATATTTAATTTCTTTACTTTTTAATTTATTAGTATGATTTCTCTTCTTAGTTATCTGAGTTATTATTATTGTCTTTATCTTCTTCATTAAAATATTATTATTGTCTATTTTTCTTTATCATTTTTTCCTACTGCCGAGAAAAATACTTTTTTTTTTCCTAGTGGATTAGCATATATAGGAGAAAGAGAGGTTTGAAGAAAGATTGTTAGAAAGTTGCAATTGGCAAATTTTGTTGTCATACTAAAAGAAAAAATGCCATACTATGTCCGTCCTTGCCTCCCTCCACCGGAGAACATAAAATTTTCTGGTTGTGTAATATTCGGACTCGATACCGAGAAGACCAATGAAATCTTCAACAAAATTTTCATGGAAAACTACTCGGAGCAAGCGTTGAAAGAATTCAAGTCGAATCCAAGGCTAAGAGTGAATGTGATGAAAACCATCATCGCATCTTTCCATTGTCAAATCCATCATGAGATCATTAAGGAGAAAATAGGTTTCGCGATATGGATGATCGGTGAATATTCATTATCGTTTTCAGATATCGAAAATGGATTATCTGTTATCAAACGAAGCATTGGAGAACTGCCTCTCCCTAATTCTTCTAAGGATGATCACGATGTTCAAACATGTCATTGGTTTGAAGAGTGTCGTCGAAGGCTACTCATCGATGGAGATGCGAAACTCCGAACTCAAATAGCTATCGCACTAACCAAACTTATCGATAAACAAAAAGTCTTTATTCATGATATTTCTGCCGGAAAACTCAGACAAGAACGAACAGAAGCTGTTAGGTTAATAGCGTCGTTGCAGTTGCTGCCTAAACCCGTTAATTTGGGACGTGCGACTATTTCTTTTTACAGCGGAGAAATCAGGAGATGCATGAGATCTATATGCCATCAAGATATAGAGCTTAACCAGTTACGCGTAAAAGCGAGTGGTGAGAATTTGGTTAGCTTGCTTTCCAAGAAATTGCAAGAAGAAAGAGATATGTGTGAGCAAGCGTTGTATCAGTTGGTAAGCACCCTCAATCATCTAACCTTATTTTGTTATTGAAATATATATATATATATATAAAGCGGTTTGGATTCTTCAATTTTCGTGACTATATTTATACATAGGAAGCAATCTTTTTCGGGTCCAAGAACGATGGTTGTGCATAAGGAGGCAGGCAATATATGAATGTGATTTTGTAAGTCCATACTAGGGGCAATATATGAATGTGTTATTTAAAATTGTCTATCTTATGTGTTATGCAACATTTGGTTTGAAGATTGCGATATTAATTATTCGATTTCATTTTCTTTATGGTCACATAAGCGATTAATATTTTATATATATTTATTTACGCATCATGGGGTAAATCGATAAAGTTTAAATATTATTAATTTGAGTTAGTAATGTAATTTCACATGCTGTTGATTTGTAAAAGAAAGAAATATTGACAAAATAATATTAATATGTTATATATATAGCTAAAAGGAAACCTAAAGCCCTAATTGCAAATCTAGAGGGCGAAAACGATGGCAAAAAGGGGAAGGAGCCCTAAAACGATTGCCGTCCTACCCGAGGATTTAGTGAAAGATGAGATCCTCCAACACCTTCCTGTGAAATCTCTAATTCGATTCAAGTCGGTATCCAAACAATGGAGATCGATGATCGAATCTACCTATTTCGTTAGGAAACATTTGGTTTGTCCTTTCTCAAACCCGAAAATTGTTGTTGGATCAAGGACTCATGATGACGACAACTCGCTAACTATTCTTCTAGAGACTTTTTCAAGAGACCATCAAGGCGAAATCGACACACAAATCAGTCGTTCTCCTTGCTCTTACATTTTTCATGGTCCAAGAACAGTGGGTCCAACTATAACCATATGTAAAGTTATAGGGTCTTGTGACGGTTTGGTCTGCATCCAAGAGTTAAGGTACTAATTATCATGTACAGAATTTGGTTGACTAGCTATCAATCTTTGCATATGCAAGGATTACAAAAATTGGTTGTTTTCGATATTTTTTAGTGAATTTTTATCTTTTTTTTTTATTTAACTTAGTGATAATAATTTCAATAAATCTAATTTTCTCAAAATAAATTTTGAAAGTATTGTAATGACAAATTTTTCGTCAATCACTAATGTTATTGCCTAACTTTAGGAATCGGAAAAATTTAGAACCAAGTGTATACATAATCAACCCCGCGACAAGAGAGCACCGGAAACTTTATCCAACGCAGTTGCAACACGTTCCAGGTATATGTCGTATGTTTAATTCGTCTCAAACTTGCAAATTTTATAGAATATTGTGAAAGCAAATTTATATATACTTTAACAACAGAAAAAATTATTGGTAATTTGAATAACATATATGTTTATTGTTTCTCTGTAGATTTTATGCCTCTATTGCTATTTTGCATTGGATTTGGGAAAGACATAGTAACAGGAACATACAAAACGATACATATCAAATTCTTCAAACGTCTCGATGAACATGCTGTGCTTCTCAAGACCTCGCTTTTGAACCTCGACAATGGCAGCGAACAAAGACACATTGGTGTTTTCCCTGTTTCCAACATGGAAATTTCTCATGAGCAAACATCAGTCTTTGCAAATGGATCCATCTTTTGGTTGACACAACGTTATCACAAGTCACTATCAAAAACACCTATTAAGTTAGTAGCGTTGGATCTTCACACTGAAAACTTTAGTAGAGTATCTTGGCCGAGTTGGTATGACGAACGTAGTCACAAAATGAGATTATGGAGTTTGAAAGATCGTTTATGTCTATCGAACGTGCTACAATATCCGGATGTGGATGTATGGTCATTGAAGATGGAAGACTCAATTGAGAAATGGGAGAAGATTTTTTCCATTAATGTTACAAGTATTGGTCGGTTAGCTACAAAGTTTTGGATGATCGGTTTAGAAGCTGCAAAATTTAGGCCTAAAGAAGGAAAAATTGATGTGGACCAAATCCCGTTCCATAGTTCGACAACCGCTTTGTATACCGAGACCTTAGTTTCTCCTTATCAAGAGATCTTATTAAGTTTAATTCGATTTAATGTTGTTGCTTTTTTTTTTTGTTGACTACTCTAGATTAATGATAAATGGCTTTTATATAAGTATAACATCGATCACATTAACAATATAAAGTCTTTTTTTGTTTTTCCCTCTTCTTCTTCAATGTATGATACAACTATAATTAATAAAGAAGTCGTTTGAGATTTCAGAGCATGCATAAAAGATTTGTAATGGTATATAACTCATCCTGATTACCTTAGTTAAACGACAGCGTTTATGGATAAAAACGTGAATCTTAAGAACTTAAAAACGACGACGTTTTCTTGAGGGTATATCTGTTAGTTACAGAAATCGAAGGGTTCAAAAGAAGAAATTAAAAATTGATTATTGGGAGCTGTCAATTTTAAGTTCACACAGGTACCGAACCCTAATAAGCTAATTGTCTCGTTTAGCATCTTCTTCTCGTTTTCAAGAATTTGGGTCGCCATTGATTCGCACCTCGCAAGGTAGGATAAACCCTAACTCTCAATTTCTAGGTTACACTCTTCCTCTTCTTCGCTCTCTTATTGGCTTTCTCGTTGGTTGCATTGAGCTATTTGTGACAATCTGTGACAATCGGCGAGTTTGGTAACAGGGTTGTATGAATTCTCTCACAACTTTCGTTTATCTCTATGAAAGATGTCAACTTTTTTGGTTTAATCGTATTATTGAATTATGAAGAATCTCTCATAATTATGTTATCTGTCTTCTGGAAAAATGTGGCGTCTTTCTTCTAAATTCACAGTTCTTTTCTCCTTGTTCTAATTCTTAGTGATAGAGTCTTCAAAATTGATACTTTTATGGATGAATGAACTCTCGATTGGAATCATTGTCTTTCTGGAAAACTGAAATTGAAAGTTGTGTTTATTTGTAGATGGAGAGCACTAGATCGGACCCAGAGCTTGATGATGACTTTAGTGAAATCTACAAGGAGTATACTGGTCCTGCAAGTACTGTGACCAACAACACTATCCAAGACAAAGACAAACCTATCAAACAACGTTCTGAAGAAAGATGTGATGAAGAAGAGCAACTCCCTGACCCCAATTCAGTACCAACCGATTTCACTAGCCGAGAAGCTAAGGTTTGGGAAGCTAAATCCAAAGCTACTGAGAGGAATTGGAAGAAGAGAAAAGAAGAAGAAATGATCTGTAAAATATGTGGCGAGTCTGGTCATTTTACTCAGGTAATCATCAAAGTTTCTTCTAGCTAACTCCTTTTGTAGTATATACATCATTTGTGTGTCTTTCTGATTGTTGCATCATTACTCTTTGTTCCATATGTTAGGGATGTCCATCTACACTTGGTGCCAACAGGAAGTCTCAAGAATTCTTTGAAAGGGTACCAGCTAGGGACAATAATGTGAGAGTTTTGTTTACTGAGAAAGTTATAGAAAGTATTGAAAGGGAGACCGGCTGCAAGATTAAAATGGATGAGAAGTTCGTAATTGTTAGTGGCAAGGACAGATTAATCTTGAGGAAAGGTGTTGATGCTGTTCACAAGGTTAAGGAGGATGGTGAGATGAAAAGTTCTTCTGTTTCCCACAGGAGCAGATCGAGGTCACCTAGGCGAACTTCTGTTGGTCCACCACGTGCTCGAAACTCTGAACCTCAAAGGCAGCACCCTCCATCACATGGTTCATCAAGTTTCCCAGAGCGCTCTGGAAGGCAAGATAAGTTTGTGGATAATCGTGTGCGCGAAGAGAATCGTATACGTGAGAATCAGCGAAATGTTTCCCGAGGATCACCACAAGGTAGGGACAGGATAGGATACCTTAGAGACCTGGTTATTTTCTCTTTTAGTCTTGTCTTTAAGGAAGTTGATTGGTCGTTTTCCGGCTTTTTTTGGCCGATAATGTCCTTTCCTTATCTTTATTTTGCAGCCAAAGGTAAGTCCTTTTGTTCAAGCATTTTGTACAGTACTGAAGTAAATAAATTGTTTACTGAACTTTTGCTCGATCTTCTCTGAATGAAGTTGAGATCACGTATCTTACTATAGCTGTAACCTTTCGTTCAGTCTCGTGGTCAGGCAGTTAACATTATTATTCATTTTATGAAGCTTATGGTAGTGACAGAGCTCGGAGTCGTTCCACACATTCGAAATCTCCAGGGAGACCACGTTATAGTGGATGGGATAAACCGTATGATAGGCAAAAGTCTGAGGTGAGTGGTTATAGGTCTGAAAGATGGGATCAGGAGAGAATGGGTGGCTCCAGCGATATTCAGGTGAGACATCAGTTTGAACGCCCTCCTTTCCCACAGACGTTGGAAGAACTAGAATTGGAATATACGAGGGATGCAATGGAGCTTGAAAAAAAGCGCGATAAGGAAGAAGATGAGGAGAACATTAAGCATCGTGAGGTAAGCGACCCAGTGACTGAATGTGTTCCTCTTAGATTCAAAACCGAGTATAGGCTGGATTGAAATCACAATTCCTGTTAGTTTCAACTATGAAAGTTTCATGCTTTTTACATTGCTCATAGTATTAGATGGCAGCGGATCTCTCCAAATGTAATTTAGTCCCCAGTCTCCTAGTGAAATGCAATTCCTTTTGAGGAACTTCAGCTTCTGACATCAATTTGTGCGAGTTTATAGACAATCCGGGAACTGAGAGAGAGTTACATGAAGAAACTGGCTGGGCTAAGGGGTATGAATGCTAAACAATGGGATGAATTCCTTCAACTGGAAGCTCAGAGACGTCAACAGCAAGCACGGCAGCAAAACTCTGGCCTGAATTATGGTAACTATAGGCAGTTTCCTCCTTATGCTGAGTTTGATGATGGCTACTCTTCAAATCCTCCTCCCTATGGTGGAAACAATGTGCCAATGGATTCCAAGGGAAGATATCCAAATCATGGAGATAACTATTCTTCAAGGCATCAAGACAACAATTATGGTGGGTTCCAACGCCAGAGACGTGAGGACTATGGAAAAGCCTACAATCGTTATTAGACCAACATAGTCAGATCGTGTTTGGTAAGTTGCTTCTCCCCTGTTTGAAGACAGAAGTAATGTGCTGTTATGGTTAACTGAAGCTAATCGTTCTTGGAGTTTATGGTTTTTGATTGAGTGTGGATTAGAAGGTTTAGATTGCTTATTGTCTTTGCGACCTGAAAGCTTTCTGAAATTTTCAGGATTTTGCTGGAACTGGATTAACGACGAACAAGTGCAAACAATGCGCAACCACCGAGGTTTGTTTCTTACTGTGAAGCCATTCTCATATCTGGACATATGTTGAATCACCTTGCAACGAGCACCTGTAACTGCCAGATATCTGGTCCTTCTTTGGGTTTGTTGTATACATTCTAAAAGTTTCTTTCTTAAGAGTAGTTATAAAACCATTTCCGTTGTAATCATAGTTCTAGCTTTAAACAGAAGATTTGTTTCAGTTTAGCCATTATCGCATTTTGAAGACTTGATGGAATGGTTTTTCTGTGGCCATGAAGAACTTATTCAGGAAGATATTATCTAACGTTATGATATTACTAATGCCTCATGAATGTTAAAGGTCCAAACATCCTTTACCTACCTATATCAAGTTATCAACAAAGTGGGATCCTATTAATTAGTATTTTAATCCCTTTTTTTCTCCTAACATTCCTAAGGAATCAGTATTATTTTTTCTTACTTTAAATAATGATAAGTAAAACAAATAAAATATAGAAAAATGTGTCTCTCATATATATATGGGAGACTCACAAAAATGCCCCTTTTTTAATACCCTTTTTCAAAAATGCCCCCTTTGGCTGTCCATTTTTAAAAATACTCCTTTTTATGTACAAAATGACTAAATTACCCTTCTTTTAATAAAAGATATCACAAATATATAAGGAAATATAACAAAATTAGGTCCACAAAATACAAAATATTTTTTAGCGGGAAAAGTGATCCCGCAATTTTTCCCGCCAAAACACTTGTAAAAACTTGTAAAACCTTTAAAATACCTTGTAAAATTTTCCCGTAAAATTTTTTCCCGCCAAAAAATTTACCGCCAAATTTTTTTTTTTGCGGGAAAAGTGATTCCGCAATTTTTTTGGCATTAAATTTTTGGCGGGAAAATTTTTCCCGCCAAAAAATTACAAGGTATTTTAAAGGTTTTTTACAAGGTATTTATAAGGTTTTATAATGTATTTTAAAAGGTTTTACAACGTATTTACAAGGTATTTATAAGATATTATAAGATTTTACAAGCTATTTTATAAGGTTTTTACAAGTTATAAGGTTTTACAAGTTTTCTATAAGGTTTTACAAGTTATAAATACCTTATAAAACTTTATAAGTACCTTGTAAAACCTTTTAAAATACATTGTAAAACCTTACAAAACACTTGTAAATACTCTGTAAAACCTTTAAAATACCTTGTAAATTTTTCCCGCTAAAAAATTTCCCGCCAAAAAAATTTCGCAAAAAAAATTGCGGAATCACTTTTCCCGCAAAAAAAAATTTTTGGCGGGAAAAATTTTTACGGGAAAATTTTACAAGGTTTTTTAAAGGTTTTTACAAGTGTTTTGGCGGGAAAATTGCGGGATCACTTTTCCCGCCAAAAAATATTTTGTATTTTGTGGACCTAATTTTGTTTCAACTAAGGGTAAAATGGTCATTAAAAATTAAAAGAGGGCAAACTTAAAAATGGACTCTCAAAGGGGGCATTTTTGAAAAGGGGTATTGAAATAGGGGCATTTTTAACAATTTCTCTATATATATATATGTTTAACTATAATTAAATCTAAATGAAATAATTGTGTATTTGGTTGTGAAAGAATTTCAATATAGAAGATATAATTAAATCTAATGAAAATAGATAATAACATATTTGATTTTTTAGAAAAACACATATGAAATAATAAAGCGCCACGATCATGAGTTTGAGAAAATCTTACATTATTAATTATTATATAAAATATATAATTAAATCTTATGAAAATAAATAATGATGTATTTGGTTTTGAAAGAAATTTAATATAGAAGATATAATTAAATATAATGAAAAACTCTTTCTTTTTTTTTTTTAGTGAAAAAATCTTATATAAAGATAAACGTATCTACACTACTTGGAACAACCATTTCTTCTCATATAATATCAGAGATGTTTCCGTCGACTAAATCATCTTCCTTTCTTTCTGATGTACTATTCGAAGATCATCTAAAAAGAAATCAAATGCTTGAGATTTCATCGATTGTAGACATTGGACTAGCTTACATCAAAGCGATCGTAACTGATAAAGATAGCGACATCAACCTTGTTGTGGAGACATTCTTGTCCAACAGGAATAACAAGAAGAAAATCATAGGCCTTGACACAGAACGGGTTCAAAAAGCAAGAAAGCAAATAAAAACCGTATTGCTCCAACTCTGCGATGGAGATCATTGCCTAATAGTAAAACTTCCTTGTGAGGAATCTGTCAATCTTCCTGTCTCTCTCTTCAATTTTCTCAACCTACCTCAATTCACGTTCGTTGGAATTGACATCAAGAAAACTCTGGTGAAGCTTGAGAGTGAATGGGGTTTGACATGCAAGAACTCTGTTGAGATCAGCCCCGCCACGTGGAACCAGACCGAGAAGATAGGAGTTAAGAAATTTCTGTACAATTTTTTTTTTCCTCCTCAGACACCGACAATCCCTGTCTCTGAAGAGTGGGACATATATGTTCTTACCGAGAACCAAATTAAGCTCGCAACCTCAAATGCTTATTTCGCTTTTGGAATTGGGAGAGCTCTATTGGATGGTTTCAACTACCTGTACTAAGGTTATTATGGGTCAAATTAAGCCGTCTGTTTGTGGATTTTTATTGCTTTTACTTCCTCTTTTTTTTTTTTTGGTCAGTCTTTTGTTTAAGTTTGCATATCAAGTTAGTTATCAACGGTCAGGGACGATCTTTATGTACAACCTAAATCTTGTATGCCACAAAGTATAATATTTGGAAAGGTTTGGGATTAATTAGTAATTTTGTCGCTTTCCTTCTCGCAACATTCCTAAGGAATCATTATACGGGCTTTTAAAAGCCCAAGTGTTAAGACGATAGTTACAGTATATTCAGATATTGGGCCGGGCCTGATGATTCTTACTTATTACAATTAGCCCACATAACTAACACTGGCTCCTTTTCCAAATATTTAGAGGGGGCTAAAGAATATTTTGTTAAGATTTGGGGTCAAACTGAAAATTCTAATTAAACTTAAGCCGCCTCTCTCTTCTCCTAAATCACGCAGCCGAACCCTAGCTTTCATAAATTTTCATTCATTCATCGTTCTTCTGCTTTTGCTTCTTGCAAAGGCCTAGCCTTGTGCTTCCTCGTTCTATCTCTCTTGCTTCCGTAATTCGTTCGTAAGAGAATCTCGTGATGGGTACGGAGAGAAAGAGGAAAATTAGTCTGTTCGATGTTATGGACGATCCATCTGCTGCGGCGAAGAACACCAAAATCAGTGGTCTTGCCGACGGCGGAATCAACAGTCTCATCAATAAATGGAACGGGAAGCCTTATTCACAGAGATATTATGATATTCTGGAGAAACGTAGGACTCTACCTGTCTGGCTGCAGAAAGAGGAGTTTCTCAAAACTTTGAACAGCAATCAAACTCTAATTCTGGTTGGTGAGACCGGTAGTGGTAAAACCACTCAGGTAAAGTTTTCATCTTTTCTATTCCGATACTTCGAATTTGATATGTAGGCTTAGGAATGATTGTATATCGAGGAGGGTTTAGGTTGATTTAATCGGAGATGATGTTTAGAGGCTAATACTGAATTTTGTTTATTTGTACAGATTCCACAGTTTGTAATAGATGCTGTGGATTCGGAAACATCGGATAAGCGTAGGAAGTGGTTGGTTGGATGCACACAGCCTCGTAGAGTTGCCGCCATGTCTGTGTCCCGTCGTGTTGCTGAAGAGATGGATGTAACTATTGGGGAAGAAGTTGGTTACAGCATCCGTTTCGAGGATTGCAGTAGCCCCAGAACGGTTCTTAAGTAAGGATTGTCTCTCTTTAGATTCTCGTCTTTATAATTCATGTACTTGTGGACTTGTATCTAATCATGTGCTTGTTGCTCACCATGACCAGGTACTTGACTGATGGTATGCTCCTAAGAGAAGCAATGGCGGACCCACTTCTAGAGAGATACAAAGTGATTATTCTCGATGAGGCCCACGAGAGGACTCTAGCCACAGATGTGCTGTTCGGTCTTCTGAAAGAAGTGTTGAAAAATAGACCTGATCTTAAGTTAGTTGTGATGAGTGCAACTCTAGAAGCTGAAAAGTTTCAGGATTATTTTAGCGGTGCTCCTCTGATGAAAGTTCCTGGTAGGCTTCATCCAGTTGAGATCTTTTACACTCAGGAGCCTGAGAGGGACTATCTTGAGGCTGCTATTAGGACTGTTGTCCAGATTCACATGTGTGAGCCACCTGGTGATATTCTTGTTTTCTTAACTGGAGAAGAGGAGATCGAAGATGCATGCCGCAAAATCAATAAAGAGGTTGGTAATCTCGGAGATCAAGTGGGGCCTATTAAAGTTGTGCCATTGTATTCTACTCTTCCACCTGCGATGCAGCAGAAGATATTTGATCCTGCTCCAGAGCCAGTAACAGAAGGTGGTCCTCCTGGGAGAAAAATTGTTGTCTCAACTAACATTGCTGAGACTTCTCTAACCATAGATGGGATTGTCTACGTCATTGATCCTGGTTTTGCTAAGCAAAAAGTCTACAACCCTCGAATCCGTGTTGAGTCTTTGTTGGTCTCCCCAATTTCAAAGGCAAGTGCTCACCAGAGATCTGGTCGTGCCGGTAGAACACGCCCTGGAAAATGTTTCAGGCTTTATACAGAAAAGAGTTTTAATAATGACTTGCAGCCGCAGACGTATCCTGAAATATTGAGATCAAACCTTGCAAACACAGTTTTGACCTTGAAAAAACTTGGTATTGATGACTTGGTGCACTTTGATTTTATGGATCCCCCTGCTCCGGAAACACTGATGCGAGCCTTAGAAGTTTTGAATTACTTGGGAGCATTGGATGATGAAGGTAACTTGACAAAGACAGGTGAGATCATGAGTGAGTTCCCCTTGGATCCACAGATGGCAAAGATGCTCATAGTCAGTCCTGAATTCAACTGCTCAAACGAGATTCTCTCAGTTTCAGCCATGCTCTCAGGTCCGCCCTTTACTTTTATCTTTTTGTTCTTGCTACCTTTGGTTAGGTATGTAGTTAAGGGTAGGCTTAAACTTGCTACAAGTTTCCATTCTGCATCTAGTCTAATGTGCATTAGAACTCATCTTTTATCGTTCATGTATAGAATTGTCATTTAGAATGAAGTATTAGAGTTAGGTTGTCATCAGCTGTCTCTAGTGTGGGTTCTGCATACCCATGGTTAGGGGGTGTCCTAAGTAAGTGCTGATGCAAATAGTTGCAGTTTCTCAGTTATTCTCTCTCATGAAGCAAATGGTATCAGTCTCATCGCCTCTATGCATCTGCTGACCTCTTCCATGGACCTCTTCTGTTATAATTACCAATTCTTTCTCTAGTACCGAATTGCTTTATTCGGCCTAGAGAGGCTCAAAAAGCAGCAGATGAAGCTAAAGCTAGGTTTGGACACATTGATGGAGATCACCTCACATTGTTGAATGTCTACCACGCTTTCAAGCAACACAGTAAGTGATTATCCATTTGTCTTCCTCTTTGGATTATAGTTACTTTAGACAAATAAAATGACTGTAACTAACTTGGTCAATGTGAATTCTCGCAGATGAAGATCCAAATTGGTGCTATGAAAACTTCATCAACAATAGAGCGATGAAATCTGCAGACAATGTTAGACAACAGCTAGTTCGGATAATGTCAAGATTCAACCTGAAGATGTGCAGCACTGATTTTAACAGCCGCGACTACTACATCAACATAAGGAAGGCCATGCTTGCAGGTTATTTCATGCAAGTGGCTCACTTAGAACGTACTGGCCATTACTTGACTGTCAAAGACAACCAAGTATGTGAAAAGGCATATTCAGTTTATGTTGTTTCCATTGAAAAAATGTTTCTCTTTGTACTAATCCGATGGTTACATTCTTGTTTGGCAGGTGGTTCACTTGCATCCATCCAATTGCTTGGATCACAAACCGGAGTGGGTAATCTACAATGAATATGTTTTGACTAGCCGGAATTTCATAAGAACTGTGACAGACATTCGTGGTGAATGGTAAGTTCTTGTATTTCCTGTTCTTGTTATCTTTGGTTATCATCTCTCGAAGGTTTTCTTTTCTGAAAAAATCTCTCTTTTGCCATGTGGATTCACAGGCTAGTAGATGTTGCTTCTCATTATTACGATCTTTCGAACTTTCCCAACTGCGAAGCCAAACGAGTCATCGAGAAGCTTTATAAGAAGAGAGAAAGGGAGAAGGAAGAGAGCAAGAAGAACCGGAAGTGAAGGAGAATCATATCATCACATGTCAGTCAACATCTGATTCTACTTGAACAAGAGGACCAATCCTTAAAGCCTGTCCCATATGATAATTTACCTCTTTGTCCAAAAGATTCTAGCAGTTATCGTTTTTATAGGTGTTTTGATGAAACTGATATTTGCATTTGACCCAAATGGTTGTTTCTTTTAATTTAAGAGCTTTGAAGATTCCTAATTTCCTATTACTGACTTATCCTTTCACGACTATCTAATGATATATGGTTCTGAGTTATATGACAATTAGCAATAACAATTTTGAAAAATTATAATTTTTATGTATGATTAAAAAATCTGAAAGAAAAAAGAGGTTCGAGATACAAGTCTCACAGAGACATTACTTAATTTAATTAGTCAAAGTTATGTTTTCTACCAACAACATACATAGAACTCAATTATTCTTAAACATAAACGTCTGATCTACGACTTGCTTATTTCCATGGGGTAGCGACAATTGCCTGAAACTCGTGATCTACATTCTGAACCTTTTGGTCAAGAACAGCTGCTTGAGACTGCATCCGAGCTATCTCATTGTCTAGTGTTACCTTTGCTTCCTTCATCAACACTTCTTGTCTCTGCAATTCAACAATATCTTCTTCATACTTCCTTCTTTTATTGTCATTCTCTGTGATCTTTTCCTCAACAGCTTTTAATTCTTCCAATGCGCATGTCTGCCTTTCTTTAATGGACAATAGCTTGGCGATCCGTGATCGAGGTGTTGTAACATTGAACCCATGTTTCTCTAGCTTGAGGAAACACTCGTCGATCCTGTTAATCGAGCTTATTGGATCGTCGACTTGTAGGTTGTTGACTTTCTCTAACAGCGAACTAAACTTCACCATTGTACCAATAGCGTCTCCTTCACGGAACTCTTCTTCGCTATCTAGCAGTGGACTGAAATGTGGACGCTGTGGCACTGTTTTGAAGACCTCCATTGATTCAAGGACTTTCCAAAGCTGTGACTTCTTTACAAATGGTAGAACCATTGTCGACTCTCTCGCTGGGGGAGTTTCCATAACATCGACATGATTTTCCACAACTGTATTAAGCCCTAGATCAGGAGTCCGAGAAACAGATTGCCCTGAGGAATAAGGTGAAAAGAAAAACACAAAACAATGAGAACCGAAAGCTAAAAGAGCACCAATTGTTTACAAAATGTGTCAGCACTTAATCCAGCCGAACCCGATGATGAATTTCCAGCGTGGATCCATGAAGCGAGAGGCCTATCATCATCAGTCATATCGGCATGTTCAATAGTGGCAGCCTTTGAATTATTACCAGACACACCTACAAGTTATCATGCCAAGAATGATTTAAGATTGCAAAGAAACAAATGCCGCTTTACTTATCCACGAAAGTTAAGACAACATACCAGACTTCTGCTTAGGCTCTGTGCTTATGAACTTTCGTGGCTGTCCTCTTTTCCTCTTATTAACACTCTCTCTGTTTTTCATCTCCCCAGGTGCCTGCGTAGAATCAATAGGATGAACGACCGGCAAAGTGGGATGTTTAACAGTGCGACTAACTAACTTTCACCTTCTCTCCAGCAGAATCATTTGTAGAGCTCTTTTGATTCTTCATTGCCTGAAGTTTCTTCTTCGGAGATGTTTTTCCTTGTGTTTTGACCGCTGCGGCTACGCCCAGGACTATCGATGGGTGAAAATCTTTTGCTAGAAACAGTAAATACGTAGAATCATTTCGAGACACAAACAACTTCCAATAAGACTAACCATCATATTTGTCAAGGTAAAGAATGATATAACACTTACGTGCTGCTATCTCCGGTTGGCTTGTGACTGGAGTGTTCTCATTCATCACAACATCAGTCATCCTACTCCCTAATTCTCCAGATAACTGCTGCAAGAAACACACAAAGTTAACCGTAATTACCCAATCTATGTCATCAGAGCAAGATTGCTTCAAGCAAGTTAAATTCACTGAAAAAGTTACTTATAACCTTAACTCGCTGATTCAAAACTCAAGACTGTTAAATTAGCGTGCAACTAGAGATAGAGAGGGACGGGCGGAAATATCTAACTCACAGCTGCAGTTTCGGAGAGCGGTGTTTCACTCACAGTGACAGATGCTTTACCAGCCGCTGCAACATCTCCACAGGAAGAGGCAGGAAGAGGATTCTGCATATTCTGGATAGCACCACTAGAAGAGCGTGTCGCCCTCAAATTTTTTACTGAGGCCGAAGCATTTTTCTCTCTCAAGGCAGTTCGAACAGTTACCCTTATGCGGGTTGAACGAGCTGTTTCTTCAACTGCATGCGAACTCTCTTCGCTATCATAAACCTAAAAAATGGAACACAAAATGTTTTTTTCTCACAAAAGATGAACTAAGGATTCAACAACATACAATAGTGTTTAATGTAAGAATCAACAACATACCTTTTCTTCTTTATGCCAAACTCCATCTTTCCACTCTATAGAAGGTCTTAACTGCAAACGGCTAAACTCCTTACTCTCCTTGTTTGGCCCCAAAGCCACTGCGTATCTCTTCCCAAACAGAACTTTACTAACAACACCCGGACACCATCCAGAATCGACAAGCGCATCCACATTTTCCATCAATAGGTAATCTCTTAGACCAATAGGCAGTGGTGAAGGTCGGATTTTGGAATAAGAAACGCTTATCTTGGTGCAATCGACCTCTTCATCGCTCAAAGTCTTCAACTTTACCAATAATGTCCCATCTTCATTCTCCTTAATGACCATAGCCGGAGCCCAAACATCGCCCAAATTGTGTACCTCAGTTCTGACTTCTACAGACTTTCCGGCACTAAAATCCGACTCAGTCAATTGCTTCAGCCACAAAAATAACAAGATTTAGTTAGATACCAACGAAAATAAGAGTTGAATCAAAATCAATGAAAAGAAGAAGAAAAAATCAACACTTACTTGTTTCTCGTATCGAAACCATTCGTCATCTTTCCAAGTCAAATGCGGACGCAGATCCTTTCGTTGAAGCTCGATGACATCAGGTTGGAATCTGAGATACACCAAGAAACGCCGATTTCCCAAAACTTTAATCACCAAGCCAGACCACCAACCACCTTTATGAGCAGCGTCAATGACGTCACCTTCCTCAAAATCGACCTCTGGAAACGGATCCGGCGGCGGAACTGGACGCATCAAACGATGCACGGTGGTTTGGATTAACGGAGGAGAATAATCATCCTTGAGCAGAGGATCCAAGTGACGAACAGAGAGCTTCTTCCGCTTCGATTTAGCTAGATTTTCTTCAAGAATGGCGCAGTACCAGACATTGCCAGTACCATACTCAAACTCTTGAGAAGAGACTTCAATTTCAGAACCTTTAGAAACAGAGAGTTTCTCCTTTCTTCCCGTAGTTAACAACATGCTTTCTCTCAGAAAACCCTAAGCAACAATCACCAGAACCCTAGACCTAAGAAGAAGAGAGACGAAAGATAAAGTGAGCTATTTTTTTGGTGGAAACCTTGAAAAAATGCCGCTAAGAATTGACATTTGAGTATGTAAAGATATTCTTTCTACTAGTATTAGTGTTTAGTGTAGTGGAGATCTACTATAATTAACTTCTTCTTCATTTTCTTACAACGTATTAATTATGATTTAAATCGGGAATTGTAGCTGTTTGTATTAGTTCTGCCGTCCATCCAATCAGATTTGTGGATTACTTATAAATTCAGATTTTTTTTCTTTAAGTGATGACATATAGGAAAGAAAATAGTACTGTCTTTAACGTTTGTAAAAACAATTTCATTACATTTATCTTAGTTATTTCATTTTCGCTTTCAGAATTGAGTCGTACTGTTTGAAATTTTGAATACTGTTTGAAATTTCAAATCCATCTCACGGAATTGGCCAATTGGGTGTCGATAAATTAATTTAGTAAATGCACAAGGCTAAAAAGAAATTGGAATATCCGCCTAAATTGGGCCCCATTTTATAAGCGTCTGAATTATAGGATAGAAGAAAAAAAGGAAAAAACTCGTGAATTATTAGAGCGAAGAACAAAGAGTATGAAATGATAAGAGTTTGAGAAGAAAGAACAAAAGAGAGAGACGAAGAAGACAAGACTCTCCTCGATTAAAACCAAACCACACAATGCTCTCCTAAGCCTGCATTTCATCACACATTTGAATTAGTCTTCAACAATCAATATTAATACTAATACGATTTAAAATGTTGTAAACTTGGTATATATACCTTGTTTGCGATGTTGTTAGAGAGCCAGTCAAGTCCCTCATAAAGCCCTTCTCCGGAGGTAGCACATGTGCTCTGTATGTACCTGTTCAAACCCCACCAACGATTTACATCACTTCTTAGGCTTTCAATAGTTAGGTATCCGGTATTTAAAGAGATTTGGTTTAGTTTTCTTTGGCTCACCAGTGTCGTTGACGGAGAGAGTGAAGTCCAAGCTTGTCAGTTATCTCAGCGGCGTTCATCGCATTTGGAAGATCTTGCTTGTTAGCAAAGACGAGGAGCACAGCATCTCTCAACTCATCCTGCAACAGTCAAAAGGAAACAAAATGATGCCACTTGCTTCAATATGTAACACTAGGGCAGGAGATTTTTGTTCGAGTTTTACTTCGTTCAACATTCTGTGAAGCTCATCCCTGGCTTCCACAACACGGTCACGATCATTGCTGTCCACCACAAAGATAAGTCCCTGAGTGTTCTGGAAGTAGTGCCTCCACAATGGACGAATCTGGATGGGCAAGTGAAAAGAAAAATGTTATATTGGAATAGTGCAAGTGTCATTTAGCAAAATGGGTCAGTTCATGGATAATCAAGAATTTAGGCTATTTAGCTATAGTAATTGTAGAATGCTGGTAAAGGAATGTAATCACATTACCTTGTCTTGACCCCCGACATCCCACACGGTAAAGCTAATGTTCTTGTATTCCACAGTCTCCACGTTGAAACCTAGCAAAATCCAAAATTGTCAGAGATGAAAATTCTTCAACAAGTACAATTACACCGCATGCCATATTGCAACTGTTTATTCAAGATCCAAACTAAAAGTTTACCATAATCTACTAATCCAACCATGATACGAAAATATCACCATAATCCCTTGATATGAATGCATAACAATGCGTATATTTCTCATAATTCGATGCAAGAAAGAGTGCAAAGTTAGAAACTCACCAATGGTTGGGATCGTAGTCACAATCTCTCCAAGCTTGAGCTTGTACAGGATCGTAGTCTTACCAGCAGCATCGAGACCCACCATGAGGATACGCATCTCTTTCTTGGCAAAGAGCCTGCTGAACAACTTTCCAAAGGACAGCCCCATATTCTCGAGCCTGTTTCAAAGTTTTCACATAAAATCTTCAGTCTAAACGCATACTCAATAGCAGCAATCATATAGATTCAATATCATCCACCAATTGAGAAAAAAATCACAAAGCAAAGCAGTTTTGACCCAACCAGTAAGCTCCTCCTAGGATTATAAATTCTCTGGAACTCATTTGCATCATTCACATAGATTCAATATCCATCACTTGAGAAAAAGTTTACAAACCAAGGTAGTTTTGATGCATCCTAAGATTACAAGTTCTCTCGGATCTCATTCGTATCATCAACTTCCGATAAAATCAACATGATTAACAAAAAAGAGATCTAAATTCCGATCTGAAAAAGACAAATCTAGATCACTTTGTATAACGATCATGCAGATACAGATCTATCATCCCTAATGAAACGAATCACAAGAAATCATGTCACATCCATAACGAAATCAGGCGAATACACACAGATCTGGAGATGAAGGACACCGATCGCGAGATAGATAATGGAAACAGACGATCAAGTAAACAAATAGAGAAAGAGGGATACAGATTCGGCGATGAACGGAGACTTACCGGGAAAAAAACTACGCCGAAGAAGAAGACCTAGACTTAACACTGTCGCCGATGGTCGTCCAAAGAACAAGAAATGGTCTTCGAACGTGAGAGGAGGAATAGTGGAACACAACAATTCTCTACTTATGCCAAAAAAAAAATCACAATTCTCGCTTTTATAGTTGAAGTATATAAATAATTGTTTTAGCTTCATTAACAACTTGCGGGGATAGCTCAGTTGGGAGAGCGTCAGACTGAAGATCTGAAGGTCGCGTGTTCGATCCACGCTCACCGCATATTTTTGTTTTTTTTTTGTACTCAGATAGTGGGCCTGGGCTTTTTTACACATATACAATATTCGATGAAGCCCATTTAGTTTCAGCTTTGGCCCATATTAATAAGTTGTTCGGTGTATTTTTAATAGCTCAACAAGTTCTGACAATCCTTAGAAAACATGGCCGATCGGATCTAGGGATTGATTTATTGGTTTTATAACATTGCCTTGAGATTATTAATCATTACTATAATGCAACTTGAAATAATATTAACATATACTTATTGACTTACAATTAAAATTTTTGACTTTCTAAGCCAAAGACATATATATAAAGCATAGATCTTGAATCTAGATTAAAAAAAATTGAATAGCAAAATAATTCAATAGAAATGGATTACGCTGTTTCCTCTCTACAATGCTTCTTCTTTATTTTATGTCTATCTCTTTTGGTTTGCTCTAACTCTGAAATTAGTTCCAAGTCAAACAAGAAACCTATATTGATAAACTTTGGCGACTCTAACTCCAACACTGGAGGAGTTCTTGCTGGCGTAGGACTTCCTATCGGACTCCCTCATGGCATTACCTTCTTCCATAGAGGCACTGGTCGTCTTGGAGACGGTCGACTCATCCTTGACTTTTTTTGTAAGTCTCACTTCTTTTTGTATACGTTTCATGTTTATACATGTAATTTTACAAATTCGGTTAAAAAAATATTGTTATATGATTAGGTGAACATTTAAAGATGACATATTTGAGTCCATATTTGGATTCATTGTCACCAAATTTCAAAAGAGGAGTCAATTTCGCAGTCTCGGGAGCCACCGCTCTTCCAGTCTTTTCCTTCCCTCTTGCCATTCAAACCCGCCAATTCGTCCATTTCAAAAACCGTTCTCAAGAACTTATCTCTTCCGGTAATTATTCTCTCTCAAACTATTCTTATATGTATCTCAAATTCATTACTCACAAAATATTTTCTCCTGTTGATAGGGAGAAGAGATCTTATTGATGATAATGGATTTAAAAACGCATTGTACATGATCGATATTGGACAGAATGATCTTTTACTTGCTCTATACGATTCGAATTTAACATATTCACCCGTTGTCGAAAAAATTCCTTCCATGCTTCTCGAGATAAAGAAAGCCATACAGGTACTTTATTTCTTTCTCAAAATACTTTTATATTTCAACATATGCATAAACTGTTAAATTAAATGTTCATATGATAATTTGGATGATAAATTAATAGCTAGAGCGTTAGGGGTATTGTTAGGGGACAATTGTTTAAAACTTTTTAGTTGACTCTTAAACCGTACCTAATCCGACCGGTTTGTAATTTGGTATGTTGTAATGAAGACGGTATATTTATACGGAGGGAGAAAGTTTTGGGTACACAACACAGGCCCATTGGGCTGTGCACCAAAAGAATTGGCCATTCACCCACATAACGAATCGGATCTTGACCCGATTGGTTGTTTCCGGGTTCACAACGAAGTCGCAAAAGCATTCAACAAAGGACTCTTTAGTCTCTGCAACGAACTGAGATCGCAGCTCAAAGACGCTACTCTCGTCTACGTTGATATTTACTCCATCAAATACAAACTCTCCGCCGATTTCAAACGATACGGTGCGTATCGATCGCATTAATAATAATAAAAAATCATTTTTAATTGGTATGAGAAATAAAAACCGGTTTTTTCGGTTTATTTGGTTTATGCGGTTTCAGGATTTGTGGATCCGTTAATGGCTTGTTGTGGTTATGGAGGAAGGCCTAACAACTACGATCGAAAAGCAACGTGTGGTCAACCCGGTTCAACTATTTGTCGTGATGTAACCAAAGCAATTGTATGGGATGGGGTTCACTATACCGAAGCTGCTAACCGGTTTGTCGTTGATGCGGTTTTGACGAATCGGTATTCTTACCCAAAAATTTCCCTTGACCGGTTTTGGTAGATCTAAAACAAATTAATCTATTGAACCGGTTTGGTTAATAAAGTTTGTTTTTCAATATAATCAGAAAATAAAATAAACGACCAATGTGTTTTATATATGCAAGGATCTTAGCCGTTCATATTAACCTCACTAATCCGTCCAACTATTGATGGTACTAAAATGACTAATGATTACGTTATGAAGTGAATGTGTCAAGTCAAACTATTGAGCCATTATCACCATGTTTTCTGGCTTCATCTTCTTACAAATTGAAATTCGAGTGTTGACATGAGAAATGATGAGAGAAAATGACCAACCACTTTTTCTATTTTGTCTTTCGCCTCTCACATATTTTATTTTATGTTTCTCCCTCAATTATTATTGCTCGTTCATAATAGAAAAAAAGTCGTCCCCTAGACATCATTATTGTCGGAATTAATTTGACTGCACTTCATATATTCACCAAGTATAGTTAAAGTGTGTTCGACTATTGTGAATTTGTGATGTCATTAAAACACAACAGTGTATATTTATTATTGTGTTCGTTGTATCTGGTTTACTAATCTCGTATTGGACGACAAATATATACAGTATATCATTTATTGGATTTGTAAACGGTGTGTGTATAACGAAAGTTAGCACTTAGCATATATAAATTTAACTTGGCATTGTATTATTTGAAGTTCCAACATGCAAGAACCTCGTATTGATGGAATTGTAAAGTGAAAGCAAAGATTCCGCCCAGCTTCTAAATAAAATATATTGGGTAGATGAAAATAATTAAGCACATCATCAAAAAAGCATATATGTTTTGTTTTGGTATAAAAATTTAGCTTTGTGAAAAAAACAAAAGACATAAAATGAGTGAAATGCATGATTGAATCTTTAATAATGAAGTTTTGTTTTGTTGGCAATAATATGTAATGTTGAATAAATTAGACGATACTCAAAAAAGAACTAATATGAGTGAGTTTGGTGGACAACTTTTACAGAATCTGATGAATAATTAATATGAAAGTTGATCAAAGTATTAAAAACAAATTCAATTAATAAGCAGTTTTGCTATTAGAGTAGTGTATATAGAGTCTGTTACAAGTTTTACTCTTTTAAATTTTATTAATTTTCCGTAATGTGATTACTTCTTCTTTTATTGTTTTGCAGCTTATTGTTTGTTTTCGTATGTATTTTATTGCATTATATGTTGAAACTATATATTTTTAAATCGGCTATACTCACTTGGCTCGACAAACCGTACCAGACCGGTCTATAGTTGAATCGGCTTAATTAAACTCGATACTCAATACTCCCGATGTCAAAATATTAGATGCGTGACTAAAATACAAATAGAGCACCGACTAACTGGTTAGTCAGAGTCTTCGATTTTGTCAAACATATTTATAACAAGTTGTTATTAACAACTCTAGCTTAAAGAGTTAAACCTGTCCCAAATAAGTTTAACTTGATTAATACTTAGCTTACTCTATTTTAAAATTTATTAGTCGGTAACACTCCACTGAAACAATTACGCGAATGCCGTAAAGATGTTGAATAAGAACTCAAAATATCATAGGCAGGCATTTTAAAGTTCTTCATATAATGAGTCATTGACTCTCTTTTAATCGTGTCGTATAGAGACAAAAATCGAACTCAATGTCATAGACTCGTAGGCGAGTGATTTGTTTAGTTATTCGGTTACATGATAATTTAAACAACATTCGTTGAATACATAAAATAACTTAATGTTACGTCATGTCCCGTCCTCTATCTCAATAATCTAATCCGGGAAATATCTATGGAGTATGCACATAGTAGTTGACCTTTTCTCGCATTAAGTATAGAGACAAAATTAAACTAAAACTTTTTTTTTTATATAATTTAACTAAAACTTTTTTAAGATGAGAAGCTATATATATTAGAAAGTGACATTCATTGTTTATATATAAAAAAGTAACTCGTTACAAGTAAATGTCGACATATATATATACTAATTTATCATGCTTCTATTGAGTTCCGATCCAACCATTAATCCAGATTTATAAATGAATAAACTTCTCTAACGAGGAAAAACAAGCTCCGATATTTTTATTTTTTGAAAAAGCTTCGATTAAGATTTCTATCTTTAACGTAAAATTGATTTCCCTTTAAGCAAAAGCACCATATATATACAAAGAAACAAGAATTGCAAAAGGCATAGTCAATCACATGTGCAGACCAAATACGTGTATTTGCATGAACTTCATTCGCAAGTCAGTCAATAACTTTTTAATAACAGTGTAGCTATGATTTAAAACTCGAATTCTAATTGAAATGGTTTCTCGTGAAGAGCTTCAAGTGGCTGTATTGCTTTTAAATATTCTTGTTATGAAACATTTCATACATAACAAAAAAACAAACCAACGCATATAATGATGGTTTCTAATATGTTTCAATATATAAAAAAATAAAAAACTGATATATGATGATTCATTTAGCTATCACAAATATAAGTGGTCCAAAAATATAAAAACTTCAGTGGCATGAATTCTCTGTTTAGCAGCTCGCTCTCTTCCGGATCGGGTATGGCTATAAACACACTGGTTCATGATATTGTTTATTAGAAAAAGTTAGTTGGGAAATACGGCTGTGAATTCCAATATTGTATTTTGTGGTTGCGTCGAGCCCTAAGAAATGAGTTGTCCATAGCACATGGCCTTCAACTTCCCTTGATACATACATATTATACGTATGTAACATATATAGTTTCTTAATGAATGAAACATTATTGTGTAAATAGAAGATATATATAGAGTGAGAAAGAAAGTGTTAATTATTTGACCTTATTATTTCTCTTTATGGTGATGGTGTTTATATTTTACTAAGGAAGGACAACTTAACGTGTTAAAATCAAATTATTGTTAAAATAATTTAAGTAAGTGACAAAGAAAAGGGTAACGAAACGAATGGTGATTGGATAATTTTGGTCAAGTTGTGCTTTATAGTTTTTTAATGATGTTCGTATGTGTTAGGTTGAGTTCTTACTATTACAACGTCAGTGTATGGATTAGATTAGATGTATATTATCATCTCCACCACCCTCCAAAAGTGACCCATTTTCTTCTTCTTTTTTGCCTTTACACAAAACATCGTACGGTTGCCTTTTTAAGAAGCAGGTAATTTATAAGTGGTTTCCTCACGTAGAAGGTGTTACGAATTTGTTTTTTACTCCATAACATTCCTACTCTACACATTGTTTTTGTTGTCTTTTTTGCTAAATTTTCTAGTTTTATATTGATTTGTGAGACTATCACAGTAAATGATAAGAAAGATGCCTTTAACAACAACTAAATCCGAGTTGAACACTCCCAGTACGTACACGAGGAGAAAAAGCACTGGAAAAAATGGAAAACAAACTACAAATTAAATCGACAACTATGTAAAAGTGCAAAAAAGAACAGCCATATTTCACCAATTTTGGTATGTTAACCATATATATAGCCTAAAGACTAAAGTATTTGCACCCGAAAATCATTTATTACATACTCTTGCCACTACGGCGGTAGTAATATGAACGACAAGACAAATTAACCATTTTACTATTCTAAACACAGAATCCGTAGACGTGAGATATATGCATGGTCGGTTCTACAAATTTTAGAGCTTTAACTTTTACGACAGAAATTAATTGGACTTTTATAAAAATAAAAATGAAAACAATTGGACGTCGTCTTTGTAGTTTTTTTTTTTTTTGTTTTTTTGTTTCTGAACAATGTGGACCTTAGCTATACATTTAAAAAATACAAAGATATAATTGTTTTTAATACACAATGTATAACTCTAAAAAATTTAATTAATTTTCTCATATAAAATCTTGTAACTATGTGATGAATAATGATTTAACAAAAAAAGGTCAAAGGTAACGGTGGGCTGCATAACAATGATTGAATTATTATTTTTATAAGCTTACCGTCTGACGAAAAAAAAAAAAAAGCTTACCGTCTAAAAACTTCACGCGCTTCGTTAATCTCCTCCTAATAATTTGTTAATTAACTTCCGTCATTATTATATATAACGATGCTTGGGCTTCTTCTTTCTTGCCACCAAAGACATACTTTGCAATTTGCACAGCTAACTGAAACTACTTGGCCACTTTCTTGTCATCCAAACAATTACACAGTCCCTTTTTTCTCCATTATTGCTTCTTAAAAAAAAACCTCTTTTATCATGTAAATTTGTTTCATGAATCGTTCTCAATCTTCTTCAACGAGATTCATTGTTGTTACGAGCTCCTTAATATTGGGTTCTTTGCTTCTGTGTCTTCTTATCTGGATTTTTGTGCATTTTTCTTCTCTACCCTAAACTTGTATTGAGAATGTTCTGTAATATGGGTTTCTTCGATTTCAAGTAGTCTCCTTTTTCGTGTCTCCCTGATATCGGGTTTAAACTCATCTTCTCCGAGAGTGTTTAACCAAAGAAGCTCTCCAAGTGTTTGACGATTTGTCTGAGAGAGAAAAAAAAACAGAGGAAATTACAGAGAGAAGTCACCATGGAAGAGACTTTTGTTCCCTTTGAAGGTATCAAGAATGATCTTAAAGGAAGGTTAATGTGCTACAAACAAGATTGGACCGGAGGAATCAAAGCTGGATTTAGGTACTATAATTGCTCACCTTTTTCAAAATTTCTCTGTTTTGATGAATTTTTCACCTATAGTATATGATTCCTTATTTTTGTAGGATTCTGGCTCCTACCACATACATATTCTTCGCGTCTGCGATTCCTGTTATTTCATTCGGCGAACAATTGGAACGAAGCACTGGTATTGAACCTTCTCCTATGGAAAGTAAAGTTATCAGCTTTGTGAATGTTAGTAGCAAACATTGCAACTTGAATAAGATTCTGTAATTTGTAGATGGAGTTCTTACCGCTGTTCAGACACTGGCCTCTACAGCTATCTGCGGAATCATTCACTCGATCATCGGAGGCCAACCTCTGCTTATACTCGGAGTTGCTGAGCCAACTGTAATTATGTACACATTCATGTTTAACTTTGCTAAAGGGAGACCTGAACTGGGACGCAATTTGTTCTTGGCTTGGTCTGGAT